TGGAGATGGATGATGATGTGATGGACGAGCAGAAGTATTCGGTCAGTTTCCCTTTGTCTCTGGTCGACTTGAAAGGGTGTGGATGTATGGGATATGCTAACGCAAGCCTAGTCTGCTGCCATGGTCCTGGCCAAGGCCCTCGTGGATTTGGAAAAGGAAATGGAGAAGAGCTACGACCCGCACAAGGGCCACATTTTGCCCGAAATTCCCCTTCACAAGGCGCGCGAGATCATGACTCGTGCCGATTTTGTCCAGTCCTACGACCACGATAACATTTTCACCATTGATTCACGAGCCATGGTTCGCGCCGACTCCGTCCCCATGCAGCAGGCCTTCCGGGAAATCTGTGCCTTGGAAGGATTCGAGAAGCACTTGGAGGACACTCTGGAGCGCATTGGTGACATTGAAAGTCTCGGCCGCACTCGTGAACTGACGATCAAGGACCTCTGGAACCAAGGCAAGTACCGGATTGTGGTCCGGGATACGAAAGGACGCGAGAGCGGCACGGTTGAGTTTGCAGTTGCGGAACGCGAGGGCGAGGATGAAGATTAAGATGTTTTGAGTTTATGTACTATCACTTTCACGTTACCTACCTACTTTTGATGCCAATGTATATGCTCCCCAAGCCAGGAAAATTGCAAGCCTATTGACTATACCCGTCCCAGAGACATCTACTGTCAGCGCAGCCCGGTATACCGAGATCACATTGGCAACCTCTCCCGTCCAGTTTCAAGTCAGTCCATCCGAAGGTCGGGCTCGGCGTTCTTTTCCACACTGATGAAAAGCATGATTCGTGTGTGAAAAAATCGTTTTTGAACGCTTAGTGCTTCTTACTGATCTAGATAGTAAGTATTACCAACTTGTCTCAGTCCTAATTGTGGAGATTGGAGATATAGTATCTTGGATTTTGTTAGCCATGACCTTGGAAGCTCTCAGCGGTGACATCATCAAGCACTCACCGCCAAGCGCATTCACCACACTTGCCTCCGTCTTCGTCTCCCAGCCCCCAAGCTCTCTACTCCTCCACCCTTTAAGTGTTGTGCCTTTGATCTCTCTCGAAGCTTGAAAAATGTCTCCTCGAAAGAGAGTCTCGCCCGGAAGTGTCCAAGCGCAGCCTACACCCGATCCCAAGGATCCAAAGGATGTCTTGAAGACTGTCGCGCCCAAGGCGCGCTTGGCGCGCATCCCCTCACCAGCCCGTTTTTTCTTGGTTGTCTTCGGAAGTTTGATCCTGAGCTCCTTGCTGTTCACTTCCATTGCTGGGTTCACGCAAGGTGATCTCGGGCTGGTCAGTAAGCACCTAGAGGAATGGTGGGAAGTGGGGGGCTTGATCGCGTGGAGGGGTGTGGAGGTTGCTTTGGCATGGCTTCTCGGGTTTGATGGTGAGTGCATCTTATTCTATAGACAGAATATCTGTCGCAAACACTGGGGGACTAGCATGAGCTAATTTGGCATTTTTCAGGCTGGGATGTTGCGTCTTTCCTCTACCTGACACACCTCCCCACCTATACCCTTCTGTCCTACTTCTACAATGTCCGACCGACCTCAGTTCTGGCCTCGTATGCGATCACAATCCTCTCGACGGTGATTCCGTTCACGCTTTTGCGCCGGCCGGCCTCAGTCCATGATCTTTCCCACGCGCCCTCCGGCACCGTTGCCAACCGCGCTATCTTGCAGGACCGACCCACCACTATCTACACCACTTTGGCCGCGACCTCTATTTTCAGCGTCATTCTGTATGCAAGCTATGCATCATGGCTGCCCGCCAGACTCGTCGTACACTTCGAGGGCATGCCAGATATTAGTGCCGCGCACGCCGGCCCGGCCGGCCTTCCCGCCCTGTTCCTGACTCTGATCCCCGCAGGCATTGCTGCGCGCGACTTCTTGTTTGTGAGCTCTACTGGCCATTCAGATAGAATTACCGAGGAAGTGGATCAGTCTGCGAGCCGTGAGGGGGAGTACTTGGTCGCGGCGCTGTACCGAAAGACCTGTGGCCAATTGTCGACGAAAACTAAGATCCTCGCTTCGCGGACTGTACTCCTCGCCACTGGAGTGCTTGTAAACACTACCGTTCAGGTGGCGGGCACCATCCGGGGTGTTACCATCGAGGGCGCGTCTACATGGGGAGCGGTCTGGGCTGTTGCGACAGTGGCAGTGGGTGCAATCTTTGGTTGGATCGAGGCGGTAGATGGGGTATAAACTCTGATTATAAGAAAGTGCAAGGTGCTTGAGACGGATGGGGAGTTGATGATTTATCAGCGTTGTTCGGATGGCGCTCGGCGCACGGTGCAGTCCTTTTTTAAGCAATTCCTGTTGTTTTCTGACGCCCAGAAGTTAATGTCTATGCGAGGACTCTATGATTATACCATTGGTTTAGTTACTCGTCCATTGATGACTCATTTTACGCGTTTGGCTCTATCACTCCCGTCCTCGTACACTACGATTGAGTGACTCTAGATACCAGTGAGGTGTCATTCAAGGCGTCTTATAATCAGAAAGGTCTAATTTATTCATCGCTCAAGTTCCACGAATCGTTAATCCACAAGCCAGCAGATCCTCACTTGCCACAGGCACTCGCATATATAACAAATCTTAAAGAACCGAACAATCAACAAAGAAAAAGTGACCACCTAGAGAATCTCTCCTCAAGACATGGGACGGTTCATCTCAATCTCATCAGACGCATAATCTCGCTTCGGCCTGGCGGACTTGTGCTGCTCGGGCAGCAACCAGCCAGGGTGAATAACATTAAAAACAACGACAGCAGCAACCATCATAGCACCATCAAGAGCGATGAAATATTTCTCATGAGTGATCAAGAATCCATCCCAACCCTGCAACAGCTCGATAGTACGGTAGATGCTCCGCACATAAATGCACAACACAGAGAAGATCATCGCGCCTAGCAACGGCACGATGGACCCAGTCAGGGACTGCAGAAGCTTGTTGCGCAGGGTACGTAGGATGAAATCAGCGGCAAAAAAGACGAAAATGGTGATCGAGAAGAGCTGGAAGATGATACCGGCTACCATGATGTGGGTACCGGTCGCGGTGTCGCCGTTGACTTTGTCTGCTTCGGAAGATGCCATGCCACCGCCGATGGCTTGGATGACGAGGGAGAGGATGTCGCAGGTGCAGAAGATCCAGAGGTAGAGGCTGGGTGTGAGAATGGATGATTCTCGGCCGAGGATTTGGATGAAGCGGCCTAGGAGGACGTAGATACCCGCTGTGAAGAAGGTGGGTGCTAATTGATACTTGTCAGATAGGTTCCTATCCAGTGAAGGAGTACAAGAGTGCATTAAATTCTTACCGATGATGAGAGTGGAGATTTGCATTAGAAATGCGGTCGAGTTATATGGACATTTAGATGACCAGGTTCGACCGGCCCAGCCAATAACTTCGACTATAGAGCGCAAAGTTAGCGAAATATTCCATTCAAATAGTTCCTAGTCAATCATTCCAGGAATAGGATGCAACTTAAAAAGATCTCTCGTACCTAAACAGCCGATACTGAAAACACTGCACCACCATGTTCGCTTCCAGCAGAATTGTGCCGTATGAAGAAGCATCGAAATTCCAAAGAGAGTGCAGTAGGCAATACCAGCCCCTAGAGTTGGTACATAACCGTATGATGTGCCGATTCCAGGCACTTTCGCATGACAGCCATCTAATAGCGCTCGACTGTCAGACATGGTGAGATTGGGGAAGGGCAAGTCGGAGAATTTGGATTGGCGAGCAATCAACGTAAGTAAGAAGAGGAAAAGGCAGTTGTATGATAAATAGGCGGATATACCCCGGATGGATAGACTTCTCGAAGAAAAGAAACCGATGAAGGGCCGAATTGAGTGGCAAGATATAGCAGTGAAAGAATGGTAGGCCGTTTGACGTGGCAGGGCTGGAACGGGTCGGCGATACAGAACACAGAATAGAACAGGCTTCAAGATTACGGGGTAAGAAATCAAGAAAGAAAGGAAGAACGAAAGTAATAAGGCTACCGCGTTAATTGAGCGCAAAGTACGGAATACGGAGTATACATATAAGAATGAGAGAGCGAGAAAGAGGCGGAGCCATCAGCACTAACCTTCCAGGATAGAAATACTCGCGAGAGGATCATGATTTTCTCGACTGTCCAACTATAACTCGCAGCATCTACCGGGATTGCAGGCCGTTCGCTAGTCGGAGACACTCAATCCCGAACAACGACGGCGAACAGGGCCAGAGTCCAGTGTAGACAGAGAATGCTATCCATCTAGCGAATGAGAGCAGGACTATCCAAAAAAATTGCACGAGTGTGGGGTTCGCAAAAACGGGGTGGATCGGGATACTGCGCATTAGGTACAGGCATCCAATGCTGAGCCAGCATAGCCCATTATGTCGCATGGGAGGATGACATCAATAAGCCCGACACCAGACACAAAGTGCCACATCTGATAGGATTTCGGGCCGAACGATACTCCCCGTCGGAGGGAAGACTTGGATCTCGCAAGCAGCTCTATTCTGGGTTTAGCCTCGATGGAGTCGGGGAGTTCTTGGCGCCGCTCAGCATTGGCCTAGTAAAAATGGAAACTGCCAAACTCTCATGCCTTAACTCCGATCCGATGCTCCCGCGTAAGACGGACGCGCAAGATCTGAGCCTTGCAATGGAGCGCCCCGAACTGCCATGATGGGAAAATGGGGTTTCAGATAGCCATAGGATGCCGACTGCGAATCCGTAAGGCTAGATATGCTACGGGAATGGAGGGATAGATTTTTAGCCGAGATTAATCGGCGATTTTGTGTCCAGGGCCTGGATCCCGCGATCTCTGCGCGTTTCTCGTCCACTCGTACGCTCCACACCTTTGAAATCAGGCTGCTGCATAGATTTTAAACTCATATTTGACCTTTGGGTACAGGACCATAATGTGACAAGGCCGACCTTGGGGTTCGCGGGGTCACCTGATTGGTGCCTCGACGAAGCGTCAAAAAGATCATACAACAGTCACACACAATCTTCATGCTAACTATTCAATTTGAGGGCCTAAATTGGCTGGCCCTTTATGAATTCAGGCCTCAATTTTGTCTTCTCACCCTTGAGAAGACAAACGCTACCGTGCATATCTCTTGAGACCCGTAGGTTCTACATACGTCCAATTTCCAAATACACGGACTGCAACCCTTTTAGGGAGGCCCAAAATCATCATCTCGACTGTTAAGATGCCTGGTTCCTTCGAATCAGCCTGAAAGTAAACCTTGGACCAGAAGTTTCCAGTCTGGTAGGACGGTAAGACCCGCTGGAAAGTTAGACCCGGCATATCTTCGTTTACACAGTCGACACTCCTCGACTCGCCGCTACAAACTTGACATATGCATCATGAGGCTCGAGCGTGCTTCTAGGCTTGTGATTGGTAAAGCGTTTGACAAACGAATGACATCAAAATCAGATCTATCAAGGATGTTTTGTTGCGAACAACCCACTTTGGACAACATGCGCATAACCTCATTTAACTGACAGCACCGTGAATTTCGGCAAATCATAGAATCCGGGGGGATCTACGAGTCATGTCAGTACCGCGCAACAAACCAGTATTTCCTGAAGGGATCCAGAATTCTTACCTTCATGGTTAGCGATGATATACTTCCTCGTCTCGACAATATTGTGGCCTAACTCGGAGTTGAGCTCCTGCTGATGAATCCTAATTCTCTCATTACGCTTTGCTGCCCCGCGAACAGCAGACTGCGCAACATGGAAGCGGGAGGTACGATTGACGAGCATCATATCAAAGGGTGTTGTTGTACTTCCTTCCTCCATGTATCCAGCAACGGAGACACGATCCAGACCCGGACGACCGAATAGCAACCCCTGCAATTCCATCGGATAACCGTGGTAATTGAAGTGGATGGGTTTGTCGGCCGTGAACAAATTATCGAATTCCTCAGCTGCCAAGGCGTGCGGATGTTGGCCCGCGTTCTCGAGAATGAGCAAATCGGTCACGTTCACCACGCGCAGGCGCAGGGCTGGTGCACGCTCGCGCAGAATCGCCGCGGCTTGGATCACCTCAAACATCACTTCGACGCCGATACCAACCAGGACCACGTCTGGATCCAGACCATCGCCAGTGCTGCAGAATTTGAAGACTGAGGCACCGGCCCGACAGTGGCTCTCTGCTTCCTCGGGACTCAGATACACGGGTGTTGGCTGCTTTGCGCCTACCATAAGGTTGACGTAGTTCTTCGACTTCAAACAGTGATTCAAGGTGGTCAAGAACGTGTTTGCATCTGGTGGGAGATACACGCGGGCTGCATAGGGCTTGAGCTTCAATACGGATCCAATGAATGATGGATTCTGGTGGGAGAACCCATTATGCTCTTGCCGTGCCCAGGTGCTGGTCTCAATGTAATTGAAACTGCTCACGGCACAGTGCCATTTGGATTCGCGAGCCTAAAGAGCGATTGGTGAGTAATCGCAAGAGGACGTGAGAATTGCAATGACCTACCATTTTTATGAACTTGGCATATTGCACCATCATGGTGTGAATTATTCCGAGGAAGCTCTCATATGACGGAAAAATCCCCACCCGGCCAGTCAAAGTGTACCCCTGCATGAAGCCCTGGCATAAATGTTCACTCAATACCTCGATGACACGGCCCCCGCGAGCATTGGAGAATTCATCCCACTGGAAGTTTCGACTGGTAGTTTCAAGCACCGCCTCCAGCTTATTGCTTTCGAGTTCGTCGGGACTAAACAGCCGCACAGTTTCGGGATTCTCCCTGATAACGTTCTTGAGGAACCGACCAATCGCCCCCATGGCACTTTCCTGGGCTCCTTTGTCTGCACAAAAGATTTTCCAATCTGGTAGAAACGGTGGCTTGTATTTGTCGTATGCCTCAATGCGCTGACCCAGCTTTTTCTCGTTGTTCTCTGGAATCACAGACTTGATTTCCTCGATGATATCCCCATTCTCTGTGAAAAGTTCCTCGGGCTTGTAGCTCGCAAGCCATTTCTGAAGCAATTCCAGTTGCCCCCCGTCAGTCTTGGCCTTGGGCAATGGCACTTGATGTGAATGGTAGGAACCCTCGATAAATTTACCATGAAGCTGCTTAGGTCCTGACCAGCCCTGTTATCATTGTCAGTACGCTCAAACACAGCGTTCTTCTTTAAAAACCTACCTTGGGTGTTCGCAGAATCAGCATTGGCCATCTAGGCTTGAGAATTGGATTCCCCGAGCGGGCTGCTTTCTGAATTTTGTGAATCTCATCCACGGCCCATGCCATCGAATAGTGGAGATCGGTATCGATATCGTTGAGGTCTTCTACAAACCGAACTTGGTAGCCGTATCCACTGAACAAAGCAGTGAGCTCTTTGTGATCCATGCAGCCGAAAATGGTACGCTCGCTGATCTTGAAGCCGTTGAGATGAAGAATTGGAAGGACGGCACCAGATTCTTTGGGGTCAATGTACTTGATTCCATGCCACGAGCTTATCAACCATTATCAGCATTGCACCCATATAAGGGGATATAAGAACTACGAACGTGGCAGTTGGACCCGTTTCTGCCTCTCCGTCTCCTACTATGCAAGTCACAATGAGATGGGGGTTGTCCATTGCCGCACCGAATGAAACGGAGAGGGCGTATCCCAGCTCTCCCCCCTCATGGATTGCACCCGGAGTCTCGGAGTTAATGTGGCTTGATGTAAGAGTCAGCAAGATTCATGTGTAGCTCAGCCGAAGCACTTGCCTCGGGAATCCATCGGTGGTGCTAAAGGTTGAAATCAAACGATGGAGACCATCGCCGTCGCGGGTATATTCTGGATAGAACTTCTCCAAAGATCCCTCTAGCCATAGCGTTGCGAGAAGAGCGGGTGCGCCATGTCCCGGGCCAACCACGTAGAGCATGTCAAGGTCCCTGGTTTGAATCAGATAATTGAGATGGGAATAGACTATGATTAGTCCCGGACATGTTCCCCAGTGACCTGTGAAGACAATGACATGAGTATACTTCAGCCTGGTTGGGAATATACTTGTGTGGAGAGGTGTACCTACCCAACAATCGTGGCTTGATATCTTGAGATTTCAGATCTCTTTTCATCAAAGTGTTTTCCTGGAGGAAAATCATCGCTTGTAGCGAGTATTAGGGTTACGGTCCGTTCCAATGCATCCAAATTTGGGTTTCATACCCGCTGCGACGTAAGATGCTGCCCTGCGGAATTTGAGTAATGCATCGCAGGTCTTCTCATCTAAAGTCTGATGAGAAAGTGCGACTTGTAACTTGGCTAAATAGTCCGGCAAATTTGAGGGCAAAGGCTCTGGATTTGGTCGATCGATAACTTCTCCTGGCATGGTCGCACCAAAAACACGTTCAAAGTACGAAAACGGAAGCTCTTGGCGACGGGAGATCAACACGGGAGGAGTACAAAGTTCGGTGGGACGATGTTGATACGAGAGAAGATGATATGAAAAGAAGAAAAGCCGAAGAAAGAATCAAAGTACTTACCTCGCAGCCACGAGATTACCACATGCACCGGTCATGCCATTGAGAGGTCCATCGGCAAAATTATGGGTGTTTGATCCGCCCTGATCCCCTCTCAACTCGACCGACGTCACCGTCCGTTCACCAACTCTCTGACATCACCCAACTAACACCGGCGGACGATCAATCCCCGTCCAACAGATAGGAACCAACCTCATTCTTGCGCCAGAAGATACCATCGAGTCCTGCGATTACTGCCTATCATGGGGAAGTATATCCTGGCCGTCAACGCCGGCTCCTCGTCCGTCAAAGTCACCTTCTATACCTTTGAGAGCCCCCCGCAAGCGATCGCCGATGCGCAAGTCTCGGGCATCACGGCCCCGCCACCCACGCTCAAATACCAGCGCGGACCGGTGAAAATTAAGGAGGAGCTGAAGGAGAAGATAAATACTCCGCAGGATGCGTTCAAGTACATCCTACATCGCTGCTTCAACGATCCCGAGCTGTCCGAGGTTGCCAGTGATCGCGATCTAGCTTACATCTGCCACCGGGTAGTCCACGGCGGAGACTACCATGAGGCTGTCGAAATCAACGATGAGACACTCCATCACCTGGAGGCATTGGAGGATCTGGCGCCGCTGTATGTGAAAAACACCGTGACAGAAGTCTACGCGATGAGAGAGCCCATTCCCCAAGCTGACAAGCTCGATCGTATGACATTTAGACACAATTTCTCCGCCCTAGAAATCGTGCGCCTGTGCAGGAATGAACTCCCCAGCGTCACGAGTGTCACTTACTTTGACTCGGCCTTCCACCAGACCCTTCCTGTCCATGTGAGGACATATCCCATCAACCAGCAGGTAGCCAAGGCCAACGGGTTACGGAAATACGGCTTCCACGGGATCAGTTACTCGTTCATTCTGCGCTCAGTCGCTCAGTTCCTCGGGAAGCCCCAAGAACAGACCAACATGATCGCCATGCATATCGGAAGTGGAGCTTCTATGTGTGCTATCAAGGAAGGCAAATCAATTGATACTTCGTGAGGTGTTCGAGTTACAGTGAACTAAACTTGATACTAACAGTTGTACTAGCATGGGCCTGACTCCGTTGGCAGGATTGCCGGGCGCAACACGCAGCGGTGATATTGATCCTTCGTGAGTCCACATCAATTGCAGACGTGGGGATAATCGTGAACGAACGCTGACCATTTCGGGAACAGCTTGGTATTCCACTACACTAGCGAGGCTGGCAAATTGAGCCCTGGGAGCACCAAGGAAATGCATATCAGCACGGTATCACTGGCTGACCTCCTCTCCGCACTGCAGTGGCTGACCTGAGCACTTATGGCATGTAGGCTGAAGAGATCCTGAACAAGCAATCTGGATGGAAGGCTCTGACAGGCACAACCGATTTTTCCAAGATCGCAGTCGAGGATTTCCCATCCGAGGCTCACAAACTCGCCTTTGATATCCTAGTTGACCGAATTTTGGGGTACATCGGTAACTACTACTTGAAGCTAGGCGGGCAAGTAGATGCTCTCGTCTTTGCTGGTGGCATCGGCGAGAAGAGTGCACTACTACGGCGAACACTAGTCGAGAAATGCCAGTGCCTGGGCGTAGCAATTGACGCGAAGGCTAATGACAAGGGGCCAGAGGATAAAGAGACGGTCAAGGATATCTCCCAGGGTGCCGGCAAGGGGCCCCGAGTGCTGATCTGCCAAACCAATGAGCAGGTAAGTCTTGGCGTTGAGAATGGCGGGGAGGGGGAGATTGAGGGGGTGTTTGTGATATACTAACGAGTCATCAATAGTTTGAGATGGCATACCACACCGTTCAATCTCGAGTTTGAGAGCAGTCGAGGCGGGCGGCTTTGATGAATCAGGCTGGGCACAGGACACAGCGACCACGCAATGGTCCTGTACTCTGTACATTATTCCAAATCAGATGTGATATATGTGGAGGACAGAAGTACGGAGTAGTAGTACAGTAGTACAGTTTGACAAAGAGACACGGATCATGCCACTCAAATTTCTTTGTTCAATGACACTTGTAGGATCAGAATGCATCGACTGTCAAGCGCATGCAGGATCGATCACAGTTTTTTGAGAGTTGGAAGTTAAGCACGCCAGTTCAATTAGTCCACGACAGCGACCAATTGCAGCTTGCAATCAATAGAAAATCATGGAGTTATGTACTTGAGGTTGTCCATTCCAGTCCTCTGCAGCGAACAGGGTCCCTACATACCAGCGCCGCCACCCTTCCACCTAATCAGCGAATGTAACGAAGCCAATACAGTCGGTCTAGGTACTTTTCCTTCGGGATTGGACGACAAGACGGAAATTTGGAATGATGTGATACATCATTTGGACCCAGGCTGTTGGGAACGACTGCTTGCAGCGGGGGAAGTCCGGGTTCCCCGATCCCCGATGCCCCAGTATTCAGGTAAGTTTGATGATCCCCTAGTTTAATGCACGATGGGAAGGAAGGGGCAAGGAGGTGTGGGAGATCGCGATCGAAGAAACAAAAACAAAAGCACAAATGTACTTTTGTGAAGTTCCGAAGGGGACTGAGATGATCGGTCGGGTCTGGATGAGGCGGGAAGAGCCGATCTGTAAGATGCTTTTCGTTGTGTTCTTTTTGCGAGGGATCTAAAGTTATAATGTGATGGGATATTAGGTTGGATATGTTTAATATCCAATCTGATCCGTGGTTTATAGTGAAAAGGATACCGTCAGGTGCCCGGACTAGTCGATCAATTAGAGGTGGGACACCAGCTTGAGGAAGACTGAAGAATTAGCACCATGTAGGTGTACTCCATTCTCGGTACTTTTTTTTTGGTTTCCTACAGAAAGCTGCGGAGATCGACATCGCTGCAGAAATTGTCGTACAGTACTTGCGTACATTCTGGCAGTGGCAACCTAGCGTATCATCGGTGCAGCATGTATGGGGTTTGACGCAAGCTGATCTTCTGGTGATGCATCTGCTGGTGGCTGGTAGTCAGTCGATAATGTACGGAGGATTGTTTCCAATTCCAGGGGATCCCAACCTCGCGCCATCTCGCAGGATCTCCACTAGCCGACCGGAATCAGTACGGTTAGCTCAGTTAGGCTGGCTTGGAAGCATTAACCGTTGCGCTTCCACTGGTCGCGGAAGTTCGAGCGAGATTCCGGGCTCCAAGAGGCGTTTTTGCGGGTCTTCTCTGAGGCGTCAAGCTCCATCAGTCGCATTAATTGCTGTATCGACGTCACTCGGTTTCATGGCCCGAGCCGTCTCAATCCTTTGGAAACTATGAGATCTCAAGGGCGCTGCAGCTGCGAGGAAGATGTACAGCCTTAACCGAGAGAAAATATCGGTAAGTTGGTCCTAGCATAAGCACCTCCTACGTCGACTAATCCCATTCAAGCTCGTTACTGCCAGGAGAAGCGGACCCGACAGGGAGGGAAAGCAGGATGATCGTACCCGACACGGTGGATGCTGGGGCCGTGGAGGCCGGCGGCTGGCGATCGTCATCTGCTAATTTATCTTTTGGCCTCTCTCTTGTCCACTGATCGTGTCACCTGCACGGTAATCGATCGTTGGGTCCAGAGAGGAGACCCGGACACGGGAAGGGGAGGAGGGTTGAGGATGAGGCTGAACCTGGTAATTCCTAAATTGGCGGCCAATCCAACGACTCCACTGGGATGTCCTGGGATGTCTTCCGGCTGGTTGATAACGGCGATTCAATCAGACAGTCCAAGGCTCCAGAAGTTTCTAGGGACTCGCCGTGGTGCGGGTTTCCGATGATCATCCCGTGGCGGCACAAAGATCCTTGACAACATCTAACGGAAAAGGGGCTGTCGAATTGAGGCCTAAGCATTGAGTTGCATAGTACCTGCTCTAGAATTTCTTGGCTCTAAATGAAGACTAGGACTTACGTAGGGCTACGGGCCCCATGATTGCGGGCGAATACAGCTTCCCTTTACGATTTCCTCGTGCTTGCCGAGAGACTGCTTCCTAAGAATTAACGAGGACAGTAATAGTCATTATAGCTAATGATAGCAGTCCACTATCCACTGCGGAGTACACCGTACAGCGGAATACGCTCCAGACCCGACTGGACCTTACTTTGGGGACTTTGGTGGATACCTGCTAACCGCGAGAGTCCATATTGGATGGATACTGTCAATATGGATCATTGCCACTATGTTCCAGAAGGCTTCTTTCTATGGAGCCCGAAACTTCCAGGAAAGGCCTCTTCCAGCCTAAAACACGCACTACTATAATATTGGCCTCCTCGCCTGCCCAAGAAACACACACTAGGATCGGCCGGCTTGGCTTCCGCGCAACCCTAGCGTCACACTGCCTGGGATCTTCCATATCCTGCTCAGCGGAGACCAACATCCAGGCGTATTGGGAGTTAGACTGACATAGACCAACTGGGCTGGGCTGGCTCGAAAAAAGGGATCCACGACACAATGAAACGGCCGCCACAGATTTCATTCTTGAGAGAGAGCTTGACACATCGATCGGCAACTATTGAGAGAGAACAAAGAATATCTGATCCAGCTAGATATCGAGCGTACAATTGACAGAGTTGACCGACTACGATCGTCGACCTCCCTAAAACGCCCCCTGCTTAGAGATTAGAGGTCATCGTGCTGCAAGGCGGTTATCAATTGTCTTCTCTGAAGGGACAGTACATTGAATCCGACCGCCTAGCTATGTATACACCGTAATACAATCTCCTCCCCGATCCCTACTCTTGCACCGCGCGGCCGCGCCACCCTGTAGGTGCAGGCGCGCTCGGTACCTGGGCGGCGGCGGCAGATGTATCCTGCGGGAAATTCTTGATCGGGGAAATTTGACATGCACGGAGTACGACAGGGAACACGGCCTGCATATGTACGTAGATCCTATTCAGTACCAAGATTTCAAGCACCAAAGCAGACGATGGACTCGCTATCGTGACTAGTAAAATCTACTTTGTACTATGGAGTAACAAGGGCTGGAAAAGCCGAGGCATCGACTAACCTTGTGCCCTGCATTCAGCTCCATCCGGGTATGGGCCCCAGAAAGCGTTCATGCAATCCAGCTAAACCTTGTTTTTGTGTGCGGGAGAACTAATGCATCGAGCCGCAGTCTTGGAGACGCGTCTCTCAGGAACCCGATGTGGCGAGCTCGCATCCGACTGGGTCAGCCCGACTGGAGAACCACCGTTCTGAAATTCGGGGAGAGCCGTTGTACACCAGGAAAATCCTCATTGCTTCGGGCAACGATTGACTAGTCTACAGAGACCTCAAAGACATGCTCCTCCGTGTATGGCATCTCACACGCGATTCTTCCAACGGACGTGTTAGGTCTACGGAGTATTGTGTCCGCCCGTATTAAGGAATTGATCTATTATTCTGTAACCACTTTACAGACTAGCTTGTCCACTAGTATACACATCCCAGGGGCACGGCACAGGGTACTCAACGGGGAAGACGGAGCCAGAGGCCGGCGCGGACGACGGCGGACATCGACTGGAGCCAGAAACCGTCTTTGATCCAATCGTCAGGCTTCGCTGAGCTTGTGAGGCGATGGAGAGGGTCACTGGATGAGTTCTTATTGATGTGTTCCTCTTGTTCTCCCGTTTCTAGCGCGATTCTAGCTGTAAACGAAACGGGGCCTACCCGATGCGATGGAGCCAGTTGCCGGGTCCACCAAGGAGGAAAAAGGAAGCTCGTTGTCCTGACAGTCAATCCCGTCTCCTTTTTTGGGTGGTATTCCCCCGGCGGACCAGCGCTCCCGCCAGCCCGGAAGGAGCTGTATCAACGGAACTCGTTCACTACATACAATTTACCGTACAACTTAGGTACATACATACATACTGTACAATAATTCATTGGCAAGCTTTATTGGGGTGTTCTCCCTCTTTGCCACCGCCAATGAAGAAAGGCGATCATCCCCGTTCCCCAGGTCCCAGCCCGATAAATCACGAATAGGAAAACGTGCCATTAGGAGAAAAAGAGGGGTAATAAGTTACGGTAGTCCGTCTATAGAGCGACACGAGGTGCAGATCATCGAATGACTACGGAGTATAGATAGACTCAAAAAGTAACTGACATACAGGACATACAGGTAGAGCCGAAATTTCGCCTACCCGTGTCTCCTCTGGATCTTGCTCACGGCCCCGGAGGATATTCCGCAGTAGACCACCAGGGTCGATATCCAGTAATGATTATCAACAAATCGCTAAGAAACACCAGGAAGAAAAACTCCTATCTTGACTAGATGGTGAGTAGTACGGAGTATAGTTGAGCATAGCCATCCTTTGTCTCCCCCCCTAATTTCGTCCTTAGCGCGTTGGGACACACGGCTGAAACAAGCTTACGAACCAATGGAGCAGGGTTGTTGGGGACACCCTGGCATATCAGTCAGGAAACGGGAGGGAAACTATAATAGTGAACAACATCATCCGAAAGGAGTGTGGCTGGATGGGGGAGCCGCCCACGCGGCTCCAGTGTGGCGAAAGTCTAGAGCTGACGCAAGAAGAAATGCTGCTTCGTCAATTCTACATGAAAAGAGGCTTCACTCTCATACGTCCCTACGGAGTAACGTGAACCCCATAGTTGACAGGGATCTATGGGGGTGGATCTGAGCTAGGTTGCTATTTTCTGCAATCCGAAGAAAGCTGTTGACGGAGAAAGAAGGAGTCCAGAATGTTCTCATGGAGTCATGGAGAATTACCATCTGAAAGAGAATCAGAAACTCCAAGTACGTCAGAGGCATACCGAGGATAATATGTACTCCAAAATACTCCGTACACTCGGTTTGTACTATGTTATGCGTCCACTGGGTACACCAAATACCAAAGGGACGCCGGGAAGATGGAGTACAATTGGGAATGATGAACGGTAATTCTGTACCACTCTCGTACTTTATTTACAAAGCTAAACTCTCTTCATCCCTGTGGATTATTGGAGCGGACCCCCGTCCCAAGCCCCCGGGAGAGTATAGAAAGGCTAGAAGGTGCAAAGAATGTTCATACGTAACCGAGACCGGGAGTGGGTGCGTGAAGGCTCCTGATTTGGCTTATCCCATCGACGTGCCCGTGATGATGGAGCCTTCGGTCTCCTGTAGCGCTCCGGCCCCACCCCCTATGATGGAGCCCATTCAAGCCCCCAACAGGATCGGGAAGATGAGCTTCCTGATCGATCGGTTGACACACGGCGCTTCCCGAAGGACCAGAAATAAAGCCAACAAAATGACAGAGTCGGTGATAGGAGGACGGAGAGAAAAGTGATGAGACAAAGGAAGAATAGTGTTCGGGGCGCAGTGGGAAAAAGTAACAGGGGAAGGAGGGAATCGGATCACCATTGGCGCTGGGTAAAGGGCATGTCTGTGACAGGATTACCACTAAGGGAGGTTGGCCATGGACCTGTTACTGGCTTCTCGGACAAAGGAGTCACAAAAAAGAAGGAAATGAATGGCGATGGGAAAGAGTTCGGAGAAATCGCTACCCGAAACAAATAGCGTCCTTAGTTAGTAGAAGTCTTACTTTCATTATGATGATTTTCATGATTGAGACCTTCCCACTCGGTCTCTTTCGACCCATGACTGATAGAAAACAGAAGGCGTGATTGCGCGGAGGACTACCTGAGAAACCGAACGTCTGGACTTGATTACTGGAAAGAGGCGATACTCTTGTTTCCGTTAGGTTGGTTTGAGGTGGGCTTGAGGCTGGTGTAACTCCGTTGGTGGTGTGTTAGTGTTGACCAGGGGACGATATATTGATTCCTTCAAGAATAGGAACAGAACGAACAGAAGTGCTGGGGAACCACGAGAAACCTAGGCATCATATGTCAAATGCCTAGGTACTGGTGTGGTGACCCCTGGCATATCAGGGTTGCTAAGAAAGCTAGTTTCCGACTCTCGTCAGGGTAGCTAGTACGCTTGTAGTTAGTAATTTGATCCATCTAGCCGATGGAGCTCGACCACGCGAGAAGTCGCGACGATGAGTTCGGATGGATCCGTTTTTTATTCTGTACCTGCGGCTGTTTTCCCTTTGCCCCCTCTTCTCTGTCTCCACTTATGCTAGAGGGCTGCCCGGACATTCGGTTCCTGGCTTCCTTGAGTGGAGAGAGCTCGTCTGGGTCGTCTGGCTTGATACGTTAAGACCGGTTAAAAATTATAAATAAATAAATGAAAAAAAAAAAAAAAAAAAAAAAGAGAGAGAAGGGGAGATGCTGCATAGTACTTTATCTTCCGTAGGCATCTTCTATCCGCGGCAGTGGATCACTCTTAGGGATCACGGAGAAGAGATTCTAGATAGATCAAGATGGTATTGTGATGGATCAAAGTTCTGTTCTTGTTGGATCCGTTGGGTTTTTGATTGATAGCAAAAATCAGGCATCGATCGGCCCTGGACTACTGCAAGACTACTGAGGATTAGCAAGACGTTAGAGAACGCAGAAAAGGGGGGGCTTGAGTTCCTGTTCCCCGGGACCATGGACGGGAGAGCCGCTCAGTGCCAACAAAGAATTATGGAGCCTATAAGCTTATGATTTCACGGGAATACAAATACAGTGAAACCCCTAAGGGGGAAAAGGGACGAAGGAAAATTGATTTACTTTTTCTGGGTCTTTTTTGTTTTCCCTCCTTTGGGATACTTTTCGGTAATTTGTATTTTATTGATTTTATGGATCGTCCCTTTTCTTTTCTACTAGAATAGTCCAATAGAATAAATAATGTGAAAAAAAAAAAAAAATGGCCTTTCCATCTATGTAAAGATCAAAAATTGAGGGAAAAGAAAATAGAAAAAAAAAGGGACACCAAAGAAGATCATCCTAGTTCTTTCACTCATAAGCCATCATCCTATATCTACGCAATCGATTCCCTCTTTCCCCCTAAATGGAATCTATTTACCATCTCCAACCGTCCTGCTTCCACAGAAGTCGACATACCTAACCTCCATCATTCTTCCTCTCCTATCATCCTCTGCTCCTCCTATCCGCCGACGAAGAGCCTGCGCAAAATCAGGGAAAAAGAAAACAAAGGGAAAACGCCTCTTACCCCTACCACCCTGTCTTCTCCCTTCTCCCTTGCGATACGTCGCGTTGATTTTCAACCCGGATCTACCGGACCAGACTTCCGCGGCACTTCTCCTTTGCAGGGCCTCCCTTGCCGGCCGAGCTTCATTATTATCCCTTCTCAAGAGCTGCCCGTTGCGCTGGTACAGATCGCGATTTGGATGACCTCGATGCTGCAGCCACCCTCGCGCTTATCATTTTGACAATTTCTGATTTGATTCCCGCCTTTTCTTTCATTTTTTATTTTTCTTCGTGGCTCTGGGACTTTTGTGTTCATTGCTTTGCGATTCGACCTTTTATTTTGGTACAAACGAAATAAAAAGCAACGAGCGACGACCTGTCGAACTTTCCGCTGCTGCCACCATTTTATTTCGTCTCCACGCCCTTTCCCATTTGTCGGGTCCGTGTCGTCACATTCCTGCCCTACAATCTGCTGGTGTCCGCATTATTTCAGTGGCCATCTTTAAAAGGACCCTCTGCTCCGATCTTGACTGCATCCTGCATCCACCAACCTGCACCATCCGCCGTCTAGAACACCCGACTTTTATTTCCTGCGATTTTCCGAATACTTCGGGGCGGTGGACTGGGAATTTCGTTTGCCTCCGTGGTGAATTTTCCCTGGTGAAAACTACTATATAAGAATCGTTCGTGGGTGTTTGGTAAGTTTTTTTTTCCATCCTCATACTTGCCCACCCTGCCCGTCGCAATCCCATTCCACGCCTTCTCAACCACCACTCTCGCCCTTTACCGACAATCCGTCTAACAATGATTGCCTCTGCAGATCTCAACATGATTCTCCGAGATTTGTCTGCCTTCAACATGGGTCGCGGCGCCTATGACACGACTGGCGTTAAAAAGCCTGGCGCGCCTCCACCACCGCCGAAATAAAGCAGCCCTCTACGATACCCTCGACCATCTTTTCTATACTCCCCCGCGCTGGGCGGTAGTCGCTTCTGGGATTTTCCTTCCATTTTTCGTCGCATTCTCGGATGGCTGGAGTTTTTGACGCTTCAAACGTTCGGCGTTTTATCTCTTCTTTCGGTCAGTCCGGTCCTTTTTGCCCACCAGTCTCATCTCGGGCACCAATACTAACAGCTCATGCAGATCACTGTAACATTATTCCAATCGGTCGAATTGTGTCTGCATTTTCTTTCGGTCATCATGCTTGTCTATTCGCCACTGGTCTTGCGCGACCCCATATACCCTTTTTAATTTCCATTCTCTCTGCATCGGTTTCGGGTTTTTCAGCGTCGACGCTTCTTTTCGCCTTTTTACTTGTCTTCGCACATGCGCCTTATACCTAATCTCGGATCCTCACCCTCACCTTCTCCTCTTCCGCCTCACCGCCGCTTTCTCTCTTCATTTCGCCGAATCCCGCGGGATTCTCCCTACATCACACCTCTCGCGGTCGATCTCTCAAAAAAGTGTCTTCTTTTGTGCCTCTGATTTCCTTTGTCTCTGTGGTTTTTTGACTTTGTGATCATTCATCTCGGCGTTATGGTATAGATGGGACGGAATTTGTTGCATGGGATGCATGGGCTGATACCAGAAGAACCTAGACCTTCGACCTCGCGGTCAATAGCACGTTTTTGCTGATTCTATTTTCTTGGGGTGCACAGTACATTTGCTTTGGTCTTTTTTTCCTGTACTTGTACTAGTTATCTGTATTTGTACCTTTTTCTTGATGTTGATGTCTGTACAATATTTTGCGCATGGTTGGGACACCCAAAAAATACTATATGCCCCATCCTATCTCTCTTTTGGACTTCCGTCTTCCCGGGTCTAGACCGCACAATAGTTACTGCGATCTTCAGAAACCAGGACCGGTTCATGTTGACCAACGGCTGCCGTGTCGCTCGGGTTTGACAGCTGCGCCGGGCGGGACGAGCAGAAGCGTCGGGCAGATTTGCTTACGGACCGGTGCCGAGCCAGGAACCGTCAGCCTGGATTTCGATGTGGATTCCTGTTCGTGCATCGGCAGATGGGTTCCGGGCCTAATGGTGGAATTTGATGGCGCTCGACATCATCTCGCATTCTTGGTTGGGCACTAGTCTTCGTGGACAGGAACGATCTCTCGAGCATTCTGTCAGGCCTTACCCCGCTACTTCACGAGCGCTGAGATCGGATCGACGTCTTATACCAGGTCTTTCCCAGTTATTTCTTGAGCTGGTTTTGTGGCGCTTGTTTAGGATTTGGAATGTCTCTATATGGGCTGGTTTTCTAGATATGTCTCTCATGCAGCACCACATGATAGCAATACGGACGCAAATAGTCCTGCCTTTGGGCGACACAATTCAACAGCAGATAACAGCGATTAGATCGATATGGCATTTTAGGGGAAAGAATGCGCGGTGTAGACTGAATCAGGATTAACTAAGATCGAATCTGAGGGCCTGAATGAGGATATGTGTTCATATCCTTCGGTCTTGATAGACCAGTCAAACCCTCTGTATGCATTTATGATAGCTGCATGCTTTAGTCTGACGTCTAGCCTCTCGTGGATTTATGGAATCTACAATATTCATTGCCTCAGAGGGCAATCTTAGGCGAATCATGCTAGAAAAGTAAGACTTAAATCTGAAAATACGAGAGAATCCCTATTGAGACATTCTGTGGAAGTAAATATTGTCATTCAGACACTAACTTGGGCTTACTTTTGCGCATTCTGATTATGTCTTAGCCAAAATAATCCTGGGTATATCAGATGAAAGCCAGCCTATAATAATGCAGGTACACCGCATCCAGATGGGTATTACTTTACAAGCTGAAAGGATGATGCTGGTTGAACAGTCTACTATAGGCTGGCCTCAAGAAGGTGAGTTATTACGATCAAGCCGACAGACAGTTGGAGTGGATATAATTAAAAAAAAGGAATTCAGTATATGTGATTTCAATCTAGAGTTAACGGCTTCGTTAGGGGTATAGATACTGGTCAGAATATACTCCGATGACCCATCGGTTTAGGTATGTCATCCTATTCAGGGCGGGATGGATGCCGGGCATAGTGGAAAAGCCTTAGAAAGGGGGTGGATAGCTATACTCTAATGAGCGATACAAAGTTATTGATTGAGTTCAGAACTGACGGTTGATCGATATGATGAAGCGACGGGCATGCTTGATGGGATCGGCGTCCGGTGATAATATATATCATTGTTCGTACCTTTTGAGTACTACTCTAGAAAACGGACGAATACCTATTCGAACCGGTAAAGATGCTCATCTCAAATAGAGAGGCATACCTCCCCGCCCCTTGTGTTGATTCCTTTTAAAAGTAACTTGTTGACGACCGGGGACTTTCAGCCCGGATGAAATCCAGTTGCCTGGCTCGGCGACGTGTACTGCACCAGGGATCAAGGTTCAAGATGGCCAGGAATGGCATACACCATGCAAAATTTAGTCTAGTCAGGACCGTAGCAAGTGAAAAGTCTGATAAAGAAAAAATGTGACTTTGCAATTAGATCTATGAAATAGGTTGTACCCTTCGGCCTTTGTAGATTCCCGTGACTGCTGAGACCTCCGTCCACGCTAAGCCATATTGGGACAACCGCCATCATCATTGACCTCCACTTCCAACACTCGGCTTTCCTAGTGAATTGCGACATCTCTCTCCCTCCCATCTCGCTTACAAGAACAGCTACAACACTCGTGTTCCTGCCTTGATCTCGCGTCCCCTAGTCACACCGCCACGACCACAGCCGAGCTTGCCAGCTCATCCTTCTGCCTGATCAGCCGATTACTTCAATAGGCGTCGCTCGCTCCCTGCACGACGGCCTAACCCGCCATCTGCTCCAACAACATTACACTTAATTCTACCGTCTCAGTCATGTCCGAGTCAGCTAGTGCGAATGCGCCGAAGCCGAGCAGCAGCGTCAAGCTAGTCCTACTCGGCGAAGCTGCTGTTGGCAAGGTACACTTCTTCTGATACCATGTTAGACCTAGAATGATAGCTGACCGCAAGTTCTCTCTGCTTACAGTCGTCGCTCGTCCTTCGGTTCGTCAACAATGATTTCCAGGAGAACAAGGAGCCAACGATCGGCGGTAAGGAGCTTCCCCTCCCTGAATGAGACTATGCCCCAAGAAGAAACCGACGTTTCCTGACTTGTCTATCATTCCATGCGAATGGAAGTTTTGTCCGGATAAAAAATAGCATGATCTCTTAGATGCGCTATCGGCCCCATTAGTCAAACATCTGTTAGTGATGATACAGTGTGCTAACGTCATCTTCTAGCCGCCTTTCTGACACAGAAATGCACTCTTCCCACGCGCACAATCAAGTTTGAGATTTGGGATACAGCCGGCCAGGAACGGTTCGCCTCACTTGCGCCAATGTACTACCGCAATGCCCAAGCCGCCCTTGTCGTCTACGATGTCACGAAGCCATCATCGCTGACAAAAGCGAAGCACTGGGTTGCTGAGCTGCAGCGCCAGGCCAGCCCCGGGATTGTCATCGCTCTTGTCGGTAATAAGCTGGACTTGACCAATGACGGTGGCGATGCTACGGGGGCTTCATCCGCTCCCCAGGCCGAGTCCGAGTCGTCAGGACAAGATGAAACCGAGGCTGACGAGGAGGCCGAGGAGCAGCTTGCTGCTTCGGGCGACGCTCGGAAAGTGTCAACCCGGGAAGCCAGCACCTACGCTGAAGAGGAGGGCTTGCTGTTCTTCGAGACCAGTGCAAAGATTGGAACCAATGTCGTGGAAGTCTTCACCGCTATTGCCAACGCTATTCCAGAGAGTAGCCTGAAGACCGGCCGGGGAGCTGGAGGTGCTGGACAGACTGCGCTGGGAAGCCGATCGGGCGAGGATTCTCGGGTTAACCTGAGAGAACGGGGCGCTGCGACAGCCAAGGAGGGTTGCGCTTGTTGAGCCGCGAGATAACGTGGTTCTTTTGAAGTTTTTGCCTCGCAATTTTCATGGGTCCAGGCGTCTCCTTTTCTCTGTGCTCCTTTTCTTTGTATTGCTCGTCGCGGCAGTACATCCTTGTTATCTATCCCTGTGCTTATATACCTCGCCTTGTCTTTAGTCTTCGTCAGGTTTCGCAATGTTAGAATTGTAAATTGCCCGATACACACCAGCTCATGAACCTTGTATGCAGAGCCCCGCAGCCAATGAGAGCCAGCCGAGGAAACTCGCCAGTGTCACGGGACCAGAAATCACGGGACCCCCGAACCCCCCGAAAAGAAGCCCAAAACGAGGCCGTCACACTAAGCCTAATCGAGCACTAGCGCACTCTAAGCGAAGTCGGCGATCCCACAGCAAATTCACCAACTCTTCGGACTGTGAGAACCACTCCCCTCCGCCGACCTCAACCCAGCACCTTCGCAGCACTCCGTCGCTCGCAATCATGGCTGCCATCAACAAGATTGCCACCAACTCGCCCTCCCGGCAGAACCCCTCCGAGCTGGAGACCGCGATTGCCGGTGCTCTGTTCGACCTCGAGAGCAACACTCAGGACCTGAAGGCCTCCCTTCGCCCCCTGCAGTTCGTCTCTGCCCGTGAGGTAAGATTGAACTTTTTCTCCGACAATCAGAACCTCCAGAAATTGCGCCCAAGGAATTCTACTACGCGGTGATCTTTTATCGGTGCAAGAGATGGAAAATTGCGGACATTTGTGGACATATCAAAATCACGACTTTGAGTACCGCACAACACGCCCAGATGGAAAATTGGAAATCACACACGTGGACACGATCACCGGCAAAGGAATTCCTCGGCGTCGACTTCGGAGAGCGCATTGAATTTTTGCAATTTGTGTGCGCGCACATTCTGGTCGAACCGAAATTCTAACTTGTACTTCCGCTATTAGGTCGAGGTCGGCCACGGCAAGAAGGCCATCGTTGTCTTCGTCCCCGTCCCCCTCCTGCAGAACTTCCACAAGATCCAGCAGCGGTAAGACGAGTCCCCCCCCCGCGGAGCATCGACTTATCTACTTCCCCGCGAATCGAAATACAGTGGGGCTAACATGACCTTTTCTTCTACAGCCTGACCCGCGAGCTGGAGAAGAAGTTCTCTGACCGCCACGTCCTCTTCGTTGCTCAGCGCCGCATCCTGTCCCGCCCCAAGCGCTCCGTCAACTCCCGCACCAACCAGAACCAGAAGCGCCCCCGTTCCCGCACTCTGACCTCTGTCCACGAGAACATCCTCGCTGACCTCGTCTACCCCGTCGAGATTGTCGGCAAGCGCATCCGCACCAAGGAGGACGGCTCCAAGACCCTCAAGGTCGTTCTGGACGAGAAGGAGAAGGGTGGTGTCGACCACCGCCTCGATGCCTACGGCGAGGTCTACCGTCGGTTGACCGGCCGTGCTGTCGTGTTCGAGTTCCCCCAGAGCGGCGCCGAGTACTAGGCACGTGTTGTGGGTGGAGCGGGATGAAAAAAGAGGAGATATCGGTGTATTTTGGGAATTTGCTTGTTTCTAGGTCTGAAACTCACTAGATTCAAGGAAGAGAGCATGATGGGTGAAAGACCAAAAAATGCATTCACGGGTTTTCTTTGAGTTATGTTGCCTCTCCCATTGACTGGTGCATGGTTCTTTTTTCTAGTCCTCCGGCTCTCAATTCTCTGCGCGAGGCGACGGAGCTGAATATCCCATTCAGACCGTGTTTCTCTCTTAATGAAGATGGGATGGGATATGTGATAACATTCCAATGGATCTTTTTCCAACTTTTAACCAAGTGCATCCGTAGTCTGGATATTGCTCGTGTTCTCGTCCAGGACAAAGTGATCCGATATCAGGGAGCCTTGTACATCCGAAGTCGTAGTACCTACGGCGACTTCGAGTACATGGAGGATCTAGAACGTCCAGTACATGGCTGATTGTAGAAGAATGACACCTGATGTAAATATGTGCAACAAGATAAAACAACTCTGGGGTATGGACAAGGCAAATATGAACACGACGACCACTCTTCGAACAGCTACAAAGATGCCTGAATCCTACCAACACCCAAAACCATCCAATAAGCCAATTCCCGAGCCACCAAATCGTCCGGCTTGGATGCCTTGCCGACATTCTGCTGTTCAAGCTGTGCCTCCGCATCCCATTCCATATGCACAAACACCGGGATCTCTAGTACATCTTCGTCCTTCTGGAGAGAAGCCGCGATATCACTCTCACTGGCCCCGCCGTCTTCTGCTTGAGAACCGGGCAACGTCCCTGGAACCACTTCCAATACGACAGTAGTCCAGTTCCGTCCCTTCTCCCAGACCTTTCCGGCCTCGGGAACTTTCTCGCCGCCTCGCATGCCCGTAATCCGATCGCTGAGGGGTGCGGCTGCATTCTGCAATGCCTCATCCCATACATCGCTGTTGGCGCCAATTTCAAATTGGGGACTAAGCACGGTGACTTTAGTCGCCACACTACCCGGTGTGACAGAGGGCGTAGCAAGTGTGATGCGAACTGGGTCAAACATATGATTCTTCAGAGTGAGAAGGACATGATAGGGCCGGAGAGGAGAGAGCGCATTCAGATCCGGAGGTGGAGCCAAGCCTGAAATCGAAGACGCCGACGGCTGAGCAAGAGGGCGTAGAGTCGGGAGGGGGATATAGCTCAACGCAATGAGACGGATACGGAAGCGCGTAGACTGCGGCTTGGTCTCGGGTTTCACGAGAATATGCTTGCATGACTTGCAGCGCTTGGCGCGTTTGGTGCGCAAGAGAACTGGAAGCGGGAGGAGTTCGTCCACGAATCGTACATCGGGCGATTGCTCGGTACGCTGGCTGATAGATGCAACACCATCCCAGCCGCAATCCGGGCTCGGAATGCGCTCGATGAGTGCTATATCGGCGTCGCTCGAGGCAATACGGAGGCCCTCGCTGGCAGTCAGAGCTTCACGCATGACCGGCGGCTTGGACTTGGGTTTCTTATTACCGCCATACAGCCCACTCAACCGTGACGAGGAGGCATATAAAGACATCAGCCTGTTCAATGCCCCCGGGGACGAGAATCCAAATTCCGAGCTAAGAGGGTCATTGGGCGAATTGGATGTTTCTGAAATCTGTGTACGATAGAAGTTTTTCAAGGCAGCAAAACGTGCTTCTGCGCCAAGATGGGGCGTGGGCGTCGCATCTTCCTTAGAAGGCTGCTCTGCATCGCGTTCGCTGAAATTGGACTGCTCCTCAATGGATGCGAAATTCGATAAAGGTGATTTCAAATCTCCGAAGGCGCGCGATCCTTGCCGCGATCGAGCATCAAATGTAGGTACCGTAGTCGAGTCGGTCATTTTCTGCAACTGGCTACGGATATTGGTGGGCTTGTCGAACTTGATACCGATATCAAGTGTCGTCCATAGGCAGTAGCCGCATGAGAGAACCCAAGGGCCTTGACCACTACCATTTCCTGTAACGTTTGCAATTGTACTCACTGCCAGCGGTGCTGTACAGACGGGACAATTGAAGCAGTTTCGGCCGCACCTGATAGTAGCGCTAGTTAGCACATGCGCTAGTAGATGAGTCTCTGTAAAGGCGAACATACCGACCACTGTCACTGCGTACCATGCTACTTGGTGTCTCAAACAGGCAATTGGGACAGTACCAGCTCACGATCTCCTCCGTTATGCATCGTGGACACTTGATCTGATGGCAGTCCTCGCAGTACAGAAGTTGTTCAGGTGGGTATAAGGAGAAATTTGATCGAGGCGACCGGGGATCAAATGTCTGTTCTTCGTCTTCGTCTTCATCTTCATCCTCTTCATGGGGTTGTTTCGTGGCGCCCTGGTCGTCGCTGGTCTCGATATCCCGCTCTGCAGTAGGTTTCTGCGGCGGTTCCCGGGACCTTCGCTTCCTGGCTGGGTCAGGGACCGGCGTGTCCGCACAGGGACAGGAAATAAACGTGTATGGAAATGGGCGGGACATTGTGAATGTGTAGGTGGGCGATGGTTGGTGGTAAGGGTGCGAGAAAGAAAGGAGATCGTAAAGCTCGGTCAATTCATGCTTCGTGTCGACCGGGAGACTTTTGCGAAGTACGACGGATAGGAAGATGATACGGCGAAAGGGTTGAAGGAGATGGATATTATCTAGTTCAAATGTTAGTAGTTATACTTGCAGCCCGAGTCCCAGTGTGCAGTCGTGTCGGGTACAACTCGGGGGAGGGGGAGCGCGTTGATATGAAAGGACTGACCACAGCACAGCTGGAGGAACAAATTCTAGTCGCTGCTTTGCGAGGTTCGCAAAGCCGAGCTTTCAGCTTCCAGGTAGCCCAGGACAATCAGAGCGACTGGCGTACAATTGCTGGCGCGGCGTGGAAGTGTGCGCGATCGCGGAGTGGGAGCTGCGGAGGTTCCGCAATCAACAATCGACGTCAGAACAAAATTTACGACTTGACACTTCCTCCTGCGCCTTCGACCCGACCACTTCGCAAAATGGTCCAAATCTGAAACCGCATTCAACCTCTAATAAAGCTTTTACCTCCACCGAAGCTACTATGATCTCCCTTCACACATTTCGCGCCACCTTTTCCCGCCGATGCATCGCCGCAACCTCTGGCGTCCGAACCTACGCTAGCCAGACGCCCGGCAATCCCACGCTGGAGATCTTCAATCGCAAAACAAAGCACCTGCAGAAGGACCGGGCAGCTCGGAATGTTGAAGAGAGCCGGAAAACGGATTATCTGAAAGATGAAGTGGCGCTTCGCTTATGCGAACGGTTACTGGTACGAGATTCATTGAAACAAGGGCCTTGGAATTGAACGGCGCAGGCAACAGCTGCTGATATGAGGGTGTTCTTGGATTATTAGGATATCAAGCGCGACTTTCCCAATGTTCTCGATCTGGGTGCGAACAGCTGCAATATCGCGCGGGCATTGACAACACCGAACCTCGACATCGCAGTGCCCGAGGGTACGCCATCACCACCACTGGCGGAACGGATCTCCAAGCTGACATGCGTGGACACATCGCATGCGCTGCTTCACCGAGATGAGGAGCTGCCTTTCAATAAAGATATCAACATTCACCGTGATGTGATCCCCGACCTCGAGACACTGCCATACCAGCCGAACACATTCGATGCGGTCCTGTCGTCACTATCCATGCACTGGATCAACGACCTGCCTGCATTGCTGGAGCAGGTTAACACTATTCTCAAACCGGATAGCCCCTTCATTGCGGCAATGTTTGGCGGCGATACTCTTTTCGAGCTACGGGGATCGCTGCAGCTTGCTGATCTGGAGCGCCGCGGTGGTGTCTCTCCACACATATCACCGCTAGTTGACGTACGGGACGTCGGAAATCTCCTGAACCGCGCAGGGTTCAAGATGCTTACTGTCGATGTCGAGGACATTGTGGTAGAGTTCCCGGATTCTTTCGCACTCATGAAGGACCTACAGGCCATGGGCGAGAGCAATGCTATCATGCATCGTGAGGCTGGGCCCTTGTCAAGGGATGTCTTGCTGGCCAACGAAGCCATTTACAGGGCGATGTATATGGAGGACGATGCTCCGGGTATTCCGGCGACATTCCGTATGATTTACATGATCGGATGGAAGGAAGGCGGCAACCAGCCGCAGCCGCTCCAGCGCGGAAGCGGCGAGCTCAACCTGAAGGACATTCTGGGTGGTGGTGATTTCCAGAGACCATGAGGGTGCCCTGGGAACGAAAGAAAACAATTGGAAGGGGTCAACATAATGTCATAGTATATCGATTGTAAAACAACCACGCTGAAAGCAACACACAGAGGGAGATTGTTCACAAAAGAAATGTATGAAATACAATCGTAGCCTCTACCAAGACAACAAATAAAGGAAATCCGCCCAGCTGCTTCCGTTTAGACCGTCCGACGGTCCGTCATGACGCGGACAATGGAACCGGTACCTGTCAACTCCACCAGCTTCTCGTGCCAGTTCAGCAACACGCTCATCTGCTGGCTACTACCACCTTCGCCCTGGTTGCGGGCCTGAATCTGAGAGAAACCGGTGGCTTGAGGAGAGACGTTCTTGCGAGGGGACTGGGCGCCGCTGCTGGGGCCGGGCGAGGACATTCCCTTGTAGCTGATTTTGAGTTAGCACAGATTCGGGAGACCATAATGCAAATGCTCCCAGTAACCAAACTTACATGTACTTCATCAGACAGTCCGCTCGCTCTGACCCGCCCTCGCCACTAGTGACACCCTCCAGCACGCGAGTCATCTCAGCCTGTCGAATACCCTGCAACACCTCGATCACTGTAGCAAGATGCACCTCCTTAGCGCGGTCGTCGCCGCCCAGCGGCGCAGTGTCCAGAACGTGGCGCAGCGCGCCCTCGGCATCACCACCGCGCAGCAGTTGGCGAACCTGTGTAGCAACATTGGCGGCATCACTGGAGGTTTCTGGCTGAGGCAGCGTGGCAGGGAGGAGGGTCTCCATGGGGAAGTTGACCGATGACTCGGGGTCGAGCTGGTCGACGTTGATGGTGCGGTAGTTGATTTGCGACATGATGACAGTTGCGCTATGGCTTTTGGTCGTAAAGTAGAAGTGTACTGAGAAGCAATCGGCGATAGGAGAGACCGTAATCAATTGGAGATTCCTAGCTGTAGAGTCCGGCAGTAACTGGTCGTAGACTGTTTGGTATGGCGGTGCGGTGGATGGGAAGCGGGGAGATCGGAGGTAAGGAAAGGTCCCTGGCGGCACGAGGAGACGAGAGATACGGGAGGAGAGGAGGTGAGGTATGTCCTGGCTAATTGCAGGTGGCTAGATGCTGCAGACTGCAAAGGTGTAATTCCAATTGTCGTGAACGAGTCAATAAAGAGGGGGATGGATGGAGCTGCTGAGCACCGCCCGCCTGTGGGGGTGACGGAGTTTGAGCGCCTCAGGCAGAAACTGCTCTTCCGCTGCCTGGTCCAAATATGCGCAAGAAAATTCTCGGGCAGTGTACAAGATAGGCGGCTCGATATTTCATGAGAATTTGGGTATTATCTCGACTCGGACACCTGATATTATGGAAGCAGAGTGTTATCTATGGGTGCCCCCCCACCTGAGACAGTAGACATATTAAGGTTGTCCACCCCCATTCTCCTTATAGACCTGAAAACAATAACGTGCAAATTTGCTGAGAGCTCGAATCTCTTCACCGTAATTAAAAAGAGAGTTCGAAGAATACAGAATAGCGTTGCTAACGCTGCCAGAATAGATGATACCACGTTTGCTCCTAACCATCGAACATACGTAGGACGCAAAGCTCAAGAAACGGATGCCAATAAAAGCCTCAGGAAGAAACATTTGTGATGATAAACGTCCAGTGTGCGGTACGCTCTACTACCGAGGAGTCATTGAATTGAAGAAAGGAGAGAAGACAGAATGAGAAGAATACAGCGAGAGCCCAGGCTGGAACCCCTGCTTTTGTGCACCGTGACAGAAATCGAGGGACATGGCCTTCAAGTGACATCCCGTGCAACGTTCGCGTGACTGAGGAAAGTAAGCCTTTGCCGGCGCTGAATAAGGCCGTTATGATAAATGCATTAACCGCGGGAGGAAGACTATGAATATTGAGCAGCTCCATAACAATTTTAGGGCCTGGCTGTCAGATTCGAGCCTCGGGAGATCAAAAAAGACTTAGGACGCAGCACCCGTTCCTGAGCCAGACTCGTCAGCTCTAAGAATAGCGCATCAAAATGACCTTGAAAATCGTTGGATAGAACTCTGAAAATCCAAAGTAACGCACACTGATCATGTTGAGGAGTGCATATAGCACAACGATTGCGACAATAATCGCCTCAACCGGCACCTTGTCCGTCCAAAAGGTGATCATAATCTCCATGGCCACAATCACGAACGGAACAGGGAATGCCGTATTTAAGAAGAAATTCCATACCATAGCAAAACCCAGCGCACCATCTACTCACTCGCTACCGAATCGAATAAAAGGGGATGGCACGGGAAGATAGGTCACCATCTCAGCAAAGTAGTCGTTCACGGCCCAGATCTTGAGACACCGTATAAGAAAAGCAATGAAAAGGCCTGCAGGTTCACCCTTGGCAGACGCAGCTCCCATATATACAGTAAGAGCTGATTGATGTGCTCATTGAAGTGAAGACAATTTGCATGCGCAAATCTGTGTTCGGTTTACAAGAGCTAGTATTCAAACTCGCATGTACCAATGGCGCCTCCAATCGCGAAGGGTTGCACCTCTTTACCTCGCAGCTTACGATGCAAGGCTTGATATCCAGCGTATCCTTAGATCAAGTTCCGACACCAACGTCGCTGGCGTCGGAGGAGGGCTGGCTCTTTGTAAGAGGGAAAGCATGATCGTTACTAAGGGTCTATTGTGGTCAACATGTTTCGCTAGTTCATTATCCTAGAAAATCATCTTATCAAATATAATCTTCAGAAAATAGTTGGAGAAGGAGGGAATAGAAACTGTATTCGTGGTCTTTCATTCATCTTCGAAGAACCCTGAATGCTAATTCTTGTCCACGAGCATTTCCTGTCAAGCGAATGAGAATGATTTCCGGGTTTTTTTTTTGGGTTTCAGGATACCCCTCAAAAAGACGTCTAGACCAATACCGTCCTCTACGAAGTGCTAGTAACTTTCTGTCAAGGCTAGACAATCATTCAGTCAATGAGATAGAGGTAACAAGTTTGCCCAGACAGATTAGGATGGTTAGCCATATCTTCGGACGGCCCGATGGTTAGTTACAGTAGTTAGTGGTTATCTATCTATGCACCGCACTGTGGATCTGGAATCCAGGAGCAGTGATTGAACCCGCCGGTTCTCCACCCACCACATCACCATCGATAGGGTACTAAAGTTTATTTTGCCCTCGATGAGACAGATTCCATTTGATAATCGTCTTGGTCTTGCGGGGTCGTCCGAAGTCGAGAGACCCCCGACAACCCCGCACGAGGGCATCCGCCAGGGTGCTAAGGAATAGATAAGAGTCTCCCTCTCGTTATAATTCCTACAACACTGGATCCGGATCAGCCGATGCTACTAGAGCAGTCAGAGCTTTCCTCGCGACGACTGAACGGTAACATTGTCAACGGACTGACTTGGAAGCGGCCTGGCATCTGGCCCACCTGGAAGGTTGTTGAGCAAGCCCAACTCTCGCAATCTCATTTTGAATATTTGGGGTTGATCGCCATGACGGAGAATATCACAGGCAGAGGTGGGCCAGCAGTTCACGTTCCAAAAACCAACGTCCAATTCTGACTGGGTATTTGTTGGCACAGCCCTACTGTCGAACAATATCGTGATCATTGCTGCGGCTACGTTGTTAGCATGTACTCTGTATCGTTTCATCTACCAGCCATTATACGGAACTCCTCTTGCACGAATTCCAGGCTCAAAGATATTTGCAGCAACTAAATGGCGTCTCGCACTTGCTGATTACCAAGGAATTCGGACGCAAACCATTCACTCGCTGCACCGACGATACGGGCCCGTCGTACGCATTGGCCCCAATGAAGTATCTTTCTCCTCCCTGAGTGCCTTGAAAGCAATCTATGGGGCTGGGTCTGGGTTTGAAAGAACTGCGTTTTATCGAATGTTTGATGCCTATGGACGTCAGAATCTCTTCACCTTTGCTGGCACTAAACAGCATGCCGAGAGAAAGAAGCTACTTGCCCATGCTTACTCGAAGAGTGTGATACTCTCACCTAATGCGATAGCAAGACCGTTGATTGAGAAAAACGTCAGCAAGTATCTTGAACTTTTGGAACGTGAGAAAGATGTGGCCGAGGAGATTTTCCAGAGCTTGCATTGGTTCAGCTTGGACAGTATTACTGGCTTCCTCTATGGAGACAAATATGGGGGAACACATGCGGTCGCTGGGAATAAAGAACACCGGCAACTGATCGGAGATATTATTGATCCCAGTCGACGAAAGCTGAGCTGGTACGCTACTCATTTGAAAAGCTACACAAAGTGGCTTTATACCCGAACCGGGATGATGGAGAGATTTATTACCAGTCTGGGTCTATTGCCGATGGAAAAGCCAGCCACGTATACTGGCATTCGAGCACACGCACTCCAGTCATGGACGGCTTTCGAGGCTGCTGCTGTTGAAAGTACCCCGACTCGGGAATTTGCCATTATTGAAAAGATTTGGAAACAGAGCAAATCGGGCAAAGGAACCCGTCTTGACGGTCTGGATATGGCTTCCGAGCTGGCAGATCATTTCCTCGCCGGTATAGACACCACAAGTGACACGCTGATGTTCACCATTTGGGCCCTCTCTCGAGAAGAGAATCGAAAATACCAAGAGAAGTTGATCGACGAGGTCAGTAAGATTTCCGAGATAGATTGCAATGATGACGGCAACCCCACTGCAGAGGCCGTGGACAAACTTCCGTATCTCGATGCTGTTATCAAGGAGACCCTCCGACTCTATGCGCCCCTGCCAGCTTCGGAGCCACGGTCTTTGCCGGCTCACACAACGATCGACGGATATACGATTCCCGCGGGAACAGTCGTAAGCATGTCGCCATATACACTGCACCGCAATCCAGAAGTATTCCCCGAGCCTTTGAAGTTCAAGCCTGAGCGGTGGCTAGGCGAAAGTGGTGATTTGACCGAGATGAAGAAATGGTTTTGGGCATTTTCGAGTGGAGGGCGTATGTGCATTGGGCTGCAGTGAGTTCTCTTTCTAAAAAAGCGTGTTTTGTAATTGATCTAATCAGAGGTTCCAGTCTTGCTATGGCAGAAATGACAACATTGCTTGCAGCAATTTACAGGCGGTACACAACCAGTGAGTATAAGCGGCAGAGAGGATCAAGTCCAGTCATCACGAGCCGGTTCGAAGTTTTCTACGACGAGACTCTTCCAAAAGCCGAGGTGATCACACAAATACCTAGTTTTGGACATGAAAGTCTCGACAACTGACTTTCTCTATCCCCTTCTAGGAACATGAATGTTTTATCAACTTCGAGAAAAGGCACGGCACCTGAATGCAATAGCTGGAGGAACTAGTTCTGCTCATAAGAAATATCACTCTTCTTTATTTTGAATCAATACTCTATATACTGAACGCTTGACGAGGTTGACTCTTTCGTACTTCAGTCTTCAGACAGAATAGGAATCTATTTAAAGTTGTCTCAAGTGCCTGGCCCAAGCCTCTCGTCTGTATGATCCAAAAACCATGGCCATGTTTATACCATCTTGATAGATGCAGGCCGTGTAAAGGTAGCAGTCTCACGCCACCCGATTGATCGTCTTTCCAGCACACCACGACTCGACCGTGTTCTTAACGCCCGCCTGTAGATTACCCATGGTCCTCTCCGCAAACCACGCAAGATGCGGACTCAACACCAGGTTGAGTCCGTCTGCGTCCAACAAAGGTGACCCGCCCCTTCCAACGGGCTCGTTTGCATAAACGTCCATTCCCGCCCCGAAGATCTCACCCTGCCTGAGCGCCTCGACTAAAGCTTCCTCGTCGACTATTCCGCCGCGAGCAACGTTAATCAACACGGCCTGACACGGCATCATCCGCAATTCCTCGGCTGAAATCATATTCGCCGTCTCCGGTGTTCTCGGTAGACATAGTATCAACACGGTCGATTTTCGAAGAGCATCTTCAAAGGAAACCCGACCTGCTCGTGGAGTTTCGCCTCGTCGCTCGGCTATAACAACCTTCATCCCCAAGCCCGTCGCCAAGGTCTGAATTCGTTTGCCGAGTGCTCCATACCCGATAATTCCAACCGTCTCTTCGCTGCATAGCAAAGGTGCCTTTCCATCCGCGGTGCGCAGTCGCGGGTGTAGAGATCCCTTCGTTTTCCACTCCGTCTCACCCTCTGCAGGCACGTTCGTCACGGCATTGGTCAATTGAGCCAGATTTCTTCGCGTGGCAAAGTATAAGCCAATCGCGTGCTCGCTGACGCTATCGATATTTGTGCTGGGACAATTGCATACGGGGATTCCACGTGCTTTGGCGGCTTCTTTGTCGACACAGTCTGTTCCGGATGCTAGGACAACTATCAGTCGGAGGCGTGGAGTTTTATCAACGCTTATGATTTCGGCGGAGAGCCGGACTGTGGTTGTTATAATGATGGTGGCATCTTTGACTCGGGCGCTGAGCTCCGAGGGCTCGGTCCAGGTGTGGATGGATTTGGTGTGGGGACCCGGGAGGTCAAAGTCGGGAATCGGGCAGTGAATTGCCTCGAGCGCGACGATGTGGTGAGGTGTTTCTTCGGTGGACATTGTGCTGTAGGGGCGGGGTGGGAAGAAAGGGACGGGAGGGGTAGGCTGGAAGAGGGGCAGTATATAGGGCAAGGCTGGGGTTTGGTTTAAGAACTTGGGCGTATCTAAGATGGAATTTATAGAGTGTGAACTGCTCCATTCATATAAGGGCTAGATTAGCCATGGGGCCCACTACGTAGGCTAGAGTTTTCGAGGATAAGCGTTAGCCCGATCCATCGGAAAGAGTTCCCCAACTGCATGGCAATTGGTATTTATAGGGCCTAATCGGTATCTTTAGACATGGGCTGAGCTGGTTAAGCTGGTCATGAACCACAAAGTCAGCTCAAATGTTGAGAGTTTCAATTGACATTTTTATTGACATTAAAACTCGATAGCTATCACTACGTAAAACATTTCTCTGGATAACGCCGCCCCCAAGGAGTGATCATCGGGCCCCACTTCCCTGTTAGATTATGCATGCCATCGAAAGGGCGTGCCGCATATTAATAGGTTAGGCTACGTAGATGGTACGGACTAGTTAGTTTACTTCAAGCGTAGTAATATTATTAATATCGGTCACTCTTTCCACTCTATAGATTTGTGACACTCGAAGCGACACATACAATACAAAAAGGAATGGGAAGAAAAACCGTCTCTCCTCATCTTCAAACATTAACACTCGCAAGTGTCTTCTCTAACGATTTGCAATGCTCCTCTGCCATGTTGTTTTGATAAGACTCCAATACCGTTCCTTCTCGAATCTGACATGGTTCACGTGTGGACTTCCCACAAACTCCTCCGTCGTCACATACTGAGATGCATGCTTGACTCCACATGCTGACATGTTCGCTATTGCAATATCTGCATGCTGGATCACTTGGTCCACAGGGATCATGTCATCGCCAGGACCGTATATATAAGTCCTCGGAACCGGGAGCAGAGCAACCTGCTCTCCAGCAGAACTTCTGCGCGTAAGAAACACGTCGTTGGTGGAGTTCAGCCGAGTGTAAAGTTTCGTGGCGACGTGAGTCACAAGACCTGCTTTCTCCAGAGCAAGCGTTATACCGATGATACTGTATGCTACAGCTCTTGCCATACAGGCGATCAGTACGTTTTTGGAGGGCGAGCCGAGCGCGAGTGCGTTTGCCATTGGCTCAAAGATGGGCATGCTGGGACAAGAGTCGAATATAATTGATGTCACGGGCAGCGCGAATGGTGGATCACTTTTCCCACAGGCTTCAGAAAGCTGGACTGCGGAATGAGAGCCAGTGTTGGAGAATAAATGAAGGAAAACCTGTAGCTCGGGTGTTGAGTCCATGCATTCTCGGAGAACTTTGGCGGCAGGCTGGAACCATTGCATCTGGGAAGCGTCTGACTTCCACATCATGTTTGCGACAGAATTGTAAATGAGGAGAATTTTGGCGTTCGGATAGAGATTCTGGTGTCCGTCGATGTATTTTGCAATGTGTTTTGCTTGGGCGAATCCCCACGCGCAAATAATGATAACGTCTGGGCTTGAATGTGTCGAATTGGATTTTTCGTCCAGAAGGCCTTGTTGGCATGGCGAATAAAAAAATACTCCTTGACTCAGCTGCTTGAAGCCGATGTCGCAAAGAATTGTCGAGTCTGCTGGCATCTCAATTGATATGATTGCGCATTAAGCCAAGGAAGATAATCGGGTTGATGCTACTAGAGCTGAACGAGTGTGACAAAGGGAGCCGAGTGCGATATCCTTATAGCACAGTAGAAAAATGGGATAGCTTGAAACTGTTCAAATTTGATACATGTGGTTTCAGTGATCAGTAATCCATCGAAAACCCGAGTCAGGGCAGATACCTCGGTTTGGACGGTGGAGACAGCAAAGTGGGCCCCAAGAAGTGCATTAAATTCGCACGAGAATTTATGAAGAGCAATACTTGAATTTTGAAAGCTATGTATGTAAAGGGCTCAACCTTACAGAAAGACTGTTCATTAATGCTTTGAAATAAGCTGCGGGAGTTCAATTGTCCCCACGGAAAGTAGCTCTAGGCAGCAAATAAGTGGAACAGTATCACAAGAGGATATCTCGACACAACCGCTTCAAACGACAAAAATATGGACTTGAACAAACATCCGGGAGATTTGGGTATTAAGTTCCATCTTGTCAAGATTTTGTTTCTTTGGAAGTATCACCGGAGATGACAGCTGCTGACTCTTTGAACTCGGAATGAGGCTGAGATGGGGGCGGAGGCTGCGTCTCATCCACAAGAGTTACATCGGCCTTTGCGGTCGTTTCTGGGGTATATTTTGATGCGCCCAGAGCATCAATGGTAGGATTTCCCTCGGCTTCATGTTCCTCATCATTCTCGGGAGCGACAGAAGGCTCTGGAAGCTGTTCACGGGCTTTCTCCGATGAATCCAGGGCATCAATTTCCGTTTTTGGTGCTTGAGGTGCTTGAGGTGCTTGAGTTTCTGCTTCTGACACGACACCACTTGCGGCAGGCCCCACTGGCCGCGAAGATGCAGCTTCAGTCACGGGAGTCTCTGCTGCTTGATCTTTTGCAGCCTGGGCTTCTGTAGCGTGAGCTCCTGCAACGGGGGCTTCCGTAACCGGAGCGTCTGGTGCAGGTGTAACTACCTTTTGAGTCTCTACAGCCTGAGCTTCTGCAGCAGGAGCATTTGCAGCCTGGGGCTCTGGTGCAGGGGCTTCTGTAGCTGGAGCGCCTGCGCCTGTGGCAGGCGCAGACTGGTCACCTCCAGATGGCAACCGGAAAGCCTCCGAGTTAAGAATACGCATGAGCGGTTCAGCCTGCGGCGGCGGCGGAACTTCACCAGTCAGAAGCTCCTTCGCTTTCAACTTGCGATCATACAGCTTCTTATTTGCAGATGACCGCTCCACAATCATGCCCCCCTCAAGGGTCAGCCCGCCATACACACCACGGGTCTTGGAATAGGCAAAGATGCCCGCAACACCTTTAGTCCCGATCATAGCCGCAGTCTCGGCGCTTCGACCAGTTCCAAAGGCAATGGAGATGTTACCGCCCAGAGTCAGAGTGCCGGAGTTAATGAAAGTCGTGACTGCGGCGTCGGTGTTGAGGACGAATACGAAATTGGTGAATTCCATGCCGAACTGGCCCCCGGCGCCTAGCCCGCCTAGCGAGATGGCTGAGGGGGCGGACCAGCTGCCATCAGGGAGGCGACAGACGATCAGTCCGGAGCCAAAGCGGACAGATCCGAGGAAGCCGGCTTTGAAGACGCTGCAGATTACCAGTCCCTAAGATAGAGTTAGCTGGAGTTCAGTGCCTGTGTGAGAGGGTTATCGAACGGTCTTACTTTGGCTGGGGCGAGGATGCGCAGGGGAATTGCACCTTCTAGCCCAGCATATTTGGGATTCACGAAAGAATCGATGATTTGGCCTGCTTTTCGACATTCGCCTATACTTGACGTCAGTTGAAACCACGTGGTGTGAAACTCTGAAATACTCACTGGCAAGGGAGGCTGGGAATGGATTGTGGATTGGGTTTCGATATCCGGCGATCGGGGGTTGTCGCGCTTTCGGCGCTGGAGTTGTAGCTGGAGCTGCGGCTGGGGTTGGTTCCGCGGCCGGAGCCTGTGCCTGGGCTTGCGCTTCAACAGGAGCTGGCCCTCCACTTACGGGTCGAATTTCGTCTGAAGACATTCTGTTGTCGCTGGGCTGCTGGTTGCCACGGACCCTATGCGATTTCAGGGGAAAAAAGAAAGACGGTTATGAGTCGGCGGCGGCCACTAACGTAGAGTTTAATTTTCTACGAAGTCGTACAACGTGGGGGCCAAGATGCAGTCAGGTAAACAAACACCCAATTTGATAGCTTTTTGCCAAGCAATGGAAGCCAAATAATGAATAGCCCGAGTAGGACACTTGTTACTGGAAACGGAGATCCAAAGCAATGATCAGGTATTTGTCCTTCGATGAAAGCTTTTTGTAATTTGAAAGGCACCCTTTGGACGTCACATAATGGTACAGTCGTTGTATTTTTAAACTATCTACACTAAACCACCAGAAGGGTCTATGATAATGCGCGTGTGTACAACGCGGAACGCCAAAAGTCGCTAAATGATACATCAAGTCATAAGAAAGAATAAACGCGTCAAGGGGAGCTTGTAACAAGGATGGGAGGAACCGCGATCGCCGGCGATGTCCGAGGACGTTCGAGACTCTCCTGACGAGAAATTTTTGGCGCAGCGGGGGATTCTTCATCACTGGGAGGTGAGCTCGAAGACATCTCACTCTGAGACTCGGGTGAGTCCACAGTCTTGGTGCCACGACGGGAAAAGAGTCGGCGGGTGAACCGCACCAACGGTTGGAAAACGGCTTTAAAGCCCTTGACCAGCGGGCGGGAAATAGCATTCATACCACCAACAATTGCATTAAAGACGATACCAAAGTGGCGATCGGGAATTGTGCGCAGAACCACAGCCCATGGCAGACATCCCAAGGCGCAAATCAAACAGACTGCCCAAAGGATACCGCTGAGTCGGGTTACGCCAAAGGCCTGGCCACCCACGTACACGATCATGACTTGGCCGCCGACCATGACGGCGTTGATACTCAGGAACCAGTAGTTCCGGAGCATGCCTTCGAAGATATTGAATTTGTTATCGAGGCGTCTGTTGTTGAACTCGTTGAAGATTTGCATCCACACGAAGGTGTTGAATACAACCGTGGAAAGCTGCTTGGATCGATGGTCTGGGTCGGTAGCGTCAAGGTGGGCACCGAGAAGCTGGTCTCCGGCAAAGTAGAGCATGAATGTCACAGCAAGTTGGTAGATTGCTTGGCCGAGAATCATCTTCCACATGGTCAAGGTGAAAAGCGAGGCACTCTTCGGCACGGGCTTTCGATCCAGAATTTCGTCAGTGGGGGCGTCGGTAGCTCTGTGTTGGGAGATTGTTAGGGAGAGATTATTGTTAAAGTAAGAAGGGGGTCTCTTACAGAGCAAGGGCAGCAAAGGTATCCATGATCAAGTTCACCCAAAGCAGCTGCACAGCGTTCAGAACACTGCTATTCGAACTACTGTACACGGACGAGACGAACGTCAAGACCACAGCCGTGATGTTGACCGTGATCTGGAACTGCAGGAACTTGGCCACAGCATCGTTTACAGCTCGTCCCCAGGAAATCGCAGTCACGATAGACTTGAAATTGTCATCCAAGAGAATAATCGAACTGGCTTCCTTGGCAACCTCCGTGCCAGCGATACCCATGGAAAAGCCAACGTCGGCAGTGCGCAGAGCAGGTCCGTCGTTCGTACCGTCGCCTGTGACAGCGACAGTTTCGCCAAGAAGCTTGAGTCGTTCCACCAGAATACGCTTGTCCTCTGGTGAGGAGCGAGCCAAGACCTGCAGACGTGGAACGACCTCGTCCATTTCCTCATCGGATAGCTGTCGGAACTTGGGTCCTTCCATGACGAGGCCACCTTCAGTCTTGATGCCGCAAGAAGATGCGATGGCAGTAGCGGTTGCAACATTGTCACCAGTCACCATCTTGACCTGAACTCCGGCCATACGGCACTTCTCAATCGCGGGGGGAACCTCGGGTCGAAGGGGGTCTTGGATACCCACAACACCAACCCAGGTCATGCCCTGGAATAAGTCTTCAAAATTGGCCGAATTTGGATCGTCGTCATGCTTCTTGGCATCTTTGGGAGGCCAAGTTTCGAAATCCTTGTAAACGATTCCAATGGTGCGAAGAGAGCCCTGCGCATACCGATCAATGGTATCCAAGATCTGCTGCTTGCCCTTTTCAGATAGTGACTCTGTGCGAACTTTCTCCTTGCACATGTCAATATCAGTGATTTGCATAGAGCAGGCATCAACCATCAATTCGGATGCTCCTTTGACTAGGAGACGATATCCAACGGCTGCATGGCGATATACAACACCCATGCATTTGCGAGCAGAGTCAAAGGGGATGAGCTGAACGATATCAGCAGACCCACGCTCGGCGACGAGGTCCATGCCCAGATAATCTTTAGCCATTTGCAGAAGGGCAACTTCCGTCTTGCTCCCAACGAAACCCTTTTCACCATCCTTCTCTTCCTCGAAAGCTGTAGAGTTCAGGGCAACGCTTTTGACAATGAGGTCTCGTACAGGAGCAGAGCACTGTTGGAAAGCCTCTGCAGTAGTCATAGAGGTAGTCCCGTCATGGGTCTCGGATGGCTGGGTGAAGCTGTGATCTGAACCCCATGAACCAGCGACAACGGTCATTTTGTTCTGTGTCAGGGTTCCAGTCTTATCGGAACAAATTACAGTGGCATTTCCCATTGTCTCACAGGCTCGCAGGACGCGGACAAGGTTGTTTTCCTTGACCATGCGAGTAGTAGCGAAAGCCAGTGCCAATGTGACAGCCAAAGGCAACCCCTCTGTATTAGGAAATCGTCGTTAGCTAATGAATCATCAAGTAGTTAAATCTCGCTGCTTACCTGGAATTGCGACAACAATAACGGTGACGGCCACGATCAGGATGTCGACGAATTCTTTGCCCTTTTCTGCGGGACTGACATCAGGGTGATTTGGAAGGTCGGCGATAAATCGGAACAATAGGACAAAGAAAAGGATTATCGCAGCACTGTATATATCGTTAGTTATTTGATTACAACTTGTCAAACTATTCTCACGTACCCTGAGCCCAAATACCCAATCCAATTCGCAAGACGACCGAGCTTCACTTGAAGAGGGGTAGGGTCATTGGAAGTCTGGAGGGACATCATAATTCGACCATACGAGGAGTACGGTCCAACGCTGGTAATCAGATAAGTGCCAACACCCTCGAGAACCTTGCTACCGGAAATCAAGAACGGATCTAGTTTCCTGGTGGCATGGCCCTCAACGATCTGCTGCCAGACTTCATGGCCATCAGTCTTCTTCATCTGGTCTGATTCTCCAGTAGCAGAGGATTCGTCGCATTTCACACCGTGACCCGAGATCAGGACTCCATCTGCAGGGATGGAGTCACCCGGCTCTAGATGGAGAATGTCACCGACCATGATATCGTATACTGATATCATCATGGATTTGCCAGATCGGATGACTTTCACTTCACGATCATTATTCTGTGAATGTTAGTATGAAAATTAGAAGGCCGCAGGAGGGGATGACTTACCCTCTTATTGAGCTTAGCAAATTGCCGTTCCTTTTGCCAGTCATTGGCAGCAGTGACGACGGTGACGATGAGAATCGCCACGCAGATAGCCACACCCTCGACCCAGTCCACTCCCGTCCCTCCATCGATTGTCTCGTATATGCCCAGTGAGAGAGATACGATGGCGGCAATGGTCAATAGTATGATAATCTTATCGTTGTATGCAATCCACAGGAGCTTCAAGAAACCTGTAGACTTTCGAGCGGGGAGTCGATTCTCGCTAAAGACTCGGATACGATCTTCGAACGGCGAGCCACCGCTAGATGAGACCGGCACCGGAGTTGCCTGGGCAGACAAGGATGGCTTGCTTATGGAGGGTCGCTTTTCCGGGTATAATGGGGGTGTCACTTGTTGGAAAGTGACGGCACCTTCCAGCCGGCCTTCGTCAACAGACAAGCCAGCGTTGAGGTCAGTTCGTAGACCCTGTTCCAATCCCTGCAAGCCCCCAAGAACATAAAAGGCAGCGAGGGATTTGGGGTTCTGCATCTTATTTAATTGTCCGGGCGAAAACGCGAATCGGTTATCGTCAATTTGAAAGTCGGCCACATCTCGAGGATCCGGTTTGAGGGCATCTGATAGAGGCACGTCGTCAAAAGCTTTATCCGCCTGGGTGGGATCGACGGAGTTAGCTCTGGAACGCATGGTCAGGCCTGCTGAGGATGCGAAGGAATCTGAGCGTGCTCGTAACGTCTCGCCGTCGATGGACGAGGAGGGTTTATGTGAGGGTTGCTGGACCATTAGTCGAGAGGGGTCTGTTTTCCACGCCATATCTGGTGAGAGAGATGAGGTTGGTGAAGTTGGGCTGTGGTTGAAATCTGTTGGGCCAGACCATGAGGATGAAGCTCCTGCCGATGAGGCGGATAGAGAGCGCTGTGGATCAACATGTTAGCATAAATTTGGTGCTTGACGAACAATTAAGCGGGTCTTACCTCTCTTGCGGAAGAATCTGGGACTTGAAGAGAGCTCAGAAAGATGCCCTTCTGGGAGGAATCGTGCTGTGAAGAGGACGCCATAGTGTGTGATGATGGCTCCAAGGAGGGCTTCGGAAGTCCCTTTTGATGTGTGTGATAAATAAGATGTGGCTTAATGATGTAGAAGTGTTTCAACCCCCTTGGGTTCGGCTCTGTACTTGCATTTATCAAGAGAGGGGGCTGTGTATGCTATGCCCAGGATGCCCAGGCAAGAATCGACCATGGGAAAGATATGCGAGGTCAGGGTGCGAGTGGGTAGTCTTTGCCAAGACGAAGAGCGATTTTCCTGGACAAGACGGCGACAAGAGAGGGGGGCGATGTGAAATCTCGTCTTGGTATGGAAAAGACTGCGGAGAGTATTCTTCACTCCCAGGTGGTCTCGGATGGCACAGCCTCAAGAGGCAAATCGACGCTCACTGTATGAGACTACGTAGGCGAAGGGCAGTTTACAAAAAGGAAAGGTGAGATGTAAGGAAGCCTTGAAGTTCCAGCTAGAAGAAGAGGAGAATATCATGTAGAGAAAAAAAAAGCATAGTAGTCCTTTTGCACGCGATCCCCGGGTTGATGGAAAGATTAGCCGCCCACGTCGTCAATTCTCAAACTCGAGTCCAGGTTCACCAGACCAGTTCTCGGGGCCGCGAATGCTGTCAGCTATCAGATACAAGCAGCTATTGCTTAGGAGGCTCCACGTCTATGCGAATCATCCAATGTGATGAGTTCTGGCTTACCGCCGTGTCCCATGGTGGAGGGTTCGGCTCTTGCTGCGCCTCAATGGCAGTCCAATGAAAGGACAGGGATGGAATGCCAAAGAACCCCGCCCAAACTCTGTATCATGTAGATACATTATACCAAGAACCGAGAGACATTTTGAGTTCTCTTGCAGTTTTGAACCGAGCAAGGAGATTGGGAAAAATCCGGCAAGTGCGTCATATGGGCGGCCGGGTGTGATTGATATCGCACGCCAAGGTCTGAGCGGAGCGGTAGCTTCAGAGGTGACGTGGATAGCCAATGACCATCGAGACTGTCAGATGTCATCGATCAGAGCAGGGAACATGGTTCTGACATTTGATTCGAGTTGGAGTGTGCAACTTGCTTCATCTTTGCCTCAGCTTGCAACCAGGACCGGTGGTTGGATTCTTGATCGGATGTACCTTGCCACTAGATGTGGCGCAGATTCACATCTGTGGCTGTGCCAAGTGTGGCGACACCTGCTGGCATATGGCACGTGACCCTTATCAATCTCCCCCGAGGGGGATGTGAGTACCTGGGCGTCATTGTGGCTTGTACAGCTGCCGACAGTAAATCACCCATGTCATTACCATCCGGATCTTGTTTGAGTTGTGCAGAAAACTCTATTGTAAATGCTGGTACCTGACAGCTTACAACGAAGAGAGGCGGAGCGAAACACCCAACATCCGTATCTGCCTAAACTGCGGCGAAAGTGACACGAAGGCTCTTTTGCGCAGGAACATCTCACCTACTGCATTTAGAATCCGCACAATGCCTTGTCAAAGTCTATTAAGCTCAGCTGGAAGGCAGCAAGCGCAGGATGCTGCCTGCATGAACTACACGAGGATTGTAGCCCGGTCAAGTCACCCCAGATGATTGTCTCCATCAACCTAGAGGAATGACCTAGAAGACTATTTTGAGAAATGAATTATAGGCTCCGATCGAATTTGCCTTCTACCTAGAGTGATCAATGAGCAAGTTCAGACCTAGCTTTTTTCCATGATATTAGACATTTGTAGTATCCAAAGGTACGGGAGAGGAATGAGATAAGAAAAAGAAGAGAGAAGAAATCAAACGGAAAGAAAAGGATCAAGATGGTTATCAACGGCAAGAAAATAAGGGGGAGGGGGGAGAAATAAGGGGGTATCTAAAAGTAACAACAGATAGGCAGTATTCGAACAATAGTCGAATAGACTGGAAAGGACAGAAAACGGGCTTCATAAAAGCCGTAAAAAGTGACAGTCAGACAAAGATGAGGCTGAACAAGATAAAGAACGAACAGAGAAAGCGCTGCAAAGATGAGATTAGATGTCAAAAGAAGGTCGGTCATGTCCATTTATCGGTGAAGTCAGAAGTGCTTCACGTCCCGTAACCATATCGCCGTCGTCATGATCGCATGTCCCATGTCTCAAAGAACGGACCACGTTACCGATCAATGCTCTCCGTAAAGCGACTGCTGCGGCTGCCATCATAGCTTGCCAGGCTGCGGCCTAATCCATCGGGTCGCTGGGGCACAACTGCGATGGCAGACTGCGGTTGGGCGATTGGATGCGACGGTGTGACGGTGGTTGCAACGCCAAAATTCACCGAGCTTGAAACGGGAAGGTGAACGGGTGAAGGGCGCACTGGAGAATCTGCGCGTTCCTCGGCTTCCTGGGTGTACTTCGTATCGAGTACCATCCCGTACGGAGAGGTGGTAGGTGGTGCTTGAGATGACGGTGAGGTAGTCAGACCTCCTGCAGGCGGCATGGGAGGGAAGCCAGGGATGGTCGGCGAATCGCCGCCGAGTCCACCGCCAAAGCCATCACCACCGTGGGTGAGGACGGGAGGAATTTTCCGGCCAGAGATTTTCTGGAACCCACGCTCGCTGGGGTTGGAGGAAGAGACGGTGCTGTCGGACTTCATGGTCATAGTTGACTGGCGCCAACGCTTCATGAAGGCCGGTGCAAGGTATGAGGCCGTAAAGAGAGGCTCATTGCTGGAGCGAGTCGTCATTTCTCGGGTCGTGCCGCCATCATCAGAGGGGAGAGGAAGAGTCCCCGGAGCCTTCTGCTGGAGGAGAAGCTTTCGCCGACGGAAGAGATAGAATAGAAGCAGGAAAATCATAGCAAGACCAGCCACACTTCCTATAACTCCGCCCACAATCTTCGAAGTGGTGGGATCGATACCTGAGCCTGAACCTGACGAAGACTGTGCCTGACTGGTGGTAGGGGCAGATCCGCTGCCACTACCACTGCCAGAGTCTGTGCCAGATCCAGTAGTCTCGGAGCCTCCAGATTCGGAAGTCGAGGTGGGGTAATACGAAGAGTACGAGGTGCTGGAGGAGAAGCTTGTCGTAGAGGAAGAACTCGCTGATGAATAGTAATTGCCTGCCATGAAAATTGAGGTAGAAGTAGGCAAAGACGTAGTGGTAGAGCTCGAAGTCGGAATGAGGCGAGTTGACGTGTATGGCACCGAGCTAATGCCCGAAGAGGAAACCCTGGGTGATGAAATTGCGGCCAGCTGCTTTGTCGTAGGCACTATGCTTTCCGTCGATTGCGAGGATATCGACTGAGTGGGCGTTGCATTGGCTGCCGACGACGGAACCATTGAATCAGTCGAGGTAATTGAGCTACCGGTAAGAGTGAGAGTACCGAATGCCGAGTCCGAGATGGTCATGGGGAAATTGACACCAGACGATTGCCATAGGGTCTGAGAGTTGGTGTCTACCACTTCCACAACGGTCTCCACAACCGTTGTGGTGGGTGTTTGCGTCTCTTGTCGTTTGGAGAGCACTACTATAGTCGCATTCGGCACTTCGTCGAGACAGGTGATATTCTGCAATGGATCACAGTCTGTGTCACTCGATAGAAGATCGGAAACCAAGACCGGGTCCTGGATGGTTTCCACGCCGCCGAGCAGACTTGAGTCGAGCGGGTCTGCGTCGCTCGTCTCCAAACGGTGCTTTGCTCGAACGAGCCTGCTGATACGATCATGGCGATGGCCATGGTGAGCCATTTTCTGTTGGAGTCAATCCTGACCAGAATCAGTCGGACAGTCGAATTTGAATTTAAATCTTTGTTGAAAATCCTCGCAGAGGTCTGAGCTGGGTCGACCAGCTGCAGCGCGGTAGTGAAACGAAGTCGAGTGAGGTGAAAAAGGTTAAGGTCGTCGACAAAAAGAAGCAAGGACTTGCCCGCGATGTTCAATATCAGCGAAAAAGGAATGATTCTGTCCGAGATCTCGGAGAAAAGGAGAGAGAGAGAGAGAGAGAGAGAGAGAGAGAGAACGAGGTTGGAAATAAGGAGTGTATGTTGGCAAGTTATCAACGATCAGAGACTCGTAGCGAGTGAAGCGAGTCAATGCAGCACGCAGCGAAAGAACTCGATGTTCTGAAAGTGGAAGCAAGTCAGCATTCCTTCGATCTAATCTTGCCATTTCCCACGCGAGTTTCCCCGCTCTCCCGAAGAATGCGGCTAGGCAACGTACCTGAATGTAAAAGGAGTGACGAAAAGGAGGGCGGATTCAATGGGAAGAGGGAACGTGAGGCCGTGGCCTAATCCATGGCGTTGTCGAAGAACCTAACCCACCAAAACGGTCCGGGTCGCGAACAGGCGGAATATGTACCAGCGTCGAACCCTGGAAACAGCCAGCGAGTCTGACGTGATGAACAAGGAAAAACGCGCTGGGCGTTGTAACAGTCTGTTTTTTTTTTTCAGTTCTCTTCTGACACAACAAGCCTCCAGTTGGCGAACCCAGGCCGACTCTTGGGAGAGATGGAAGAGAGTCGGAGTCGCAGAGAAAGCGAGAAAAACGAAAGTGGACCAGGCGAGACCGGACCAAACACTCTCCCCTATCGAAGCCAAGTCCAGGCGACCCGCGTGGTTACGAACTAGCCGTTAGGGAGGGGGCCGAGATCCTCTCTCCTGGTCGGGTCGAAACAGCGTGGGGTTTTGGTGTCTTTCCCCGGCACTGAGAGATGAGATGTAGCGACAATCGATTCAAGCAGTGATGTCAATCTGTCGATGGATGGAGGTGTTTGTTATGATCTCCCCCATGATTGAACTGATCCAGCGGCTCGCAGCTCGCAGCTCGCGGTTGACTTGCAGCGAGTCAAAAACCCGGTCCAACCTGCTGGCCCAATGTGGAATAGTGCGGGCTGCAGGTACACGGCCACATCCACCAATCAGGTCAACGCACCCGTGACAGGTGGAGACGGCCTGAGTGTTCTGGCCAGCCACACTAAACCATAACGAGACTAGTTCTTACTGCAGGTTTAATTGCGATCACTTTTTGATTCAATCTTATTCTCCCTATGTGTATTATTCGATAGTCAATCATAATCTAGCAGCGAGTCATTTGACCTCTGGCTAGCATCGAGCACACCACCATGATATACACACTCTGTGAATGACCATCCACTGAATTGGGTTACTGACTAATTCTATTGATTCATACTTGCCCGTGCTCCGCAAGGACACCCGCACTACTGGCTTCTTGCAGCCAATAATCAGCGAGTGTTGCCGATGTGACCGTGTGCTTTTTATATCTTTGGGGGAACCCTGTGTCGCACCACAGAGTTACTTACGTAGCCCTCTCCCCGACACTATCGTTTCAATCTGCCTTACATGGACACTCGTGCCATGTGATTGAAAACGTCAAGAACCACCCGCAGTGAGTTGATTCTACTAATAGTAACCTGGGGTACACAATCAAGGAGTTCATCAGTCCACGTGCCTCTTCAAACTCCCATTGTTTCTAAGTTACATAATTAATCAACATCTGATACAAAACTCTCCTAACCTCCAACGGTAAGTACAAGCTTGTATCAGGCCCTTAATTGACTTGACCCGGACCGAACTCTCGAACCGAGCCAAAGCCTGAATCAAAGCCTGAATCAAAGCATTCAGGCCACTCTGCCAGTCCCGGCTCGGCCGCAAAATAATATCTAGGCGAGCCACTTCCATCTTGATCTGAGTTAATAACAACTGTCGAAGTATCAATGGGCATATGAACGACCTCATCATCACTCTTCAAAACCCAAGGCCCTTTGATGTGAGTACATCGCTTGAGTCGATAGATGGCGACGAGCTTGCCCCTAGCACCCTCCATCAGAGGTTTGTAGATCCGCTATATGTGACAAACATACCATTAGGTGGCTGAAGTGATGGAACGTTTCGTTTACTCTCGCTTGTATAGTTCCCTAAACGTAGAGTGGCTAAGGTGTGATGGGGAGTGTATAAAGCATTACACTACTTCCATTAAGTTACTTGGGTACCGAGAGGAGAGGACAACAGAAAGACCTCATCTCGGATAAGAAGTACCCGTCAATAATCCAGAACTTAAAACTGCCATATACTACTTACATCTGCCCCCGGCAGATCTGCAAACAACTACTCGATACAAAGTACCAGGACAATGTACTTGACAAATGGCACTGTGAACATCCCCCTGAATCAATTTCCCCTCTCCTGAAGGGCAATGCGAGTATGGGCACTCTCTACGTTTTCATCAACGAAAGAAACATGAAATGGCGGGGGTATTTAGATAATGGGACGCTGCTCCTCTCCCTGACCAGACCGCTTAGAACGTCTCCAGTTCATCGGCCGCGCCTTCCTCGTCTTCAGCGGGGATCTCGAATCCATCCTAAGAAAGAAAATTAGCGATGCCATTCCCAAAATTTACGAATACACTACACATGAGGTAGTAGCACAGTCAGTAAACTCACCTCGGTCGAGTACAGAATACCCTGGATGTGCTTCACAAGCGTGTCCTCCTCCTTCTCAATCTCCGGGTTCTCCTCAATGGCAGTCTGCAGCAGCAGCTCGATATCGCGCAGCTTGGCAAAGTAAAAGTCCCGCTCCTTCTCAAGACCGGCGATAGCCTCCTTCTGTGTAGCAATCTCTTGCTGCAAAGCCGCTGTCGCGGCACCACCGCCAGCTCCAGCGGCAGCCACCCGGGGACGGGCAGCGGCTGTGGTGGGAGTAACTCCGCGGCGCGAGCCGGAAGATGCAGCACGGGGGGCGGCGGCGGGGGCACCGGCGGGGGCACCAGAGGCCTTTCGGCGACCAACGGCGTCGTATTCACCACCGGGGTAGTGCTGGTCCCAGTACTTTTTCACCCACTGGAGGAACTCCAGGTTATCCTGCATGCGGCATTTGGTGAGGGACTCGACGGGGATGGGCTTCACAACTTGGTGACGGGTGAAAACATCTGGATGAAAGGGAAGGGGATATCGTTAGAATGGGAGGCTCGTGGCTGTTGCCGTGGAGGAGGGGCTTGGTTTCGCAACGGGATCGTCTGCACACGTACTCTGGAGGACTTTGAAGTTTTGCAGATAGGCATATTCGCTGTTAACGTTGAATTTGACCCGGGACATGGGCACGTCCACTATCGTTTAGAAACCATCGGGTCAGTAAATCGTGTAGCAAAAATTATGAGCAGCCTGACCGCCTCTCTCTCTCTCTCTCTCTCTCTCTCTCTCTCTCTCTCTGAGACATCTCGAGATCGAAGTGCCACTCACTGAATATCGAGTCGAAGATCTGGCATAGCGCAGCACTATTCCAAATCGCCAAAGTATCGCGTCAGTCTAATCCTGACCAATCCACGTTGCTGACCCTCAGGGGGTGGGGAGGAAACGGAAGAAGAGCAAGAGGAGGGGTGGTCGATCCATCATACCCGGTTCCGCACTGCTCAATCTTGGTAATGTTCAACTGGAGCAGGTTGTTCAGCCAATTCAGAAGCTCTTGTCTGTCGAAAAACCGCGATTAGTCCTCCATTCCATGCCGGGTCGCGAGTATTGTCGATAAGGGGGGAGGGACGCCGAACCTGGATTCACCCATGGTGGGGTAGTGATGGCCGCGGCCGAAAAATCGCGAGAGAGCGGAGGAGAGGGACGAAAGTCGGGAGGAAGAAGGAAATTCGTGAAAACAAGAAAACGCCGAAAGATCAGGGTCTCCTCGTCAAGGCTTTACCTGTCAGTGTTGATGGAAAAACAGCCGGGATTGTTTTGATGCTAAATCCCACGGATCACAATGGCGCTAGAGATCGTCACAGCCAATCAGCGTTAGCTTAGATAATTTCAAAGCCTGAGGCGAAAATCTGCTCCCGCTGGTTCGCGGATCAAAAGACAGTTACTATGCAGTTTACTGGTCAATTAAGAAGATTTCAGTTTCAAGTCGCCGCAAAAATCCGTGTATATACGATATTGAATCTTGTATAAGTCTAACAAGGGTTTTAAACAGAAAACAAATCACGGAGCATCTATGTGCTGATATCCCCCGTCCTGTACCCAATTTTCCAAATGTACCGCATAGTTCCAACTCCAGGTATAACCAAAAACACAACGCTAAAAAAGACGAAAGATGAATGCTAATATGAGATGAAACATGAGATATAGACAAATGCAAATATAGATCACTCTTCCAGCAGCTCGATACCATCCAACCCGTAGCCGAAATCCATGATAACGGCTCGCGAGTCCTGGCTAGTCGCCACGATTCGTCGATAGTCTGACTGGACGTTGAGCATCCAGCTAGTAGTCCAACCAGGCAGATCGATGGAGAGCTCGCCCGAGTCTGTGTCGAACACCTTGACACTCATATCGTAGCTGCCGCTCACAATACGCTTGTTCATACTGTCAAGGTGAAGCGACCGAATCAGGCCAGTGTGACCACGAAGTTCTTTGACCAGCTCGCCGGTATTGGCGTCGAACTGGTAGATGGTCCGGTCGTTACCACCGGTCAAGATGGTTCGGCCGTCATCACTGAACTCGACACAGGCGAGGCCGCGGTCCTTACTGGGGAACTCCTTAACGCAGTGGCCGGTGGCGACGTTCCACAGTTTAGCCATACCGTCACCGCTGGCTGAAACGATGAGATCACCACGGAGCTGTACAGCATTCACCGGACCGCGGTGGCCCATGAGCTGCTTCAGAAGGGCGCCAGTCTGACGGTCCCACACACAGATAGTGGTGTCCTTGGAGCAGGATACGATGTAACGGTCATCGAAGCAGACATCCAAGACACCGGCGCGGTGGGCAGTAAGTCGGTGGATGGGACGATAGTCATTCTTGACATCCCAAACAATGCAAGTGTAGTCCGAGGATCCAGTCACCATGATCTCCTCATCGAATTTCAGGCACAGAATGGAAGCACTGTGGTACTCTGCAGGCTGTTCCATTGGTGTGATAATGCCCGCCGAGGGAGTAGATGGCGGGCAGATAGTCGCAAAGGGAGACTTGCCCGTGGCTTGCTGCGCCGGGTTGTTCACAGGTCCCGCGATAGACACATCGTCCGGGGGCGGGCCGATGATCTTGCGGCAGGACCAGGGATAGTGAGCATCCCACACACGGATCGTCCGATCGCGAGAACCAGTAATAATCTTGTCCTCGTCGAACTGAGCACAGTATACACTGTCCTGGTGGCCATGGAGGTAGATTGCCGCGGCCTTGCCCTCTTTCCAGCGTTGCTCCAGAGCACGTCGGACAAAGAACATTCGCTTCCATTCTTGGTTGGGAATGGACTTGCCGAGGCCCACGGATTGCTTCTTCTTTGTAGCCGTGGCGCTGGCGGGCCGACGGGGATACGCTCCACGAAACGCATGCTTCCAAACGTGAGAGGAGGATGCCTGACGGTGCCACGAATGTGACACCGACTCTGCCTCCATGAGAGACGCAGGGTCCAGATATGAAAGGACGTGAGTCATCACCTCCGAAGGCAGGTAGGATACCGGATCTAATGAAATCGTTAGTTGACTGCGATGATTGACCGGCGGTTGCTGAAAATCATACCAATGCGGATAATGTCCAATTCAGTGTTGCAGATTTCAGAGGGGTCCCGCAGATCAATTCCAATCCCACTCTCGGAATCCTGAGTCAAGGTCAAATCCGACAGATTGTTGATGAAATCTCGCTCCTTCTTGGCCGTTTCCAATCGAGCCAACTCCATCTGTTCATTCTGCGCAGCGGCCGCAGCTCGAGCTGCCGCACCCGCATAGATATCATTCGGCAGAACGGGAGGCTCGAATCCATGGCCTGGAATAGGAGACGGAATCCATGCAGTGGGAACGTAGAATCCATGCAGCGCAGAGACGCTGTTCAGAGATGGGCGGCGATTGATGCTGCCAGAGTTAGGGCCATGAGACCACGCCCGCGAGCGCATACCCCAGCTGCCAGACGCAGCGTTGCGCTTGTGGCTGGAGTGGTTCGGAGCGTGGTGATAGTGGCGGCTCTCGTCATTCTGCTCTTCTCCTGGGACGCGTAAGTTTTGCTTCGAGGACTTGTTGCGGAGAGTCACAGATAGACGGCGGCCCAGCGCCACTAGTCCATCCATCGGATGACGCAGGCTAGAGAAGCTCTTGGCTGCACGGCGCCGAGGCACAGCCTCTGGAAAGGGCTCCATCTCTTCAATAGCGGATGCATCATCATCGCGCGCCTCCACCAGCGAAATCTTTTGCCACTGGTCACAAGTATAGTCTTTAGGGAGCGCAATTGGGTAGGCAGCTGTCCCTGGTTGCGGACGACGGCGCGAGGTAATGCCGACGGTATTATCTCGTGGCGACATGACGCGGGGATCAGGCGGATAACTGGGGGAAACGAATTGAACAAAGTCACACGTAGTGATGAGGCGTAGATCGTCCTCGGCTGGGGTTCCAACAATGATATATAACCAGAAAAATGACTGATGTTTTGGTGTAATGCCCGTCTAAGTGTATCGAAATCAATGGCGAAATGCAATGACGGTCTTTGGCTCCTGTCGGTTCTGTCGGAGCGCCACGGGGTGGGTAAAGGAGGCAAGTCTATCAATGTATCGGCGGGTGGTACTAGAAAATAGAGATTGTAATGAAGAAACGCAACAACACCCCGGGTTGAAATAATAAGATAAAGAGAATGAATGCAAACGGGATCAGAACACCAGGGACCAAGACCAAAAAAATGCAATGAAAGGAAAAGAGTCGGGCGCAAGGAGTAAGAAATAGGGAGAGAAGAATTCCAGAAGGGAAGAGTGAACCAGAGGGTCTGAGGGTTCCAGGCGGTGAATGGCGGGCGTACCGGCGACTTGTCCGTGGAGTGCAATCATCCTATGACGATTAAGTACTCGGTACTCTTCAGCGCCTCCCGGATCTTACAGGGATTAAAATTTTCTGAACATCCGGGGGCAAATCATGGGGGATTGACAGAGGGGGGAAGTCGATCTACCTCAAGTCTCATATTTCTCAGTAACAAAAATGAAGTACCCAGTACATCCAGCACCAGGCCTCGGGCGGGTGGCGGTTCAGGCCAACCGATCCAGGGTTCCAGCCAACCTTGACGCTGTTCGGGAAAACTAGGGGGCTGAGTTTTTCCCCTTTGGAGGTCGTGGGACACTAGAGCTTGACGTAGATAGAACGGACTCGATGGTTAAATTTTCAGCAGACATGCCGCAGATCCGGTTCGTCTATACTTCGAACGGTCCGGCCGATGGATCGATCTACTACTCCACAGAATCGGGCTGGGGAACCGCTACAGTGTGCCTTCTTGGGGCTGGACTTTGTCTCGACGCAGATTGAACTTGAAACATTGCAGATAGTAGAGGTATGTTTATTTCAGATATATGCAAGGGTTCTATGATCTGGGTCGCACGTTTCAGACCACCTGCTAGATGAGGGAATGAGCTGCAAAGCAAGTATAATCTGCGTGGATGGTACTATGGACGGAAGTGTAGGTACCTCAGTACGGAGGATGTCTCAATGGTGCAGTAAAAGCGAATAGAGCAGCAGATCAAGGATCCGATTACAGACGTCAGAGAAAAGCCTTACCTAGATATACTTTGCCTCTACGGAGTACTGACCTTGTGCAATCCCATCGTCATTCTTGATGACTCAGGCATCATTTCTTCTTCCTCTCGACAGGAGTTGACTACAACCAGCCAAAAGCTTAGTGCAATACCTAGACTGAAGAACAAGAAGCCAGAATATCTGACGGTTGCAAGTACATTGTAATCAAGCCATGTTTTAATTTTTTTACTTGGTCAATATACTACCATAGACACAGGTATCTCAAAATCTGCAAACCCATCTATCCCGCCCCAGCCTCAAGACGCCTCAAAACTGCCGACACCCCCACCATCCCCAAGGTCCCCACGCTTATTTCAAGCAAATACCTTGTCATATCCGGTCAAAGTGAACCGATAGCGAACATCACCCTTCTTCATCCGCAGCATGGCCTCCTTCAGTCCCTCCTCACTAATAACAATCTCCTCTACCCAACCCTTCAGTCCCTTATCGGCAGCCAGCTGCAGCATATCCAACATCTCACGACGGCTACCCAAGTGGCTAGCACCAATGAGAACACCATTGGCAATCAACGACTGCGCCTTGATAACCTGACCCTCCTCCTCGGGCAAACCAACACTAACCCACCGACCATGCACATCCATCATGGACAGGTACTTGGCCAAATCAAAGCCCTCGGACGAATTGGCACAGTTAATGATAATATCAAACGAGAAAAGATGCTCCTTCTCCCACCCTTCCTCGGCGGTAGCAATATATCCATCCGCACCCAACTTCCGGGCATCCGCCTCCTTCGCCCGAGACCGGGAAATAGCCCAAGTCTCCGCGCCCAGTGCCTTGGCAAACATGATTCCAAAGTGACCGATACCACCCAGACCGACGATACCGACCTTCTTGCCGGGGCCGGCACCGTTGCGGATAAGCGGGGAGTACGCCGTCAGACCGGCGCAGAGCATGGGCGCCACGGTGTTGGAGTCCAGGGCGTCGGGAATAGGGAACACCCAGTGCTCGTGGGTGCGGACGTGAGAGGAGTAGCCACCTTGGCTGACGATGCCGGTCTCGGGCCACTCGGAGCCGTAGGTGTCCATCATCATTACGGGGCAGTAGGTCTCGTTGTCGTTGCGGCATTGCTTGCATTCGCCGCAAGAGTATGACTGGGCGCCGACACCGACGCGCTGGCCCTCCTTGATCAGAGTGACCTTAGGGCCGACGCGGATGGCACGGCCGATGATTTCTGGGGTAAGTTGGTTAGTGGTGGTCTGGGTATGTTGGGGCTGGATTTGTTGCTTACCGTGTCCGACACACAAGGGGAACTTCTGCTCTCCCCATCCACCGCTGATGGTGTGCACGTCACTGCCACAGACACCGCAGGCCTCGATCTTGACGTCGACATCTATGCGCTGGTTAGAGCGAGTGCATGGCATTTCGCAGTGTTTCTAAGCTTACCATAGTCGCCGAAGGGCTTCAGCTTATACTATACAGCGCAAGAAACGCATGGTCAGCCATTGATCATTGCAAATCCCTACACAGGAGGCAAAAGACTCACGAAGCGCTTGTGGAACTCGGTAAAGGTCTCAGGACCGTCGACCTGGAAACCCTCAGCTTCCTCAGGATAAGGCATTGTGATATGTGATAGAAGGATCAAGTGAATTAAAGATTTGGAATGATATCAACGACCTTGCAAGCTTGGAAAGACGCGGGCCTCGTCTCAACACAAGAATCAAGTCAGGTAAGAGAGCAGGAAAATAAAATGCAAAAGGAACAAAAAACAGCGCGGGGAGGGAAATAAGGAGGGGTATATCAAAGCCGAGTCCCCACGCGCTCTGACCATCGGACCTGATTTAGAAAAAAAATTCTAAAAAAAAGAAAAAATTCAATACCTCACAGGATCAAGGAACGACCCGCCGTATCTCACGCCCCATTGCGCGGGATATCTTGGGTCTCAATTCTCGCGGTGGATATTCACGGGGTGTCAATAACCCGTGTCTCGTCGCCCCCCGCGTTTAACAATACCGAACTCGGAGATGGTGCCGCACTGGGCTCCACCGGGCAAACTATCGGAGTAGATCCGGGAATCAAAGGGCTGGATTCTCGTGCGAGAGGGGCCGAGCAGGGGGGCAATTGACGGTGCCGAGAGTGGTTTTTGAGATCCCGTGGCCTGGGCGTGGGGGGGGCATACAATAAGAATGGAGTTGTCTATGGTCGATTCACTCTTTCTCTGTAACGTACTCGGTTTGGCAATGGACGCGTATAGACGGCCTGTTGCGGAGGGTGGACTGATGGACACTTTTCAGCTCTCGATCCGGAGTTTTTCCGCCAATGAGAGAGAGATGCGGGAGACATTGGGTTCCGTCGTTATCGTTATCGTCGATAAGACGAGTTGATCCGTAGGGCTTGGTGTTAGGGTTTGGGGATGGTACCTATCGAGTCTATCCACGAGAATGTAATTCTATATACTTTCTAGAAAGGGTCTGGAATCTAATATTCGGAGGAGGGATGCAGGTTTGCAATACCCAGTGCAAAAAACAAGAAAATTGAAGTCATCATATGATCATATACAACGTAGTTATTCTTTATATCCGTATACCACTCGTTCACGCAACGTCCTTCAGGGAAAGCTCCACGTCCAACGCGCCCTTAATCTTATCCGCGACCTCCTTGGCCTGCGCCTCACTGAGACGAGCCAGAGGCCGGCGGGGATATCCACCATATCCATAGTAAGACTGAATCGCCGACTTGGTCCCGGGAATAGCAGCCTTGGTAAGAACCCAATCCGCCGCACTCAATTGCTGCTGCGCCTCCATGGCCTCTGCAAGACGGCCCTCGGACCAGAGAGTGAAGATACGAACGCACAGACGAGGGACAACATTAGCACCACCGGCCAAAATAGCCGAACCACCAGAGATGAGAGTCTGCAGACTGAAGTCGGCGATACCGCCAAAGGCAACGTAAGGGTGCTTTGCGTCGGGCTTAGCGATGGTGGGAGCGGCACGCTGAGCCGGGGCGAGAGGGGAGGCAGGGGTGACTGCGCCGAGGGCGGTAGCGACACGAGTCAACTTGCCGGTGTTGGCGCAGGTGAACTTGGTACCGACGATGTTGGGGTGCTGAGAGATACGGATGATGAGGTCGGAGTCCATATCAATACCGGCCACGGCACCGGGGTAGTTGTACAGGATGAGAGGGATGGGCGAGCCGTCGGCGACGGAGGTAAAGTACTCGTAGATAGTCTCGTCGTTACCGACAGCATAGCGGTAGTAGCTGGGAGGCACGATGAGGGCGTATTCACCGCCGGCTGCGGCAACTTCCTTGCAGAGATCGATGGTGCCGCGGATGCTGTTCTCGCTGGCACCGGCGATGACGGGCACGTCGGTGAAGCCGGCCTCGTCAAGGGCGGAGCGGGTTTCCCGCGTCACTGTGGCACGCTCCTCGCGAGTGAGATGCACGGCTTCACCGTTGGAACCCATGGTGACCAGGCCGACCAGGCCCGCCTTGGCCAGGCGCACGGCATGGCGGCGGATGGATGCGACATCCAGATCTTCAGTATCGGGGTTGAAGAAGGTCATAGTAGGCGCATACACGCCGGGGCGGAGAGGAGTGAGCGGCATTTTGGTGGTGATGACGAGGATGATGCTGGAGATGAGTTTAGTTGAAGCTCTAAAATCGTGGGATGACTTCTGCGGAGTGACTTACAAGGAAAGATGGAGAGGGGTAGAACTTTGAGAAAAGAATGAAAGTGCTGCAGGATTTAGTTTTTAACAGTTCGATTTCATCTCCAGCCAGCGTAAACAGTCCCCCACGTCGGGGGATTCTCCGAAGCATTCTGAATGGTGGAGAATTGAGTTCCACCAATTGCCGACGAATGACGAAATGTGGGGGACGCGTTTTCGCGGAGGAGGGGCTCGGGGGAATACTGGGCGAGGTGGGAGAGGGTTGTATAATAATGCAAGAGAAAGAAGATATACAACAAATTTTGAGCGGAAAGAAGTAGCAAAAGGTAATGGAAGAGTGCCATTCATCTTATATCTCCAAAAATCTTCCTCAATGAAGGCAATGACAATCATTACAACCAAGCCAAGAGCTTGTCATTGCCAACCCCGCAGCCGATAAGATAATGAACTGTCGGCTATTGAACAAAGGTTCAATCGCCGGAAGAATTATGTCCAGCAACGAGACTTCCCCATCCACTTCAATTCTTCCTCTTCTATTCTCTCTTCCCTCTTGAAATTGCTTTTCAATCTCTCCCTTCCCTACTCTTCCTCTGTAACACCAAGAATAAGCAATTATGGCTCCTCCTAGTGTGTTGATGGTAAGTGCCAAATGATCTTGCCGCAACGAACAGCATCAGCTAACGAAGATCCAGGTTGGCACCGGCGAGTACACCACCGGCTTCGTCGGTGGTGGTGCCTCTGGCTCGGACAAGAAGGTCGGCGTTGTCGGCCTGACCATGTTCGATCTGCGCCGTCGCGGCAAAGTCGGCAATCTGAGCATGGTGGGCGTGTCGGGCAAGAAATTCGCAGGCATTCGTAAGTGTTGAACAACAGCGCAAGTACGAGCATTCATAGCTAACAAGCTCCATCAGGTGACCATCTGCACCGCAACATCTCCCAAGTCTACAATGGCCTGGACACCTCCTTCGCCTCCTTCCCCGCCGATGACCAAACCGATCCCGACGCCTACAAGACGGCTATTGACGCCCTCCCCAAGGGCTCCGCCATCACCATCTTCACCCCAGACTCAACGCACTTCCCAATCGCTCTCTACGCCATCGAGCGCGGCCACCACGTCCTCATCACCAAGCCCGCCACCCAACTCCTCGCCGACCACCTCACCCTCGTCGAAGCCGCCCGCAAAGCCGGCGTGTTCGTCTTCGTCGAGCACCACAAGCGCTTCGACCCGGCCTACGCGGATGCCCGCGCCAAGGCCCGCTCCCTCGGTGACTTCAACTACTTCTACAGCTACATGAGCCAGCCGAAGAGTCAGCTGGAGACGTTCAAGGCCTGGGCGGGTCGTGATTCGGATATCTCGTACTACCTGAACTCGCACCACATCGATATCTGCGAGAGCATGGTGCCCGAGTACAAGCCCGTGCGTGTGTCAGCGACGGCCTCTCAGGGTACGGCGGCGGCTGTTGGGTGCGTGCCCGAGACCGAGGATACGATTACTCTGCTCGTTGAGTGGCGGAGGAAGGATGACCCGGCGAAGATCGCCACGGGTGTGTATACGGCCAGCTGGACTGCGCCATTGAACGCGGGTGTGCATTCGAACCAGTATTTCCACTGTAAGTCTATCTGCGTGATTGGCTCTTCGATGGGTTGAAATAGTGCTAACCTTCTGCAGATATGGCTGCCAATGGCGAGATTCGCGTTAACCAGGCCAAGCGTGGCTATGATGTGACCACCGATGAGCAGGGTCTCATCAGCTATAATCCGTGAGTCCCAAAATCTCATAGAATTCACAGCGGTGACATACAGGCGACTAACCTTGCAACACAGATTCTACATGCGTTACGCCCCCGACGAAGAGGGTAACTTCGCCGGTCAGACTGGCTACGGCTACATCAGCTTCGAGAAGTTCATCGACGCCGTGACCGCCGTCAACGAGGGCCGCGTGACGCTGGACCAGCTGGATGCTCGTCCCTTGCCTACCCTGAAGAACACGATTGGTACTACTGCCATCTTGGAGGCTGGTCGCAAGTCACTGAATGAACGCCGACCGGTTGAGATCATCTCCGACGATGGAAAGTGGGAGCTGAAGTGATTGAATGTGTAAATGGTGAAAATTACGGACTTCTAGTATATTCAAATTTACTATGATAATAAATTTCGAGCTATATCTATCGGTCGCTGTCGAGAATATCCTGATTGAAAGAGTACCTTGGAAACGGGAAATATGTAATGTCTTCAAACTTTTGGGCCCTGCTGGTACCGGCCAGTTTCTAAAGCTCAAATTATAGTATATCCGGATGAGCCTGGGACCGATAGCTATAGTAGCGCACATGATTTCACGGGGACCTGGCACTAACATAAGCGTGCAGAGCTATCAACTAGTTCAAAATATCTATATTACGAGTTTACTACGTATATAAATTTTTGGTCCCGATTACAGGACCCTGAAGGGTCCATCCAATTTGACTTGTGGCTTGATTTAGTATGAAAGTCCGAAACGGGACTACATGTCTTCAAAATACTTTGGAACCAGCTTTATCTTGGGGCCAATCTGCCGCCGCCCTTAGCGCCTTCTCTGGCGTTTAGCGACGCGAGACTACACTAGTGTCTCTTTAAAGATCCGAGCGTAACCCTCCCTCGTGGATAGACCCTTGTTCTCTAACCCAAGCGGAACTTTACGGCGAACTAGTTTGTGAGGAGGGAATGGGGGGGTTGCGTTGCTGGTATTTTGCTAAAGAGTCTTAGAATACTTAATCAGCAACAAGACGGGTTGTTTCGTCTCATACTTTGCCCGACAAAATCCTTAGGCCGAAGGATTGCGCCCTAGCGGCTGGCCAAGCCATCGTATGCTCGAGGATTTCACTAAGCGAAAGAGACCGACTGATCAAGTTCCATCTCACTTGACCATAACTCGTCTCGATTTCTCTCTTTTCGCCTTGTGTTGAGCGAAGTGCGGCAACTTTCCGTATCATGGAACGCGTCCCACTTGAAGTTTTGGACCGGATATGCCTCTACGTACGTCGCTGAACCATTAACTGAGCTGCCTTCCGACTACCGCTAATGCTCATTAGCTTCAAGAGTCTCAACATGGCCCACGGGGAGACCTGTCATCCTTTAGCCGGGTCAACCACATCTGCTATAAAGCAGCGGTCCCACTCATCTATCGGGACCTCACTCTTAGATTTTGGGATATGGACAGCCTGCATGCCGCGGTCTCAGACGTGACGAAACCCCCGCAAGGGTGCCATTTCATCAAACATGCCAGGAGACTGAACATTGTGTGTCTGAACAACCCGATGGTCGAAGGGGAGGAAGAAGACTTTCGGTGGAAATTGGAGCCTTGGACAACCGGTCTCTTCACGGAGAAACAGCCGGCCGTCAGAAATAGCTTCTTGGAACATTGGTTAACCACTTGTAATCCAATTCCCAACCAGAAGGTCCTGCACTATGTTTCTACGGGAATCCATTGGGATAGGGATTGGGCACCGATCCAGTCTCTTATCGCTCGTCTGGACCGCTTGGAGCAGCTAGACTTTATCACGCAGAACGAATTCACAGGTGGCATGGCGGAAGCGATATCCCATTATCACCCAAATTGCAAGGTGAATATTGTCTGGCGACAGGCTGTTGCATACAGCGTGCTCGATAAAGAAGCTAGAATACAACTCAACCCACACGGACTATGGAGCACGTATGAGTTCGATACTAATGTTCTTCAGCTTCTGGGTCTTCACCTTCTCGCTGTGGACCTTCTCTACAATGGGAAATATCTATCAGCTGGAGTTGAAGTATATGACGGGTTACTGTCTCTCCTCGTTAACGCCCCAGGGCTAAAGCACCTCGAGTTGCAGAGTAGGACTGCCAACTCGAGATTTCCAATCGCTCGGCTAAGGGAAAAATCGCAGGCCTTGATGGCTTCTCGCCCGTCCTCTCAAAGTTCTCCCCTGGAATCAATCACAATTTCTTGCATTGGGCCACATGAAGATATCCTTTTCAAAATGGCGGCTACTGGCAATCTGTGTAACCTTCGAACACTCGTCCTCAAGCGTATCTTTGATCCGCCGGGTCTAGTGAAAATAGCTGGACTCTTTCCCAACCTTGAGCGACTCTTCATCAATGCAGCTACCGATGAGACACTTGCTATTGGGATCTGGAACACGATAAAGTCAAACAAGGCGTTTCGCCTACAGTACCTCCGTGTAGTGCCGTTTGGGAACAACATGTTCTGTCATGAAGAGAGTTATCTGCTCAATTGCTTGATGCGGTCAGTACTGGTCACACGATACAATTTCCACAATCCTAGATCGCCAAGCGCAGAGGAGATTGGGACGAGGGCACGGGAGATACGGCGAGACATGTTTCGCCCAGCCGTTCTCTCTGAGAGGCTGAGACTACTTCTCCATGATATTTGGCCACAGGTACCTGAAGGAAGCGACTGGTGGTCGGGTTGGAAGAGTTTTCCTTTGGAGGCAGAAAGTGCGTAAACAGGGATGCTGCATGTCGAATCTCTTTTTGAATTATAAGTCTGGTGCCGGAACGTGCCGCGGTCAATAGTGAGCAGGCCCATGACATGACCCATCTCCGTACACGAAGTCAATTTGATATAGATAGAGCGTGGGGTTAGCCATAGTCGTAAAATGGTATCCTACATTGAAGGAGTAAATAGCAGTTGGGTAACAATAAAATTCGCCGGTAAAAAAGATTGAGACCGCTCGCCTATTTGGTAAAGAGAAACGCCAGACTCATTCGCCAAGCCAAAAAGCCAAAATCCAAAAGCCCCGAGTGTGCCCCGATATCATGGTATCATACAGAATAAACAAACAAGCTATCAACACGCCAGGTTCAACGCCGTCCACCCTTGACGATTCCGTCGGGCCCCTTGTCGAATTTGACCCGACATTCGGGGCAGTACCACTTGGCAGTGCGAGAAGGAACCTCGGAAAGTCCAACGCACTCCAGGTGGAACCAAACATATTCGCACTGCGAAGGGGTTAGTCCAAGTTCAAAGAGATCGACAGGATTCGGAGAACTTACATCCTGATTCTCGCAGCAAATCATCGTGCCGAAACTCACGTCCCCGCAGAGGCAGTAACGTGGCTCACCGGCATCAATCTCCTCTAGCACCCCATCTTCATCCACGCGTATATCCTGTGAATTACTCACGTTGAGGCGTTTCTTGCCTGGCTTCGCTTTGCGACGCCCGTAACTAACGGCAGCGCCGCCGTCTTGGCCAGAGGAAACGGGCCCTGGTGCCGGGCGCTTGCGCTTGCGATTAGGCCCAGGAACACTGGGTGCGTGAGATGGTTCACGAACGGGAGTCTTGCGGGCTGGGGTCGCGCTCTTGATGCGCAAGTCTCGCCCACCCGGGACCGCGGTGGTCAGAGCGACCCCTTGACCTCCCGGCTCAATTGATATTGCGGCAGCAGAGCGTCTTGAAGAGGGTCTGGTGACGGGTGGGGTAGGTGTGGTAGTCGGCTGTGCGACTGATCTGGTCGACCGACGCGATCCGGTTGGTGAGGGCAGAGGTGGAGAGGCTTTGGCGTCAGCTGCGGGTGATGCTCGAGTCTTGATTGGAGCGAGAGCTGCAGCTGCATCCGCAGCGCCATTGGCGATTCCCCCTCGACTGGATTTGCGGCGTGACTTTGCGGTGGTAGGCGTAGGCTCCAGCTCTGCTTGAGGTTCGAGTTCGGGTGGGGGAGCTATGGCTTCAGTTGTAACGGGAATAGGAGCGGCGGCAGGAACATGAGGGGCCACTGCTGGGGTTTCGTCCCCAGCAACAGCCTCCTCCCGTTTCCGCTTCCGTGAAGATCGATTAGCTGGAGTTGGTTGATTGGAGTTGGCGACAAGTTTAATTGGAGTTGGGATTTCTCCACCGTTAGCCGCCGCCTCGCGAGCCAGCATCTCACGTTTGAGTTTCTTGGCCTCGTTCAACTTCATTCCACGGTTGCTCAGCTTGGTCTCTTCGATATCCTTGTGAATCTCATCACGGCGGGTAGTCTCAATATCATCGCAATCGATGAATTCGGTACCATTCTCCTCAGCCAACGCTTTTGCTGTCCGGTAGGCCTCCCACCCACGGCCGGAAAGTGCCAACTCACGATGGATCATGACTTCACTGGGCTGCCAAACGGCGTTCTTCTTCATTTTCTTGCGCAATTTTGTCATCTCCCACTCGGTGAGTCGCAGCCATGGCAGATCTTCACTGCCAATCTTGGCATCGTCCGGTGGAGGTTTTAGCAGAGCAAGAGCGTTGCTCGTTGAGACTCCCACGCCTGAGCTGGGTCGGCGCGGCTTGTCCTTCTTTGGTGGTTTGGATGCTTTGGGAGGAAGGTCCATGTCGGCTTCAGCGTCAGATTGCTCTGTACTAGCGATGGGCGAATCCGGATTGAAACCTGCCAGGTGTTCCGCGGCAATGCCTGAACGGCGCGATCTGGACTTCTTGCGCTTGCGGTCCTGATTATTGTCCAGCCGGAGGGTAATACGTGTCGTGGACGCGCCATCCTTCTTATCCTTGCGCACTCGCTTCGGTGTAGGTTCTGGCAGTGGCGTTGGCTCTCGAGATGGGGGTTTAGGAAGCGCCTCTAACTTCTGGCGAATACAGCTCAGTCGGTCGAAGTGGCGATCCACGACGTCGTACAATCGGCATGCCTCGGCGTAGGCAGATTCGCGGGCATTGATCGCGCGGTCCAGGTGACGTGAGATATCTTTGCGCACACTAATTGCGCTCGGACGTTCATCGGAAGGTAGGTAAGGAAGCTGGCCGTAGCTCCTGGCCAGGCTGTGGACGTCCTGCGCCGAGTCGAGGTATCGATCATCCAGGCCGCAGACCAGGGTCAGGGAACGAATAATATCCGCAGGAAGGTATTCAGTGTAGTCAATGTAATCTGTCACGGTCGCCTGCGCATCCGGATCGAAGGGGCCATCCAGAATGACCCCGCCGCTGTGGTCAGTCTCGTCGGTCAGGGCCATCTTGCCGGGTTGTCGGGACGCGAATCGACCCGCAGATCGCGCAGCGGGTTTTGGAGGCGCAACAAAGAACAATCGAGCGCTGAGGTGAGGGAGATGCAGCGAGCGATACCCCCAGCGGTTGCAAGCATAAGTAAGACGATGTCAGCGTACGCCTGTACGTCTGGCCACTGCAGGTGCAAACAACCCGGGCGATTATTGTTCCGAGAGAACCACGTGATATACCTTCCTAATAGGGTAATTTGCTATGTAACCCTTCGTTTTTGATGGTTCTTTTGATTCCGAATGAGGTGGCAGAGGCTTGATTCAGACTTTCGAGATAACAGGTATGAGGACTTAATTCCCCTTTACTAGAGCTTTTTGCGAAGGCTGAAACAGTACATGGCACAGTTGACGAACCCTCCTAAGAGAGGACTCTACGCAAGGAAGCCGAAGAGAGAGGGAAAACTTGTCAATTATCTAGGTCTATGAGACTATCTTAGCCAGATGAAAGCCAGGTAAGTATTTGCTGGCTATAGAGCCATCGACAATGGCCATCGACTGTCTGATAAAGCCTTTTGACCACCGAAACAGGAAGGAGACTTGGATTACAAACCAGACCAAGTCGACTCAAGGTCACATCTTTGCAAGAAGGACCAGGAAGAAAGAAAACCACTTGTATGCAAGAATGGCAAGGGAAGTGAAAAGATGCAGGTCCTGCAGAAGCCTAATAAGACCGAAAGGGAGGAAACTCGATCAACAATAAACCCTTCGTGTACTTGCCAAACTTCGAATCTAGATGTTCTCGTGTCTTTCCATCTCCAGAAGGCTCGAAGATGACAAGAGCTAACCCAATCTTTCTGACCCTACCAAAGAAGAAATTTGGCTTCCTGGCTACAGCTCACTTACTTTCTTGCCATCAAGCGTCCCTTCCCTTTCTCTCCTCCGTCCTTCCCCATCACCAACACTTTCTCATTTCTTACTAACATCCCTCATCCCTTTCCTCTTTCACGCACCATCTCCATCCTCGAAAATGCGCCATGGACCGATCTAAGCGTCTGCAGCAAATCTTTGCAGGAGACGAGGCGCTCCTGCAACTGGATACTGGATTGACTAGCAAGGTAAGCAGATCTATAACCTTTTCTGGGCATCACAAGCTGATCTAGTTGATTCCAGAAGGAAATTTCTTACGACTCATGGAACGAAACATCTTCACAGGTAAGAAGTCGCATCAATTGGTCCCAAAATCCCATCTCATCATTCTATCTCCAGCCCACACACGAGACTATGGAAACTACCCCTGCTCCGGAACCGGTTTCCACTGCAAAGAAGTATCCCATTCCACCGGAGACGCCAAAGGAGAATCTCGATAAGACTCCTTATAACCCCCGCAAAATCCCCGAGTGGAAACTTCGCAATGCCTTTTGCCCCGCCAAAGCGCTTCCCAAGTTCCCCTACAGCTACATTTTCCCCAGGGCGGGCGAGGTGGCTAGGAAAGCTGCATATGGTTACTTCGACGGTGGTCGTATTTGGCTCCATTCCTGGGATGTGTGAGTCCACCCCAAATGATTGACTCGAGACAGTGACATGCCCCATTCTAACCAGGCCATAGGTACTACCTGCCGATTCCTGCTCAGATCAGCGAGCAACGCCTTCTGCTCATTCCAGCACAACAGGTCAAGTTGTTTCTCGACATCATTAACTATGAACTGGGATGCGACTTGGGTCTCACAACGAATGCCCAACACCGTCTCGTGCTATTCTTCGACGGCGATGACGGAACCCCCAAGCCCGTATATCTGGGCCGAAGCGATAGCCGTGAAGCCCTAGACGAGCTCGAGCGCAGAATTCCCCGACCCGAAGACGGTGATGACGACTGGACAAAGACTTCCGCGCCGGAGGCCTTCGATGCGTTCCGAAAGAAATTCCACGATGGTATCATGACCTACAAGAGAAGAAGGACAAAGTCGAGACACCCCGCGAGCCAATTGGACATCTCCATCTCAGAGATAAGTAAGAAGCACCCGAACCAAATCATCCCGACTCGTGGGCTGTATCAACTCAAGTCTTATCTTGGGCTTCGACCGCCCATTAATGAAGGGGGACACTTTGCCGGTGATGAGAAGTTCGCTTCGGTGGAAGTATCTGAGCCTGTGCGATGGGAAACTCTCGGTAACCCCATCTTCTTAAGTGTTGATGTGGAGTGGAATGAGCGGAACCAGACCCAAGTGACCGAGATCGGAATCTCTTCCCTGGATACCGTGGACATTCATGCAATTCCCCCTGGACTTCACGGAGAGAACTGGGTCAAGTACATCAAGTCGGCTCATCTACGCACTGTCGAATACAAGAACTTTTGCAACACGCAGTTTGTGATGGGGTGTCCCAGCATGTTCCTCTTCGGTGAGAGTGAACTCATTCTTGACAGTCAAATCGGGACACATGCTAGATGGTTCTTTTCCCCACCGTACGATGGAACCCAGGACCTCGATCGAGCAGATCTTCCGGAGCACAAACGAGCAACCCGTACCATTGTGCTCGTCGGTCATGAACCATACACAGATCTCAAGATACTTGCAGAGCGATGCAAAATCTTTGAGCCTGTGGAGAATCGTCCCGGGAAGGTTGTTAGCGAGGTGATGGATACGAAAATTCTTTACGCATGTCTGCGCGAGGAGAAGAATTTCCGGGGACTGGAGAATATGCTGTTTGAACTGGGGTTTCAGCCCAAGTACTTGCACAATGCGGGTAACGATGCTCGTTATACGCTGGAAGCACTGATTCGAATTGCCCTGGTATCAGCTGGCAAGGTGCAAAGCCCCAAAATCGATGCGAAGACCGACCAGAAGGTGGTGGAGGAGGCCGAAGCTCCTGACACTAAAGAGTGAGAGACGCCAGAATCAAGCGCGCAACTGCACTAGTGAACCCTAGATAGCTTTGATAAGCTTAAATTTAAGGTACACAATCAAAGTTGTGTCTGCTCATCCCACTGACGCCATAACTACGATATCCCGATATAGCTCATGCCCCCCGCGCCCCACCTGAGCTTTGCCCCTCCTCAACAATTCAGATTAAAACCCATTGTTTAAGCTTTCTATAACATCCTTCCCACCCAACCCTCTTCTCTTCTCCTCCAAATAACCCCCGACCAGAGACTATCAACAATATGACCAGCCAAGGCCCCCTAACCGGCTGGCTCCTCTCGGCCACCCCTCAAGCCCTCAAACGCGCAACAACGCACCCCTTCCTCGCCGCCGCGGGCAGCGGTACCCTCTCCAAAGAAACACTCTCCCAATGGCTCTCCCAAGACCGACTCTACGCGCAATCCTACATCCGCTTCATCGGGATGCTTCTCGCAAAATTACGCATCCCAGCACACGCCCCGAGCCGCGATACCCCGCGTAACCCAACAATCGAACAAAAGGTCATAGACGTCCTCATCGACGCCCTAGTCAACATCCGCACCGAACTCGCCTTCTTCGAATCCACCGCCATCGAATACGGTCTCGACCTCACCGCAATTTCCCCCGACGAATACGGCCCCGGTTTCGCCCAGGAAGGTCTTCTGGCGACCTCGTCGGGGATATCGACGACCGGCTCGGGTTCTTGTCCGGGCTCTACGGGGGCGAATTGCGATGCGACGGGTCCGTCCGGCTCTGGCTCTAGCTCTGGCTCTGGCTCGGGAGCCGAGGCCCGCGCGAGTGATGAGCATTCGACGAATCCCAGAGACAATCTACACAGTCTTTGCCAATCGCAGGGTGAATGTCAGATGCAGGCTGGTGGTGAAGTGTGCAATCCGTCCACGACGCACGAGGCCCGGAATTCCGCTGCGAGAACCCCCGATTGCGAGCCGTGTCAGCCATCGCGGTCAGCTAGTGCCGCGCCGGTCGAGCAGGGGCCCGTGTATTTTGCGGCGAATCGGATTACCCGTGCGTACATCGATATGTTCATGTCGGCGGGGAGTCCTGGGGTGAGTGCGGAGGAGGGGATTGCGGTGCTGTGGGCGACGGAAGTGTGTTATTTGCGGGCGTGGAGGTATGCGGCTTCTTATGGGAAGAGGAAGGCGCAAGAGGGGAAGAGGGATGTTGATGCTGATGGGGGTGCGTTGAGGGAGAAGTTTATTCCGAATTGGTCCAGTGGGGAGTTTGAAGGGTTTGTGAATCGTATTGGGGACGTTTTGGATTTGATGGTGGGGAAGATTAAGGGGGTGGAGGAGACGGAGATGATGCGGGCAAAATGTCTGGAGTGGTGGAAGCAGGTGGTTTGGTTGGAGGAGAGGTTTTGGCCGGCGATGGATTGAGAGGTGCCGTTGGGGGAAAATATAAATTGTAAAATTTGCAGTGGTGTAACAACTAGAATATTGTTCAAAAGCAGGAAGAGCGAAGACATTGTATGAAAATATCATTGACTGAAGGCTCATCCTACATACAGCCATCATGAATGGCATGGATCAAGAGAACAAACACATACACATAAAAAGCAAAGGAATCGACATAAACAAAGCAACGAGTCCGATCGAAGCAGACAAAACGCCAACCCCAACAGATAGAACCCCCAAAACCCAGACAATAAACCTCAAAAACTCAAAACTCCAGTCTCCATTTCCGTGCTAACCAGCAGAGACGATGAGAGCAATAAGACGAGCCAACAAGACCAAAGAATGATAAGAATAACCACGATGATACCGCCAACACCGGTATATGCGGAGCACAACGATCGTCCCAAAACCATCGAACGAGTGGTCCCCGTAAAGAAATAATCCCAGAAAGAAAAGAAAAGAAAGATACGATCTAACTCGACATGTTGTACATCATCAGAAATAAGCCATTGAGCTTTTGTTCAAATTAGGTGGCAGTCGCCCGGGCAGCATTGCTGAGCTGCCGGTGATACGAGCCAATGGGCTGGAATCCACTGTTGTAAAATATTAGCCAGAGTTTCCATCGAAGCGAGCGTGCAAAGAACACGTACCGAGCCAAGTCAAAACCACCTCCATCATCTTCTTCCTCCTCATGCATTCGCTCTTCCTTGATCGGCCCATGACTTCCCAAATCCGGTCCATCAGACTGTAGAGGCGGCAAGGTCCGACTCGACCCGAGACCATTGGACGTTCCGGGCTTACTCGGGCTCACCAAATTCGGGGGAGGCGGGCTACTGCTCGGGAAGCCACCGATGATGCGCTCATCAGGCTCCCCCTTTAGTGGACTCATGTCCGGCACGGGCCGGGCAGGGGTACTACCAATGTCGGCAAACTTCCAGAATTGTGCGGGCGAACTCATCGGCATGAACTTTGATGGGATCTGCGCCGTGCTCGGCGGTGGCAGGCGTGGTTGCTGGCGCTGAGGAGCCGGGGTGATCATTGACGAGGGTCCTTCGTCGTAGTATGAGGAGGACAGCACGGGTGGTGACCCGGCCACATTATCCGACAGTCCGTAGGCTCGACTGAGGCTGTTGCTGCTGATCTGTACGCGGCTTGAACTCGCATTGGTGTTGCCATTGTGCGAGCGCGCAGGCAAAGGAGAAGGCTCCTCGTAGTCGCGAGGATTCATGTGTCGCAGTGGGTGGTCAGATCCGACTCCACGGCCACCGCGAGATCCCCGCTCGGGGGTGTATGCCTCCACGGGAGCTACAGGAAATGAGCTAAAGCCAGGAGAGGAGACGGGAGGGGACTTTTTGGCCGTAGCCGAGAAAGAGGTATCCAACGCCGCCACATGGGTGCCCCGTGCGGAAGATGGAGGTTCCTTCGTAGCAGGTGATGATGGTGCTGACGACTGCGTGCCCTTGCGCATCTGCTTCTTCCGGTACTCTTCACGGTGCTCGACCGCAATCTGCCACTTCATTCCTTTGCCCGGCTCATCAGTCCGGCGAGGCACCTTCTGGAACGCCTTGTTCAATGACAAGTTGTGGCGGATCGAATTCTGCCAGCCGCTCTGCGAGTGTCGGTAGAATGCATAGCGGTCCATTATCCAATTGTAGATGCTGTTAAGCGTAAGCTTCTCCTCCTCGCTGGAGAAGATAGCCTGCGCAATGAGGTTGGCGTAGCTGTATGGCGGCTTCAAATCTTTGGCCGAGTCCTTGCTGTAATCAATCTCCTCCGTACTCTCCATCATCATGCCTCGGTTGTAAAGCGGAGACTGCTTGGCGGTTCGTTGACCAGCGGTATCCGGCGATCGCGGGGGCGGAGTGACCTGACGCTTGAGGAATTGAGGTGCGGGGGCCAGCGAGGGACCACCGGACGAGGATGGCCGTACGGGCTCCGTGGCCTGCGATGCCGAGGGGTGCGCATGCAGCGAGGCATCCCACGCTTGTGAAGCCGGATCAGGCTCCTGGCCACTGGCAATGCGCTGAGCGCGCTCGATAAAGCTGGGCTGGATATTGGCGTCGTCGCCGGGCGTGACAAACATCATCTGGCAGTTGGCTACCTCAATGATATCACCACAGTGAAGAACGGCATCAGCTCCGCGCTTGAGAATCACATTATTCAGACGAACGCCATTGCGGCCATTGACGCGGATATGCCAGGCCGGCGTCTCTTCACCGTCATAAAAGATCTCCGCATGCAGACGGGACACGAATTTGCTAGGGCCCAAATCGACATGCACATCGGGGAGCGCACGGGCAGCAATGGTGACGGGACTGGACTGCTCAGTGGACCTCTGCTCACGATCAGGTTCGCGACCGATATTGACATGTAGTGTCTTGACATAGTAAGTCCAGTTGCGGCCGGCGATCTTGGCATATGCTTGAATACTCTGCTTGTTCTCGGTTTTGGTATTGGAATGGTCGCGCGAGACGCGCAGTTCCTCGCGCGGGGTGTTGAGATACGAAATGACCAGGTCGACGATGTCCTGGTGCGCGGACTGATCATGTTCACCTGCCGAGTCTTCGGCTTCATCGGCGGACTCGTTCTTGATTGCAGTTCGCGAGGCAGAGGCGCGGCGTTCAACCTGTGGGGTCGGCGATTCTAGTCTTAGCATTCCTTTCCATCCTAGCGCGGGGCATGCGCGGGAGGCACGATTCGGTCTCAGACCGGCCCACGACTGCGGATCGGACTTACCTTGCGCTTCTTTGCGGATGGACGACTGGGCGACGAGTCTGGGGCCTCGGCATCGGATGTTTCCTGCAGTTGAATTTCCTTGCGCCGCGCGCGACGGCGATTTGACAACGGCATCTCTAGTGCGTGTTTGTGTATTTCCTGGCGATGCGAGTTCCTTTTCACCGGTATTTTTGGCCGGATCGTCCACGGGATGTCGTGTGTGAATTATTGATACGAGGCGCAGATCGAATGCGGCGGAGTTTTTTCCCCTTCTCTCTCGGGAGGCTGGTGTTGTGGGTGATCAAAGCCAAGTCCAGGTCGAACACCGCGAAAGCTCGCGGGGAAGGAAAAAGGGAAAGGACGGGGAACGGCAGAGAGGCAAAGATGCGAAAAGGCGAAAAATCACAACAGAGCAAGTCTGGATCCGGCTTCCAGCGGTCCAGTCTCGGAGACACGCTCAGAGGCAGAACCAAAGAATGAGGCGTCGTCCGAACCACTGATCGAGCCAATTCGCCACCGCGACTTGGGTTCTAGCGGGTAAAAAAAAAGGAAGGAAAAAAGAAGCCCAAAAGGAAGAGAGGCGAGAACCCCCGGATTGATTCCGAAACGATAAACACAGAGGCCGGGATGTTTCGCTTTGAGCGGAGGTCTGGTGAAAGTAGTGTGGCTGGAAGTTGATTATCGATAATCCCTCCGATCGACGCGATGGCGTCTGTTTGGGGGTGACCGCCTTGTCGCGTGGGGAGTGATCAGAGTGCCGCACCAACCACCGCAGGGCGGAGTTTCCAGGAATAATGTACCGAACGGAAAGCAGGGGAAGATGGGAAGAGAAGGGGGAAGTCTAGGATGAGGGGAGAAGAGGAGATAAAGGATGCAGAAGATTCACAGAAATCCCGAGAGAAGAGGAAGGAGACGGCGTTGAAGAATAAGTTCGAAGTACGCCCGTTTGGCCGTAAACAGTGGTGGAGTCTGGTCACATGGGTGTATGGTATTATTCCAGTGGGAGTGATTGGGCTACTCTGAGATGGGGTAATTCTGGTAATACCAATACCACGATACTTGGATCCAGCGTGGGATCGAGGATGCTTCCGAGTGCAGGAGGCAATCGCTGGATGGACTCTCGAAAGAGGACAAGTACTACGCTAGAGATTGGCAGTAGACCCGTAGTGGATATTAGCAAACAACTATGTGATCTAAGGATGCCATTTCAAGACTATGCCAAACGTGAACTATTAACTCTGTTTGCCGGACTGTTGACGATGATGACGCGGGGACACGTTTTAATCTCCTGCGCCTGTGCTCATATTGATTACCCCCAATCACAGCCGACGTACCTATTCCTATAATCCCTGTGTAGACAAATCATCTCTAATCAAATGACCTGAAATATTTAAGCTTAGATCTTAATCCTTGTTCTTCGATCTCTCTCATAGTCTCCATAATAATCCCCATAATCCTCCCCCGTTGAGCCCAACCCATCCGCCCGCCCGGGTCGTTTGCGTCACAGGCTCCCCCGGATACAGTTTAGCCTCGCCCGTTGGAATGTTGCTTTACCTCATTGGGGGTTGACATGTCGATCGGTTTAGTTATCCACGGACGCCGGAATAGGGAAAGACGGGAACTCATGAAAAAATCATGACTATGTAACCTGACCCTTGGGTCCAGCGGAGCTTGCTTGTCTGTGTACTGTTTACGAGGGCACCACGAAGTGGAAGGATGATACGTGGACGCAAACAACTTGGAGTGTAAATAAACAGGTTGCTTGACCCCAAGAATCATACAGTACATATGGAAAAGAAATCCAAATAGAGTGAAACGGGTCCGGATCAGACCGATGGATGTCTTGATTGGAAACTGAGTATCAGGAAAGGAGAAGCGCATGAATAAGAATCCAAAGATAAGAAATAACATGGGAACAGTCATGAAGCCCAAGGTAATTGAAGATATAGAAAGGACACAAAGAAGAGGAGTGTAGAGTAGCCCCAACCCAGAGAAACAGGAGATGTGGGAAGTTCCCCAAGGACAAAATAGAAATGGTCGTGACGGCGTTAAAAATAACTAGAAAGGGGGAAAAAAAATATACTAATTTGACCTCCCCGGTTCTTTCCCAGAAGTCTTTTACTCGTCGACGGGCATCTTGGCATCGCCATCCTCGTCCACCCCACGGAGGGTCGGGTAGAGAACCGCCGCACCTGCCTCGGACTTGGGCGATTCTTTGCCGTGCTCAGAGAATGCCCGAGTACTGGCCGTCTCGATACCGTCCATGGCGCCATCACCCGGAAGAGCGGGTGACTCCTCAGCACCGTTGTGACCCGCCGAGTCACCGTCGAAGCGGCCCTGCTCCAACAGTTCGGAGACCAAACGTCGCAGATTCTCCAAGAGTCGGACCTTCTCCACCCAGGCGACATTGACGTCACGCTCGGCGACTTCGGTCGCGGCTTGAGCGGTCCGCTGAGCAGCCTCCTGGTCGGGATCTGAAGCAGTTGACAAGGCAGGATCAATCAGACTTGAGGTGATGGAAGGGTGCTCCTTGGTAGGGGTGCGCTCGCCATCGGTCGAGGTATCCATACGGTGCTCGTCGGCTTCCCGCTCGGCAGGACGAGAGCGCTGCAAGGTGCCACCAGTGTAGCGGCGGCGATCGTCGTGATCGAATGCGCCACTCAGGGTGGACGGGGGAGCCGCGCTAGAGGCAGTCGGGTAGCCCGTCGTCATGTTGTCGGACATGGTGGCCGACGGCAGACGAGGGTACATGCCGGCACCGCTCTCGTGAGGCGGCGATACTCGGTGGGTCTGGGGAAGGGAGACCGGGGAGCGTTGCGAGGTGTAGGATTGGGCGCTAGATGGCGGGGTCAGAGCGGGAGTGCCAGTAGAAGGCGAGTGTGCCGTGGCGGCCATCATAGGACCGGAGGTAGTCGCGGTAATGTGGCTAGGGGGCAGCTGGCTAGGGGGAGAGTGGGTAGCACGGTAGCTCATGCCACCGTGCACGTAGTGAGCGCCGGGCTGAGCCACGCCGGCCGCGGCGACGTTCTCGTCACTCTCGTAGATGGTGTTTTGCATCTGCTCCAAGAACTGATCAATATTGATCAGATCGTTCTTAGTGCGGACGTTGGACATGGGAGGAAGATGGTATGCGGGGGCATGACCACCACCGGGGCTGTAGCCACCACCATGGGCAACCGGAACGGCAGCAGGCATGGGCTGGTACTCGGGAACTGGGCCGTTCAAGATCGGAAGCTGTAGAGCCTGGAGACCAAGCAGGCGTTGACCAACGGCGGCATAGGAGTTAGGATCAAATTGGCGTCGCTTCAGGTCACCGAAGAACTCGTTCAAGGCATCGTACCCACGCTTGCGGTCGTACGACTGAGTGCCATCATGACCCTGGCTCAGTGCATAGTATACATTGCCGTACGAGTGAGGGTTGGCTGGGGGAGGAGGCGGATGGGTCTGGTAGTACTGAGGAGCCCCGTGAGAGTAGGCGGCACTTGAAACGCCGTTCATGGGTCCTTCAAAGTAATGCGTGGCAGCAGCGTATCCTGGACGTCAATTAGCAAGAGTCTTCCAATGCCCTCAGCGATGCAGAAACCAAGGGGGAAACAACGACTGGCCAGACCGGGAAACCTAAGCGGAGCCCCGTCCGACAGTGCGGGCATTCAGCCCGGTCGGGTTCAAAAGGATGCGCCAGTGAAGGGAGAGTAAGAAATCCAAGACGAACCTTTGGGATTCTGGGGAAACATCATATCGGGGTGGTGGTGATGATGCTTAAGGCCCGGCTCTGGGGATCGGATCTCCGAGTCGTCGGCATGGGTCTTGACGTGTTTCTTCAGATCCTGGGGCCGCTTGAATGCCTTGCCACAGAAGTCGCACTTGTGTGGCTTCAAGGGGACATGCACACGGATATGAGAGGTGATGTGGTCGCGCTTGACGGTGGTAGTATTGCAGTTGCCCCATTGACAGGTCAAGTTCAAGTTGTTGGTGCTTTTGCGGCCGACATGGCGCTCGCAGACGTGTTCCTGTCAGATCCACCCCAATGGTCAGAACTGCGAAACTGCATGATAGACAGCATATGGTGGTATTACTTACGTAGAGCGCTTCGGCAGAGGGGGATTTCTCGGTGCAACCCACCCACTGACAGGGGAGTTGCTCGCCAGCGCCGTTGAGTGTGCTGTTAACTGCGGCGGTCGCGGCGGCGGCAGTGGCCGTCACCGACGCGGTCGGCGTAGTAGTGGCCTGCGCAACAGCAGGCTGCTCGCTGGCAACGGGTGCCGGGGCGGGCGCAGCCTGGGGTGTTGAAGTTGGGGGAACGGTATTCTCGGACATGATGCCAAGAAAATGTCTTGTCGTGTTTGGCGGGAATTTTGCCCAGGCGCAGTAAGAAAGGAAAAACCACGTATACCTTACACCGTCAATTCAACGGCAATTCAGGTACACAAATAGTCCCAAAATGAATATATAATGGGCCAAGGTGTTCCGTGATACAAAAGGAAATCCAAGGAGAGAAGGGTAGGAATAGAAGGGTGAAGGAGGGAGAAAACGCGTGCCTAGGAAGAGGAAGAGGGAGAGAGGAAAACTGGGGGTGGAGGGGGGGGGAAAGTCTTGGGTTTTCTTGGAGCCTTTTGGGCTGTCCCTCCGCACGGAGGGGGAAGTTAACTACTACTGACTAACAGATCCATGCCAATGCCCGTCCGCAATCACATTTCAGGGAGGAAGGAGCCGAGCCTTTGCCCAGAAAAAGCCTTGGGGCCGGGCGGAGGAGCAGCCAAGGAGAGACGACAAGACCGGGCCAAGACTGTCGGCTGCGGGCCTGGCGTTTTAGTGGAGCATGAGTGAAATATGATTGGCTCAAAGAGGGAGAACGAGGGGCTGTGCATTCCGAGTATTCCCAAGGCTCCAGTAGTAAGACTGGCCAGAGTAAGACAACCAAAGCGCTGGGAAGGACAAGTGATGGAAATCAAACGTAGCATGCCAGTGCTAGTTAGTTCGGTACTGTATCAGTGGATCGCAGCAACTCACCATAATAGTGCTAGTCCCATCCCTGGGAAGTCCTGCCCACCATCTAGCCTATACTGCGACCCTCAGATTTGAATTCTCTAACAAGAGCTAGCAATATGCAGGGCACAGTATTCCTTCCGGATACTTAATACTGCCCTCCCTCGCCTACAAAGAGTACTGTACAAACTAGAAATCCTCCCCCGTCCTAATCCCAAGCTCCCAGTCGCACGCCATCCTCGGCTTCCGACCACGTAACAGACCAGCCAATGATCAGCCCACCTTTCTCAGGGTCCTCTGAAGAAGAAGCCCCATTCGTGCAATAATAAATGAAACACCCAAATTTGTAAGAATTTGGTCAGAAGATTCCAAGAAAGGGGGGCTAAATGCTCGCCAAGAAACCCCCTCAGCCATGGCGATGCTCTTCTTGGCAGCCAAGGTTTTCCTCTTTGCCAATTCCCGCTCCGAGCACCAAGCGCTTGGAGGTCTTGGGTCTTGGTTCTGGGCACACCCCTTCCTCCGTGTCACTTGGCACTGGGCATGTGCGTTTTTGAATTGTGCGCTTGAAGGAGGGTCCGACGGAGGACAAAGAATTTCCGGTTTCTGGTCTGAGAATTGGATACATTAATCTCGCTGCCTGATTTTTCTCGCGCTGGGGCTTTACCTCATGATGCAGGACAGTTGTGGATAAGGCTCTGAAATTGAAGATTATTAATAGTATATTGAACAGGAGATGTGAAATAGGGGATCTTCTCTCCAAGGTAACAGAAATCAACTCATTAAAAACTATTCACTCTCAAAAAGGAGACTGATTATCTGGTGGCAAAAGCAAACATGTGTCTGTGGTAGTACAAGTCTTTGTCTATTTCTATGCAATATACAAGATCTATGGTTCTAGTTACATGTTATATACAGAATATCACCCCTGCAGTGATACCATCTAACCTCAACACCCAAGCATTCCCGCCCTTGACCAGAAAAGCTCCAAGCCCTAACAAGTTCACCCTAGGCACGAGAGATCAAGTCCAGACCCCCCGCCAAGCAAGTCAAGCGCCGGGCTCGACCCTCGCTTTCTCTCTCTCTTCTCCCAACTCATCCCTCCAATCATCAAATTCACCGGCCAACCCTCCTCTTCGGTGGCTGATACCAACTCCAAATATTCAAACCCACCTTAGTTCCCTTCGTAACGGGATACGCCGCATGCCACGTCTCGGGATACCCCGTCCCATCAGCCCTCAAATTCTCCCAAAAGATCGCATTCCCCTTAATCGGCTTGAAAGTAATTCCTTCCGGCTGCTGGGTACCAGCATTTTCACGCTCATCATCGTCCTCACACTCCAAAAACCGACACCAGGCCTTCCCCACGGGCATTCTTAAACGAGGGAAATTCGTGCCCCCGCCTTCACAATCCGCCCCCAGGTACACCATAAATGTGCTTAACCGGTCACCCCCGCGCGCGAGAGACCCCGTCCAGTCAAAGTGATGCCGGTAATGACCGGAGGCATTGTAGCGTTGCGCCCACATGCGCTCGATGTAGAGATGGGGACGCCAGCCTTGAAAGGCGCGGGCACGGTCTTCGAGGCAGCGGACTGTATCGTCGCGGTCCAGGAGGGCCCGGTCGGAGAGGCGTTTTGAGGGGTCGATGCGTTCTTTGACGCCGTCGTAGATTATTGAAGGGGTATACTTATTTAGACTGTGGTTTGTTAGCTGTGTTTTTTTGCTTTTCTTTTGCTTGTGTAAGAGGTTGTTTGAATAGGACGTACCTGATATCGACTAGATGATCTGCCTCGGCAGAACTCACAAAGTTCTCAATGTACAGCACAAGTGGTGCCCTCGACAACAGATGTACTCGGTACCCCTCAGCCTCACCGGGACAATTCACGGGGACACCGTCCTCGGGACTAATGAAGCTGTCGTCCGTGAAATGCACAGTCGACGGGGTATGATCCCATTTCTCAAAGGCAGATCCATCCTCATCCTCCCATGAAGCTGAGGAGGATTTATCCGAGAAAAATGGGCGGATCAGCGGGTCCAGGACGAAGATGTATACGGGCACCAAGTAGAGGAGCCAGGTTATAAGTGTTGAGAGTTTTGGCGTGGATGGTGCCATTGGGGGTGAACGGGGAGGTTTGTCAGGTGGGTGTGATTGTTATACATGCGTAATGATGTTGAGTGACATGTAGATGGGACAAGATTGTACAATAGGGGAGAGGTTTTGGCGGGTCGTTCGTTAGATATTGCTCTTCATGCGTTATGTGACTGCGCCGGAGATGGGCGGGGATGCGTGAGGGGACCGTATCGGGGTCAATTGGCCGGACGAAGGTCTATCGGTGGTCGCAAGAACTGTGCGATTGAGACCCGGGCGTATATAGTGGCGCTTGAAAGGCCAGAGGCCATGTTGAAGGAAGGTCGAGCGTTGAGGGTGGTCCGATGGAGGAGATGTCGGGACTTGCGCGGCGATGTGGGTCTGGATCCGTCCGGTCTAAACCGCTCATGGTAGGTGACGGAGAATCTCATTTCGTGATGATTGAATGACTGAAAGGCTGGAATATATCAGAAGTAAAAGAAGTAAAAGCAAAATGTCTCCGAGATATGGGTAGCTGCTAAGGTATAAGGTGGTAGCCCTATTTCGAATCATAACATTCAAGAAAACTACTACCATTCCAACACGAACCCTGATCGCCGGTTCGAACAGACTGTCCAAAATATTCCCTATCCAAAATAAAAAAAAATAAAACAGGTAACGCCAACCATGTATAAATAAAATTTCTTTTTTGCGTCCTTTCATAAGTGCATGTCGTCGTAGCAAGCAAGAGACCTTATATAGAACATGTAGATTGAACATCGATGAACTTACACTCCGGCATTCATCCATTGAGTCCAATCGTCGTTGACTGCGCCAGCGCCAGGTCGAAAATTCGCAGTGTTGCCAAACAGATCGTCAAAGGAGATACCCAAGTCTACATTCATTCCAAGGGCATTCTCGTCGAGGCCCATATTGAAGTCGGGGAGCCCATTCTGAGGAGCAGTATCCTGCTGCATCGTGCTCGTAGTGGGTTCATTCTTCACGGTATCCACGTTCGCTGGTTGGAAATTATACCCTTGCCACACAAAGTTCTGATTGGGGATGGAAACCAAGTCTGGACTGCTGAGGTGTTCGCTGGGAGTCCCGCCTTGCGAGATCGGTGAGTGCAGTCGCGAAGGGCTCATAGGTTGTGTTGTAGGCTGTTGCAAGCGGCTAGGGATAGATGACTTTACCCCTGCCGTGGCGCCCACGGGGAAATTGGGGAAATTGGCAAATGCATCGAAACTGGGTGTGGATATTCCCGTTCCCGACGGGTCCCTCGGTGTATTTGATCCCATCCCTTGATGCTGAGAGGCAGAATCGAAGAAAGGTTGGTTCAGCGAGGCAGCGTTGCGCTCATGTTTGAAGTGATCATCCTCTAGTGTTGACAATGGTTGAGTGGGATAAGCAAATGGATCGCCCGAGGGGAACATCATGGGCATCAGATCTGGTAAATTGTCAGGGTTGTTGAACTGCTGAGCCCAGGCCAAACTTGACGGCTCTTGGTTGGAGAAAGATGCGTTGAATGAGTTTGCAGAATATGGTTCTGGCGTAGACATGGTCTCGGTCAGGAGCTCTGGCGTCGATGCCAGCCAGGCGGACTGCGTACCGCTTTCGGGCTGTCTGGCGGGTTGAGTGGTGTCTAAGCTCTTTTGCCGACGGCTTGCAGCAGGATTTGTTGAGGATATTGAGGACGATTGAGCCATTATCGGTACTGGGAATGTGCTCGAGCGATGAGGCACGGTTTGTACAGGCGGATTTTGAATCGACTCGGGCTCCATAGCAAAGTTGGAAGGAGCGCGTCGCTTCAAGTTGACGGGAACCTTGGAGCTTTGGCGGTTCTTCAGCATCTCCGGAAGAGTCTTGAACAGGCACTGTCGATGATGGTTAGATAAAAGTTGCCATAGAGTGAGAAAAAAAAACATACTGTTAGACTCTGGGAGCACCTGTCCGCTGCCATGCTCTTTTTGGCTAGCCCGGCTAGCGTGTTTTTGCCTTCCATGGCATCCTTCAAAACACCATCCTTGGCAGTAGGCGAATCAGGATTCTCCACCACGAAGAAAATGAGTGAGAGAATGGCAAAGTAGGTGGTATACATGGTGAACCAGAAGGAGCCATTAAGAAGGCCTCTCTTATGCATACCTGTCGTGATGTGGACAATGTTTCGGGATACGCTAACGCAAGCCGCAGCGCAAGCGTAGGACCGCTTATCGACGCCACGAGCTTGAGAGCCACCTGATACATAGTGTAAGAAGGGGCGGTACATGACCATCTGTACATGCGCGTAACTGATACGCAATAGTTGACGGATGCTAATGGAGAAAACGATTAGCCAGATTCGCAAGTGAAAAAAGACTCACATTGTAGACTTACCGCTCAAGCTGGGGTGACACTTCCGTGCCTGGACGCAGCGCTGGGGGAAGTTCCTCCATCCAAGCCTGCAGATCACGCTCAATCTCGCGGATCTTCGAATGGCTGACCATATAGCGCTGATCAGACTTGGACCGATAGCGCGCGTTCTTCACCGGATAGATGTATTTTACCACCTTCAGCACGACGTTGCAGAGGCGTGTATGCGCATTACATCCGGCCATCAGGGGGGTATAGTCGGAAGGCATCTGAGTAATACCTTCTGCGGTAATGAACTCTCCGTCGACTTCCATCGGATATTCTTGGTCGATGTCGTCGTCGCTCAGCATTTGAGGAAGACCCAGCAAGGTGCTCACGTAGACGTCCATCTTACGAACGACCCAGAAAATGCGCTTGCGCAGCTCTCCCTCAATCGGGTTGAAGTCGGCCGTAACGGTACGATGGAGTCCCAATCGTAGCGCTGAGCGAAGCGCAATACCAACGTACGAGTAACAGGTACTGAGCTTGGCGGACGATTGCAGGAAGAGCACCATGAAGCAGATTGCTTGCAGGGAGGTGAGATCTCGGCAATCCGTAATTTCCAGTAGTTGTCGTCCCGCCTTGAAAAATTGGAACCTGCGACGGCAGAGTTAGCAACCTCATACGAAGTTCACCTAAAACTGACAAAAGATTTGACTCAACCTACCCTTGACCAATCGCACCCTCATAACCAGCGAGATCCAAAGTTCCGGCACCGTCATCCGAGAACAAACATCCGACCGCCATCACAATATACAACAGGGGCAAGAACGAGTTCTCTTCGTTACCAAATTGCTCAGGTGGCGTTTCATAGATGCGGTCAAGGCTCTCGAAGAATTTAGGCTCGATCACGAAGCGCATCAGAGAGCAGGCATCTTCCAGTGCATTGCGACATAGTCGGATAGCGACCGCCCGCGGAGGGAGATCGTGCGTAGGAGGCAGTGAGGCATCCTGCGGGGAATCGGATACGGACACCGACCTGGGGCTTCCGAGCATCGCCGCGACGTTTCGAGGCACGGGCGCTTCGACTGCACCTAATTGTTTGCGCAAGCGGCGGACAAAGATGATTCCCGAAGTATGCCCATGATAGTCCCAATGTCCCTGATCATCACGGTCTAGACAGCCCGTATTTCCAACCATCGTCTCCAGCAAGGATTCGTCACCGGCTTCAGGGCCGGTTTCCGCGGAAGTACTATGGGGTTTAGCAGCGACCCCGCCGGTCGCCACTGGCTTGTCCTTCGGGTGAATTGGTAAACGATACTCGGGAGCGTTGACGTCTAGATCCGGGTCGTCGAGGTTGACATCTGGCAGGACCGTTCGGAGGAGGGCCTCGGCCTTTTGCATGCGGGCTTCCAGGGCTTCGACATACTGCGGGGCGGGATTGCGACGACGGTTGGAGGGTTGGTCGTACGAACACTCTACGGGACGTTAGCCACGTGTGGGCGGAAACGCAGGGGAAAAGCACGCGAAAAAAAAAGCAACCCAGGGCGGAGAAAGCGCACCATAGCTATAGACGGTACAGTGGGTACAAGGTTGTTTGCCGTCACACTTGATCTTCTTCCGGCGACATTCGTCGCAAGCGCGACCTACTCGTCGGCGCTTCTGGAGCGGCAACGATTGAGGGGTGAATTTAGGGTCCGAGGAAGGGGTTTCCTGAGTCGAGGCGAATTGCGAGTGGTCGGCATCGTCATGAGGATAGTCATTCAGTGCCGGGTCGTCGTCGCTTTCACCATGCGCTCCGGAACCACTCGCCATGATCGATTATCGAGGAGGAGGGGGCGACCGGTGAGATTTAATGATTCATGTAAGGAGAGACGGGCTTGGCGGGCGATCTGATCTCAGAGATTATCAATCGCCCTCCGTGCGGTCGCATTCGCAAATGGCAGTTCGGGAAGGGGATCGGACGAATGACGAAGCGGCAATGATAGTCGATCGGTCGAACGGTCGTGTCGAATCGTCAAGAGATCAGGGAGGGAAGTGAAGAAAAAGGGACGAATAAAAAGTGGAGTCACAAGAAAAGAAGTCGAGGAGATCGTCGCGCGAGCGAGCTTGTCGGAGGAGGGGGAGGGGCGATGGGGAATTCAGGGTATGGGGGATTAGAAATTGGGGGAGATTTCTCGACGTAAGAGGGATGATGAAATAAGAATTCCTTTGACCGAAAGCGGTGGAGGGAGGGGACAAAAGAACCAGGAAACCAAAGAAGAGCAGCCCAGTCCACCGTTTAGCTGAGAGGAGGAGGAGGAGAGATGATTCCAGAGGTCGACTTAATCAAGTGGATGACTCCAAATTGGGGAGGGGAGAGAGGAGAGGAGAAGAGGCTGAAGTTGGGAGAATACCGGAGAGCTTAGTAGTACGAGAGTGGACTGCGAGAAAAGAAGGGAGAGAAGAATCATCGAAAAATCATCGAAGGCCACTAGAACGGAACCAGACGTGGCTCACGAACCATATCCTATACTGAAAGGTGAGAAATTGGAAGCAGGAAAGTTCACTTTTCTCACCCCGAAGCTTCCGTCGGAGTCATTTGACCCAATCCTGTACTGGACTCGGTACTTGTGAGAAGAAAAGATCTATTTTCTTACGTCGTTCTAATGGACCAATTGCGCATTCTCTCCTCCATCGGACTTTGACAGGACGCGAGCCCGACGCCCTGTGCGCTGGATCTTCCAAGGTTCTTCTTTGGTGAGCTTGAGCCCTTGAGGCATTTTCCCGGCCTCGGCTCGTACGCCGAAATAAATTTCAGGGACCCAGTCGTATGAGAGAGAGAGCAGGAACGATCGTGATTAGTTAGTTAGCACAGAATGAGTAACTAACTAACGTAGTTAACTAACTGGCCAGCGCCTTCCAGACGGGTCTCCACTCCAATTGAGACCTCGGCCATCCGTTTCTCTGCCCGTCAAATCGGCATCGGCCATCCCGGCGAAAAAACCGAGCTGCCCTACTGTCCCATCGCCAGTTCGATCGGATTTAAGAAATCGGGTCTGGTGAGAAGCTTGATCGGCATGGAGCTGCAAAGACTTACTCCGCTTGCCATACAGAGTATCTTCTTGTGTGTGTAGAGATACGTTCCCTATCCTCCGTGACTTGGGATAAGCTAGATACGAACGAAGACTGCGGTACCGACTGTCTTTGGTATAAGGTCTCCCCGAATTCTCCTCTCATGCAGCGACTCCAACGTCCGGGGCGCATCTCGGTCCGATTGCTAATCCTACCAGCGCATGGCAAGCAGACCGCACCGACGGATTGGGCTGCGATCGCCAAAATCCCCAATCATGCGGAGTTTATCTCCGGAGAGGTGAGGGCTTTGCGGCTATTGCGGGCCGCAACGATTGATCTTCTGAGGTATTTTGGGACTTTGATATTTCTCTGTATGGTTCAAGTTCCGGTGATCGACATTTTCCCATCTCCTGTCTTGTACCTCTCGTTGAGGAGGGGTTGTTGTCATGGCCAGTTTAGGGACCAACTTATGTACTGTGTATACTACCACATAGGATTGCGACTGCAGTGGAGGCTTCTATAATTTGTCCCGGCCAAACTTCAAAATCATCGCATCGGCCCTATGATGAGAAACAATATTCTTGAGTGCTATCGAGGAACGGGTTAGCCCACCGAGAGCTCCTACCTAGGCCTGTATATTGTGAGAGTCAGACACATGATAGTGGATACGACCCGAACCTCGTTGCATAGAGGTATGTCTGTACATACCTCTATTTACCTCTATAGTCGGATTGGCGCCCTTCCATCGAGCAGTAGGAGTTGCAGAACCGTCCTTGCACCCTGGTGGCCTGCCTTACGGGCTCGTCTCCATCCTATCACCAATTCTCACCGTCCGAAACCGTCGTGACTTGCAGCATGTGCAACTCCTCACTGCGACGCGGACTGGCATCCCCGACGCGCCCCTCGATCGTGCCTGTCGCAAAGGGATCGGTCATGCAGAGAGAAGAGATGCCTATGCAATGCCGTCCAAAACAGTCCCGTAGATTCCGCCCTGTGACGCGCCCAGGAATGCCAACGCCTACTCCCGCGCGGAGGTGGCTGACATGCCGTCGGATCGTGAACCCGTCAACACGACGAGGAATGGATAACACGATGGGATCAACCGTGCGATACATTGCTTGAACTTGTTCCTAGTCTCAGCTAAATTGGGAACGTAAAGGAAGGCATTGAGCTCATTGGCCAAAAGAGCCGTGGCATGAATCAGTTTGCACCCCAGAAACGCCAACGACATTTGCTTCGACGAGGAGGAACCACGATTTAAGCTCATCCATCCCTCAGCCCTGCAGCGCCCCGAGCTCTGTCGTCATGGCTCAACAGTCGAGTCCTGTAGCATAATTGCTTGAAACAACAAAGGGGGCCGTTCAAAGGCACTCCGTCACGCTAACGGCTTGGCACATTGGTCGATTCTGCAGGAGAAAGGAAGCGATTGATGGGCCTTCAGCTAGAGCGGGTCCCCTCACGTCTGACGTCTCACCGGACATTCTGATGCCCTTTCCCTTGTCCTAGTCGATGATCTTCGTCGTTTTCCAACTTTACCCCATTCTGTGAGTCGGTTAGGCTATTCGATCGATTTCCCCCCCCCCCCCCCCCCCTTTTGGCGCGTCCCACTTTCCCCCGGTGTGGATACATTATTCACGAACGCGAAACTCGGTTCTCCTATCAGTCGCCTGCTTGGCTCTCAGGATTTTCCTAGTGCTTATTTATGAAATTTATGGTTCTCGGTTGGATCAATCATTGCTGATCGCGGATCGCCGATCTTTTCAGCTGTCTGATCAATTCTTGTATCTGGTTATCTCTTCCTCTCGACTGCCCTCTACGCCTTCTTCGAGGACGACCCCTTTCACCAAGAGTATTCCGTGCTGGCCATGACTTGGTAGGCTCATGGACTCATGAAAAACCCATCATGCCCTATTTTCTCGTCACGCTATGCTGCACCTTTGCAGCCCTGGGCTCGTTCTTGTTCGGCTATGATTCCGGGGTAATCTCTTCGAGTATTGAACAAGACGCCTTTTTGAATTATTTCGGCTCCCCGGGCTTATCCGATGCTGCCAGTGGAGGGATCATTTCTTCATATACAGGTATCCCACTTGCGCGAGAATTTGCCACAATATCCCCCCTCTCCCAAGAAATTCCCTTAGCTCGGATCTCATCTAATCTTGGAGAACAGGAGGTGCCATCATCGGGTCCCTTCTCGCGCCATACGTCTCCGATTTCTATGGACGTCGAATGGTCATTTTCATCGGTGGACTGCTGGCCACGCTGGGTGCGGCGCTCCAGGGTGGTTCGGTCACCGTCGCGATGCTTATCGCCGGTCGATTCATCGCGGGCGGGGCTATCGGACTCATGTCGGCCACGATTCCTGTCTACTGTGTATGTTCATCGCAATCGATATGAGAATTGGATCCTCAGCGCTATTCCAATTCATGGACTAACTTGAGCAAAGAGCGAGGTTGCACCGCCGCGTATTCGTGGTTTACTGGCCAGTATGCAGCAGTGGATGATAGGGCTGGGCATCATGGTGGCGGTAAGCTGGCATTCCTCTTTCTCTAGCCCGCATGCTAACACTTCTTTTTCCAGCAATGGGTTGGCTACGGATGCTCCCTACGCACTGGCAATTTCTCTTGGCGATTCCCGCTATCCTTCCAAACCGCCCCGGCCGTCATTCTCGTCTGTGGTATCTGGTTTCTCCCCGAGTCCCCACGCTGGCTCATCGAACATGGCCAAGAAGAATCCGGTCGAGCAGTCCTCGCCCGTCTCCATCTGAATAGCAATGCATCCAACCAAGACCTCGTCGAGCAAGAGATGAACCAAATCCACCAAAGCGTCGCCAATGAAAAACAACTCGTCGTCCGCTCATGGCGCCAGCTCTTGCTCTCCCGCCAATGGCGCTATCGCATCATCCTCGCATGCGGTATTCAAGCCATGACCCAATGCTCCGGCGTAAACATTATCCAAAACTATGGACCGCGACTCTACAAGACACTAGGTCTCTCCACGTCCACTTCACTGATGATTATCGGTGTCTGGGGCGCACTCGCGCAATTCTGGAACACCGTCTTCATGACTTTCATCGACAAAGTCGGGCGACGCAAGTTGCTCATCCCGTCCCTGTTGGGCATGGGCGCGGTAATGTGTGTCGAAGCTACACTGGCGCGATACGTCGATTTCAGCGATACAAACGCCAACCCGAATGCACTGCGCGCCGCGATCGCCATGTTCTTCATTTTCTCCTTATTTTTCACGGCTCTGGGTATGATCTCGTGGATCTATCAGTCCGAGATCTTTCCAACGGCTATTCGTGCTCGAGGATCGTCCGTGGCGACTGCTACCAATTGGAGCTTGAGTTTGATTTTTGCGCAGTGTTCGCCGATTGCGTTGACTAGGATTGGGTCGGATTATTTCTATTGCTTTGTTGCGTTTAATTGGGTCGCGGTCTTTGTGGTTTGGTTCTGGTATCCTGAGACCGTTGGGCGGTCTCTCGAGGAGGTTGAGGAGGTTTTTGGGGGTCGGTCTCGGGATGTTGAGCCTGAAGTTACCGTTCGGGTCTCGGAGAGCCCAAAGACCGAGTGGACGCCGCCACGATCACATCTCCAGCATAAGGGTGTTCACCCTTTGTCGATGCATCCAATTACCTGTGGGAGTTGGAGTAGCAAGGGTGGCTCGTCACCTAGGTTGTGGGGTAAACAGATAGAGGCAGGTACAGTATAGAGAAGATGAACAGCATTGACGTAAATATTGAGAACGAACCACCTTTGTTGGGTACTATATTCATTGATTTGTCCTTATACATACAAACTTTCCATCGTCTATTGATTGATCACGTCCCGCATCACATCACCAATCGCATCAGCACCACCACGGCCGCCCAGCAGCTTCTCATTCGTGGTCTGAATAATGACTCGACGGTAGCTGATTAGCGCGGGCGATCCGTTATCCTTCACCTCCAGCACCAGATGCAAGAGCTGACCCTTGGGCACAGCAGCCCGACTGATCAGCTCCACACAACACTTCTCAGGTGGCGGCAGGGTGACCTCCACCATGCTGCCGGCGTCGTTAAGCGGCCTGATAACCAACTGACCAACTTCGTGGTGAACGGACCACTGAGTCGCACTAGGGTCACAGTACTGATACCATTTGAAAGTCAGAGAGTCGTTCGGATCGGGATCATACGAGGCAGTGGCATCAAGTCTAAATGTAGCTCCGGCCTCGAGCTCAAAGTGCAGCGGCTCAGGACCCATGCTACCATTGATATCCACTATGGGATGGTGATTCGCCTTGCCCAGCTCAGGCGAGAGCGACCACTGCATGCGAGCCGCAAAATCATTCTGGAACGCATCGCGCCAGCGCCAGATAGTCGCTTGATTGGACTTGTACTGCCGGCCGTCCTTGCCCGTGACTTCATCCACAGCATCGCTGAAGTGTCCGTTAGACACGCCCTGGCCGCTAATATCCGTGGCGATATAGCGACCACCCCAGGATCCGAACTCGGGGTGTTCGGGTACGCCGAGACCGTTCTGGATGATGTATAGGAAAGTCGGAGTGTCGCCCTCGGGAATGAACATGAAATCGGGATACGTGGAGCCCAGAGGTCCAATCTGAATGTGCTCTCTGATCCATTCCTTGCTGATCTTGGTCGGGTCGGGACCGCCCTTGTCGAAGCCGTACCACCCGTCCCCAGAAATTCCGGTCCATGCAGCCATACCGTACTGGTTCCAGCCGTGGACGGAGCAAATGTAGAAGATGTCCGGGCAGTGGTGGCGGATCCAAGCACCGGTGTCGTCCTGATCGGAAATGGCATACACGCGCAATTTTGAGCGTAGCTTGGCGGCGTCGGCCGCGGAGTACGTATTGTGGATTTTGAGGAGGACGGAGGCGAGGACGTTGGTTCCCCCCCAGCAGAGGATCCAGAGAGGGTCGTCCGTGGGAGCTTGGATGCTCTCGAGAAGCAGTTCGCCGCCCTCGCTGAGGGGGATGTCGTTGCCCACTGCTGTCATGCCATAGCTCTGCAGTATCACTTTAGTTGAAGAACAAGGTTACAAGTCACTCTGGATTGTTACCTCTGCACCCTTCTTGACCAAAGACCTCAGGTACTGTGCTGTCGGGTACGGATCGTTCGGGTGGGCATGAGCATTCAGATTATCGATGACCTTCTCATAACCATCGATGATTTTGTGCATGTCCTGCGGACACACCTTGTTCTTCATCCATATCGACGTACACGCAACTAGGCCCTCCGTTCGAAATTGGTTCGAGTACAATAAATAGCGCACTAGCGATTCCGCATCATCGGGCTCGTTGGAGATGTCGCTCAGGATAAACACCCGCGGCTTAGATGGATAAGTCTGTAACTGAGAGGACGATGCCATTGTGCAGTGAGGGTAGTTGAATAATGATCAAGGACAGAAACAGTCTCGTTCAAGGTCGGCCATATTTGAATCCAGCCAGACCCCCGCATATTTCCAGGAATCGCAGTTGGAGCCACAAAGGGCCGAGTCCGGGGGAGAGTGGGGAAAGGGAGTGCGGGCCAGAGAGATGCCGGGGTTCTGCCGAAGAAGCGACCTAAAATGAGCCGACTCGATCCCAAACGAGAAGTTGCAACCGCCGGACAACCGAATGGCTTCAACACCGTACTCGAACAGAAAGATCAATACCCCACGAGATGCTATGTAGTATGGGAGTTTGATACTCCGCTCTCAACATGGTAGTCGGAGCCACCAAATGCCTGAAAAAAAGACACACACATTAGAGGACGGCCTCCTTATTAATCGTAGGCTTTTTGTCCACATTGTATCCTTCCATCCTAGATTCTGAACCTAGCCAATATCAATCACACGCACAATGGTCAAGTCGACTATCACTCTAGCTTCTGGCAAGGAAATGCCCCTCGTGGGCTTCGGCCTGTGGAAGGTCCCTAAAGAAACCGCCGCCGATACTGTCTACAACGTTAGTATTACTTTCGGCCTGGCTAAGAAGTTTTATCATGGGCAATCTCCTAATGCATAGCAGGCTATCAAAGCAGGGTATAGATTATTCGACGGTGCCTACGACTATCAGAACGAAAAGGAGGCTGGCGAGGGTATCCGTCGCGCCATTGCAGACGGCCTAGTGACCCGCGACCAGATCTTCATTACTACCAAGCTATGGAACAACTACCATCGCCGCGACCACGCCCTAGCCATGGCTAGGAAGCAGAATGAGACCTGGGGCCTTGGGTACATTGACTTGTTCTTGATCCATTTCCCCTGCGCATTGAAGTATATCGACCCAGCCGTGCGACAATACCCGGTACGTAACATTCCGCGGCATTCAATTATATCTCAATGACTATCCAATGGTGCACTTGCTGACGGCCTTCAGGCCTGGTGGATGGATGATGCCGGCACCGTCGAGACGGACAAGGTCCCTATCCGCGAAACCTGGGAGGCGATGGAGGAGATCGTGGACAACGGTATTGCCCGCAGCATAGGCGTCAGCAACTTCCAGGCACAGTCGATCTACGATATCCTCAGCTACGCCCGCCACCCGCTCTCCTCTCTGCAGGTCGAGCATCACCCCTACCTCGTGCAGCCCGAGCTTGTCCAGGTCGCTCAGGAGAAAGGCATTGCGGTCACCGCTTATTCTAGCTTCGGCCCCCAGTCCTTTGTCGAAATGCCCGCACAATTCTCCGAGAAGGCCAAGGATATTCCATTGCTCTTTGATGCCGAGCCTGTTAAAGTGATTGCTGCGAAGTATAATGTCACACCTGCTCAGGTTCTTCTGCGATGGGCAACCCAGCGGTATGTCAACACACATTTGTTGGAGGTTGGGTGATTTTCTGGGTGAGGTCATGATACTAACCTTCTGATAGTAATGTTGCCGTGATACCCAAGTCAAATAACCAGTCTCGTCTTGCGCAGAACTTGGATGTCGTGGGCTTCGACATGACTGCGGACGAGCTCACGTCTATCGCTGCTTTGGACAAGGGCTTGCGCTTCAACGACCCCGGTCACTACCTGCCCAACCACCCGATCCGCATCTTTGCTTAGCGAGATGTGAAGACCATGTATCTCATATTATGGAGTTTCAGAAACAAAGGAAGGTAGAACGCTGACAGTTAAGAAATATCACAAATGATATATATTAAGATATAACAATATGAATTCTTCATTCGCTGTCTGGTGAAGCGGAAAGTTGTTGTGGGTATTATATAATTGAACATAGGTCATAGCAGGGGCGTCCTCACTTGAATAGTGAAGGCATGATATAGCTCGTCAATGGGGCATCAAGAATTTCCCGGCGTAGATCAGACTCCCACGAAAATATGGATGACTCTTGTACTTGCAGGGTGAGACATGAGAAAAGGAAGTCATTGAGTCGATGCCACGAGTCAGCGTTCAATCTCTTCGCAATCTTCAACATACGACCAGCAAACCAGGGTCGGGCGGATGGCGAGGTCGCCGTGGGGGAATATTGAGTAAAGTCTGGAAGCTGCTCTGAGGAAGCAGGGGAGACGTTTCCATCGGCCACTGCGTGCCGGGTGTCTGTAGGGCCGTCGTTGCACTCCAGGAGAATCTGAAGAATTGCCTCGACAGAGCCGCTCATACTGACTTCGCTGTCGACCATGGCTTGTTCTAGTGTCTTCAGGAAAATCCCAGCGCGGGAAGGTGTATACCTGTAATCCCACAGGCCGGCGTTGAGCATCATGAGAGCTGTCAGTCGGGCAACCATTTGTTTTCGATCTCCAGAGGTAGTGAATCGAGCACCAGAAGGGGCCGCTAGGGTCTGGTATAGGATGGAGATTGGTTGGACTGCTTCATGCCTGGAAAGATCACAAGCTTCTGGGTTATGTTTCTGGTATAGAGCTAATTGCTCGCAGCGGCGGAGAAAATCAAGGAATTCCTCGCATTGGAGTCTGATCTCGTCGATGGGTGAGCTTATATGCATGGGCACGGTATTTTGAATAGTTTCCAAAGATGGAATGTCCGAGCATGCAGAGGAAGTGGATTCGGGAGGGGAGGGCATCGAGTTGAGGTGATTAGAAGGTTGAGATGATGAGCGAGGGGGTTCAGACACGGAGGCTGAGGAAGGTGGACATTTCTCGAAGAAGAAACTCGGCCCGTGGGTTTCATAACCCGAGAGGATATAATCTTGCCAATTGATCAACATCCCAAGCCGAGTATGTTCAAAGGCGACCGGTCCTCCTCGCGATCGAATCATTTCGCGAGCCGCGCGCATATGCATCCAACTGATCTCTTTGTGACCGGGGCGGGGATCAAAGTCCTCAAGCGCAGCAGCACTCAAGCACGAAATGATAGCGACGTCCGAGTTGTCGCGGGGGTTTTTGCTGAGATGTTCACGAAGCATCGTGATGGCCCGGTCTCGATGTATAAGAGTATTCGACGTTTCAGTCTGATTGCGGACCCAAATCCACGTATTCGCGGCATGAACGAGAATGGTGTTTTGAAATGCCACGGCTCCCTTCATTGCCTCTGGAACAAAGACTTTGGTGTACCAATTGTGGGCCTTGGTCGACCGAAAATGGGTCCCATATGAACATGCAGGCATCTCATTAACGTAAAAGTCAAAGAGCTTCTGTCCTTCAAGATCTAGTTCCAATGGAAGGGTGTTGAATGGATCTGTTCTCGCTGCACTAAGGATAGTTCGAGGCGACCTTGTGAAATCGAGGGGCGTCGTGGGTGTTGAAGACCATGCTGCAAGACTGTGGAAGTCCGTCATCTGGCTCTGAGTCCGAGGAGATATGTCGATGAAATCATCCACTTGAAATGGGAATTCATGACGTTGCAATTGTGATGTATGGAAAGGTAAAGTAGTAGTCGTCTGAGCTACTGACGACGGGTCAACCACCTCGGACATGGAGCTCGGGGCAATTTCTTCAACATCGGAGACCGCGTCTTCTTCCTCTTCTGCAGCTGGTTTCTTCTCGGCTGGCGATGACTGTTTGGAGTCTTTATCGGCCTCCGCTGCTTTTTTCATATATTTGCGCTTTGTAGCTCTGGGCTTCTTACGCCGACCACGCTCACTCGGGCGGCTAGCAGATTCGTCACTCTCGCTGTTGCGTGAGCTCCCTTTCTTTTGGCGTATATACTCTTGCATGACATGACGTTTAACTTGTGTCAGGTTGCTTCGACTATTATCAGAAGTGTCGATAAATTGCCACCGCGTGTTGGCAGGATCTTGTGTCGTGCCGGAGCTCTCCCTGTCTGACGCGGCCATTGTTGAAGCGGGGTAGAGATGTGCGATTCGCACTGAAAACCCCGGTCTTCCTCGCCGTAGGGGCACTGCAGTGTCTCCTGGAATGTAGAGAGGGGCAAGTTGGACACGGCTAATATTTGCGAAGTCCGACAGATGTCATGGAGATGCCTCGACCAGCCTGTGTAAGGTGAAGGTATGAGTTGAGAAAGGATCCGTTGCCGCTAAGGCGAATCGAGGTAGATGACGCCTGAGATCTCGCCGGCAGGAACAATAAACATGTAGAAAGAAAGGAGATCAGTTACGGTGGAGCAGCATCCAACGTCGCGATGATAAGTGAAATCAGCAGAACCAATGGCTCCACCGGGCGCTGGCGCATTACATAAACTGGAAAACGCAATTCCGTCTCTCCACTGGACCCCGTCTCGTCCAAAATACCCCGTTTAGAACAGTCGTGGGAAAGCTAAGACCAAGTCAGCCTAGGGGTCCAGCGTGCCGGTTTCGATACTTGGACACGTGTGTTTCGACGACCCCCTGGCAAAGCTGGATCTTTTGAGGCTGAGCAAATCACACAAAGTCGACTGCTGCTCACGTTTGAATGGGGCAAAGAGTGAGCACAGGCATAAGGCGCTAAGTTAGTTAAGTTAACTTAGTTAACTAGTTGTTAGTTAACTAACTAGTTAGTTAGTGTGACGAATGAGTCAGCCGAAAATCAATGGAGACTTAGAGGCTGAACTTTTGCAGTCCGGACGGTTCTGATCTGATCACTGCCCGATCGGATTTATCTCGATGGTTCCAAACTACACCACGATTAGCCAAGTTGGCCTCCTGATTGTGAAGAAAGGGACAATGACTCGCACATTTTCCCCCGTTCTCGGTTAGTCGGGATCATTGGAAGCCACTTTTTACAGAAGCTCTGCGGCTCTTCGTCAATAATGGCAGAAGCATCTGCACGTTTCGTTCGGCTCAATAAGGAGTATGAGTATGGCCGTGGGTGATAGTTTCACCCAATCTATTTCCTCTATTGGGCGACCCTAAATCCCTTGGCGTTCCTGACATCCTAACGATCGTCACCAGAGTCTCTCCTTGCCAGATTCCCCGGCTAATCAATCGCCCTATTGGATCTTTTACTGCGCCCCTCGTACCGTCAGCGATATACTATTTTGAGTATAGTCTTGCTCCTGCGGGCTAGGGCGGGCACTCTTAGCCTAGAGTCCCTTTCATCGATGTTATCATTGCATCTCAATGTCAGATTCCGATTTCCTTGAGTCCGCATACTCGAAGTACTTGACCACAGTCTTGGCTTCTCTGGGACTACACAAATAGCTACGTCGCGCTTCTTAGCTACAAATACACAAGGGCAGAACCTTGATCATATGCATTGCATTGGAGAGCCATGCCTCATGATAAGAACCCACGTCTTCTCAATCCGATAAGCAGCACCAGGGAGAGCGCCAGTAACAATCGTCAGCGATAAGTTTAATTCCATGTATTAAGAGTTCAGCTGCAGTCAGACGCTACGCCCTGAATGCTCACATGGCCCCCAAACTCCTGCAGATGCAGATGCTTCATGCTTCATGATTCCCCAGCGAACTAAGAATAGGGAGATTACATTCCAGATTATGTATGGTCTCGATGCCCGCCTCGTCATCATGAGCTGCACCCACTCGATGGCCATGCAGATGGGGGCCAGACAAGATGAATCTCATAATCCACATGAGATTAGACCCCGCCCACCACGTAGTGGTCGCCGAGTACATAGGCAGCTGTGCTGGATCATGTTATAGCTATCCTGAGCAGTATCAGCCATAAATGGTGATTCCAGACAACGTCGGCTATCATAGCTCGATGGTTCTGGGATTAGCTGCCAATGTCAGCATACGGAGTACAGAGCAACCAGTCGCGCCGCGGTCGGCACTGTCGCGTGTCGAGCAGCTCACCGCCTTCATTTTGTGTTCAAACTCCGCACCTCCGATTTGCGACGCCGAGATCAAGGGACTCTTCATGACAATAAACCGCGCTGGACTGGGGTTTTCTATGATCCAAGTTGCCGTTTGAAGTTTTTCTCATTTTCCATCGAAATTAGTGATTCCTAAATCCGTGAATTGACGGAGCAGCGCTTCCCTGAGCCACCAGCGGAGCCATCGCGTCAAATCCGTCAGAAATCCCCCAGGTTTCGACACTGACGTCTCAAGAGACCACTTCGATCGCACATCTCTCGTCGCATGAGTGTCGTTAGCGCGCGATCCGTCTGAGCTTGAGCGTGGCATATCAGGAAAAATTCACGCACGTCCCATGATGCCTCTAACCCTCATCGGATTTTAGTGCATCTAGGTCTCTGCCCGCGCCCTCTTCGCTACGAACATATCCTGAACCTGTTCGACCCGCTGGACGTTCAACAGGGCGCACCATATCAGTGTTCCAAGAGACAACCAAATACTCTTTGGCCTTGTATTTGCCCGACCTTGGCTATGATAGCAAAGATGGACGGGCCAACGGGGGCAAACCAGACAAACGGGACCGATACAACTGAAACGATGGGCAATCCCTATGAAACAAACCCAGATCGAATCCCCCACGATGACCCGTTTCTCGCGCAAAATGCTCAATACGGTCGATATACCTCACACCCCGATGATTTTACCCCTCCCGACAAGCACTGGTACCAGTCTGATCCCGAGGCAAATGCGTATTGGCAGAAAGTTGCGCAAAGGTTTTGCACCTCGGGGAATTCACTGAATGTACCCGGGTCAAGGGAGGCATTCGCTGCAGGCAGTGTAATCCTCCGGGTCGACCGCGAGTCTGCCGAGGGCGCAGCTGCCGAGCGATACTCGTGCGCGAACGCGAACGAATTATCCGCAGCGCGGAAAGTCGAGGAGTCGTTGAGGGAGATTGGAGTTGCGGTGCCGGTGATATATTTCTGTGGGACGATTGAAGGCAGGAATGTGACGGTCGAATCTCGAATCCCCGGTGTGTCACTGGATGTTGCATGGCGATATCTCAGCTCGGAACAGATTGAGGTCGTGAAGAATCAATGTCGCCAAATCATGCTGCACCTGACAACCATCGATCCTGTCCCCGAAGAACCTTCCTACGTATGCCGCGGACTCAATTCACAAAAGCTGCCATCAACGGAGGAGCAGGAGCGCGATATACTTCTTGCGGCGCGGAATCCGGAGGAAGAGCTCAGTCTCACGCATAACGATCTCGTTCCGGCCAATATCATCGTGAAAGATGATCGCATCGTGGGCGTTGCTGGCTGGCGACATAGCGGGTACTTTGGCCTCGATCGAGCCAAAAAGGTACACCGACAGTTCAGGAATTTGGAACCTCGCCAAAAGACGAAGGATGGGAACACGGCATGGATTGATCTATACGACGACGCTTATGACCCGAGTAAGGGCATCCCCTTGGTCCCTAGCAGAGATGCTGTGCTTCCACTTGTGAAAACAGAGCCTACTGGTTCAACACTGGATAGGTTCCCTGTCAGCGATGAGCTAGAAACGAAGTCAATGGGCTGGGACGGGACAGGCGACTACCTGACGTCAAAGAAGCTCGCAGGTCTCAAGACCGGCATTACTTCGCGCGCTTCTTCAACGGACCGATCCTCTCCCGCACTGTCGGTCAAGCCAACCTCAAACAGGAAAGCTGCGTCAGCCGCTACGAAAAAAGGCACTGCAAAGAAGCCAGTTGCGAAGAAACGCAAGGTGAACGATGCCGATGCCGACAGCATCGATGGGCGCCGATCAAACACCCCGGCATCTCGCACTAGCAAGGGCCCTGGGAAGAAACAGGGTTCCGTTTCTATTGCAGGATCCCCGGCGCCTGATGACAAGAAGAGGCGGGGCAAGGAGCAACTGGCAGACGAAGACGACGAGGACGTCGAAGATGAGAATGAACTGTTCTGTATCTGCCGGCGACCGGACAATCATACATGGATGATTGGATGCGATGGGGAATGTGAAGACTGGTTCCATGGCAAGTGTGTCAAAATCGATCCGCGAGATGCAGACTTGATCGATAAATACATATGTGAGTATCTCTCTGGACCCTGGACTGCCCTGACTTCAATCCGTCTAATCAAAATCCCAATAGGCCCAAACTGCAGTAAGCGCGATAACGGCTTTACAACATGGAAACCAATGTGCCGCCTCCCCGAGTGCCGCAAACCGGCTCGCGTCAATCGCAAGAGCCCGAGCAAATATTGTTCCGATGAGCATGGTAGGGAATTCATGCTTCGACAAACCCGCCAGTTCAAGCTGGGACCTGCTCGAAAGGGCACCGAAGACTTGGGCAGTATGGGTGGCATCCTCACCCGGGGAGATCTTAGAGCCGCGATCCTGGGAGTAACCTCGGTGCAAGAGTTCCGGAAATTGGGCAACCAGATAATTTCCACGCCCCCGGAAAGCAGCCGCGGTAGCCCAGCGTCTAACATTAAGAATGAGACGAAAACATCAGCCGCTGATAAGCTGTTTGATGTCCATGCTAGTGGCGTGGAATACTCAGCCGACGAGGCAGCGAAGATAGACAAGCTTCGCCAACGACGGGATGACCTCCTTCATCGAAAGGAGATGCTCGCAGCTCGTTCGACTTTCGTTGGGCTCGTGCGCCAGCGATCCAAGGCAGTCGTGGAAAGACTCAAGCAGAATGAGCCAAAGGGTGGATGGAAGGATATTTGTGGTTTCGATTCGCGACTTGCGTGGGCTGACAAGGAATTCGACGAGTGGCGACTCTCCGAGGCTGGCAAGAAGGCGCTGGATGAAGGCACCCCCGAAGCCATGGCAGCCAGCTATCCTACCACGACTGATGCCGACGGTGACATCGCGATGGACAATGATGAAAAAGAGGATGCGATGGCTGTCCTGACTCGGGGTATCTGTATCAAGAAACGCTGCGAGAGACATAAGCAGTGGGTCAAGGTGCAACAGCAGGATATTGTCTTCGAAGAGGACGCAGCCGAGCAGGACCTTAAAAGATACGAGCAAGAAGCTCGCTCCGTGGCAGAGCGTGCTGTGCTCAGGAAATGGGCTGAAAAGGAGAATGTTCCCTCCGTGGCCTGATGGCAATGATCAGCAGAGCTCTGTTTCACACGTTGAGGACTATTCACTCATTTTTCGCGTCCGCCAGAGTGAAGTCGAATTCGATTTAGCAAGGGACACAAAATCATGATACCCCCATTCTCTAATAATGTAAAAGCGGTTGGTGGATCGGAGTTGGTATCCAGCATTGCAAAACGGGCGCTTTGCGTGGGCGGATCTGGTAGCATACTTATAAAACCTTTGCATCTTTGCGTATACGAGTAGCCCCGATATTGCATCGAAATACAACGACTGTGACCTTTTCCCGATGAAGCAGCACCTCCTCTGTGTAGAAGCTCATCGTTTGGGAGACCATATCCCCCATTTCCCGAGTCCAGTGCCAATTCGATCCTTGATGACCTCGGCAATCTGTGTAGCTTTCACATCCGAGAGCAAGATGTGTGTATCGATCCCCTGGTCTAGGGTTCTCATGAGGAGAGTAGATAGCAGGGATGTCCCTGGTATTTGGAAGATGGAATGAATACCATCGTCGCCTGATGGTCTTGCGTCCTCATCATTTGGTTTCTTGGTTTGGTTTAGATCCGGTAGCTGGTTAGAATCGAAATGGACGGTGCCGAGGCCGCTTGTATTGATGAGGATGATGGAAAGCCATGAGGCATATGCCCGAGCCATGCGGGTTAGATTTTGCTGCGTGGCTGCTAGTAAGGCTGTTCCTCGAACGGGGTTTGAAGCTCGAATGACACCTTCAGCAAGGGTGTCGAGGCCAACCACGATTAGGATGACGGGTTGAGTGGGCTCCGCGGGGTTGTCTCGATGCTGTGCTTGTCGCTTTTCTTGAATCTCTTGGAGTGATTCTGATACTTTGCCGATGGCTTGTGCGGCATTTGGAAGTGTTTGCACTGGAAGTAGCTGCACTGTGTCAAGAAGTTGCAGTGCTTCTGCTCTTGATAGGCCTGGCTCCCCAGAAGGAGATTGCAGTGCATTGAGCAGGAGCCTCGGGGCCAAGGCGTCAAAGTTGCTTGGATAAATGATGAACGCGGTGGGCTCAGAAGAGTGAGCAATTCTCAGCAAATGAGATGTGAGTAGGAAACGAGGGATCTAGGATGTGTTAGATCATGCTTTGTAGACCGTTATACGATATGGGGTGTCCTACCTGCCCGATATACTCATCGGTATCCTTGCTTCTAGATCTCAGCCTCGAGAACCCAATGACAGCACCGCAGCGGAAAATTGCAGAGTTGTTGATTTGAATCCCAGTAACCCAGTCATCTTTCAGATTCCAGTGGTCATTTTGTCCTGCGTCATGTACTGGATTCCGCGTATCCGTGATCTTGGCCTCTGGCTTGGTGAGGAGAGAATGGGCCAGAATAGGATAAGCAGGTTCCGCGGTGTAAACACTGGGAGCAGAGGCCATTGTTTGCTCGTCCTGATAAATTATATCAACTTGTTGTTGCCCCATGAAATTCCAAAATGATCATCAATCTGTTGGACTGAGAGTTGACGAAGGAGTGGGGTCGGGGGTGTGAGAGTTGGAGGTCCACCCTTGTGTGCGGTCTTGCGGCTTCTCGAAGCGGGTCAGCTTGCCCGCCCTGGAGCACTTAGATGATAGGGTAGACTGATTATGCCAATTATGGAATTAGTTTTCGAATATTGCCTTCTACGTCAGATCATATAGTTGATACTAGTCAACTGATAGATTGCCGTAGCGATAGCCTGTTAAGCAATTTCTTATTACTTGGCGTAATTCCCGCCCACCCTCGCCACGTAGACCGACTATAAGACGGTACAAAATGTCAAGATTGATTGACTCAACCAAACCTAGCCGCCGTCCTATTATGTGGTGGATCTGCCTGACTAGAGAATTCGCCCGGCGTATGCGATACTGCCCCATTACCTTCTTCCACTGGCTGGTTTGGCGGGACTAAGGGCTGGATAGGAATTCCTACGAATGTCGTCCTCGGAACGGGGCATTGTTCAAAGGCCAGACGAATGACACTCTCTCAAAAGGGCGTGCTCGAATATAGTAGTGACGATCGTAGTCTAGTGAGAACCGTATTCAGCCCGAAGCGTAACGGCTATGCAACTACCTTTGGAGGATGGGTGTTAACGGGCCTGGATTTTCCTGTAAGCTTCCACAATAGACTGAGCATTGTATTATCCCCCCATATGCTGTTTTGGATTGTCTATATGGACTTGGAATGCTAATCCTGGATCAGCGCCCTTCTCAAGTAGCACTTTCGCCACGCCCTCCCAGCCATTCTCAGCAGCCCATGAGAGTGGTGTCCGACCAAATTCCATGTCCTTGGCTTCAATATCAGCACCCTTCTCCAGCAACACTCTCACCACTGCTTCGCTGCCACTCCCGGCAGCTTGTAAGAGTGGTGTCTTGCCCCATCGCTTATCCCTCGCCTCAATATCAGCACCCTTCTCAAGCAGCAATTTCACCGTTGCCTCATTACCCCTCGCAGCAGCCTCAGAGAGTGGTGTTCGGCCAAAAGCATTATCCTTAGGCTCAAGATAGGCACCTTCTTCAAGCAGAACTTTCACCACTGCGTCATGGCCCGCCTTGGCAGCCTCAGAGAGTGGTGTCCGACCACGATCCTCATCCTTAGCCTCAATATCAGCACCTTCTTCAAGTAGCACTTTCACCACGGTGTCTTGGCCCCTTCCAGCAGCATTTGAAAGTGGTGTCTGGCCAAAACCATCCTTAGCCTCAATTTCAGCGCCCTTTTTAAGCAGCACTCTCACCACTACCGGATGACCATGCATGGCAGCGAGCGAAAGTGGTGTCCGGCCAAAATCCTTATCTTTGGCCTCAATATCAGCACCCTCATCCAGCAGCACTTTCACCACTGCTTCATGGCCATTCTCGGCAGCCCATGAGAGCGGTGTACGACCCCATTCTTTATCCTTAACCTCAAGGTCAGCACCTTTCCCAAGCAGCATTTCCACCACTACCCCGTGGCCGTTTCCGGCGGCCCATGAAAGCGCTGTCCGACCCCAGTGCTCATCCTTAGCTTCAAGGTCAGCACCTTTATCAAGCAGTGCTTTCACCACTGCCTCATGGCCGTTCTCGGCAGCCCATAAAAGTGGTGTCTGGCCCCATTGCCTATCCCTCGCCTCAAGATCAGCACCCTTCTCAAGCAGCAATTTAACCACTGCCTCATGGCCCTTCTCGGCAGCCCGTGATATCGGTACCTGATGGGCAAAAGTGGCACTGTCCATGATATCTGCTTGCTTCTCTATGAGGAAAGAAACGACCTCCTCATGTCCGTTACTCGCCGCCAGCCAGAGTGGTGTGCATTGGGATTTTGATCGGGCGTTCATTTTCATCTTCTTTGTGCTTAGAAGTAATTGGCAGATTTCAAGATGACCTCTGCTCGCTGCATGATGCAAAGGAGTGAATCCTTCTAGATCTGGCACATCTACTTTGCAGACATTCAGCAGAATCTTGAATATTGCTGTATTCCCAAGTTTTGCCGCAACATGAAGCGCAGGAAGGCTTTCACCGATGACTGGAAGATCACACACGCGTTTTAACTCGGGTAACGCGGCCTGCGCAATTGATAAAAGAGGCTCATGTCGCTCTGTCACGGCCCATCCAAAGAGACTGTGGAGACGGGAGGATGCCGAACGGCCGCCAGATATCCAAGGGTGGAAATTCCAGGTCTCGTTGAAACACGTTGCGAGCCGTTCAAACTTCTCCCAGACTTGTGACGTACGAGGTATCTGTTTGGTTTGCAAGGCCCAGTTTTTAACAGCGTAATCGATAAATCTGTACCGTGTCCTATCTGGCGTGGACGCTGTGCGTATCTCACGGAATTGCACGGAAACGGAACGCTTCTGATCTCGGGGCTTTTGTAAGAAGCGCCTGGGGAATAGTCCAGGTAAAGTTTCTTGCGCGAGTAAAAGCGGAGGTGGGACAGCAACCGCGACTTCTTCCTTCCTTCGTGTGCTTAGTTGAAGACTGAAGTCCGAGAAAGAAAGATAAGTAACACAGAACTCTCCACACTCTAGATCGCCCTGTGCCCTAGTCGGATATCCTTGGATCGTGTTGCTCTCTCGACATTTCTCGAGATATTGTTTGACCGAGGAATGTGCAAAGCACACACAATTGTCAGTGGAATCCAGGACAACAAGATTTGCACAGCATCCAATAACAAATTCCGTCCGCGGGATTTTTTCGGTTTTCCACGCAGTGTCCTCTAGGTCAAAGGCAACCGCCTCTCGCAATTCCTCTATATGAAGTGGACTGGTCGCAAAGCTAACCCACTTGAGTACTTTGAGAACACGACTGTCCTTGCGATTAATCCTCTCAATACAACGGCCATATGTGCCTTCAAGCCCCTTTGGTAGCGAAACTAATGCGGACCGTATCTCTCCATCTGTGTAGCATGTGTCCCAAAGAATCTCCAACTGAAGATACACCCATAGAAACCTACACTGGTCAGCGTATCGTGCACAGAACGGAACTTTCATAGACCATTAGGATAAGCATACATTCCTGAAGACTCTGCCAGAAGCCTTTGCCGAATCTCTTTCAGTAGTGAAGAATCATCTGTAATTTTTCGGCACATAGTCTTATCAGTGATGCTTGAATCGATGTAAGTTTCAATGTCCTCCATGACGTTAGTTGCTGTCGAGATCTGTCGGATTCCAGGCATGAACGTATTGATGTTTATGTATCCTGGAACCTGGTCCCTGCTTAGCAACAAAATTCGCGATCCTTGCTGAGCCCCAGAGTTGACGAATAGTGACCTGAAAATTTCTAGAAGAAATTTGGCATGTTCCCGATCCAGAGCATCAATTCCATCAACGACATAAATCGTATTCGAGACGTGAGGGAAAAAGTAGGTAAAAATATCCTTCAGGTCGTCAAAGTCTGCCTTGACCCTGTTGTGTCCAAAGAATTTCCTAATCTCTCTTGCAACATCTTCTGGATAAGGCCTGGACATCCGCTGCAGGATTTCACAGAGTTGTTTGATGAAACTCGAGAGAATAGACGATGCGTCGAGGGCTGTAGGATGCTCATTCATGCAATAGAAAAACACCGTGGGAGAGCCAAACTCATACTTTGCTTTGTCTATCGCTGCGGTTCTATTGACTATTAGACATTGATATCACTGAAGTGTGCTGGGGAACGAACGCTATCATTGTCTTGCCCGACCCAACTAACAAATGGTTACATATTAGCATTGCGTGCAAGGCATGTAGTTAGGAAGCTGGCTCACTCTTTCCCGAGCACCACAAACTAGGAAATTTCTTCTCAGTGAGCCACGCCTTGAAATCTGGGTGATTGAGGAACCAGTGCGCGGTGCCAGCGAGTCGTTTCCGACTAAGTCTTTGATGGATCTTTTCGTGATCATAATTTGAAATTCGATCCAGTAGCCCCTCGATTTCCTGGCTATCTATACATCCATCAGTGGCCACATCTTCAAGGCTATTAACACACTCACTATTTAGGACTATTTCACTGCTAGGACAGTTCACCATAGATGGTGGGGCTCTCCTGTAGTATGATACTAAAGTTTCGTTGAGTCTCAGAGTCCCTGTATAACTTAGACAGACAACATACCGTCGGTAACAGACCCTGCTGGCAGAGTGTCCACCACATGGCTTGCATGGACCACGGAGAGGAGCTCTTTGCTATAAGCAGCTGCCGTTGCTGCAGCATACTCTTGCCACTGTTTTGTTTTATGTGAGTCGGCGTAGTCGCAGATCCCTCGAACCACGAGGCACGGGAAGTTGTCCATTAAGCCAGCTGCCTCCATTTCAAAGCAAAGAATGTCAAGATCCCGAGCTAGGTTGTCTCTGCTGCGGCCATGCTTCATCACTTGATTGCCAGAAGCAATCAGACCGTAATGAATAATCGGATCATGGCTGGTTCGAGCAGGCCGCGTTACGAGTCTCCTTTTATCGCAATTTTTGCAAGTATTTTTCGGGTCAGGGTGATCGTATTCTGAATCAAACAATAGATCCTGATCTTCACCGCAATATGCGAACTTCTCCCTTGTCCTAGGGTTCCTAGCTACCGCATCTAGAATAAGAGCCGGAATTTTGCTTGGCTGTAATGCATGCTCTGCTTGTAGTCTTGAGACCGACGTTAAAAGCACTGGTGGTGGCTTATTCAATATGCCAGTGCGTTCAAAGCGACCACCAGTCACTGTTTTCCCATGATCGTATTGTATGACACCCCCTGAGTCTCTTGTCGGCTTGCTAACCACCACGTCACCGAGCCTAATATCGTTTTCTTCGCTGGGAACCCCGCCTCCGATACCAACCATGAGACAGAAGCGTATCGACGTAAAAGTGGATAGCATTTGTGTAGCAACTTTTGTGGCGGCGGTCGTACCATAAATCCCCGCTGGAAGGCATGCAATCGCCACATTATGACCATATATCCGACCTAGGATGTACGAATTATCATCGTTTGACCTCGCCGGTAAATCAGGATGTCTTTCATCGAGCATAGCCGCAGCTGCGGCCATCTCCAAGCGAAGAGCGCAGATCCATGCGACCGTGTAATCTTGATGACGAAAATACTTTGTTGCAGTCTCCATTAGCATCTGTCCCAATCGATGCTATTTTTTTCCACTTCATCAATTCTGTGATAAGAAAGAGGCCGGTCAGACCTAGAGAAGTCCGTTCTGCGATGATGAGGAGAACAAACATCCAGCTCACAAGAAATGAAGCTTGAGGCAACGCCAGTCAGCCTCGCCCCTTACCTCAGCAATGCTACCCCGCTCTATAACAACCCTGCAAGTGATTTAGCGCCACTTCTTGAGCGTATTTCAAGTCTATAGATATTACTTGAATACGGGTATTTAAAATCTTGCAGATCTCAGGCTTAGATAGGATGAGAAGAGCTTACAAAAACTCCGCTCCGTTGCACAACTTCCGCAACAACCCTCTAATTGGAAGCGCCTGAGTATTTGCTTCATTGATATAGATGGTTATCGCTACATATGCCATCCTCCAGCCAGAGGATTGACCATAGCCAAACAATTGACACTCTATCAGAAGAGGGTACTCTAGAATTGAAGACACAGACCGTAGTATAGATCTAATATAGCCCAATACAGAGCACTCTGCATCTTAAAACTTCTTCGCGCGGCTGTAATAGCTCTTTGATTATTTTTTAAATTTCAAATTAGAAAAATAGAGTACGTTTAATTTGAGATTTAAGAGGTCTCCCCGGACGGCGGCCTTGTCCACTTGCCCCGATCATCATGGGTCCAGCCAGGCAATTGCTCCCTCAAAGCACTCTCAAGATCCAACCGTACTGCTTCTACATGAAAGTCCCGACTGCGAAATTCCTGCACAGAAGTCTTAGTCTGAACATTGAACCCAAGTATCGAATAAGCCGATTCCAATTCCATCCATGGATCGTTGGGATCCATCGAGCCGCGCTGCTCCAGCTCAGTCGCGTGATTATTTGCGTCGGGGGCTAATTGGACAGTCACGACGCGGAGACGTGGCATCAATCTCATTACAATGTTAACGTTTTCCACGTGGTTGTAAAATGGAAAGATTGCGGTGTAGCTCAGAGATTCGATTCCTCGAAAATAGTCCTCCATTTCGGCTCGAAAGTGCATCGGAGGATCTTCATGTCCCCATTGGCTCAGCACTGAGGGGACGTGTGAGGAAAAGTACTCGTAATGGTTGTAGGCTTTCAGAGAGGACCCCTCATTGAAGGAGAGGGACGTCCATGGACGAGTACAGAGTAGGTTTTCCGATGGATGGGGCCGATAGGCGTCTACGTTGCCGTAGCTGTTCTTTTCAAGTTTTAGAATCTGCTGATCGATATCGAATGCCCAGCCATGCTGCTCGTCGATCGGGGTTTGCAGTGCCTCGCCAATGATCCTTGGCGGGGCGAGGATGGTAATCCGTAGAGGATCGATAAACTCGAAAATCTCAATTAGCCAATGACCAGTGACACGTTGTGGAAGATCTTTATCCATCACGAGTACTGTGATGGATTTGATATATCGAGCCAGGCCCCATTCCCGGATGAATGAGCAGAATTCGGATGGCTCATAATGAAGAACCAGGCGAGCATGGGCGAAGAGATAAGGCCGCACAAAGGTGGCGAGGCAGGAGCATGACTGGGACAGATGCTTCAGGGGTGTTTTTCCGGAGATGGTAATGTTTGAACCTGGTTCTAGATGGAGTTGGGTGTATGATGGAGGCTCGATATCCAGGTAGGAGATGATGTGATCCAGTAATTCATTGGGGAGACGATCCAGCAGCGACGACATGGTGCGGGAGCTCCACATTGAATGTACTGTAGCTCATGCTGTCATTTGAGTTCCAGGTCGCTGACTGGCCAGAACTGTCATGGTCACAAAGGCACTGCAGTCAGCATGTATGGAATCGTCACGATCGCGGGGTTGTGGTTGAAGAGGATTTTCGGTAATCGGGGAAGGGTTAAAGTGCCGGCGCCCCACTGCGCCAGCGCCGCATCCCTCCACTTGGTCTCTAGTGGCTCTTTGTCAGGATTGACTCATCCCGAATGATTTTGGGATTTCTATATATTTGTAGAATTTATCTGGTCATGATGGAGTTTAATAGGAGAGGGGAATGGTCCATCATGAGCAATGTTCGGGGTAGAATGAAAAGACTGGACTACTTTCATAGATACAAAGTACAGTTTGCCAAGGCTGACCCCGGAATTCCCCCCATCGACTGCAAAAGTTTGATAGCGTCCGTTTTCTAAACATCTTTCTTTCTTGACAACGTAGACAATGGCGTTTTATGATCTACTACGCCGAAGAGGGAAGAATCGGCACCGACCGTTGCCTATATTTTATCCCGTATGGTCAAAAGTTGCCCAAGTTGTAACGTGCAAGTATACTTCGCCGTGCGGAAAGCTTTGACGTCAGTATCAAGGAGCTTGAACAGTGGTACTTTTTATTATACGGACCACAATGAACATCAATGTCAATTGCAACCACAGGGGCATCAATAGATCGTTCAGCCTTTGAACGTATAGTCGACTGAACATCTTTAGTAGGCCGACTTCGGTCGGCCGACAGGAAAAGTGTGGAGTTGCCCATCTTTCGCCAGTGGGGCGCGATCGCTCAATGCGACAGCACGGCAAATGTTATTCTCTCGCCGTGAGCTGGTTCCGAGCCCCTCCTTTTGCGCGGCCCTGAGTTTTTGTCTCCTTCTCTCTTCTTCTCTTCTCCAAGCTCAGACTTGGAAATCATCTGTCAAGTGAGTCGACAGGATCATCTTTGCCGAGACTCAAGACTAACAAGTGTACCGCGCAAGTCACACACTCAATCATGGCTCCTCAACTGCACCAGCGACCCCCCTTCCGTGCTGAGCACTTGGGCTCGCTCCTCCGTCCTCAGGGACTTCTGGATAAGAAGATTGCCTCGGAGAAGGGCGAAGTCTCCCAGGCCGAGCTGGAGAAGGTGGAAGATCAGGAGATCAAGGATATTCTCGCCACCCAGCTGAAGCTTGGCTACCGCGGTGCTTCCGACGGCGAGTACCGCCGCCACAGTAAGTTCTCCAAACGTATTACGGAGTGAGCCATCAGAACAAAGATTAATAGCAGCCCCAGTGTTTTGGGGAACCTTCTTCCCGGGCCTGGACGGCTTCGAGGAGGTCACCGAGTTCGAGACCGACATCTTCCGTCCCTATGCCCCCGATATTGCCGCTTTCCTGGAAGCCGGCCACAAGCCCGGCGAGACCGTGCTTTGCACCGGTAAGATCAAGCACGTTGGCAGCACCTACGTTGATCAATTCAAGTACCTCGCCAGCCTAGCTCCCCAGGACGAGGTCAAGAACCTGAAGATCACCCTGGCCGCTCCCAACTGGTACCACCTGCGCTACCGTGAGGGCAAGGCTTACCCCAAGGATGTTTATGCCAACGACGAGGAGTATTTTGGTGATATCGCCAAGGCCTACCAGGCCGAGCTGAAGATTCTGTACGATGCCGGCTGCCGCAACGTGCAGTTCGACGACCCTAACCTGGCTTGTAAGTACATTTCGCTGCTGTGAATTCCTCCGAAGCCATCCCCACTCACATCTCAACTAGATTTCTGCTCCGAGAAGTTCCTGAACGGCTTCAAGGAGGACTCCCTGAATGTCTACACCGCCGACGATATGTTCCAGAAGTATATCAAGCAGTACAATGACTGCTTCATCGGTCTGCCCGAAGACATGCACGTCGGTGTTCACCTGTGCCGCGGCAACTTCGTCGGCAGCCGCCACTTCTCCGAGGGTGGATACGATCGCATTGCCATCAAGTTGTTCCAGGAACTCAACGTGCACACCTACTACCTCGAGTACGACACCGAGCGCGCCGGCGGCTTCGAGCCCCTCAAGCACCTTCCCCCGCACAAGAACGTCATCCTCGGCGTTGTGACCAGCAAGTTCGCCACCATGGAGGACAAGGAGGAGATGAAGAAGCGCGTCATCGATGCAGCCAAGTTTATCGCCGAGGGTAACAACACTTCCCTCGAGGTTGCCCTTAACCAGGTTGGTGTCAGCCCGCAGTGTGGCTTTGCTTCTCACCGTGAGGGCAATGCTATCGACTGGGACGGCATGATCAACAAGCTCAAGTTGGTGCGGGAGATTGCCGATGATATCTGGCCCAACCAGCCTTAAGTGTTGGAATGTGGAAATGTGAATGGAAAAAGGAAATGAACTTCAACGGATACCCCTTTGTATATTTTGTCTTTCGCCATTAGGCGCTATTCCCTGGTTGGTTTTTCAACAAATACCACCAGGGTCTGGATTTTTATGTTATCTTTTTGTACAGCGCTGGTAGGATTTGCATCGGATGGATGTCATGATTCTTACCTCTTGAAAATATGATACTTGAATATGATCAATAAGTACTGAATTTGCCGCAAGACATATTGGGTGAATAGAGAGTGAGTAAACGACTATATGGAAGGAGTGAAGAAGTAGAAGAGATGACCTATTCTTAAAAATTGAGGGGTTCCGAATCCTACAAGGTCCCCAAAGACCTAGATTCTTACATTCAACCAATTGCCATCTACACAGAGGGGACTCATTTTCACGAGTCATCGAATTCACAAGATGGACATCATTAGACTATATCACATCAAAATAGCCACCTCTACTCCGCCGGGCCTAGAATATTCGATTCCTTAATGGCAGATCTCTTCTGCGTCCGCTCGTTCTCAATCTATCATCTCGTCAGTACCTATTGTGAACAATTATTAAATACGGGACTAGTCTACTGCAAGCATACCTCATAACGGGGCTCTTGGGCTGAAGCTTCGACCATTCGACCCGTCATAGTCGTATCGGAGGTGCTCACGTCACGGATGATTCCGACGCTCTCGCTGGTGTGAGATTCACGCCCTAATAGAGAACTCGAGTCAGATTTAATACGTTCCTAATTTGTACGTTCATTGTTCTCATGGACACTCACCGCCGACGGGCTTGTAGTTGACTCTCTGTCCAGTGCGGAAAGCAGGCATGGTGTCTCTGATGTCTGATGTCTGATGTTTTGAAGCTTGTACTTTTGCTCTGAACAAATACACGGAAGAGATTGCACTTGCTGATGGGGAGGTCCCTCGACTCTGAGCTCTATTTATGTGAGTCGGTGGCAAGGCTTTGGATCAAAGATAGGACTGGCGATGGGGATCATGAGAATAGACTGGCGTCAGATTGACATGTGCGGAATTGCCTCAGGAGTTGCATTGCAGAGACAGTCATGCATAGTGGCAAAGAGAATTGTCAACGCGGGATATTCTGGATACACCTTCTGATGGCTACAGTATACCGAAATGCAAGGAACAGACATCCGAGTCCCACGTAACCATGAAGAACCCAATCTACTGGAATAGTTTCCAATCCACGGCATTGGAATCCCTCCCCTCCACCTCGGATACTGGTTCCGTGAACTCAACCGTGGATGCGATACGATACCGATCAAGTTCAGACTTTAATAATCACAGGTATGTCATTTGTTCTTAAATTGATTCTCTATTCCAGCCTATAGGCCCGCTTTGCTGTCTCTTTGTATCTCGAATGAAATCGAATCCACTCTATAAACATCGGAAATCCACAGAATAACAATCAGGGAATCGAACAATGCCAGCGCTGGGATGATATGAACCAACAAGCAAAAATTAAATAATTAAATTGGGACTCGGAACGAGTCCGGGTAAGAACGGAGGGGATATCATAGAAGAGAAGATAAGAACCACGGGGGAGGGAGGATGATGATGAAAAAAAGATGAGGCCGCACACAAATGAAAAGGAAACCAAGGAGACAAATGAAAACAATGGAGAAGTAGAACCAAAAACAAAATAAAACAAAGCCCAAATGCTGCGTCGTCTTGTCATCAAACACGGACATGAATCAAAAAGAGAAAATACTTGTCGGGTGCGAGGTGTTGTACACGAGGCTGGCTGGGCGCCTCTCGAGATCACAGCGGGACAATGTTTTATTTCGCAGGCTGGGTCTTGACGTTGTTCGAGAGCCATGCCTGGAAAGTGGAGCCGTGCGGGTCAGTGATTGTTTCAAAGCAAGGAAATGATAAGTAGCAAAAGGGCTTGAAACTCACCAGGCCCTCGAAAATACCGGTACCATCCGTCGCGACACTGGGCGCAACATACCATAGCCTGTCCTTCAGCTTAGTCAATTGGAGTGCTTGGGTGATGCCCTCCGGGCTCAAGTCTGCGCGCCGCAATTGGTTAGTTAGGGGCAAGAAGAGAAAGCTAGGCTGGACCAGAAGCAAGTTGCATTCAAGGGGCGGAGAAACATACGGTCAGGGACATCCTGCTTGTTGGCAAATACTAGGAGCAACGCGTCCTTCATTTCGCGGTCGTTGATAATCTTGTGCAGCTCCGACTGGGCCTCCTGGAGGCGGTCGATATCACTCGAATCCACAACGAAGATCAGACCTTGTGTACCGGAGTAGTAGTGTCTCCAGAGGGGGCGAATCTTGTCCTGACCACCGACATCCCACACGTTGAACTTCACGTTCTTATAGGTTACACTCTCGACGTTGAATCCGACGGTGGGGATCGTGGTGACATCCTGGTTGCTGAGTTTCAATTTGTAAAGGATAGCTAGCCATCATTAGCTTAACTTTCAAGGATAAACAAGCAGCTCGCATGCCATACTGGTCTTTCCTGCAGCATCTAGACCCAGCATAAGGATACGCATCTCCTTCGTGCCGAAGATCTTCCCCATCATCTTGGATACCGAGCCACCCATCTTGGCGCGTTGAAGTTGGGATTGGAGGACGAAAAGGAGGCGAGAGGCGATGACGCAGCGAGCTCGAGGAATTCCAAAAAAGAAAGACGGTCAATCGCTTGGACGCTTGTACACCCGAACGCGCAAAAAGGTGGTAAATTGGAGAGAACAGCGACTGGGAAGTTTGCAATTTGAGGCGGGGGAAAAGGGGCACGGCTGAGTCAGCCACCCCCAGTGGAGGTCGGCGTTTCATACGCGCAAAGGGTCCACCGCAATCTGATTTGCTTGCTTGTCCGTGAGTGGGGAGCTCTTGTGGGAAACAGCATGGTATCGCGATACGATGGACATGGCTGATCTGGTCCATTGTGTTAGGTACGTACAGTATGCTACTTACAAATTTTTATATCGATTGGCAACGGATCGTCCTCCGAAACCCACAGATTTGGTGAGAGCTTCTACGTCATGCAGTGAAATCACTCTTACAATAGGAGTATCTTGAGAGTATGCCTCGTTGGTTATCACTATCTCCTCCAAAACTTCAATTAAAACGCCATTTGATTCAGCAACACCATGGTCACAAATGCTTTGAGGTGCGATCGTCGCCCGTCCGCCACCTTACACCGGCGGCTGGCGCATCAATACCACCGTTGTGCCTGGTCGGGACCACCGTCAGATGTACGCGCTGTGATGAATGGAAGGATGACATATCCTCAGAGGCGCTGACAAGAAACCAAAAAGTCCATCTATGCAGGTATCACGACTTCATTTTCTGAGCAGCATGGCTCGAGAATTGCGATTGCGATTCGGGATGCAACCTATTTACTAGACTTTATTGAGAAAAAGTACCAACCCAATGAACATCAGCCATGCGCCAACGAGGCCGTCGAGTTCATCATCTCTCAGCTCAAAGCTTACGGGGAGAAGCATCTCGAGAAAATTGTCGGCGCGGCAATGCACAGGCATGTTGCAGCCACCTGTCCGAATCTCTGCACCCGATTATGGGCCGAGCTCGATATCATTCCCTTGGTATTGCCAGGATTGAGCTTGCTCGGCCGATTTGCTTCTCGCGCACAAGTGCAGCCCCAATCTTGGGAGTCCAAGACGATTGACGAACAGGCCGAATCAATGGCCCGGAAATGTGTGAGGTTGGTTGGGATTGGCAAAATATGTGAAGAAAAAGCACTGAAAAATATGTTCCCCGCAGGCTGTTTGGACCGGAGAATTTTCCCCTGCTGCAAGTGGGCTTTATGGGCCTCGTGGAGGTTGATACTGACTTCCACGTGTGCCTCACGAACATTGAAGATTTCAAAAAGACCGTTTCGGCTAATACGTGGGAGGCTTGCAATTTCTTTGCGGCCGACCTCAAGAAACGGAAGGTCAAGATTGCATTCTTCAGTGCAACACCGCAGGGTGGAGGGGTAGCCTTGATGAGGCATGCCCTGGTTCGCTTTTCACACTCTTTAGGTACGGACATCAAATAGTATGCGAGGCTTCCTCTGCGGAATAGGCCTGTAAACGTGCATCCCAGTTGACATCACATCAACAGGTATGTCCCTCGGCCGCGGCCAGGTGTCTTTCGAGTGACCAAGCATGAACACAACATCCTTCAAGGCGTCACGTCCCCAGACGAACGGCTTAGTGCCGATGACCGGAACTTGCTCACTACATGGATTGAAGAGAACGCTAAGCGATATTGGACGGTACCGGGAGGTCCCCTATGCCCTCCGGCAGAAGGAGGAGCAGACGTGTTAATTGTCGACGATCCTCAGATGCCGGGTCTCATACCGGTCGCGAAACGCATAGCACCGGAACGACCGATCATCTTTCGAAGTCATATCCAGATCCGAAGCGATCTTGTCGACGAACCGGAGACTTCTCAGTCAGAGGCGTGGAAATACCTATGGGAAAACGCCAAGCTTGCCGATTGTTTCATCACTCACCCCGTGAGTGAATTCGTGCCTCGCGATGTACCATCAGAGATCGTTGGCTATATGGCCGCAGCGACCGATTGGTAAGTATACTTCGAGAGGATATCTACTTGTGTCATCTTGCTGACGTGTCACAGGTTAGATGGGTTAAACAAAGACATGCGAGACTGGGATGTTGCCCACTATGGCCGGATCTTTAACGCAGCCTGCAGGAATGCAGATATGCCAACGATCCAACATCCGGACGGTAAGAGTCCTCCGATAAGCTTGCATGAGATAGCGTGCCAACATGCAGCAATTAGACCAATATATCGTGCAGATCGCACGCTTTGACCCATCTAAAGGAATCTTCGATGTGTTGGATGCATATGAGAAGTTCCAAAATCGGCTCGCTTGCGAACGACCTAAATTGAAAACCCCAAAGCTCCTAATATGCGGTCATGGCTCGGTAGATGACCCCGACGGTGCGGTCATCTATGACCAAGTGATTAATTATATCGAACACAGGATTCCTGACATTCGCCATTTGATCTGCGTCATACGGCTGAGGCCCTCGCATCAGGTCCTGAATGCCCTTCTATCAAAGGCGACGATTGCGCTGCAACTGTCGACTCGGGAGGGGTTCGAAGTCAAGGTTTCAGAGGCGATCCATAAAGGTGTACCAGTGATTGCCACGCGAGCTGGTGGCATACCCCTCCAAATTGAGAACCATAAGAACGGATTCTTGGTGGAAATTGGTGATACAGACGCTGTCGCGAGGCATCTGTTCGATCTCTGGACGGACGAGGCGCTCCGCCACCGAATGTCGGAGTATGCACTCGGCCACGTCTGTGATGAAGTAAGCACCGTGGGCAATACATTGAGCTGGCTCTATCTTACCTCGAAGTTCTCCAAAGGAGAGGCTGTGCGGCCCAGTGGTCAGTGGATTAACGATCTGGCGTTTGAGGAGAGCGGTGTCACCGTGTCACCCGATATGTCTCGTCTGACGCGAGCGGTCGAAATTGAGAAGATGGAATAGCAAAGTGTGGTGGCTGAATGTCGTTTCCCCCATACAGCTATGCAACCCATGGTCGTATGGTCATTTCCGCGAAACAAATGTATCTATTCTCGAACGATATCCCAAGTGATAGAGGAAATACTCGCTCAGAAGAGCACGAGAAAACAACATGGACAATTCATTGGCAAATAACGACAAGGGGTATCATTGATAAGATTCAAGAGCAGCGCCATCCCCAAACAAAACAAAGACATCTCACGGTCTCCCAACGACACGGTATCTCTCCCGTGCCATTCCACCCTCGGCACCTTCCACGCCATATCCCTCACCAACTTCACCGACAATTCGCGCCGGGCGTCCCCCAACAACACACCAACTCGGCACCACCATACCAGGCGGAACGACGGCACCATCCAATACAACCGCAAAGTCCTTGATAATAGCCATACTGCCCACCGTCGCCCCCGCACCAACATGGACATGATTCCCCAGCGACGCGGCCTCTATCACAGCCGACTCTCCAACAAAGACATGATCGCCGATTTTCAGCGGGTAGAACGAGTGAACACCACGGTGCAACCGGCTAGGCGGGCGCAAGACTGCACTCTTGGAGATGTAACTGTAGCGGCCGACGGTGATTGCGACACTCGGGGCGTTGGATGGTGGAGGGGGGTTGCTTGGGTCCGTGGAGGCGGCAGTCGACGGGAGACGGTAGAGGTCACCTCGGATGACGGCTTCGGCTTGGATGACGGTTTTACCACCGAGGATGATGTGTTGGGTGCCGTGGATTTGGGAGCGGCGCGAGATCTTGTTGCCCGTGTCCTGTGACGTGTGAGCTTGGCTTGTTCTGAGGCTGAAGATTGCAGGTCTGCTAGAGTAGATGTTGGAGCTGGCAATTTCTTAGCCCCGGGGACCACGGACCGTCTCAATGTACTCGCCCTTGGCGGCTTTGGGAGGCATCTTGAATGGGGTTGTCGCAAAGCTGTTGATGGTGGTCCTTGAGCTTGTGTGGATAGACGCACCCCCGAAGGCGGTGTAGCCCAGCCCGAAGTATACCGTCCAACAGCAATAACGATGGGGGTCGCCTGGTTATGCTTCGGAAACCCATTCGCAAGACTAAGGCTCTTTCAAAAGTTACCCACTTTCAAGGGACGAGGAGCTGCGTGCAAGGATCTACGAGCGGTATCTTCACCATGAAGGAGACTTTGATATGAGAATCAACTAGAACATACACAACTTAGCAAATCATTGTGTGCAAACATAGAATCTCATCATTGCAAGTATACACTACAACTACAAAACTGTCCTAAAATAAATCACAATCTCTGGATATCCCGGGAGACAACTTTGTCTCTGAAACAAATATCAAAACATAAAACATGACCACGCACATAGCATGCCGTACATTAAACCACGTCTCCAACATGACACACGACTCATTATTTGAGATGTTGGTATTTTCCCAAGGTTCAGACGAGAGCTTAGTTCTTCTTCGCCGGCTCGGTCTTGCCAAAGTCGAACTCACCATCCCAGTGAAGTTTGAGCGCTGTTGAAATCTGTTAGTACGATATAAAGAAGATTGTGTAAAAATTGGGAGTGTGACTTACACATCGGGAAGGGGAAGTACGAGGTACCGTCCTGGCGGAGGTAGACATAGTAACCGCCCTCCTGGCGAACTTTCTTGAGCTGGCCCTGGGCACCCAGAGCGCGGCGGAGGTTCTGCAGACGACCGACAACGCGCAGCATAGCGACGAGAGCAATCTTGGTAATCTCCTTACCGAAGCCGGTGCTGGGACCCTGGCCGTGGTTGATGTAGGAGTCAATAGGGCGGCCGAGGTTAACCTCGTTGGGCTCGGGGTAGACACTGGGGTCGTGGTTGGCCTGGACAAAGGAGGCGAAGATCTTGTTACCGGGTTGGATCTCGATTGTCTTGCCATTCTCCTCGACGGTGACGGCGTTTCGGGCTTCGCGGTAGGCACCGAAGGTACCGTTGATACGAATGGCCTCCAAGCAGTAGCGGTACAGCTTCTCGTCGGAATCCTTGGTGTCCTCCTTAGCGAGACGGCTGATCTCGGCCCAGTGCTTCTTGCCCTCGGGCGAAGTGTAGTACTCGATGATCTGGGTGAAAACCTGACCCTGGTTGGGGACCATGCCGACGATGGTCGGGATGATCTGGGACCAAGTGATCTGAGAAGCGCTCAGGCCAGACTCCTCCAGGCGACGGAGAGCGGCGGTGCCGTACTCGCGGAGGGCGTTGTCGTGGGGACGGAAGTTGTCAATCAGGCCAGACAGCAGACCGCTGTTGGTATCAGCCTTGACGGTAGCCTCCACGACATTGCCGAGCTGCTGAGAGACAGCAGTGGAAGCGCGGTTCAGAGAGAACGACTTGGGGGCGTCGACGTCAAAGAAGAGGGCAGAGTAGATGGTGGTGAGGATCATGTACATCTCGTGCTCAGTGAAGAGGCCGCGAGGGTTCTCCTCGGTCTTCAAGGGCAGACCGAAGAGGGTCGAGGCAAAGTGGACGTGGGCAAGGTTACCAACGTCGCGAGTGATGTCAATCTGGTTGATACCAGCCAGCTTGGCGCCCTTCTCCTTGATGAGACGAAGAGTGACATCCTCGTAGAACTTCTTGACCAGGGTGGGGAAGTCCTCGGTGTTGAAGGCCTTGCCCATAGCCTCGCGCTGCTGAGCATCGAATTCGCCTTTGCCGAACAGTTCCTCCATAGCACCGCTCCAGGCCGGCTTGAAGTCCTTTTGGTTCTCCCAAACCAGCTTGGCGTTTTGGTGAGAGGAGAGGTTGATGCGCGACGGAGTGAACGAAGGGGGGTCGTAGGAGTAGTCCTGCTCACGGCCCAAGTTCTTCATAATGTTGCGGTTCTCGCTGGGGATGGTCATAGGATAGTGAGCGTAGATCGAGTCAGGCTTGAACCAGTTGGGGAAAGCACGGGTGGCCAGCTTGTAGAAGACACAGCCCTGGTTGATGTTCAGGTCGTAGCGGCACTCATTGTAACCCCAGTTCGTCAGGTTGCGAGGGTTGTAGTCAACAGTGTAGTGACGGTCACCGCGGACCAGTGCAACGGCATCAGACAGCACAGCACGCGAGATGGTGTAGGTCGGGGCAATACCGACACCAGGGATCATGGGCTCCTTGGGCTCCTCGCAAATAATACCGGGGTACAGCTCAACGTAGTCGGGGTGCTCGTACAGGTGGCGCAGGTTGTTGGCAATCTCGGGGTCGGAGTTGATCTCCTCGAAAGTGTCGTAAGTCTTCAGGCCGAAGTGCTTACGGAACTCGTTGAGGGAACCAACGTGCCACCTACGAGAAGCCTCGATACCGAGGATCTCAATAGAACGGAGGGCCTTGGGAATGTTACGGGGACCGAAGGAACTGGCAACATCCTCGCAAGCGTGGGTGAGAATTTGCACAAGCTCCTCATCCTTGAAGGTTCCGTCCTCCTGGCGCTGCAGGCGGGCGAAGGTACGCTTGGACGGATCAGGATCGAGCAAGCTATCAACCTTCTTCATGCCCATTAGCAACTCGTGCATGCTAACCTCCTCAGCGGGCTTGCCCATAAGATCAAAGTAAACCTGCTCAATCCACTTTTCATCACCCTGAGCAATAGTTGAGTGCCAGCGGTAGGCCAGGTTGAACTCGACGGAGCATTGGTTACCGAGACCGGAGGGAGTAGCACCCGCCTTCTCCATCTGGGCACGGGGGTCCAGGCACCAAGTGGAGTTGGTGCGGTTCAAGTTGACGATGGTGCGGAGATAATCGTAGAGGGTGATGTTGATGTACAGACCGCAAGTAATCAGACGACCGGTCTGGAACAGGTCCTCGTCATACTTGGCCCAGGCCTTCTTAGCCTCCTCCTCGGGCAGACCGTCGCGGGGCTTGGTGAAGCGACCGTTCTCATTGATCTCAGCCAACTGCTCCACAACGTGGTTGTGGAAACGGTTAAGCATGACCAGGAGGACACCACAGGCAGCAGGGAGGGCCTGCAGACGACCCTCGGAGAAGCAGTCGGGCTTCAGCCTACCACCCTGGTGAGAACGGATCAGATCCTGCTGCTCCTGGACATCACCGTATAGAATGGACAAATCAAGGTAGGCAGAGGTCTTGTTCAGGTGCTGTTGGCGGTAGTCGGTCTGGAAAATGTCTGTGTTGATTTTTGTATTAGCAATTGAGGTTTGACTACCGACTTATCAGTAAAGCATACCGTGGATGATGAGAGAGGCCCAGTCGAAGAAAACACTAGACACCTTGTTGGGGTGAGGGGTGAACTCTTGACGGGCAAAGAGACTATCGAAGATCAGACCAGCGTCGGGCAGACCGGTGGGCTGGATGGTCAGGGGAGGGATGGTGCGGCAGTAGGGGGTATTAGCAGCGCCCAACCAGGGAAGCGTAGGGTTATTGTTGGAGCCATCGGCGGAGCGGTACTTGTAGTCATCGCCCATAAAACTATTCGTATTTGTTAGAAAATCAATTGCGCATTCGATGAAATCGGATGTGAGACCCACGAGAGAGGGGGGTGGGGTAGAGAGTTCCAAAGCTCGTCCAGGAACTGGTTAGTGAGCTCGGTACGGTTCTTGGAGTGGCCGGGCATGTCGGCGACAAGCTGTTACTCGGAATTCCGTTAGTATACTCAATCAATTGTGTCGCAATTGATCCCTGCGGAACCGATCGATTCTCATACCTGAATGATGCGCTCCATGAGGTAGGTCTTGTCGTCGATCAGTTCGCCGGAGGCCTTGTTCTTGATCAGGTCCTTGACGGTGTTGAGATCGCGGAAACCCAGCGACTTGATGTCATTGAACAGGCCAGAAGACTGGTCATGCTTGAGATAGGTGCCATCACCAGTCTGGTTCGGCAATGGCTCGCGCGAGGCGTGAATGGCCTGCGCATACTTTTCGAAAACAGCGACGACTTCAGCCCGGTTCACAGGTTGATGCTTCTCCTCATGAGAAGTCGACTTGCGCACGGGTTGCGCAGGCTTGGAGAAGCGCTTGCTGTTCTCCTTGGAGCTCTTGGGCTGCTCCGAATCGCCATTGGTATCCTTGGAATCCTTATTCCTCTTGAACTGGGTAGAGAATCTCCGCAACATGGCGACGGTTGTTTCTGGGGCTCTCCTACACAGACGGGACGTTCACTCGAAAACTGAGCGCAGAAAGGCACAAATAAAAAATGAAAATTATTAGACAGAAACCACAACGAATAATTGAGAATGACTAGCAAAAGCCAGATTAGGGGGGAGGGAGAAACAGAGGAGAGGGGGAAGGAAGGGCTCGTATGCAGTGCGCGCATCGGCGGGTTTAAAAACGAGCTGCGCGGGCAACCCAAGTCAGCTCCTGCAGGACTGTGGAGCGTCCGCAGTGGCGCATTTGTTATTACCAATAGCTGATTGAATGACCAGGGCCGATCTGATTGGGAATGGAAAGGTTCGTCAGAGCCTTAGCCTCGATCTGCCCGTAGTCCAGGGCGAGGAGCCCGGTTTACCAATCACACCAGCGGCCCCGCGTGGAACAAGCTCAAGAGCTGGGTGGCATCATGGTGGCAGCTGCAATGACGAACCACACTCAACGCAGTAAGAGATCATCCCGTAGGTCTTTTTTTCTTTCCTTGGCTGGTGGGGGGAAGCTCCAGCTTTGCTTTCTTGCTTGGGAAAGGGGGTGGGTCAGTCGCTTTGAACACGGCACGTCGAGGCGCTTGAAACCGGGTCTTTTCTAGTGGTCCATTCTGGGGATTTTGTTTTAAATCAGTAAGGTACAGTATCTGTCCTCCATATTCCGTACGGAGAACACTATGGGCAGGACATTGTTCTGCCTCCATCGGACACCTTTGTGGGGTGGGAGAGCTGGGTAGTAGACGACATTGCATAGTGAGCTGAATTCTGAAACCTGCGACCATGTCGAGGACACACTCGACGTCACCCCAGGATTATATTGACAGCAGCAGCATCATCTCCTCCCGTCCGTGATGACAGGCAGGGTTCACCTCGAGTCGGGTTCAATGTGGTAAAATGACACTCGCTAGTCCGGAGTCGTATGTAGCGGTGTACTTTGCTGGAGAAAACGAAATCTCGGAGGGAGCCAGAGCGCCCCACACTGGGATCTCGAGATCCAGCCAGATGGACTCGATGGGGGTGGTCAAGGCGTCAAGTGGGGATTGGTGGAACGGGCTTGACCTCCCGATCGGAGGACGTCTCGTCGAGGTGGCTGGCTGGAGGACGAACGAAAGGACCGGGGCTTTGAAAAGGGGGGAGCGTAACCGAGAGGTGTGGTTGGGCGAGAGGCAGAAGGAGGGAAGCCGGGGCCGCCATGGCCCTAAGGCAGTCACAGTCATGACTTGGTGCTTCAATGGCCAGCGACGCAAGGGAAGGACCGTGTGGGAGGAGGTACTGTATAATACTCCATAGTCCGTACGGCCAAAGAATACGGTACACCTTTGTTCCAATCGAACCTAATTTGATGCCAGATTACTATTTCAGCATGGCTGCAGCAGAAAATCCAAATCATTGGTGTACCAACACCGAGCTCTCCTCTCCTGTCAAGAATCACTGATCACACTGATCTATGGTTTGTTATTTTTTTCCCACAATCGGATCGGCAGACTCCACCCGTTCGCCCACTTGACTATGGATTTCTTAGAGCATCTTAGTGCCCATTAGCGGCAACCGAGTGGGTTTTTGGTTGCTCTTTTAGTGGCGAACGGACCGACAGCACAAACCGTATTACGCCCCATGTCATTGGCGGCCCATAGACTCGATGCTGCCAGTCATCATTACCAAAATCAACAGAATTGATCTATCGCCTCGCCCCACCGTCAGGGTCTTGCTGTAACCTTCAGAGATTGTTTTGCAGGAGTAGTTGCATTCTTGTGTTTTTTTTTTCCTTGATTTCCACGAAAGGCAGATCTCTATGTACATACTCCACTCGGCACAAAAGAGGGCATATTATCTACAGTACATAGTCGGGTATATGAATCGTATAGACTGTGCTACTTTCCATGACAACCTTCTCCATCTCGGTCATGCAAAGTAACGAAGAAATCCAGATCCGATCCCGTCGAGAGCCCTGACTCGCGTGAGGAACTAAACCACGGCTCGAGCACTGACAAAGTCTGGGGCACGGCCCCTCCCGAAGCTGGCTGCGATGCTCCGATGATAAAACGCACCAATCGTGTAAGGTAGGACTGGTCGAGGATTGTACGATGTTGCCACTCTGCGAGTACAATTCCATGTGATTTTGCTGCTCTGCGGATTGGAACCATCAGCCAGGTCCAGAAGACGCAATGCCAACTACCGGCCCGTATGGAGTACTGCATCCCTAGCCGTCGGAGACGCGAGCTGAAGGGTGGGGACCCACTGCCCGGAAATTCTGTCTTCCCTTCCCTCCGCTTAGAAACTGAAGTAGTACATAACACGGAGGACTGTCCGGAAGTAGATAATTCATGATCGTCACTGAACTTGCTCTGCAACGGGAGAGAAAGTTTCGGTCCGCGTGAATACTTGTGGCCACGGGCTCCGCAAAAGCTCGGGCGGGAATCTTCAGATGACGGCACAGACAGGTGGAGTCCGTTGGTGGAGATGACAAGGGTGGATCGTGGGCCAGCCAGACTAGTTCATCTTAGCCCGTCTTGAGTTCGTCTTTCGGTTCGTCTCGGTTTATCGTGGTTAGTCTGGTCGCCTGCTCTCAGAACCACTCGATCACAGGCTCGGTACTCCGTAGAGCTTGCCAACTGGTTTCGTTCAAACATTAAGAGTCTTGGATAGCAAGAAGAGAATAATCTCATCCACTCGCCCACCCCTTACACCCCTGAACCAAAGCACAATGCACCACACTATTGGGAATCCGATGCCAATCCTTATCCGCGTGGGGAACGATCGACAAGCCTCAAGAGGAATGTCCCGAACCACCAATATAGAGCCGCCATCCCATAGGTCCAGGCTGAACGCCAGCTGGGTCCAATAGCGGCCAGTGTCGCGTAGCAACAGCAAAAACCCAGAGTCTGTTCCGCGCCGGTGGTGCCCTTGGTTTTTCAGCACACCCCCGTCACACCCGGGAAGTATCCCCCCACTTGCCAAGCAAGATTGATTCTCCGCAATCAATCATAACTGTATGGAGTTGGGCTCTATGCACAGGACTGGATACAGGAGGCTTGTTGCTAGAGTTGCGCTGGACTCGGTACTTTGGCAACAATCCTTCATGAGGCAGGCGCACATCCTGGATGGTAAGAGCAGCAAGATTATCCGAGACATGGCAATTATTGGCTTGGATGTAGCCCCGATAGAGATCAATCATGCGTGTCGAGACGTAGGGTTTCTCTCTGTGCGACGTGAGCAGGGAGGTGGTTGCTCATAGATCCTGGGATAAAGTGTCAACACCAGCCCTGTGAATGTGCGAATCTGGAATTATGGGAGAGTGGCATTTTTTGTTTCCTTGCTCACTATGATCATAGTGTCACAAGTCAGGGAAAATCTCCTCAATTGGTCTCCAAGGAAGGCATGGGAGGAAAAGGAAAATAATAAAATTGAAAATAATACGAGACGAGAGAAACGACCGTGCAGTGATTGGAATGTGCCAGCCCCCCCACCCACCCCTAAGTCGCTCGGCCCACTCAAGCTTGACGTATTTCTTTCCGCTGGACTGCAGCGATCGTCTCGGTGGGTGACACGCTGAGAACATCCGTATCTTGCCAACCCTGTTTTAAGGGCATCTCCCGTGTGCTGAGTCCTCTTCGCCGAATCGCCACAGTCCGTCGTGCACATCAGGGCTTTTCGTACGGAGAATATCCCTCCATCACGTATATAGTTCGCCCGTCGGACGATCCGGATTGTGCCCCTCGATAAACATCGCAGCATGGCTCAGTACACGGGTCCTTCGCACCCTCACGGCCCTCCGAAGCAGTTTGTGCTCTGTTTCGATGGTACGGGCAACAAATTCGCAGGCGATGAATCCGATAGTAATGTGTTGAAAATCTTTCGTGTATGCTCTACAACTCCTATCCTTACCCTCGACCACTTCACCCCGATACAATATGCTAAATACAGTGACCCGTCAATTATAGATGCTGGATCGTAGCCAGAGCCACCAATATCACTATTATCAGCCCGGAATTGGCACCTACGTGACCACCAAATCGCTAACCAGCCATGGTCGCATCCAGCGCATCAAGTCCTGGTACCAAAAGGCCAAGGACTCGGCCGTCGGCTCCTCATTCGACGAACATGTCATGGGCGGCTACAAATTCTTGATGCGATACTATTCGCCCGGCGACGAGATTTTTTTCATTGGTTTCAGTCGCGGTGCATACATTGCGCGATTCTTAGCCGAAATGCTGGACTATATCGGCCTACTGGAAGCCGGCAACGAAGAGCTGATCCGATTCGCCTGGAAGACCTTTGCGAAATGGCAGCAGCGCGCGGGTGACAGCGAAGAAGAAAAGGAGGAGAAAAAGAAACTCTTCGAATACATGAAAGCCTTCCGAGAAACCTTCAGTCGTCCGATCTCGCGCATCCGCTTCATGGGCCTCTTCGATACCGTCAATAGCGTACCTCGCTTCGAGAATGCCTGGATGCAACGCAGCAAGTTCCCATATACCGCACGCAGTTCCGCCAAAGTCATTCGTCACGCCGTCGGCATTGACGAGCGTCGAGCCAAGTTCCGTCAGGATCTCATCTCGGGTCCCAGGCCGCATGGGAAAGAGCACAAGCGTCACCGCCATCATCTGGATCCGCGCCGATTTGAGCACCATTTGATGGCGCGACATACCGATGCGCATCACCACTTGCACGTTCGCCATCAAGACCACTACCACGAAGCCAATGCCGACCCGGAGGTCCCTGCCATCACGGTGAATGACAATAGCGAGGTACCCCAGAACGGCGATGCAGACCCCGGGGCACCAGTGCCCACCTTTGAGATCCCCGGATGGGGTCCCTCCGCGGGCGAGTCGTATTACCATACTCCCCACCACTCATCGTATCAGGGTAGCGAGAACAACGCCGGCGAAAAGACTGGCCAGCGCTATCGCGCACCATCGCCGCGACGCAACGGTCTCGTTGTGCCAAAGCCTGCCCCCTCGGTCGATGACCTCCAGTCCGTCCGTAGCGGGCAGTCTGGCAACCTATCGATCCAAGTTCCCAGCCAATACGACGACGAGTCCGACGAGGAGGACGATCAGGACATTCATGAGGTCTGGTTCCCGGGCTGTCATGCCGATATTGGCGGAGGCTGGAAGCTGGAAGGCGGCGAAATGTGGGCACTCAGCCACGCACCTCTAGTGTGGATGGTGCAGGAGGCCCGAAAGGCCGGTCTGGAGCTAGACGAGCGCAAGATGAAGCAATTCCAGTGTCTGGAAGAGTTTGATGGTGACTATACACCTATTCAAGAGGAGATTGCCGCACGCCGGCCCAGCCAGTGTGTCGAGAACCACGGTGATAACCCCGATGCCTACCGCATCTCGCCCGACGAGAAGGGCCGCTCGGCTGCAAGTCGCGACTTCTGGCACGCATTGCACACCTCCAGCACCAAGGGCTCCTTACACGACTGCCTGAAGTTCAACCAGGGGCTACCGCACATGTCGGTCATCTCATGGCGAGTCATGGAATGGCTACCCTTCCGCCGCATGGATCTGCAAGAAGACGGGTCCTGGAAGCCGATTTGCTGGCCCCTGCCACGCGGTGAAGTGCGAGATGTACCACTCGAAGCGGAGATTCACGTTTCAGCCATCCGTCGCATGCAAGCCGATCCCAAGTATCGCCCGGGTAACGTGATCGTCGGCGGTGGCGGTCGCGGGGTGCGTGTTGCGCCGGAATCGTATGGTATGGGCGAATGGATGGTTTTCAAGCATGAGGGTGATGGGGTTCGTGAGACGTACGTTCGTAAGAGCGTGGCGACCAAGTGTAGGGAAGCGCTGGAGCAGAAGGAGAAGCAGAAGAAGGAACACTCTGCGGTGCATTGAAGCCTAATTTCAAGCATGAGTTTCTGTTGAGTTTCGCGTTGCGATGTTCTACTTGAGATTGTTCACCTTAGATACCTTAATTTATGTACTACATGCACGTCTTCGCCTAAATGCGAGATTGGGCATCTCTTTTCATGCCAATGAATTGAATTCTTGGTCTTTTCCCATCTGAAAACCTCCGCCAATTCCCCATCCCGGTCCATGTTCTGTGCAGACTTCGGTAGTCCAGATCGCAATCACCCACTTAGCCTGTTCCTGCAGCTCCTGGCTGCATGGACGAATACGATGTCGTGGCACAATGGCACCTCGGTAACCTGGCGTGATTGGTGACGCCGTCTGATTAAATGACACTGATGGTAACTTAGTGGCAGACGTTGGGATTATAGCAAGAGCTATTTGAGATATGAAGAAAGACTTGGAAAGAGTAAGGACAAGGTCAGGGTCAAAAGCCAACCCAAATACTCTACAGTCATACTTGTTTGGTGAGCTTTTTGTCTTACTACCCGTCAATCTCAATCTCGGCAACGCCGGGCTCGACTGTAGTTTCCGCTGCACCGCTAGCACTAAAGTTGTGGGGTCATGGCTTGGGCATCCATGGTTCTCGTCTAGATCCAACTAACTGTATGCGCGGAATCACGATCGCCAAGGCTAAGCACATGTCACCATTTCTCTCTGTCATTGGCATTTGCAATGGTATTATATGGAGTTCTGGAGCAGATCTTTCTCTACTCCTTGAATCTTAACCTACCACTCGCATCGCCCGTCATCACTGCCGCGGTCTCGAGGGAAAAAAATCTACAAAATCCTGATCATCCTCGCCTTCTGGAATGATCCCCCGGACGAACCCCTGCAGTGAGCCTATCAATCGCATTCTCAGACCGTTGGACTATGTCCCTCTCACGCTCGAACAACGGGGCCAGCTGCAGGAGGCGGTCTTTCACAACTCGGTGGTGTACCATGGAGCGTGTGCGCGAGCAGATCCCGACCATCATGCTCCTCACTATCCATCGGCAGTGGTTCAATTTGGGTATCGTGATGGACCAGCGAGAAACATGATAGTAGAGCTCTAATAGATCATAAGCGGCCTTCATTCCTCAAGAGCTTACTTCTACATGGATCCCGCGATGAACCGCGTTTGAAGTATAAGTCAACCCATGCTTTTTGATCAAACTGGAACGGTTCTTTGAGGTGTTTTTTTTAAAAGATTCTCACATTACAGTCATATCCTCAATAAGTAGTGATAGATAGGATCGGTGAGATGTCATACTAAAGCATTGGGAAACAGTCCCAGATCTCATTGGATCTCATAAGGTTTGGAAATAGAGGAAGCGGTTGAAGAACCTCGTCGGGACGCTTCAGTGAGTTACCATGGGCCAGCTCAAGCCACCGACATAATATCGAACGAGTACCTGCGCCCCATACTCTGTAGGTGACTGAACCACTCTTAGAACGATGCTTGGCTCTGCAACGGTCTCCTCGAGACTTAGGAAACAATGTGATTTCACAAAAGAAAAGTCTTTCCCGGCTTTGACTACAAAGCACTTTCCAGTTCCGAGGCAACGGTTCATTGATGATTCATGAATTTAAATATAGAACGAAGAAGACTGATTTGAAGGATCCGTTTGCTCGGACAAGATCTCCGTCGACTGCATGTGAAGATCACCGGTGGATGGCACCCGTTACTCTACGCAGTTTCGATAGAGTCCGGAGACCTGCAGGGCTCTCGGCTATCAGCGATACATCGGGATAATCTGCGACTAATATTGGAATCTATTGGCGGAGGGCTGCGACGTCCGCCTTGCATGAGGAAGTGATACTGTTCAAATTGTAGTCTGGACCGAAGCTAGAGCAAAGGTCCAACTCGGTATGCTTCAACTTTCTCTATTCTGAAAGGTATTGCAATATATCATTCAAATGTCTTTTCTATCATCTAGGTGCGATCTGCCAGGTCATTTTCTAACTCGCTTGTGGGAGGACGAACATGCGGTTTTGGCAGGCCGTATATGCCCTAACCATCTTGCGACCTTCTTATCGAAAGTATCCGGTGGAATGCAAAATGAAAAGGACAGAAATACAGAAATTTTTACTCTTTTAAGCCAATAATATTGAATACACAATAGCATCTCCATGCCAGAGTTGAGGCCTTACAAAAGGAGCATCAGGCGCAAGGCTTGTCAGGATCCCATTCGGTCTGGGCCTTGGCTCCGTTTCGCCGCAACCTTTTTTTTTCTTTGACCTCACCATTCTCACTTTCTCTTCCCCCCTTACACTCTTTTACGTTCATCACACGTTGCCCTCTTTCTCGAAGATTGGCCGGTCCAAGGTTCTTGACTTTTATCCCCTCGTCTCTACATCATGCGCCCGGCGTAAATCTTCAACCACTCCTTTCACCACTTTCCCCCCTTCCCCGTCCCTCTTCGCCTTCCTTCACCCCCCTTTTTTCCCCCAACACCACCACGATCGATCGCCTCATTCGCGGCGGCCATGGACAGGTCGGATCGACCTGAGACCATGCGCTCCTCTCACTCTGACTCCAAAGACCCCACTGGGCCCAACTCCGGAGATGCCCCGGAAGGAGTACCAAAGGAGGACGTCATGATCACTCTGTCGCTCTCTCCCGAACCGCCGGCTCCTCCTCGGACCCGATCCCCTTTGGCTCGATCGCACCTCCGCTCGCGATCACTGGTGGGTATCCCGGGCATGCCATCGATGACGCGCGCCTATTCCTCTCCGGGGCTTGACTCTCGTGGACGATATATCTTCGTCAACGGCCGCGGGGTGCCCGCGCCTCAGCCCACCATCGACTACGCAAAGCGATCCACGCCCTTGCAGATGCGTGACGATCACATCGAGACCCGCCTGGGGTCGCTGAACATTTCCGAGACCATCTCTGAAAACGCCGAGCTCGAGACGCTGCCGCGATCTCCCTCCTCGCAGTCGGGCTCCTCGCCAGTCTTGATGCCGCAGACTTTCCCGCGCGTCGGTCGCCTGCGTTCCACTTCGCCTCTCCACTTCCAGCAGCCCATCAACAGTCCCCCGTCGATCCATACCTCACCCACCCTCGGCGGCCGATACAATGAGGCCTACCCGGCCCACTCGGCCTCGTCTACTTCCTCCGTGCCATCGACTCCGACTAGTCTCCGCTCGCGCAGCCCCAGTATCTCGTCCTTGGAGACTATTCCTGATATTCCTGACGCTGAAGCTGAAGCGCTCGAGGAAGAGCGAATCGCAGAACTCAAGGCTGCTGCAGATGCGGCCGACGCTGCAAGCACTGCCAACCGACGACGCGGCGCATCTGACATTGCTACACCCTCTAGCTCCTTTGGCACCGTCCGTGGTGGAGCCAGTGCGTACGCTCCGCGGAGTGACAAGCGCAAGCGATGGAGCGTCTGTGGAGCGGAGCGCCGGCAGGACCTTGACCTAGAGACCATCTGGGAAGACTGAGCAGGCTTCACAAGACCCTTGGTCAAAGCTCTATGGTCTTGGGCATCTGCACACCCATGGGCCAATTACAATTTCCTCCTCGTCCAGCACGTCTCTAACGCGTCTTTCCCGTGCCTTCAGGGTGCTCCATGAGATCGCAGCATGATCCATTCTCTCTCTCTCTCTCTCTCTCTCTCTCTCGAACCTACCCCTCTTACACACCTACCTTTTATCCGACGACGTACATACCACCCCACCATCTACTCATCTTTGCAAAGCGATATCATCATACGAAAAGGAGTTTCGTCATGGGTGGCGCTAGTACTTTTTGTTTCTGTATTTGCGGCGCGACGGGAAATGGGCCAGGCGTTTCGCTTCTCATCTATCTATTATGCTGGGCATAATTCATTTTGCTTTGTACCATCGACACTGGTTTCTACGATCCATCTGTTTCCCTGTTTTTCATGTTGCCCTGCTCGATACCATCGTCCCAATGTATCTTATTTTCTGGCTTTTTCGCTTGTACTGCGCTCCGCAGTCTAGCACCTGGACTCGGACCTCAATGAGGATTCTTTTCTCTTGAATCAATTCTATTCAACAAGATGCCCTCTGTAGAATGGATGAACTCTCACCACATACTCTCTAATCTCAAACTCAGTGAAGAAGGTCATAAAGTGGCAGGCTTAGAACGTCCCCAACTTTATCAACAGCGGCCAAGCCATAGATCCAACGCCAGCCAATCATCCGCGCACCGGGTCCCCCCCACCTTCTATCAACGACCGCGGTCCCGGAAATATTTCCTCTTCTCGTGTCGTCTCGGGTACAGTATAGAACTAGACCCGATTACAGTGCCTTTACAGCGCAGGGCTACACTGGACCATATTTCCCTCGCCACCTTATGTCTACAAAACCCCACGTCGGCATCATTGGTGCCGGCTTGTCAGGCTTGCGCTGCGCCGATATTCTTCTCCAAAACGGTGCACGAGTGACTATCCTCGAAGCGCGGGATCGGATTGGTGGGCGAGTAGGTTTTCCCCGCGCTCCCCGTGATGTATTCGCTTTTCTGGATGGTTTTCAGTAATGGCGAATCATGGATCGTGAAGCATGGGGCTTTGCTGATCTTTGCTTTTCGTTGGTTAGGTTCATCAGGAGGAGGTTGGGGGTCATTTGGTGGATCTGTATGCATTTGTTCCATCCACTCGTTTCTCTTTGAATTGTATCTCGTTTATTTTTTGGGGGGGGGGTTTATCGTCTGGCTTGAGACTAATCGCAATACTAGTGGGCCAAATTGGATTCATGGCACGGGTACAAATCCTATCTTGTCTATTGCGAACGCGACCCGAACAGTCACGCATGACCCGGAAGGTCGGAATATCGCGGTCTCGCGCGACGGACATCTCCTCGGGGACGATGCTGTAACCAAGGCTTCCGAGTTCATGTGGGCGACTATCGAGCAGGCCTTTGAGTATAGTAGCCAGCATGGGAATATCATTCCTCCCGAGCGGAGTTTGTTTGATTTTTTCCAGGAGAAATTGGAGCAGTCTGATTTCTCTGAGGAGGAGAGACAGCTTTGTCTGGACTCTTGTAAGCTCTGGGGTGCTTATGTGGGTGATCCTATTGAACGGCAGAGCTTGAAGTTTTTCTGCTTGGAAGAGTGTATTGATGGAGGTGCGTATCATTTCTGTTCGGGGGAGAGAACGAGGAAATAGCTTGTTGGTTGTGGAGCGTAAAGATGCTTATGTATTGTCCACTGACGCATCCTCGCAGATAACTACTTCGTTGCATCGACTTATAAACGCATTCTGGAGTACATCTCCAGGGTTGCACTATCACAAGCAGATATCCGATTCAAGCAGGCTGTCGTGAGCATTGATTCTCTGCTACGCGACAATGGGCGGTCTCGGCATCAAATCACCGTAGCCACTGCTACAGGCGAACGCTTCGCCTTCGACCAGGTTGTTGTCACCTGCCCAATGGGTTGGTTGAAACGGAACACGCATGCATTCTCTCCGGCCCTCCCAAACCGGCTACTCGAAGCCGTCCAAAGCATATCCTACGGCCGACTGGAAAAGGTCTACATAACATTTCCACGGGCCTTCTGGCATACCGATTCGAATCCAAACACCGACGATCAGCATGGGTCAACATCTGCGAAAAATCCCGTATTCGCTCAATTCCTCGAACCTTGCTACGCAGATCATCCGGATGGCCTTGAATGGAACCAAGAATGTCTATCACTTTCTGTATTGCCGAGTCCATGTAACCAACCAACCCTCCTCTTCTACACCTACGGACCCTGTTCAACGCATATCGTCGAGCAAATTGCCTCACTGGACCCTAAATCAACGGAATACCGACAGATCCTGGTCGATTTCTTCGAACCTTTCTATTCCAGGCTACCGGGTTACGACGCTTCCTTGCCCGACTGCATCCCAACTGCAATCTTGGCGACCCGTTGGCAAAAGGATCCCTACGCGGGTAATGGGTCTTATTGTAATTTCCAGATCGGCCTTGCGCAGGCTGATAAGGATATTGAAGTGCTTCGTTCTGGGGCAGGTGTTGGAACTGAAAGGGGGCTTTGGTTTGCGGGTGAGCACACGGCGCCCTTTGAGGCTTTGGGGACGACGACCGGCGCTTATTTGAGTGGGGAGAGGGCTGCGGTGCAGGTTTGCGGGAGTCTTGGGTTGTGCAGTGCTGGTGTGAGTGGTGATTCTGTTTTGGACCAGTAAGGCTCTATGCTTTTGTTCTTGTCATTCACGATTACTCTGTTTTCATGATGCTTCTTCATTTGCCTTGTTGGAGGCTTATGCCTAGAATTAATCGAGTATCTTGTCTCGAAATTTGACACTCCTTCAAATGACATGGCTGATCCTCGTATGGGTTACATCATTCCTATTAAACCTATGCATTCAGACCCAGCGCGGTGGATGCGGTAATGCATCCCCAAGAAATATATACATCATCGTCTAAACCCTCATGCCCATTAATGCTTAACCCCACGAGTAAATCGAGTCATAGTGAGGCAATAATGTTGAAAACTGTTGACTAAATTATCAGAAGACAGAATAAACGTTATAACATCTTGCGTAAGAGATTTCCATTGCACCGAACGTACACTATGAATATCCGGATCCAAGTGGGTCCATCAACCAATCAACTCTTCTCTTTATTCAAATTTTTTTCAGTCCCCTCCTATATCCATAATCTTCCAGAATCTACATCTACTGGCCGGCTGGCCCAATGGCAAGGCGCTTGACTACGAATCAAGAGATTGCAGGTTCGACCCCTGCGTCGGTCAAGTTTTTGCTGGTTATAGGTGTTGGTTGGCTTCTTTTTGCTTAAGAGTCTGAGTGTGCGATGGAGATTAGTTTTGCCTTCGGATGATGGGAAGGGAATTCCGAAATTGAGTGGCAGAATGATGAGGCGTCAAATGTAGAAACAAGGCCCCGTGCGTTAAGCTTGGTATAGTTGGAATCGTAGAGGTGTACGAAGAGGATAATTCAACCAGGTAGCCTGAAATTCAATATGACCTGGACAGGTAAATCTAATGGATTTCTGAGTTGACTGCCTCCCTCTGTAAGGAGCCAAGTTCAATGGCACTGGATTAATACAAGGATAAGGCTGACCCGCTGGGAACACGTTTTCATGACGTTCCGGCAATAACAATCATCCATGATACAGTTGATGACTAGATCTTTTAATGACTTTTATAAGGATAGAAATTTGTAAATGGTCGTAACTAGGATTTCATTCCAGGATTAGTAGATTCTAAACCGGGAGCTTTCTCCCGCAATCCGCACCCCGCCGTCAGACACATCACCTCCTTTAATCCACATCTTCGAGACTACCGCAGGGTCGGAATTCACTCCGAAAACAGGGGAGGAAAAACTCGAAGCAAGCAACGCAGGAGTACAGGAGAAACATAAAAAAGGGCAACTGCCTTGACAGGATGCCAGACCGACCTTGGAAACAAGGGATTCATGGGGTTCACGTGACAGATGTGGCAAAGACCGCTTGCAAGCACACATTGCGAAAAGTCATGAAGACAAAGTGACAAAGAAAAAGATGTGAAAGTGAACAAAGGAAATGGATGAGAACAAGGGGAATTGGTGATTGGTAAATGACATTGACCTCGACACATGGGCTCTTTCTCGCCCTTCTTTTATCGGGTCTTATCGCCATGCCCCTTGACTGAGGGACAGAAGACCTTGGACACAGTCCAAGTCATCTTCTTGACTGCCGCCGGCACCGCCAACCATGAATGCTGATACTTCTGCGCTCAGATCGGGGCCTGCTTTACCCTGAACTCCGGATGGGTATTGCCGATTGCGTTTGCTACCGGACACGATGCCGCTTTTGCGGTTGGCATCACGCAGAACGGGTCGCGGGACGTGTGAGGTGGTACGCCGACGACTTTGTGTGGAGCGAGTGCCTGGGATCCAATTCTCCTTGTCGGAATCACCGGGATCGAGCTCAAAATCTTGCTTGCCAGACTTGGATATCATGTTTTTGGACAGTTTGGATACTTGATAGGGAGACCCCCGATTCCGCTCCGTCTCTAACCTGCCAAGAGATGAGACGGTCCGAGAGAGTTTTCGCCTTTTCTCTCCCATTGATTGAGAGATCGGCGTACGAGCCGAGTCGGCATGCACCGAGACCAGGCTATGCCGTTGCGATGCACTCCGGGTCAGAGAGCGCTGGCTGCGTGACTGGAAGAGTCCCGGGGAAGAGGTGGGGGCTGTTTGAGAGGACATTGGGGTGGACAGGGCACTTCGTGCATCTGTGTCAAAGGCAGACTCCCAGTTTCGAGGGTCGCGAGAGCGACCGAAGACTCGATCGTTCTCGGTCATGCCGGCCCGCGGCGTGGCCGGGAAGATAGCACTGCTGCTGCGACGCAAGCCTGATATCTTAGGCCGACGGACAGAGAACATGGCCACGCGGTTCTTGGATGGGGAAGGTTCGTTCTCTCCACGGATCACAGCTTTGCCATCCGAGGACATTGCGATCCGCAGTGAGTTCCGACCCTTGGGCGGCGACGGCGTCATCTCATCCTCCTTCCGCACCATGGCCTCGCCATCGAAGGATAGCGACAAACGCAGCGAGGGTGGTGATTTCACAGGTGTGGTATGTATATGCACCGCGGGCTGCTCGCTCGCTTCCTCTCCCCGAAGATCCGACATGGACCGTTTCCGCTTGGGAACTTGCAGCGACTCCTCCGGTGATAATTCATTCAGACTTTGTTGTGAATCGGCGCCATAAAACTCCTCCTGCGTGGTTGGCGGGGTCTCTTCAATAACATCCGTGGCCACACTAGTCTGCGTGCTCTGCAACATCGTGTCCATCTCATATTTCTCGCCCATAATCGGATCAGATTCATCAGACAACTGCAACAGATCCCCACCCCAGGATTTTGGTGGTAATTCCTCCGGTCGTTCCTGGCTCTCAACCTGCTCCGCCCCACTCGACGACCCCGGTTCCGCGGACGCGTTATCATCACTTGCTGGGTGACCCGACGAGTCGGACATACTTGAGCGCGGTGCAAGCAGCTCGTGAGGCTGGAGAGGTTTCATTTTCCTCCTGTCGTTCTGGCGGCGATTCTGGAACCAAATCTGTCAAAGCGCACGAGAAAATTATTAGCCGGACGGCGGGAGATTTGTGGACGCTCTAAGTCTTGGCATCGCGTACCTGTACCTCTTTCTCGCCCAGCGAGACGCGATTCACAATATGTGTGCGGGCAACCTTGTCCGGCTTTGGATTGATTTGGTACTCGGCTTCTAAGATGGCATGGTCCTCCGGGCTATTGTCGACGTGGTTTGTGGTGATTAGTTTTTGGGTGGTTCAACGACGCGTATCGGCCCATTGCATCAATGACCGAACGAATTAAAAAAGACATACCTCGTCCGACGCCGCTTTTGACGAGCGAGCAACTTGTTGTCGACTCGTGGAGGTAAATTTTGTGTCAGGGTTTTCTGGGAGTGTACCAAGAAGGCGTAGGTCAAGGCATTGGAGTCGGCGGCCGGTAGTGACGGTGAGGACGGGGCCGCCACTGAAAGCTCCGGGTCGGACATGGTCGAATTGGACTATGAGTGCATGAGGGGGGAAAATAAGTCCGTGTAGAGAAACAGGATTGTGAAATTAGAGGAGCAGAATAGAAGAAAGAAGAGAGGAAAGGTCGGGATGAGGCTGGACTCGAAGCGAGTATGCAGAGAGGGCCGTGAGAATCGCGTCGCGATGTGGACGCGGAGAGTAGCAAGAACGTGGCCCGCGCTAGTCAGGACGTGCGCCCGCGAAGTACCTGTGACTTGCACCGTACTCGGAGACGCGATCTTGATTCTTCTCGGTCATTTCTCTAGTCATAACGATGGTGTAACATTTGTAGACTCAGTATTTGATTCCATTTCCGACTAGAATACTTGAATTTATTCTCCTAATTATGAACGCGTGCTTCTATCCATACAGTCTCGGAGGTAATTCGGAATCCCCACTCTGGAGTACGCCTGGTCTGGCCGATGGGGCACTCGCGTGTCTGCACGTGTGGTGGAATGCGCGAGATCTGAGGAATTCTAGTCATCTCTGGGCGATGTCTCTCCCGTTTCTCCCCAGGGATGGTGATTCTGCTAAGTGCATATAGTCCATCTCGCTGGGTATGGTTCGGTGCTGACGAGGTGGCTCAAATGAACCAAACGCGCCTCGACACGTCTTCACGTGACCTCCACGAGGGCCACCGTCACGTGGCAGACGGGATCTGTATAGTTACAGTACTTGGAATCCAAGATGAGACGAGACCGATGCATTCATCACATGCCAATGAAATAAAGTACCAGAACCACGAGGTGGAAGCCCTGTCTCTCATCGATGGATTCAAATTAATCTAGCCAGACCAATACGCTCGTAAATTGCCACCTTGGCTCCCCCCAACTTCGACATTCAAGCGAGGGGCGTCGGGCCCCGGCATGCCTCGCGGGGTTTTCCAGGACCGCATGGTCAGCACAGCCGAAGGCAGCAAGCCAATTACCAGGTTCTAGAAACGTTCTATGCCGGGATACAGTCAGACTAAAGATCCTAGTAATATGCAACTATTCCAAGAAATGCAAACGAGGATACTATATCCTTGCCTCGATTGCGGGGTTTGAACGGTTCGGCACACCGGGGACGGATTTAGGGTGTTCGGGCCACAGGCCAGCCAGTCAGTCGTCCACTTTGATAGGCGGATCCTCCGAAAACCTCACCGTGGAGATGGACCGTTCACGACCCCGGATTCTACATTCCCCTCCAATTTCACCTCGTGTACTTTCTAGCCCCGGTCATTTCCTAGCAGGGTCCTTCCTTACCCTGGAGACCTTTGCCTCCTTTCAATTGATTGCTCCCCGCTTTCGTGGACACGGTGGTTCTAGCATATTCAGTAATAAAGGACTATGATCGTGCTCCATCGGGGCGTACCCAGGTAGTGGTGGAGACTAAGCTGGGTTCTCCCCCAGAAGACCCCATTCTTTATCTCTAGAGAAACCATATTGATTTTGTCTCATGATGGGCCGATCCTATACGATTTGGGTCGCCACGTTGGCGGCAACGGGGTCATTCCTGTTTGGGTATGACAGCGGCGTGATGACCGACGTGATCGCCTCGCCCAATTTCTTGCAGTACTTCAGTACTACGCAGACATCGTCCATTATCGGAGCAATCAACAGTACCTTCTCCGGGGGAGGTAAGTCTTGATACTGCTATCTCCATGATTCTGCGTGTGGCCTTCTTACCAAGTCCGTTGTGTACATTCTAGCCGTTATCGGGGCCTTGCAAGGTGGCTTGACAATGGATCGCTTTGGGCGCAAATTCACAATTCACATGGGCGCATTTATATGTCTCATCGGTGCGACTCTTCAGGCGGCGGCCCGGAACTTGGTGATGATCCTGGTGGGTCGCATCTTGGCAGGATGGGCCGTCGGACTCATGTCCATGTCGGTCCCGGTCTATCAGGCTGAGTTTGCTCATCCAAAGTCCCGTGGCTTGATTGTGGGCTTGGCCCAGCAAATGATTGGAGTTGGGTTCATTGTCAGCACGTAAGAATCTCTTCTCACGAAAATCCAACAGTGATGCCATTGCATAGGGCTATCCAAGGATGGCAGCTGATCCGGACGGAACACAGATGGATAGGATATGGATCCCTCCACGCATCAGACTCTAGCCAATTCCAGTGGCGCTTCCCGCTGGCTTTTCAGGTTGTTCCCGCATCGGTGTTGGTTATTGGAATGATCTTCCTGCCCGAGTCTCCACGATATCTCATCGAGAAGGGAAGGTTTTCAGAGGGAAAGCGGGTGCTCCACAAGTTGCACTTTGACGGTACCAATGAGGACTGGATTGAAGCCGAATACAACGAGATCTGCCGGACGATCGAAGCCGAGCAGTGTGTGGCTGTGCAGGGCTGGATGCCCATGTTCGCCGTTCCTCAATGGCGGACTCGGATGCTGTTCGTTGCCAATACCACCGAGCGAGAAGCGAAGGAGCCATAGGCTAATGCTGTCTTTAGTCACGGACTTGCGGTTCAAGCTTTCACCCAAATGACCGGTATTAACGTGATTGGGTACTATCAAACGATCATGTACAGGGCGCTCGGTTTCACGGGAAGCCGCAACACGCTCGTTGCTGGGCTATATAATTCCGTGGGCCCAATATCGAACCTCATCTTCATCGCCTTCATCCTCGACCGTGTCGGTCGTCGCAAGCCGCTGATCTTCGGAACGATAGGCATTTCGCTCGCGCTGATCTGTGAGGCAGTGTTAAACTCTCAGAATCCGGACGGTCAACGAATCGGATACAGCATCGGCGGGGTGTTTTTCCTTTTTGCCGTGTCGGTGATATTCTCTCTTTCATACGGACCTGTTGGCTGGTAAGTGTTCTCTCAAATCGTCTTGCGGCCTTGCTTCCGGACCGGCGCGACCCAGACTGACCAAAAGGGGGTTGCTTGCAGGGTGTATATGGCAGAGGTCATGCCGATGCAGATTCGAGGCAAGGGCAACGCCTTCGCAGTCGGAATCGGAAACTGGGCAGTCAGTACGCTGTGGAATCAGGTATCGCCTATTGCATTAGGGAAGCTTCAATGGAGGTTTTATTTTGTCTTTGTGGCCTGGAGTCAGTGTCGCATCCCTGCGTCTGTAGTTCGCTCGCGCTAATTATCATCCAGATCTGTGTGTGTCGCTTCCGGTGATCTACTTCTACTTCCCGGAGACGAAACAGAAGACACTCGAAGAGATCGACCAGCTGTTTGAGCGGGTGCTGGAACGAACCCCCGAGGAAGGCAATGTGGTGCATCCACGGTCGGAGAAGGAGGAGGCGGGGGTCACGGCGATGAACATCGAGGATGCCAGATGTATCCACGACTAGTTAGTTGAATATGAGAAGCTGCGTCATATTTAAGCGTTTTTGCTGGTCTTGTGGATCTCCACAAATAAAATAAAGCAGTGGAGACTCGAGAGCAGTGGGGGGCGGGGGTGGAGTTCGAACAGAGGCAAGGATCGCACAGTCGCGGGACTCCGTCGAAGTCGGTCGGGTACACCAACGAAGAACACGCGCCTGACGGCCTGACAGCCTGGCAGCCTGGCAGCCTAGCACCCATCCACCACTTTTGTCCGCTTTTATCCTTCATCTGTCGTACAACTCAACTCCAAGGAAACGCCAAGCCGACCAACGGACGACTGGCTCTGACCCAAACAATCATACGACGCGGCACCTCATGAGGTCGCTCAGTGACATAGTTCCACAAGCCCACAGGCCCAGCCTAGAAACTCTCCAAGAAAAATGGGCAATCCAGCCGATCAACATTCCCAGCCGCTAGCTACTTGGCCCGCCCATCCCTTTGAGCGCCACACGCTTCGATTGGTTCCTCATCGACAAGGGAGGGGGAAGGACCATAATTCCCAATGAGTCCATGATTCTTCCAATGAATCCTCATCGCTGAATCGTATTCTCCACTGGAGAGCTCCCCCCGCTTTGACAGGTCGATCATCAGTTCTGCTCCTTGAACACGGGCGCGAGAGTTTGTAATTATCAGCTCACTCTCCAGGTTTATCTCGCCCAGGATTGCTTTTATTTTCCTTGAACGTCCCGGGTCACGCTATCCAAGTGCCTGTCCTCTGCTGCATCTTTGCATCCTCCCTCCTCTCCAGTGAGGCTTCGTGGTAGGTATCTTCTTACCCGCCGTTGAAGACTCGGTGTCTCGGGAAGTCGCGTCGATTCTTGGGGTCAACGTATTGATCTTTCCACATACTTGGGCTGTCGCTCATCCAAAACCACCACGCAGCAGCGATGGGACAAGACGGCAGTTTGAAGACGAGCCACATGGCCATCGTCTTGGGGATCGGGCTAGGCGTGGTGCTGCTGATTGTTTTGAGCTTAATGTAAGTACTTTGCTGACTTGTTCGACCTCATATTGTGGAAGCACAATCTCATTCTGGATACACTAAATGCTGTTCGATCTTGACATCCTCTCTTTTCTTTCTTTCCAATCTTTCAATTGCTGCCTCGAATTCGGGTTACACAAATTTGATACTGACCTCCCAGTCTGACTATCCTCATCAACCGGCGTGATCACCGGGCGTTCTTGCGGTCGAGGAAAAATCCAGACGAACGCCTGCGCAGCCTCGATGCTGTTTCACCGACTCGCACGTTGGAGCAGTGGTGGACCACTACGAAGGGCACGTTGGGTCTTTCCGAAGCCGTGGACAGTCAATTTGTCTGGTAAGACCTCGAAACCGTTGGGCTGGCAAACATCGAATTTCTACTGGAGACAACTGACCAGAATATTCAGTGCCGTCTGCTTAGAGCAAGTAAATCGCACGGAAGAAATCCGCGAGTTGCGATGTTTGCATGTCTTTCATCGAGAGTGTCTTGAAAAGTGGTTTTTGGGAGACCACTATAACTGTCCATTATGTCACCGGGCGTATTATGTGCCAGAGCATCCGCCGCGCCATGATTATGTATGGATGGTATGACCTTCTGGAATTCGGTCTGCGTAGACATTGGCGTGGAGGTAACTTTGGTTGTCTGTTTTGATGATATCGTACCTGGTCTTTATTACATAACCCCAATTTATCACCAATAATAATGACTTGGTGGCGAGCTGAAGACACGACTCTTGTGTAGATCAGCGACACTCTTTTTTTCATGGCGCAAACCCATTCGCTACGGGAAAGTAATCCGAGCTAAAGTCCCAGCTGTTGTAATTCGACCAGTTCAAGAAGCTGGATAGCTCGGACGTGACATCATGCATCATTTCCGGATGGACGGGCTGTGGATCGAGTACTCGGTCGAGGATGCGAGACAGATTCTTCTCAGCTTCTTTGCATGTGCGATAATTGCCATGCCCAGGTCGCGCAATCCAAGAAAGCATCGATATGAACACGCTCAAGTTGCGCACAAGCTCGGCACGCGGAAGAACCACGTTGTGTGGTCCAGGTTTGCAGGATTGATGTAAAAGTTCAAGTAGAAGAACACCGGAGCTTGGGACACCGTACGTCAAGGCCTATTCGTCAATTAGTACAAGTAGCACCTCAGCCTTGATGGCAAGAGCAACAGATAAACGTACAATCCAAGAGTAATGCCGGTCAAGATCCACCATCGGATTACGCCTGGTGGTAATGCTGTTCACGATACTCAGGACCTGGCGCGAGAGTTCACAGAGCGACTCCTGCCCGGTGTTCGTGTGCTTGATCAAAGCCCGCTGGAGAAGGAAACATGTGTATAAATAGTTGAGATAGAGGTAAACCAGAGTCAACCACCCGTGGTGAAAATCATCTCTTGGCCTTCGATCATATCGGAGGTTGTCTGGAGTTGACTCCCACACAGCACGTACACCCTCACGGATTTCACTATGGGGTAAGCTCGGTCAGACCATGAAAGACCATCGTCTCGTACAGTTTCGGAATTTCCATCACTCACTTGCACTTTTGAACCAAATCACGCGGTTCATGACTACCCAACGCGATCTCTAGCGTCCTTTCCCTGAAAACAGACAGTTGGAATCGAATTCGTCCCGTTGACATTCGGTGGCGAATCCCATTTGTACTCCATCCTGCACTGTCCAGCTCAGAGATGGCTTGGTTCAGAGCCTCACCCCCTTCAACAAGGACTTCATCACTCAGATCCAGAGGTGGGGTCAATGTGCAATATCGGTAATTCAAAAGGGGTGGCCGCCCAACGAATGTAGCCATCATTTTATCCATGTAAAAGGCCGACGTAAAGCAGCATCGACGCCATTGACGAAGGAAAAAAGGACAGGTTTCGGTGTCTACATGCAGGCCAGCTGCATAGATGGTCGCTGTGAGATCGCCGAGTCGACGCCATGCTTGATAGCCTAAAGTCTGTTGTCAATTTTGATAGCTGTCTCTCTCGGAGGGGGGAAGGCATACTGGAATCTCCGTAAAGCTGTGTTTGTAGCATGACATCGTTATATTGCAGATATGCCAGCATTTCATTTGCAGCGGAAGCCTGGTCACAGAAATTGAGGCAAATCGTACTGGCCACGGTCACTTGTTCCAAGAGTCGGTCCTTCGTTCCTGGTTCATCCCCCTCGGTAACTACAGGGTCGTTCTCGGGGGTGATCACTAGTTGCTGACCACACAGAGTGAAAATATTGCCAAGTGCTTCCCATCGAAAATTGCGTCCTGTGAACGAATTGCAATAGTCCTTGATATTCATAGACTGATGAGTAGTCAATGCTCGCGAGGAATTCTGGAAGATCTGAGTGGCTAGACTCTGCAGTTGGGGCATCAAATCGTTGGTGTTAAACCCGCCAAAAATCTCGTCAATGGAGTCCATGATTGCATCCACAACCACTTTGGGTACAACCACATTCCATGACCGCAAGTAAAACTTGTCGACCAGCTTACGGCGGACCTTGAGATTGTACAGGAAAAGCAGGACCTCAGCTCCGGACTGGATCCGATCTGGTTCCACCACCAAAACTGGGCATTCCACATTCTCTTCTTGCTCGAATGCGATCTCATTGCGATGTTCCACGAGAACAGCGGTGAAGCTCGTGGAGCCCATGTACCCCGGAAGAGCGGAAGAAGGCTCTGAGGGCGCGTATAAACGCCCGCCATGTAAAGAACCTGAGCCCGGGCTCGAAGCACTGATATGAAAGGTTAGTTTCATTTCATCAAATCCTCCGCGGTCTAACGCATGCTTACTTGGAAGTTGGCTGACTAGTCAGTCCTCTTGACCGTGCTATACTTGGATTCGAATTGGTCTGATCCGAGGATCTCCGGCGGGTCATCGGGGCTGGATGGTAGAAACATTTATCGGTGATTCTCTTTGCCGTGCATCTACGGCAAACGGGTCGTTCATGGTCGCAACGCTGTTTCGACCGCCGACACGGCTCGCATGACTGCAGCGTGCCGTTTCGACGAGTAGCGGGGGACTGCGACCGCCGATCGTCAGTGGTCCGCATTTCTTGAGAACTCGAATTCGAGCTAGAGTGCCGTCGAAAGGGAGTTTAAATGGGACGTCCGCGGTAAAAGTCCTTGGGATTGACTAAATGGGTTTAGCGTATCCGGCCTGTCCATTGAGGTTTCCATCTCTCCACAATTACAAAAATGACTGAACTACACTACGAAGACCGCAAGTTGATTGGAAATTGGTAATTTTTATTCTCAAAAACAATTTGAAGACGTAGTGCTCATCTATCTTTTGTTCTCTTTGACCTTCTCGGGTTGCAAATTATCTCGATCGACTTAGGATCCTTCTTTGGCTTGGTCTATCTATAGGCCATCGAGACTCTTTGTGAAGAGTGCCATACTTTGTCCACTTTGAATAGCCATTAATCCCCAGGAACGGACAATACATATAAATACAGAAGTTCTTTGTATCTAGAGACTATTTCAAGGTTAGCCTTGCTTTTAGGCAAGTCTCTCCATTATGCGTGAACAATAACATTCGAAGTCATTCGTTTATGACTTTCTGATCTCCTTTGTTGATCAAAGGATCTAACAAAGCAACATGATGCTACGGTCATTAGAAGTGAGATATATAAGTTCTCACATCTACTAGTATGTTATTATCGTTCATCACATCAAGTTCATTCCCGAACTCTGGTATAGCAAAACTGATTCAACTTCTTCCACTGATCTCCACATCCATGCCTATTAGGTCTACTGGTCACGGGGACAGAGGGTCCGGCTCCCTGTCCAAGCTCTCCCGTCCCCAATTCTTCGCTGGAGGCTCGGATTCTTCGGCTTCTTCTGATTCACCTGATTCACTCTCTGCCAGGGCTTCATTGTTCGGAAAGAGGGAGAGCTCCCAAACTTTTGCAGAAGTACTTGCTGACGACAAGTCCTATAGTTACCGCCCCGGTTACAAACCAGCAACAAACAGTTCTCACAACTTGAGGGGAGGTGAGGCTGAGAGGAATGAAAATTGTAAGGATTCCCCTTTCAATGCATCCAACTCACTGCAAAATTACCGTCAGCAACAGGAGACGGGTATACGCCTACTTGGATGGATCAATGATCCATCTGTAAGTTGCCCAATCACGACCTCAAGGTCTACTTTCCGTGGAATTATCAGCCAAAAATGGGATATTCTCGAACAGCCTGGCGGCTTGCCAGCAAACTACACTCAATCTACGTTCCTGCCTCCTAGCGTGCCCGGTGCAGTTGGCTCTCAACTGAGACAAAACTCATATCGATGGACTTCCATCAAAAAGGCCCCACCACATCAGCCTTTAAATGTGTGTTGGTGGTCAGGTCGTACTGCACAGGGCGTGGTCTTCCTGGAGGATGTTAACCGTCCCGAAGGCTCGCAATTTCCATTTATTTCCGAGCTCACCAAGACCATTTACGAGAAAGACTTCGATATTGATACGCTCAGGTACGTATTTGTGACCGATATTGCCAACCCGGTGACTCGTGGGTTTATTATAGGCGTTCTCTGGCCTGACAATACTGAGAACCCCCGAGTCATAACGTCCCACACCCCTGAGTTTCAAGTACTGCTCGGAACCCCCATAGGCAAGACTGTCGCATATCTCACCTTGAATGCGTTTACTCGTGGTACTAAGAGGATTTCACAGATCTTTCTTTGGCATGATGACCAAGCCAGCCCCCATTTAAGGTTTGACATTGAATGAGTTTGATAGACTTGTCCGCGCGATCCTTCAAGAGATTTGATCCCTGGAAACTGATAGTTGAGAACCGGTAAGTCGCCTTGTTTTTCTTTGTCTCGTGGAATTTATGACGTGGCTTCTGTACAACGAAATAAAATTGTATTAACTGCTTTGGTGTGTTGAGCGTCAATTTTGATCATTTTAACCAGGAAAACAGAACTTTGTAGAACGCATTGGGATCCTGGAGGAAGGGTGCATGGCCGAGGCCAGGGAACATATGGAATGTGCAGTTCGGGATTAAGGCTGCGGCCGCAGGACCGAGTACATCATAATGTCCCAGTTTCGCAGCAACCGTAGCGGAGGACCATGCCTTTCCCAGGGCTGTCACGTCGTTCTCTCCTACCATGAGATAGGTACGTGTCTTCAAGAGGGGCAGTTGGTAGATGATAGGCTGGCTGAGTAGGGCGTCGGTAACGAGGGCCATCACGTACGCATACTGTGAGCCATAGTCACCTGCATAGATGTTGGCTAGCATTGAAACCCAGGTATCATACTCAGGCTTCCAGGTAGCATTGTAGAAGTAGCTGGCCTGCTCATATGCCTTGAGGCTGGCAAAGTTCTGCACGACCTGAGTTTCGTACGTCTCATCGATTGGCAAAAATGGTACACCCTTAGCGACCCAGTCCTCCAATCCTAGGGGATCAACAAGAATAAGCTGATCGACGGCGTCGGGGTACATGAGACCGTAGCGGGCAGCGATCATGCCACCCATTGAATGGCCGATGACTGTGGCTTGTTCTATACCAAGCGCAGCGAGTAGGCTGTTGATGTTCAACGCCTGCTGGTCAACGTTGTAAGAATAGCCTTGGGGTTTGCTCGATTTGCAAAACCCGATGTCGTCGGGCAAAATCACTCGATATCCAGCAGCCGAAAGCTGGCGCGCCGTGTCGGACCAAGTGACGCCGCAGAAGTTTCCACCGTGGAGTAAGACCGCTGTCTTATTTTTGTTATTGTGTTGTGCCGGTACATCCATGAATGCCATTGTGAGTTTCTGGCGCTGATTATAGAATTTGAACAGCTTCACCGGCCACGGGTAGGTGTAGTTTGACCCGTATAGGTCTGCAGGTACACGGCCATTGTAGATTGTGCCAATCGGGTCAGGGCTAGACTGTGCGGAAACAACGGCCGTGCATGACAGGATTGCAGAGAAGGCACTGAGGACAGAGCTGATCTTCATCGTGTGATGGCTGTTGGACAAGGGACCAGGGGAGCTTCTCGAGTGGCTGAGTTTCAAATAAAAGGGAGAGCTCTATCAATGGTAAGGAAGTAAAACTGTTTTCCTCACCCCCTTGCGCGATGTCAACTCATATGTACCCAGCCTGGCAAGCTAGACCCACCCACGTTGTACTCCTTAATCCCCTTATACCTATTTAGCACTAGTATAGTTGTTCCGGAATTACACCCGCAAACACTTGACTTTACAGATGAACCGGATATAGAGTGTCAACCTTTTTACCTAATTGATACACAAACCGCCCTCTTGAGCAAATTCGATGGATCTTGTGTTTCACAAGTCAATGCAGTTCTGATGGTTCTTTTATTGTCGTAAGCTTTGTAAGCGGCCTTCGTGTGTTTGGAATTACCAAATTAGATTTAGCTCAAAAGCCAAGTGACCTAATGGGTTACCCTCCCAAGAAGTCAAGGGAAGATACAAATCGGAGCCAAGGGAAATATATTGCATAGTTATATTTGATTGCTGACTGTCTAGGGCATATGATACAGCTTTGTCTCCATGATTCGTGGCCTGGGCTTGATACGGATTCTTTTAATTAAAGGTCAATGCAACTTCACTAGCACGTACTTGGAGTAGTTTCTCGCTTACGACGTATTCACCTGCTAGTCAGGTACCAGAACAGACCCTGATCATTGTGACTAGCTCCTTCGCCGAAGTTAAATCTCCATTCTTTTTTTAAGACATTTGATACGGATGAATCATTCTACAGTATTGGGGCAGTCAGTGGCATTGTTATGCGACCGACCCGATGCTACGGATAGAAAATGCCCGCGGAGTCCGAACTCTCCTTGTCATCGTTAGTTTGCTCCACTGCAGAGTAAGCAATGTATATTACCGGGGCAGTGCGCCTGCATAGGAACAAGTGGAGAAGAGTTGCTGCTACAATGTTACTCCTAATGCTGTCCTGAAAGGATAAAGACCGCCGCAATTTGCGATGTCGCAAAACACTTCAGGCCCGAGCAGGGCTCTGGAGATCCAAATACCATGTATCGTCTTCCTGATCGCCACACCAGCCTTTGTGGCAATTCGGCTGTGGTCCCGGTTCAACTCCAAGTCGGGCATGGGCTGGGATGATTGGACTATTCTAGTATCAACCGTGAGACTTTCTATGTGACATTATCACAGTATACAGACCTGACCCCTTCAACAACAGGTGTTCGCAATTGTTGTGATGACATTCATGCTCGCGTCCTGTACCTACGGGTTTGGACAACACATCACAAGTCTCACAAGACCTAACCGGCTAATGACCTTGAAGGTACCTTGGAAGTTGTCTTTGCATTTCGGCGTCTACTTAATGTGAACCGAGATGGGATGCTAACCTCGCGTCTACTAGCTTTTCTTCGTCAGCCAAGCTTTCTATAAGCTCACCATGAACACCACCAAAATGTCTATACTCATGCTATACCTCCGAATCTTCATCCAACGTTGGTTCCGCATTACCTGTTACGTGCTCTTAGTTATGATTGCCTCCTATATGGTGGCCGCCTTTTTCGCATCTGTATTCCAATGCACGCCCGTGACACGAGCCTGGGACAAAAGTATTGCAGGGTCATGTATTGACATCACCACCAATTGGTACGCCAATGCTGGTTTTTCCATCGCGACCGACATCATTATATTGGCGCTGCCGATGTATCCGATCTACAAATCCAAAACACCGTCGAAACGGAAAATAGCTCTGATGATTGTGTTTGCCCTCGGTGCTTTGTGAGTTTCAAAGATCTTGGTGCTTCAGTGAAGCAGCTATTGGCTGACCTCATCCCTCTCAGTGTCGCCGTTACAAGTATCCTTCGGATGCAGACTCTCAACTTTTCGTCCACCAGTCCCGACACAACCTGTAAGTATTCCCATTGCTTTTCAGGGTCGCTTTTTCCCAGGTACTTATAACTTCTTTATCTAGACGATATTGCCTCCTCGGTATGGACGATCACTGAGGAAAACGTCGCGATAATTTGTGCCTGCCTACCAATGATGTGGGCGCCGCTTGCTAGGCTCTTTCCCTCCTTCTTTTCAACCAGTAAAGCAGCCGATAGCCATGTCAGCTTGTCTGTCAGAAGCCCAGGTCATAAGGACACCTCGCGGTCTCGGACGGACTGGAACCAGCTTTATGGGAGCTCCCATGACATAGGTGACAGCGACATTAATCAAATCAGCGATTCTCAGAATCGCTCCTCTGGGGATAGCATGGGCCAAATCCTTCCACCCGCTCAAAGCGGCGGAAAGCGGCATCAAGGTGCAAAACGTATTCAAGAGGTCACGGAGTATCAAGATTCGTACTCCAGCACATGATTGCCTTAAGTTGCAAACAAAAAAGCCTCTAAATACTCAGTGGTAGTATCTAGGAATTGCAGGAGTATGGGTTCGCGCCAAATGTTTATCGCCATCTTTGCTCTGCTCAATTATCTTTCCGCTGGCGTTTGATATTCACGAAATGTGTAGATGCTGTTTTAAAAATTGTCAAGATCAGATCGCTTAGATTTTCATGATAATAACCACGACGACAGTACCAGTACGCTTGATCATTCGATTTTATCAATGCAATGCGTTGTTGTTGCCGTTGTTCTTCAAACGTTTGGCAAGTATTTCAAACCCTATATTGAAGCCTTCAAACATCTCAGCTATGCGTGCCATATGGATCTTCCGCGTATCGTGTTACCATGCGCGAGACTGCCCCGCATTATCATTATCTCGCCTAAGTAAATAGAGTTTACGTTGCATCGGAATAAATCCGGAGTAAATTTTGATGTCTGATTGGTGCACTGATACCAATCGATTCGAAGCTCGAAAGGTTGCGTTCATTCTCTTATCTCACATAACCGGGTAGCAAGTAATTGAATGGTAGACATAGCCCACGGTGGCATACAATAAGAAAGTCTTAACATCATATCTCAACAAAAAATACTAGATTCTTTGTAGCGGTTCAAACTCAGTTAAGCTACAGCGGCGAAGTCCAATCTGGCACTTGCTACCCGCAACTTTGCCGCGGAAAACGTTCCCTTGGGCTGGTGCCTCATTGGAGACATTCTATTCTGATATGTACCGAGTACATTGTGAATTGGAGAAAGTAGCCGTGCATTGTGCTTACCATGATAATCGTATCCTTGATGAAAGTGCCGCGAACAAATGGATTCCGTCTAAATTCCGGATATTTAGAAGATCGGCATGTAAATAGCTATCTTAGGTTAGACCAGACTCGATTCCTTCGCGGCCTGTGGCCGAACGAGCAAGGTTGACTCCACCGCGATGTGCTAACCTCGGAGTTCGACTCGGCGTTCAAGTGGAGTCAATCTATGAACATTGAGCTGTCAAGCACTACGTAGGTCTACTAGCTCGGTTCTAACTGCCTGAACTTCTCAATAGATTTGGAGGCTTTCTCTTTTGTTTCTTTCTCTTCTATTCTCACCAATTCATCTTCTCAGTTCCTCATACATTCGCATTAAAGAGAACAGGTTGAGTCTCTCAGCCACGAGACCCTTAAAGATGCTGAACATCACTACTCCAGCAACCCAACGCAACACCACCTCCCAACCATCGTTTCAATCTTTCCGAAACGTTTCCGCTTGCAATCGCTGCCGCTTGCGCAAACATCGCTGTGACCAGCGCCTCCCGCGCTGCGAGCCTTGCGAGAAAGCAGGAACACGCTGTGTGGGCTACGATCCACTCACCAAACGAGAGGTCCCGCGGAGCTATGTATGCTTCCTCGAGAGCCAGGTCAAATATCTGAAGCAGATTCTGACTGACCATGGTATCGAATTCAAATGTGCTTCGCCCTTCGATGAGAAGGAACCGTCGCGGACAAGCGCCATAAAGAACACGTTACCACGAAGAGATGAATCTTCATCTGAGAGAGTTGGAGTTGAGGCTAGGATCGAGCAGAGAACCGGAAATGCCTCGCTCAAGAGAAAGCTCAGTTCTCCCACCGAGAATATTCTACCCCCGCGACAATTGAAGCGCGTCTTGCAGCTAAACTTGATTCTCAAGGACTTGCTCACCGACAGCTATGCATCTTACCACTGCGACAAGGAGCACGTGCAGTCGTCTCCACAGAAACCTGTCTCTGAGCGACCCATGCAGGGTATTTCCATCCCGCACGAGCCGTGGTCTACGCCAGAGCTCAGCGATGGCCACGCGAGTTCCGAGTCGAGTTCTGGGTCTCCTCAATCACTACTGCACTTTGACGACGCGCCCTCGGTACAGAATACCCCCGCTCTGAACGATGACTTGCATTTCAAAGGCCCATCTACACCAGAGAGCTCTTGTGCGGCTGATCTTAACACGATGAATCTCAATTTGGATAAACTTGAGACGGGACCACTTATCAGCACCAGCTTTCGGGATTTTCCTCAGGATATCTTAGAGAAGCAACCTGCTTCTTCCGAGCTCAAGGAAATGCAAGCTATTCCTGAGATCAGATCGGACTTCACTTCGGGTCTCGATCCAAAACAGGACGTGCAACCAGCTTACGATTTACTGGATGAATTCCTTATTGGCTGGGATGAAGACCGGCTGGGAATAGACTAAAGCATCCACACATGGCATATCACTTTTCAGATGTTCTTTCCAGGACCCGTGGATAACATGTCACCCGCGGGGAAACTCACGCTCAGTGCAGACTCAGGGACGATGACGTTGCCAAAGTGGCATCCCTAGCCTCTCAAAATGCCCATCAACACATTCTCTGCTATACAAGCCATCTATACCTCCGGAAAGGGAGGCTATCGGCTGCGTGCAGGTATGCAAGGTGGCGTAAGAACACGTCGCAATGGCAAAGCAAGGCTTACCAATCATAAGTTGGTTTTACCGGGCTTGAGAAAGGCCCTAACTAAATATTTATTACTCACGATTATGTCCCATATATCCAGTGTATATATCGCATATTGCATTGCTGTCGAAGTTGTATCATTCACCGTGTCGCATTAACTACACCTACCAAGCGGCTAAGATTTAGTGTATTCGCCTACCAATCTCACGGCCAATTCGCCTACTCAATGATCTACTAGGCTCAGATCTAGAGAGCCCATATACTATCTTCATTCTCTTTATCAGTAAAGAGATCTCCGCATTCATCAGCCAGTCTATACGAGGATCCGTAAACCAAGAAATCTGCGCCTGTAGAACGTGCTTTTCGGTAGCGAATCAGATTAAGCCGCTGAACGACGCAATTATCAACCGGTCGCAGCAGACCCGTCCAGGGGGTCAAGGCAGCGGATCAAACTTTCTTAAAACCACCACTGATGCTAAATTGTGAAGGCGACCATATATTGGGGATCCCCTAGTGCGAGGCTACAAGACTGCGTGCGTAATCATGTGATAGCAGCAGCGAACTTGGGAATTTGGGGGCTAAAATGGCCAAGGCTCTGAACCTCAGGGATTATTCACTCTGACCTCTTTGAAAATGGTCATTACCAACAGTATCCCAAGTAAACTGAGCTTTCATCTACCATGAGTTCTTTCAAGATAGTGGAGCATACCCTCCCAGGACAACACATCCGCGAACATCCCCACAGTCTTACCGGCCCCCAAGAAGGCGTCGTGAGGCTCGCGATCAAACAATACATTCCCCTCGACCAAGCCAGCCAAGTTTCCGACAATGCAGTCACCGTCATCGGGGTGCATGGAAATGGCTCTCCCAAGGTGAGCAGCCCTCATCTGGGTTTATTTAGGCCGATGCGTTCGCTAACTTTCAAGTAGGAATTGTTTGAACCGCTCTGGGAGCACTTCTATGACCATATGAAAAAGCGTTCAGTGCCACTTCGTGCGATATGGATCGCCGATGTCTCCAACCAGGGGGCGAGCTACGTACTGAATGAGGAGATCCAGGGAGATACCAGTGAGGCCCCAAACGCTCGGTCGCTGCAACTCTTTCTTAAGCTCGACTAGCTAATTGGTACGACCACTCTCGCGACCTTCTACATATGGTCAACCACTTTCGTGATGAGATGCCACGGCCAATTATCGGTGTTGGACATAGCATGGGCTGTGCTCAAATGTTCGTTGATTGCTCCCCCTCCGCCTAGATCAGTCGCCGCTTAACATTTCATAGTGTCAATCTTGCCATCATCCACCCGCGGCTACTTTCGACTCTAGTGCTCTACGAGCCGGTCATCTTCGACGAAAGTATCCCTCCAACGGTCAATCCTGCCAAATTCGTCGCAAATAGACCTGATCTCTGGGAGTCACGAGACACAGCGGAAGCCGCCCTACGCAAGAGCTCGCGAAAGTGGGACCCCCGAGTCGTCGACCGTTATCTACAGTTTGGAATCCGATCCGTCCCAACACGACTATACAACAAAGAAAGTGACCCTAATCTGCCTGACTCGGCAATGACTCTGACGACTACCCGGCACCAGGAATCTTGGAGCTACACTATTCCTAACCTAGAGCCCGAATCGGCGGGGCTGGATCGACTCTTACTGGCCGATTGGGATCCCAAGACGGAGCGACCTCTCAGGTTTGGCCGTCCAGAGTGTTGGTCTTCCATGCGCAATCTGCCTTTCCTTCTTCCCAGTGTGCTCTGGGTCTTCGGAGGTCGCAGCTATCTCTCGCCGCCGGAGTCGCAGGATAGCAAAGTTCGTTCAACCGGTACTGGTGTTGGGGGAAGCGGCGGTGCCGATCAAGGTATGGTGAAGAAGGTGGTTTTTGAAAACGCTTCACACACCTTGGTGTTTGAGCAGGTTGATCAAAGCGCCGAAGTGGCTGCAGAATGGGTGCAGGGTTGGCTCCAGGGCTGGCTTGCGGATGAGAAGCGCTTGGCTGGATATCAGAGTAAAAGGTCCGATCCAGGAATGGTCAAGGCCTCTGAGTGTAGCTTGCGAGCAACTAGGATGCCACCTTTGTCTAAAAGGCCCAAGGGGAAGTTGTAGCTTCCCATCATGTACCCAGTCAACACAACTAAGAATCCAGATCAGCAACTTATGATATGGATATCATGACGGAAATAGGAACGAGCCAATAGTCCATGCCCTTCCAGGAATACAACAAGTTTCGGAATAACCAATCTACAGACCCCACTCCACGATACCTATAACTCTTTGAAAGATTGCTTTGAGTTCCTACAGAGCGGTTTATTCAAAAGTGTTTGAGGATCGACTAGGAAGTTAAAGTTGAGTCAAAGGTCCACCAACAACCAAACTCTACCTATTGCTCAGACTATTAGACTCCTCCAGCCCGAGATTAACTTTAGGCACAACTCTGAAAACTGCGATCTGTTATCTTTTGTTGAACAACCCCCTCGTCAACCACCCGAATTCCTCGAGGGGCTCGGTGCACGGCCGAGAACCAACCTTGGCTCGGTATTTTAGCCTCGAGCTTATTTGGCCATGACCACTCAGGCCATCCAACTCATGTTGGCCACGCCATGCCCACCACCATGGCGGGGTCAGACCGAGAGACATGCATTGCTGACGGCCCTTTAACGGTTAGCCTCAAAGAGAAGAACGCTGTCAATTCCGATCGTGATAGGATCGCAGGCCTGGCGATACATGTGCTATGGCGAACCCGCACGTCGAATCTCCCGTCCCACTCGACGAGACAAGCGCGTCTCCCAGAGGCTCCCGCTTGAGGCTTGGGGTCAGCTTGGCGAGCGCTTCATTGGCTCGCTTCGGTGGGCTCTTCAGACACTTGTGATTCTAGGGTCCAATTTCGTCAAGGGCGGATACTGCACCCTTTGTCCCCGGTGTGCTATTAATATGCCTGCATCCTTCTCGAGCCCCTCCTGCTCATTTTCGCAGACACTGCATTGGTGGAATGCATTGGCCGACTAACCGAGCTGGAGGAACCCTTCTCAGTAGCGACTACATACGTCAGACCTTTGTCGCCTGGATTGCTGCGGTGTCATCAGCGCCGAGAGTTTGGGTGCTGTGGGTCTCACTCCAGGCTCTCACGAGGAGTGTGATCTGTGGCTCTCGCAGATAAGAAAGCGCTTCCCAGCGCAGAATGACTGCGGCACACGACTGAGATCATACCTATCCACGACCAAAGTCCGACCTCGGAATCTGCCCGAGAGCCAGCGCATCGATCTGGGGATGTGCATCTTACTGTCCACGAGCAAATCCTCAACATGGTTGGCGTTCCAAAGAGCAAAGGATGCCAAACATGTCTTCAGCGGCGAGTGAAGGTAAGCATTATCGCATACCTTTGGGGAACCAAAAAAACATCTCTCTAAAAGCCACCCTAATATAGTGCGATCTACTACGCCCAGAATGCACTCAGTGCACGAGGTACGGCGTCGACTGCCCCGGCTACACCCGTCCGCATAAGTTCATGGACGAAGGTCCACAACTCCGCCAACGCTTCAAGAAGAAACAATCCCAATCTACAACCACCCCTGCCCAGCCCTCCGAGTCCATCGACGAGCGCATCATACCTTCCCTCGTAGCACAATCAATGGGTAAACAACAACCCGTCGTCTTCGGCTCCTTTGTCCTCACAGCCTTCACGCGCTGGTTCGGACTGAATCGATACCGAGTCCATACGCCCTGGACAACATACATCGCACAGCATGGAGGCCAAAGTCCCGCCTTCGACGCAGCCATCTTCTGCGTCAATGCTATTTTCATGGGTCAGAAACATGACAATACTATGCTGCGGCGCTCAAGTCGCGAAGTATACAGCAAAGCACTGCGTCTGTTCGGTGGTCGCATTCGCAACGCAGATGCGATGATATCTACCGAAAGTGTGAGCATTACCATTGCGTTGAGTCTGTTCGAAGCATACTCGCGCACCAATCCGGACTCGTGGGCTCATCATGCAGCCGGCACGGCATTATTGATGGAACATCGCGGTCCGAAGGCCCACCTAACCGGCTTCGACCGGTGCCTTTACCTCTCCTTTCGGAGCTTCCTCGTTGCAGAAGCCTTTATTAGAGGCAGAAGGTGTATCTTCGAACTACCAGAGTGGCAGGAACACATAGACCAAGTTCGAATGGAAGACATGTCTTCACCACGCGTTGACGGACCTATCGCCCTCTTCATCGATTTACAAGATCGGATATTCAAGGAAGTCGCCAAGGTACCGGGCCTACTAGTCCAAGCGCGCGAATTACGTACCGTGAATGACCCTCCCCACGTAAGGCAAGTGCTATCGGCACAGGTTCTGAGGAGCAGTCAGGCCTTATGCACCCTGTCCGCGCATTTGCGCCTTGCCGCTGCCGTGCAGAGCTATCAGTGGTGTAATGGTGGCGCCGCCAGTAAGAAGAAGATGGCTTTCATCGGACCCATCCCGTCCACATTCCCTCAGGAATTCGCAAATAGCGTCCTCCGTGGTGCGGACCACTGCCTTTACATTCTCCGGCTTCTACTCGATCACCTTGAGAGTGATAAAGCGCGGGCAACACGTGGCAGGTCAGGTCAAGATAGCGATGCCCCGCTTGCAGACCCGCTACCTTTTCGCTTTGTTTCAAAGTTGAATGTAGACAAGGGGAGGATAGCGGGATCAGACGTCAACGAGGCGAGGGAGGAGATGCCGTCTCCGGACAAATGGCTCGATGTTGTGGCTGCCTCGATGGGATTGGAAGCATTCGACGTAATCACCTCCGCGTTACCGAGTCCTGATCCTGGCATTTCAGGGCAATTGAATGATCCAAGAGAATGGAGCAGTGCTGTGTCCTTACGGTGACAGTCCTACCATAACCTTATTTCTCCGATGACCAGGGCAAACCGACACTACATCAACAGTCACTACTCAACGAATAATGAAAACGAAATGAAGAAGATTTGCACGAGCTCATGAAACTAGTCGTCGTATCACCGTAGAAACAGAGGCGGACAGAAGCCGCGCATGCAGAACACCATGCCTTAGGCTCGAGAGGGAATCGACCGCAGAGCCTGGATGCCAGTCGAGTAGACCACGCAAGTCACAGTCCGTGACGAATTCCATCCCTTGCAACCAATTCAGCATATCAACAAGCAGTGCAACCAGACGCCGCGCAGAACCCGCCCCAAAGACCAATAATTTGTACGCCGAAAATAAACAAAATACCCTAAACAAAAGTTGGTGGAAACCAACAAGAGACGAATTGAATCAAAGCATTAGACTGTGCAAGATGCAGCGGGGAAAAGGGGTATGCATAGAGTTGCCCATTGAGGACGGGGGAGAATTGAAGGTGTCAACCACAGGAAGACAGTGACGTGCCAGATCCGTTGAATAACTAGCATCCTGGCCAGTTAAGCAGCAGCGCGAGTGGCACGGGCTGGGCTAGAGGTGCTGCCAATGCGGCCACTAGGCTTCCGCACTCCTCGCGACTCGCTCTTGTTGCTGTCTGTGACTCGTCGGGGGCTGGACCGAACCTTGCTGACCGAAACGGTTCCACCGGCGCTCTTGCGGCTGGCAGGAGTCTTAGGGGCCCCCGTCTCGACCCAGTTCTCGCGGTCTTCATGAATATCGTCGGTGAGAGTGTAGCTGGCTGTGACAGTGGCCGAGTAGCTGATTGACCGCGAGGTGGTTGTCGCGACAGGAGACCGCGAGGACCGCTTAGCCAGCATCCGGAGTTGAATTTCCTCATCGCTCTCACTGCTCTCATTGCTGAGACGATGACCGCGAGGAGTCCGCGAATCTGTCTCCTTGTGGCTCTCATGCTCCACAGTCAATGAACCGGAAGTTGTACGGGCATAAGGGTGGTGGCGAGAATCCTTGCGGTGTGACTTTCGTGGTTGTCCTGGGGTGGGCGCAGGGAGATTCTCTTCGTGGTGGGTGGCAGCACCCTCATTGTGATCAATTTCGCCAAGCGCGGCGCGCTTTGAGTGGCTGTTGTTCGGAGGAGTAGAGACGACACCGTTGCTTCCACGCTTCTTGACAGAGACCCGAGCGGGAGTGACAGGGGCAGACTGGGCCAACTTTTCACGCATGCTATCCTCGAACCACCATTCCCGGAAGGAACCCTGGTTGAGGTGCAGCCAGTGCTGCTGCGGGCCGACGACCATACCGGGGCGCATGAACCGCATGAAGGCAATGACCTCATTGGCAGTAAATCCATAGCGATAGATCAGATAAGCACCGATCAAACATCCCGTGCGTCCCAGACCAGCTTTGCAGTGCACTGCAATGCCCTTGTTCTTGACAGTGATCATGTCGTGTGCCATCTTGATAAACCTCCGAACCAGGGTGAGAGGGGGGCACGTGCCATCCTCAAAGATCATGTCGATGTGCTGGATGCCTAGGGCGGTGAAATACGATGGGCTGTATAGCTCAGAGTTCAAGCGAACAACAAGGCCAATATTGCGAGAGGTGAAGTGGACGAGAACGTTTTTGAATGGGAGAGGAAGCTTGGAGGAGCAAATTTCGGAGATGGAGGAGGGGAGGGCGTCGTATTCGGGGGTGTTCATGGGAACCGGCGCAACGGGCTGGTGTTGAGGGGAGGCAAAAGCGAGAAAGTTGGGAGTAACCCAGTTGAAGTCGCCCATGTCGACTCGTTCAAACTTCTCATACCTGCATTTCACAGTCAGCACCAGGAATGTTTATCTGGGAATGAACAAAAGGTCAAATCGTACTCTTCAAGGTTGAAGTCACGGAGTCCACACAGACCCTGCTCCTTGGCCTTCCAAACACCGTACACAACGTCCTGGATGTTCAGGATAAAGTCTGCCTGGCTGTACCCGGCATCGCGGAAGGGCATGTAAGGGGGATCGGCCTGCGCAATGGGGGCCAGGGCCAAGTGGGGTGGCCATGACTGGATGAGGACCATGTAGCAAGCCACGAGGCAGGCGGCGTTTGCGCGGCTGCGTGCATCTGTCTTGCTGTAGAAGACGACGGGGCGATCACTGTTGGCCGGGTCACCGAGGATTTCGTGGAAAAGGACTGCAAATCGGTACAGATGACCAATGTGGAGGGGGCCAAAGTCCGCATGGAATGCATTGTAGAGAAGGTTATCGTCAACAGTGAAGTAGACGGGAGATCGGCGCTTGGTCGTCGGGGTGGTGGGTTGAGCGCGCGCAGCCCGCTTGCTGGGAGACTTGGGCTGCTCGAGCGGATAAGGGAATGGAGTTCGCGAGGACGGGATTGAGTCGTAAGAAGCCAGGTACAGACGATCTGTATTGTTGTTTGTTGTTAGATCCCAAATGTTGCTCCGACTTCGGTACTGCGGCAGGAAGCTAATGCGATGCACGAACCTTGGATGTACTCGATCATCTGGCCTGCATGGCCAGCGTTAATGGTCATGATGTCGGTTTGTAGCAGATCGCAAGGCCACTGAAGTGGTGAGAGAGAATAGGCAGAGTGTGCAAACCACCGCAGCCTTAGAATAGCGTGATTAAGCGTGTGATGGCGGGCCGAATCAATGGTCCGACAACAAGTCACAGTAAATCAATGATGGCAATGGAGTTCAGAAGCTCATGATCCGATTGATCCAACGTCCACAGTTGAGCAGAAAGAAGAATGGAGAAGATAATGATAGTCCGTGTAAGAGATGCACTGTACAGGACGATGTGCTAGGTAAGAGGGGAAGTTGTAGAATCAACAGAGGTGGGAGGAGAAGAATAATCTCATGGCGTTGGGGCAGCTGCCATGCCACGCTAAGCCGATGTTATGTTGTGCCTTTCCTTATCGAGACTAGTTCCCCCCGTTGACTCGACAACCATCGCTTGCCTCAGGCAAGACACAACGTTCTGGATTATGTCATCGCCGTTGTCCCAAACAATTAAACAATCAAACAGCACAATCAAAACAATCAAACACTAAACATCAAAACATCAAAACAAAGTGATAGATCCACGGATCTAGTAGCCTGTTTTTTTAGTGTGAGTACCATTGATGTGCCAGGCATGGGCCTAGCAACCGGCCAATGCGACAAGGTGACCATACATTTTGTCTCCATAGTGCTTCTTCTGTCCACATCAGCTGGCTGGCTTAATCATCTCTGCTCTCATGGTCAGTCTCAAAACAACAAAGCAGTTGCCTAAAAGGGGCGACTCGTGTGGTTTCAAAGCATTCCAGATGACCATGACTCCAGTGAGGCAAATGCCTGGCAATTTCTTAGCTATGTTTATACACGCACTGAATTCGTCCTGGTATCGGGGATCAGTGTGGATTTCCGCAGGTCTCCTATACCGTTATAACTCTGGTCACTGCAGACTGGAATATTGTCAAGGGCCCTTGAAGAATTGGCCATTCCTAATACCATCTGACCTGAAGACCCGAGCGCCATCTTGGAAGCGACTTCAGAAGCATAGACTTGCACTATTGATGACCATCGAAGCCCCTTGACAAGCTACTTTGAGATCAGACAGCAAGCTTGTCCTGCCCTTTCCATCTGAGTGCCTTCTATACAGAGCAACCCATAGTTTGTTGCTACTAATATGATCCGATTCGAAAGAAGTTTACCGAGAAGCCTTTGATCTCAAGACTTCAGATACCCCATAGGCATTTTCGAGTTGAAATTAGGTAGAGGTGCTTCGTGAACTGTCGAAATTGATGGACATTGAGGAACATATGTTTCTACAATTTGACGCAACTTCGATGGTTCTTCGTTATCTCTGCCCAGTGCTCATGGACGCAATCTGTCTTACAGATTTTGGTCTCGATCCGGAGAAAAGGACTGACCAACCTCTTGTAGCGAAGTCTGGCAAGACGCGACACTTTTATGACACGACCTTAGAATCCGATACTGGCTTCAAGGTTGACATCAGTCGGGTATGTTGGTTTCGGTTCTTCAGAAGCTTCACAGCTTGGTTTACGGTTGGCCTCCCTCCGCAGCCCTTACACAAGGCCATCAAACGGTCGGGTCTCTTCTGAAGGTTCACGAAGAAAATACTCTCGTCCCTGATCTTGACAAGCTTCCAAAGGAGAATTTGTAATCGACAGGCTACCATGGACACCATTTGCTAAGGCTCCGCCACAAGCGCAGCCCTTGCCGATGCCTCTGGGGTTTACCAGTTAATGTATCACATTTCGCGACACCCCTAGCATCACTGATGAGATGGGTGCGGAATCAGCGCAAACCTTCTCTGTGGTGTGACCGCTACGGTTGGCACGGGTTAGTGATTCTTTAGAATCATGAAGGGAATTTCAACCTTGCCGGCCGACAAGCTACTTGCGCGTCCATGACTCCTTCCAACATGTACCTCTACAAGCAGCCCGCGGCAAGACTTGACCAAAAGCGAGCATCTAGCAAGATCCTACCCATTAGCGCACCCACTGAGACAACAATGGACCTTGCTGCGACCCAGTGGAGCTGGTGTCGATGGCGAGCAAAAGCTACTCAATTGCTTTGGACTTTCTATTGGACCCTATGTGGAACATCCCCTGATTACTGCTGCACATCGATCCACTGGACTACCGCCGCGGCAGACCGGATCACAGGTTTTTCCATGTCGATCGTGATTTTCCGCAACCTACAATTAGATACACGGCAAATGGAAGGCATTGAATAAACCATAGGGTGTCTGATGATCTTGGTCGCCGTGCATGCGAGGAGTCCTGGATCGCGGCATCAGTGCGAGCTCATAATAATAACAACAACAACAGAGTGTATATAAGCCCGTTCCAACCTCGCCATCGAAGGTTTCCTTACCTCTAATCAGCTCTCTCATTCACTCAAGTCGCTCCTTTCGGACATTTCGCTACTTTAGGTGTCTAAAATACACTCACCAACGTCACTCTTTGACCCGATTTGATTTCAACATAACGCGATAATGAAGTTCACTGGATTCACCTTCTCGTTCGCTCTGGCCGGCATGGTCTCTGCCGCCGCCATTCCTGGCCTGCCTGGTGCTGACGGGCTAGTTGGTGGTGTCAAGGGTGCTGCAGAGGGTATCGTTACCGGCGTTGCTGATAGCCACCTGAAGCGACAGCTCGCAAACGTCCAGCCTATCACCGAGGGCGTGGCGAGCTCCCTGAACGGAGGTACTGGCATTGTTGGTAGTGCTGTTGGTACCGCTGAGAGCACCGGCCAAGGCGCTGTTGGTACTGTCGAAAGCACCATTGCTGGTGCCGCACACGTCAAGCGCCAATTCGCCGGTGGCGATGCTCTTAACCTTCTGACTTATGACGATGGTACTGGAAAGCCAACCCTCAAGAATGTTAACAACGTAGCCGCCCTTAAGCGCCAGCTCGATGTTGTCCAGCCGGTCACTGAGGGCGTGGCTAGCTCTTTGAACGGTGCCACTGGCATTGTCGGTGGTGCTGTCGGCACCGCCGAGAGCACCAGCCAAGGCGCCGTTGGCACTGCTGAAAGCACGGTGGCCGGTGTTGGGCATGCCAAGCGCCAGCTCAAGGAGGTTCAGCCTGTTACCAATGGTGTTGCCAGCTCGCTGAACGGTGCCACTGGCATTGTGGGTAGTGCCGCGGGCACTGCTGAGAGCGCTAGCCAGGGTGCGGTTGGTACAGTTGAGAGTACTGTCGCCGGTGTTGGATCTGGTAAGTTGCTACCGGCATCCCTCCTCGATCTTTATTACATGCCTAACCTTAATACAGCTGCTAAGCGCCAGCTCGGTAATCTTCCCGCCACTGCCTCCCAGACCGGTACTGATGTCCTTGCTGGCCTCTCCGGAAGTATGTTGTCTTCTTTTCTATGAAACATGATGACGGCTAACATCGATGCTAGACCCCAGCGGTATCTACGGTGCGCTCGCCAACCTCCAGATGCTTATCAAGGCTGGCGAGATATCTCCCAGCGACATCTCCAACCTCCCCGCTGCTTTCCAGCGTATTGTTGCCAACCTTGCTGTCGCATAAATGCTCATTCATTGATGAATGAACATAACGTGGGACGTTCATGTGCATGGGAGGTGTTATGACCGTGTTTGATGCGCAACCTCCTTTTCTATTCACTTCTTGTCTCAACTTATTTCAAATCACCAAGAGCTATGCTTGAAGCTCTTATTCTGTTCTTATCAAGCTATTGTACAATACTTTTATGTGTGCTCCGAATCTTTGATCTTGTAGGGGCACAACTTCTCTGCGAGAAACATTTTTTTGATACCAATCTCAAGTCCTCAACCTCATCTATTCCAATTTAATCAGTTCCCAAGAAGAACATTTCCCCCATCCTCGTTTTCAACCTGGTTCTCGATCCTCTCTTTGTGTTCCCGTATCCGGTTAGTCGTAATAGAGGTGCTGTTTTTTATTACGGTATTCATCGACCCTCAACGCTAGAAACTGTATTATATATTACATGATTACATGTAATCTTTGACTCTCGAATCTTTAGATCGCCGCAGACAGTCTTCCGCACAGCAACAGCCAGCGTTAACCCCAATCCGGCGTCATTGAACTTGGAGTTTCCCGTGGCACACACCAGGGCGCATCAATAATCGCATTTTGACAACTACCACACACCATGGCCACCCAACAATTCCCCGACACCGAATTTCCATACTCACTGTACGATCCCACCCCGCCTTTTGGGAGACATGCCAAAAAATATCTAGCGCACATTACCAGCAGGAATGCGACACTGACACTGTGAACAGAACCATATCCCTCCCACTCCCAACGCATCGTCTGGCATCCTCTGCCCTCCAGACCCTCGAAGTCGACTCCGAGCTCTCACCACATGTGCGACGCACCTTTACCCTGACGGCCCCCGCCTCCGAAACCCCCAGCGAGCCGCAAGAGAAGAAGCAGAAGCAGGATCCGGACGAGTCGAAGACCGTTCTGCAGACTACCTATCGTGCGACCACGAACCGTATGCTTCGAGTCGCGGTGAACGGATTCATGGAAAGCCTGGGCGTGGTCCTAGGCGTGATGGCAGAGCTTGATGTGGACGTTCTCAAGGCGGAGATTGAGGGATGAATTGATGGGGGGTAACCCCTCATCATCTTCTGTCGCTGAAGATTCCTTACGACGGGTAAATGATGCATGGACCCTCGAAGAATTGTTTCTCATCGGCATTCCGGTGGTGGCTGTGCCTACTTCGGTTTGGCATTGGTACGGTACGAAAATCTACGACTTGGGCCATGCGATACGCCACAACAATATTCGGACAGCCCGATAGGGTCTGTAGGGACTACAAGGGGATAACCATTCTCAAATGTTGTCTCATTTTGGTGAAATCCCCGTCGAGGGCGATGCATACGACTACTATGTGGGCCGTCGGACCCCGGCAGTTGACAGAGGATTATGCTCATTGGACCTTTGGGTTAATAATGGAGGGGATGATGGGAAATCAAGCCGCCATAAACCATACGATTCTGTCGAGCTTCTTTTACTCGAAAGGGAAATCTAGCCCAAAATCGCGTGGTCCCACGTCATGCAAAATTGTGCACAGCATTGAATCGCTGGGCTTGTGAAAAAGCCTCCCGAGTGGGCGTGGAGTCGAGACCGTCAAGCTCTTCTAAGCAAAACCACGTCCACCAACCAAATCCGCTTGTCCATGTTCTCTAATGTTCTTTATTCCAAACTGTTCCGAGTATTCCAAATAGTTATCCGCTTCCATGGAAATTATGTACTGCACACTAGTCATTAGCCTAGCTAAGCGTGATAATCCTCCTGGTCAAACCCGCCGTGTAGAAAAGTGGACAGCCCTAGTGGAATCGTACGTCAAAAAAGAGCGAGAACGAGATGGTGAACCATAAACGGCTCGTCCAATCAACACGCTGATTTTCAATCGATCGGCTCGGCGTCAAACTGCAACCGTCGGGTCTGGGAGCATTCCGTGCCTGGACCTCCGATCATTGGTAATGTAGGGGCTTCCAGCTAGGAGACTGGCAAGTTCCCTAGTCTTCTGTGAGGGGACCTCGGCTTGCTCTGTACAAAACCGGCCATCATGCGCCCTTTGCCTTTATACCGCCAATTTTCTCTCTTCTTCCGCCTTCTAATCCTTCCGTCTTGCAACTCTCCCCGCAACGGTCACTTCTCTACGTCATCGCGTCATTATCACCATTTAACCTCCAAAGGCACTCTCACGCCTCAACCTCTCGCCTCCTATCCACGCTTCTATCAATCCAGAACCATGTCCTCCGCGACCACCTTCTTCGATTTCGAGCCCGCCGACAGTGCGTACACCCCCGCGCATCCCCTCCCCGCGCCCGCACCTCCGTAGTTTGTTCCTGTAGCCCAGGCTTCGGCCCGTGGCAAGCTCTTGAGAAAACCCACCAACTAACGCACTTCTTCACATTCAAACAGAAAAGGGCCAGCCCTTCCCCCTCTCCTCGCTGAACGGCAAGGTCGTTCTCGCCGTCAACACCGCCTCCAAGTGCGGCTTCACCCCTCAATTCGAGGGTCTCGAGAAGCTCTACAAGGAGCTCAAGGCGGAGTACCCCGAAGACGTTGAATTTCTCGGCTTCCCCTGCAACCAGTTCAAGTCGCAAGATCCGGGCTCCAACGATGAGATCCAGTCCTTCTGCCAGCTCAACTATGGCGTGACCTTCCCCGTGCTCGGCAAGCTGGACGTTAACGGTGACCAGGCCGCGCCGGTCTTCACGTACATGAAGGAGGCTATGCCCGGTACGCTCGGTCTCAAGCGCGTCAAGTGGAACTTTGAGAAGTTCTTGATCGGGGCGGACGGTAAGGTTGTTGGCCGTTGGTCCTCGCTTACCAAGCCCGAGAGTCTGAAGGAGCCTATCGTCCAGGCGATTCAGAAGGCTAAGGAGGCTGGTATTTCGGCTTCTGCTCTTAAGGCTGCAGCGGGTACTGAGCAGGCTAAGCTCTCGTGAGCTTGAGTCTTCACGTTGTCTTGTCTGTTTTGTTTTTCTCGCTTACTCGCCTTTGTCTTTGTACCTATACTCCGGCGATTGTTACCCATGTACGAATTATGCATGTCCATGTGCTTAACGATGGAAATTGGATAATACATAATACGCGTTAAATATTTTTTTTTTGGCATTCGTTAAATATCCCGGATCTCAATGACCCTTTTTTTTCCCCTCTCGAAATCTTTGAACTAGCCATTCATGCGGCAGCACTGCCCTTGGGGACCAGACCCCGCAGCGACAGATCGTAGACTACGTCCTCGACCTTCTTGACCTGTCGACCAATAAGAGAACCAGTTAGTTCGCCAGAGTCTTATACTCAGTCCCAAGAATGCCAGGGTTGTAAACTCACACTGTACTTGATGCCATCGCTTCGCTTCCGCAGAATGTCGTTCTTCAGGTTGAGCAGCTGGAAACCAGCGAAGAGATCCTTGATGAAATTACCAATTTGGAGAGGGCGCTCATAGTCACCGAGTGTGACCGAGTTCACGGCCAGGCGCGACTGTTCAATTTCCATAGATTAGCGAACCAAGCATACAGAAAAGAAGAAGATGCAAAGTATAGCTACTCACCAGCTCCTCGACCACGGAGATCAATGCCAGTAGATACTCCTCAATGGTGAGGTGGAACGCATCTTGTTCCTTCAGGTTAACAGGGACTATCGCGAGGAAGTAAAGTAAGTCAGTTTCGTCTGCTCAGTGCAACATGACCTCATGAACAACTTGAACGTACTTTCCAGGAACTTGCCAACTTCTTCAATAGTGAGGAATGAAGCTGAGCTCAGGCCCTTATGCTCCTGTAGTCCGCCGAGCCAGGCACACAGCTCGATTGAGGTGACCTAAGACGAGTATTAGTACCAGATATTCTAAGGCACGGCCAGGCATTCGACGGATACGAACCAGGTTCTGCAACTCGCGGGTCCACAGACCATTGTACTTGTAGAACGGATGTTGATCCGCGACAGCCTTCAACCGAAGAACCTCTTGTTTCTGGGCGAGGATCTCGACGGCAGCATCATCAAGCACGGGCTTGACTGTGGATTAGAAGTTAGCGCGACTGTGATCATAGACACCAGATGGAGCGCCACCCCCAACGGGTATGGCCCCGGGGACGAGTAGCAGCGACCAGGCGCTTTGCCATGGTATGAAATGGAATCACATACGCTGATCAGCAGGGGTAGAGTGTGCCCTTGAGAGAATAGCCTGGGTGGATCGTCCTGTAGAAAGCTGCATCAGCCGCCATCCTTCAACACTTGGACTGCCATTACGAAAACGGGGTAACACCACCACCGCACAACCAAAGTAGCTGGCGATTCTCATCAACAATCTCAGGAGGCTGAAATACCTTTTCTCGCAAGAGTCTGGACAATTTCGTGAAGCTCCTATTCGCCGGACGTTAGCTCTGAGCCAGAATTGTGCGGGCAGCCGCTTTGCTGGAGCTCGGGCTTGGCACGCGCAGAATTCATTTGTAGAGACTAGGCAAGCCGCGGATAGCGGGCACTCACGTCGCGGACGGTGGTCTCCTCGTCGATCTTGGCCTGGAGATCCTCGAAAATGCGTTGGTCGATCATTTTGGTGGTGGGTATCTGGAGTGGTGAGAGGTTATTGGGGTTGGATTTGTGGGAGGCGCGGTGCGTGGTTGTGGTGATGTGTGTTGAGCGAGTTACGTCAAAGTTGAAGGTCAACCAGACCAAATTTGAGATCGCTGAAAGTTTAGTAACGCGTGAAGCTCATCTCTACTAATCAGAATATTCATCATCTGAAATCAATGTTTTGAGTAGCCTTATATTCCAATTGATAGCTGATTGGCAGAGAAATCTGAAAACGACGCGGGAGCCCTCCAGGTCATCTACAGGCTACGTGTCGAGACTACTTTGTGGTCTTCAGATATACCACGAACTCGATATGCCCACTGAGTTCTCTGGATGCCTACCGCTTAGTAGCAGATCCAGCTGTCATTGCCACAACTATGAGGAAGTGTTGGGGGAACTTGGCAGGCGGATGTGGCCGCCACAAAAAGCGAATGCTGTATTTGGGAACTGCAGAAACGCATATCTCTAACGTTTTATTTTGTATTCATGTCTCTCTCGGCAGTTATGGTCATAATATTCATAAAAAGGTGCAGCCGCCACCGAAGTCTGTCGAAATCGCCATTCGTCGGGTATATGGGCGTCGCACTCAGTACCGGTATCTCGTCGAATAATCTGCATAGCGATCAGTAGCTGTTCGGCATTTCTTCGCAGGGAGTAAGCGATCCTACCCTTGGGACTGACAACGAGACCACGGCCCTTCTTCGCGCCCTTATAGATGGTTTCAATAATATCGATCAACTCCTGCTTGTCCTCCAATACCCAGTTCAACTTGTTATTGTTACCCGTTCCGAAATCGCACATCATGTGTTTATTGCGGTAAAAGAACATGATCGTCATCGTATCGTACAGCTCGTACATTGAGTTGAAATCGGGGACCTCGTCGATGTCGCACAGGTAAATGACGGCAAAGTCTGGGGGGTGGCATGTGTTAGTAGCTCACTTCCGGGCTCGGTGATGGAAAACACTCACTCTTCACTCGTTCGGCGATCTTGTAAAGGACTTCGTCCTGGCGAATACCTGCAAGGCAACGGTTAGTCGTGCGACCACGAGATGGGCGGGGAGAACGGGCTAACAGTCGGGATCGTGATCGCGCCCGAAGCGGATCACAACGAGGCGCTCCTCCTCTGAGAGGATAGCCTGGTCAACATGCCAGGCACTTCGAAGGTGAGGCAGTACGATCGAACCCATGGTGGCGTGGCGAAGGAGGATCAGCGAAGCGCAAGTTCGAGAAAATTGGAGAGCTCCAAGCTTATCGGTGGCCCCGCGGCCATACTCTGGTCATGTGACTGTTATCTCTTTCGGGCTTCCAATATCGGGGCTACAACAGCTTTACAGTGGCAATGTCGGTGATACAATCGACCATTTTTTGTGTATCTAATGTCGTTAAATCATGAAATATGATATTTCAGAGCATTGGTTGGTATCCGCGCACCGTGTATAGTTAGTGGGTTGTCTCACCGTCATGGTCGGGCACCTGCTACAGATATATATATATGATTGTCTCTCGGGCAGTTGATATGTGGTAGAGACAACTACGCGATGTCTGTCCACAAACATTGATGTCTCACGCTGTTAGATTCCTTTAAAATGTCGTAGACCCCAGAAAGCCTGTAGACTACAGATCTAGGCTCTTCATACAGTGCCACCCCTCATCGCCATCCATGTTGTGAGAGAGATGCATTTTCAAATCCCAGCCACGTGACCATGTAGAATCACAGTGGCCAACTGCATGGCTTTGTGATTGGATCAGACATTCCGGCCCTTGATCCAGACCGCTTTCTATAATAGTAGTTGTATAATACGACACGATCATGGGACCGTGAGGAGTGTATTTTACACGAATCTGCCATACACACGCTACCCCTGGGCCCCTACTTCATCCAGCCCCAACCACGTGAACTTCCCCACCGAACGCTGGAACTGCCTCTTCGTTCCTAACCTATGTGCGCTCAGGACCTGGCTCGACTCTGGTCTTGGCTGTTGTGAAGATGTTTGTCCGCCCAACCCTCCCTAATACGTACGGCATTTACATTTTCCAAATCGCCTTATTAGAGAGTTCTATATCATAGATACAAATGTAGACCTTCAGGATGAGACAACGAGGAGCCTATGGTACAATAGGAGTCAGAAAGCTCGGGCGCCCCATCTCCGCCCCTGTCAAATTCATGTCCAGTAGGCTGAGGCCACTGCAAGCAAGATGAATGCCAAAATACTCCGCAGTGAATATTTGACCTCCCAGCTACCGGTTTCTTAGTTCTATGTAGGTACATTTGCGGGAGCCTTAAAAGGATAGACCTGGCCGATGAACTCTTTGTCCAAATCTGATAGGACCGCGTTAGGGGAGGTCGCGATTCCATTGAGGGTGTGCTCCTTGCAGATATCATAACACAAGTTGCTGTCCGGATCGAATTTGGTAAACCGCGTAACGCTAGGACTGTATTTCCCAAGTACGTTTTGATCAACCTCTTCTTTCGTCCAATTATTCGGCTCGGCCATATAGTCCTGGTAGACAGCAGGTTTATTCCACTGGATATCCGCAGCTGGGCTCATGTGCTCATGAACAAGGCCCAAGGCATGGCCGAATTCATGAAGCGTTGTGCGAGAGAACTCTGTGTCGGGAGTTGACTCGTCAAACCAGCCTAGGTTCATAGTTGCCTGGTCCTCTGGGATGTGACGGCTTTGCTTGCCAATGTATGAATTGGATCCTTCGCCTTTTCGAAAAGCAACCCGAATATCCGACGGTCCAGAATCTATAAATACAAATCTTATGTTGGCATGCTTCTCCCATATTCGAGCATAGAATTTGACTTTCTCCTTGACGAATTCGCTTCCCTCCAAGAAGCGGACACGAAGCTCTGAGCCCGTGTCCCATAAGAGATCTGAAAGCGCGGCTCCCCCAACTAGATGGCGGCCGGAGACCAACACGTTTCCCTTGAGATAGAGAAGAGCGAACGAGGAAGTAAGAATGCTTCGTGGCTTTAACCAGGAGAACCAGAAATCATGGACTGCTGACTTGACCATGATCGATTCGACGAGACCGTTTTTGAACAGCTCACGTGAAATATTCTTGCGATTGTGTTTCGACGCATTCACACGATATAGTACTGCTAAATCGAGAAATTCAGGCTGTGGGCGACTTGAGTCCCAAGGAATAACATCAGGACAGGTATGCGATTGTTGATGAGTACGTGTCGGGGTGCCTTTGAATCGTTCACGAATTTGCCGATGTTCGTGGAGAGATAGCTGCTCCAGGACACCTCCATGGCGATCAAAAGTGTGTAGAATAGGCGTGTCGCTATGGAGAACGAAGCGGCAGTCCGAGATGAAGTCCAGATGTGTCAGGCAGAGATATTTTTTCGAGGGTTTTGGAAGGTGTGGGTATTTGTTAGGCTCGACGAGGACATGTCCTCCCTTCATATGCTCGGACTCGAACGCGATTAGGAGTTCACAGTTGTCTACGCCGGAAGCTTGGTAACGATCGGTGGTCGTGGCCATGCTGTAAGCACTACGATACAGTAACTTCGTCGGTTGCGAAGGTGAGACCGTAGTCTAAAACCGCAGATGCTTTGCGTCAGCCTGATACTATGATAATCGATAATGATATCACTCCGGAGAGTACCTAAATAAGATATCTGTAGACGAGAATTGTCTCTGTAAAGGTGATGATAATGACGAGGAAGAGGAAGGGAAGAAACTAAACAGTAGGACAAATACATAGGCAGCCAGGTACAGTAACCAATTCAAGATGATTTCACGGGTATTACAGTATTATAACGATGACTCTGAAATAAGAACAAACCTCCACACTCTTTTGGGTCACCGCTCGAAAATTTTGGCAGAACCGTAAGTGTAATGCCTTGGTTTGTACGGAGTTACAACTGTACCTTTATCACTAAAGCTATGGTAAGCCTCGGCCTTGATCGCGCGAATTCTCTTCTGCTTCAAGCTGCATCTACCTTTATCCGTGTATTGAACAATCGAACACGAAATCCAAGTCCAATATCGTGACTCGTGCCATACATTCGTATCGTAGTCATATTTTTAATCTCTGACGTCCCTCGCCCAGATCGCCTACAAGTAGCGCAACACCTGTTCAAGTTTAAGAAGGTTAGCTGCGAGCACTACACGTCCTGCTGGTGCGTTGGTGGTGTTGTTGTTGTTGTTGTTGTTGTTGTTGTTGTTGTGCCGTTGCACCAAGCACGCCGCGACACATTTGACAAGACGGTTAGCATGATGTGATGCTGGTGGTTGTTGTTGACCTCGCTCTAGTTACAAATTTGCAACTAGAGAAGATGGATGTCCATTCCATAAATAAAGTCGATTCGGGATTAAGGTTATGTGGACATGTCTGAAGTAGTGTGGCATCGCCACGGACTGCCATGTGTACCTGGTCCCGATGTTTTCTCCAACCATTGGCCAAAAATATGGGGCACCGTCACACGGGTCTAGCCAGTAAAGACAGCAAAAACTTCTTCTCCAAGCGGTTGGACATGCCAACACACTTGATGAAAAAAGGGGGTTCGCGTCGATCGGGGGTAGTGTAAGCCCGATGACACTGTGCAACGAGGCATGCGCAAGCACAGAGGCCAAGTCGCGGGATCCAAAAATGAGAATAATCAATGTTGTTTTCCGATGGAAAACTTTCAGAGATTAAACTGAAAAGAACAGATACTACACTTGATCTAAGCCAATAGGCAAAGAGAGCTGGAGAAGAAAAAAAGAAGAGGAAGGTCGGCGAAGGCAGGAGGTATTTAACTGTTTCTGAAAGTGGGTCCATCTGCCTTTCCTCACTAGTGTCGTTTAAGCGAGCGAATCAGAACGCGTTAGCTCTTTCCGGTGTGGGTCATCATAGCATGTGACTCGATTGATGCCTTGCCCACAGTCATGTGAGATTGAGCCCCTCCGTACTCACATGATATCACCTGACTGAAAGCTGCCCCATGCCCTATGCCACTCCCAAACTGGTTTAGTCCACACACCGGCAGGCGGCCACTGGCGAATTTTGGAGCGCAAAACGGGCTCCACCACAGCGAAAGCGATCTTCTCTCGACCATCCCTCTCGCCGGCGCAGGATAATCACCTCTTTGCGACCAACTTCAACCCCAATCTCACCACCCCCCCCCAAAAATCATTTACAATGGCTCCCGCTGCTGTACGTTGAAAGACTACCCCACGAACCGCTTTGCTGTTCCCCCCAATGGACAGCCTCGATGGACTTGGATGCACTTGAGTATGCGACCTGCTAGATATTGAAAAATCTATCTGGTAGATCTCATGATCAAGAAACACCATGTCCATCGAGACTGCCACTGGGGTTTCCAAGACGATGGAGCAGTAGGCTAATTAGTTTCTTTTTCCCCTGGCAATAGGCTCGTGGCCGCAAGGCTCAGAAGGTTACCCAGAAGGTATGTTACAACGAACCGTCTTCCGCTGCCAGTCACTGTTCGCGTTAACTAATGACTCTCGCTCTGCACAGTACATCATCAATGCTTCTCAGCCCGCCTCTGACAAGATCTTCGATGTCTCCGCCTTCGAGAAGTTCCTCCACGACCGCATCAAGGTCGAGGGCCGTGTCGGCAACCTGGGTGACGACGTCGTCATCTCCCAGGCTGGTGAGGGCAAGATCGAGGTCGTTGCTCACATCCCCTTCTCCGGTCGCTACCTCAAGTACCTGTATGTTTCGTCCGACTATGAATCAAGATGCATGATATTTGGACTCGTCCCGCTAACAACGCTCTCTTCTACCTTCTAGGACCAAGAAGTACCTCAAGAAGCAGCAGCTCCGTGACTGGCTCCGCGTCGTCTCCACCTCCAAGGGTGTCTACGAGCTCCGCTTCTACAACGTCGTCAACGACGAGGCTGAGGAGGATGAGGAGTAAATGCGCTCCTTCGGCTTTTGACCTACTTGTCAATCAATGGGATGGGTCTGTGATTGTCGCACGTTGACTTGGTTGGATTACCGCCGGATCAATTGGTGAGGGTCATGGGGTTCTGTCGTTTTATGATTGTGGGAATAGACTAGCCTACTTAACTGTAGGCTACGAATAAAAAAAGTTTATACCCTCTGATATTGTTTATCCCGCCGTAGTGGAGATAGATTCTCTAGAGTACCTCTTATTGTAGATTGCTATGGGCATATAGATGGTCTTGACATGCATCTGCCAGATAAGTCTACGTTGACGTGAAGATTGAGGATCAGGCAGGCCTTTGGGGTTTGCTCGCACATTAAACATGTGGTGACAACAACGGTCACTTAGGTTGTATACACTCTCATCATTGCGGGCTGTCTATAATAATATGCACACTTTGACTTGCGCCGTCACTGCGAACAATGGCTCGTGAAGCCCGATGCCAATGGATAAGGGGTCCGTAATATATCATCGGCCAGTGATGACCCTATGAAGCGCTATCATTTGGAGTTGGTTGCTTCCTCTTCTGCCCAGCGCCCCCAGATTCAATTTGCTGTTCCCCGGGGTTACCATGACTGTGCGGCCCCTCGCTGGGCACGTATTGCCCCTTCCTATTGACGTAGTAATTCTCCTGATTGGGTGGCGAGACCATCTCATCCCCTTCAAAACGCCAACCATGTTGTTTGTAATTCTTCCACAAGTCGCGGACCTGAGCACGAACCAGGTCGCCTGTCGCGATAGCGTCCTCTTTAGAATCATGGCCCTTGGCGCTACTGGTCTGAATTTCGCGAGAGAGGACTTTGCGAGCCAGGGTCTTGAGACTCATGCGATTGGGTAAACCGCCCCTTGGCGCTGGATACAAGATGACCGTGTCAATTATTGTGGGATGAATGATTCGGCAGACATTGAGGTCATTGTCGATGGCGTGGCCGATCAAGGGGGTTTCGGGTTGAAGGAATTGGAAGAGTAGTTCCCGTGCTGCAGCGGGCGACTCAACGACCTGCATCGGCTTCTTCTGATGTTCTCCTTGATCAGATTCGGGAGCAGAGTTCGAGGTGGAATCGGAGGTGCCGTAAGGTACAGCGTTGACAAAGTGCTCGGGGTATACACCCGAGAATCGCGAGTTGAGATCCAAAACCTCGCCAATAGGCTTGACGAGAATATCGAGAAGCTCACGGCCTTCAGGCCAGCTGACAGCAGTGAGACGAATCAATTCTAGACCCTGTGTCGTGTAGCCCATCTCGCAGTCGAAGCATACTGGCTCCAGGACGCCTTTGTCCGATTGTCGAGGGGTCATCTCAAACTGAAGAATAGAGGCAAGACGTTTGGACTCCGAGATTTTAAACACGTGGTGTGTACCTTTAGTGCATCCAACTGATGCCCCTATAGATTCACCGCAACAAGGGAAATAGGGATCTGAAGAACCCGTATGATTGTCTGTCTTCTTGCGAGGCGGAATGAGTGGTCGATTGGGATGATAGGTACATTGACCACCCGTCGTCAATGCGCCATCCTCACGACGACCGGGGAAAACCTGGAAGCGACTTGCACAGCGCTCACACTTCTCCCAGCCCTTTGAATCGATGACGCCCTGTTTGGCCGTCTCAATATCCGTCGCGGAAGGCGCTTTAGTGACATAGCCAAACTCTTCCAGCCCATTCAAGGGAGTGATCAGTCTCTGAACCAGGGCGATCTCTTGCTTGGTGGTGAGACCAGTCTCGATCCGTTTGGGAGTCTCCGGGGCTGCGGCGACTATAGGTACTTTGTAATACCTTGTATTGAGATGTTCCATGACCTCCTTGGCCCATTCCTCAGATCCCATCTTCGTCAATTTCACGATCCGAAGCTTAATAACATTCGAGTAGACACCTGGGGAGCCTTTTGCGACTTCTTCCTCAGCATCTAATGCCATCGTGACTAATTCATCGCCCGTCAAGACGAAGCACTTGTTTGAGCTATCATTGCTCTTGGCTAACTTCTCATTCTTCGAGACCATGACGGAATGTAGTTTGGTAAGAATTGCAGTCCGAGTTGCATGAGGAGCGGGAGCTTTCGTCATCATGCGAGGATTGAGGCTTTCCTTTCGCACCTTGCGAGGGGGAAGCTGGGATGATGTGGGTCGAGGAGTGACGGGAATACTTAACGCTTCTCCCTTTTTAGGGATAGGGGTTGAGCGTGATGGCGAAGTAGATGCCGCTTGGGGAGTAGCAGATTTTTGGGTGCCACTTTGATGAGAGGTACGCCGGGGTATTTGCTGGCTTGGTGACGATATCAAGGCCGAGGCGTTTGTTTCTTCCTTGAGACCTTGTATATTGTCAGAAAAGCTCGATGATATCGTCGAGGGGATGCTCTCTTGAGTTTTGAGCTTCTTCCGAGTATGTGTGTGTACGATTTCTGTTGTTGTCGCGGTGCCAGAAATGGGTTTGCTCATACTAGGGGCATTGCGAGTGTGCGAGAACATGCAAGTCAGAAGAGAGCAATGCTCTCCTTGGGGACAAGCCACCCCTGTGAATAGGCCCAGTGTCGTGAACATTATGGATTATCGGAGGCATTCAGAACAATCAGATTTGATTCAAACTGCCGCCGAGGCTCCGAAAGAATTCAATTTCGAGTTCGGATCTTTAGCAGTTTCACCCTAGAGTGAGCAGACGAAGGTGGAAGAATGAACGGCGTTGGAGATCGAGAGAGTTTTCCAGAAAGATGGCTGGCTCATTATACTAGGCTGCGAGTCGAAGCTCAGGTTGACTGGTTGCCGTCGGGCCTGAGCAGAAAAATAGCTTCTCTTCTTTTCTTGACCACAGTAATTCCTTTGTGAAGACTTCCCGGGTTAATATCCGAGATAGCCTTGTCGACTTGTCCTTGTATGCAATGATCTAAATCCGCAAAAGCAAGCCAAAGCAGGTTGTAGCTTGTTGTAATTAATGAAACACGGGCCTGGGGTGGAGCACATTCGAGATGCAAACTAGACAAATTAGAAGCCTTAATTAAACGGCGTGAACATGGAGATCGGAGACCTTATCGCCGGGCTTATCGGCAGCCGGGGCATCAATCAACCCGGTTGAAGCTTAACTCCGGAAAGTACCTTTAAACACTTCTGCTCGCCCTTCAGGCAGAGAGTTTTTTTTTCTTTCCTCTCAATAAATCAATAATTGAGTACGAGATGCCTGAAAATAATACCAAAGCGGACCATCTTTGTGTCCTCGTGCATGGGTTAGTATCTCATCCCCAGTTGCTGCCGATGACGACAGGGGCCGGAGCCAAACTAACCGTTTCTGTGGATAGACTCTGGGGGAATCCATCTCACCTCGATTATGTGGCCTCTGCTCTGAGGGAACGCCATGATGAGGACAGTGTTTACATTCTCTGCTCCAAGAATAACAGCGGAAACTGGACGTATGATGGAATCGAACTGGGCGGCGAGCGACTGGCCCACGAAATCGAGGAGACATTGGAGACATTGGCCAAGAAAGGCCAGAAGATCAAGAAGTTGAGCGTCATTGGATATTCTCTCGGTGGGCTTGTGTCCCGGTATGCGATCGGCTTGTTGTATGCGCAAGGTTGGCTTGAGAAGGTGGAGCCCGTCAATTTCACGACCTTCGCCACGCCCCATGTTGGCGTACGGACGCCGCTCAAGGGAATTCGAGGTCAAATATGGAACGGATTGGGACCGAAAACTGTCTCCACGTCTGGCCAGCAACTCTTTTTGGTTGACTCTTTCCGAGATACCGGTCGACCCCTGCTCAGCGTTCTCGCCGACCCAGAAAGTATCTTTATCCAGGGGCTGAAGAAGTTCCATAACCGCTCTGTTTACGCCAACGTTGTCAATGATCGCACGGTTGTTTTCTACACCTCGGCACTCTCCAAAACGGACCCTTTCCACGACTTGGATAATATCAATATCAATTACGTCAAGGGCTATGACCAAGTTATCGTCGACCCTGACAACAATTTACTGCCGACCGCACCGGGAGAACTAGAGACAACACCGTCTCGCTGGTGGAAGCAGTTCAAACAAGTTGTGTATGGACTGCCGTTCTGGGCGCTTATCATCCTGGTGGTCCCGCCTGCCGTGACAATTTTCCTCGCGAATGCCGCTGTACAGACATGTCGCAGTCGACAGCGGATACGACTACACTCGGAAGGCAAAAATGGCTTGCGCTTTGGAAGATACAAGGTGCCTCTGCTTGTGCAGGATGCTCAACATGTGATGGAGGAAGTCTTTGAGAATATCAATGCTCGGCAAGAGCCTTCTTATCTATCAAGCACTGATGAGGATGAGATTTCTATTTCAGGGCGTGAGAAGATGAAGGTCAAAGTGCACAAGTTTGACAGTGCATCATCTAGTACCGAACTAGACAGGCCACTCAACAGCCATAATGACGAGCGGGCACACTTCGCCAGCCATCACCCCAAGCTTGCGTTGACAGATGATCAATTTGCTATCATTGACTCCCTGAATGCCGTGGGAATTCGGAAATATCCGGTCTACATTCACAATCACCGACACAGCCACGCAGCAATTATCGTCAGATCGCGCAAGGATGGGTTCAATGAAGGCAAGATTGTTATGAAGCACTGGCTTGACAATGAGTTCAAAGTCTGATGCTAGATTATCACTTGTGTTATGGCACGCATTTTTCGGCGTACTAAGTTTGGGATGCTGCTTTTGGCGGTCTGGATTTTATGGGAGCGAGCGGTCATAGGTTTGCTTTTTTGAAAAGATACAGTATATAAAATTTAGACTAATACATACACGATAACATGCACGTCACTTTATCCTTCCAAAGGTACCTCATAAGAAACCCGACTGATCCCCTTCTGCCGGCTAATCTTGCGTATCGTGATCGGGCCCACCAGCTTAGTTGTCGGGACATGAGTTCCACCACAGGGATTTTGATCAAGACCACCGATACTTGCAACACGAACAGGGCCGTCTCTCAATGCTCCACGGCCTTCTAGATCCGAACCATCTTCCACCCATGAGATCAGAATGGGTAAATCCTGTTGGACCAATTCATCCACCTTTGCCTGGATCAATGGCTTCTGCTCATTATATAGCAAACCCTCATATTCCATGCATGCTTCTTTGGGGAAATGATTGGCTTTGACTTTCTTCATTTCGGGAAAGAGAAGCTCCATCGCCAGACCGACGATGTGTCCCCCCGTATGCAGTCGAGAGTGGTAGTCTCGTTTGGTACCATCGACCCGTTGAATAACGCTCTGGCCTTCAACGAAGACTACCTCTGGGTCTGCAGACTTGCCAAAATGCAAGATTCGTCCGTCTTCGGTCTTGCGCACCAGGGAGACTGTGAAAGCGGGATCCTGGTCTGCTAGGGCGATGGACCCTGTGTCGCTAGGCTGTCCGCCTCCCTGCGGGTAGAGGATAGTCTGGCGCATAGTAATCGCCGAGACCTCTGGATCGGCATTCTTGATCAAGCTTTTTTCATTTTCTGGAAGTGACGAGACTGGTTGGTGGGAGATGATCTCTGTCGTCAGGGTTCTCAGCGAAGCGTCGTGCAAATACACGGCTTCTGTGGAGGAAGCCTTGTTTATAATATGAGCATCGCTGTTAACAGTACAAGGGGGTGTTCATCGTACCATTGATTCTCAAGGTAGTAAGCAATTGCAAAAATCTGTTTTGTGTGGATGCTGTCTTCTTGGCCTTGATTATTCGTTCAGACAACAATGACTCGATCTCGATTTCCCCCGCCAGGTGGGTCGTGTCATGCTAAGGGCGTGAATTGATGCCCGGATTCTCAGGCTACGGGGTCACCCCCAAATATCCAAAATTGAGTACATAGTTTGCATATGGACGTTATGAAAAGCTTTCGCTGAGACGAACCAAGGCCCAACAAAAGGTTCTCAGCTCTTAGATGACCCCGTCTCGCCATTTTGTGTGGCAAACCTCTCAAGGTGAAGACATCCAAACTCGACCGAGATCATCCAGGGAAATACTCACGGACAACAATCAAAGTGAACTGTGCCTATTGGCTTTGGAAGAACTCCTTACCTTCCAATCTAGAAATTACAATGACATATGTGGCACTCATTGCCCCAAAGCTAACCTTAAATCGACCACCCCTGCACCCCGCCATGCACGCCCCCCCTCCTTTGAACTGCCGAGTCCAGCCGATGCCCAAAATCGCATGGCCAGATAGTCTCGGATTTCCTATTCAGTCTCTTCCGCTCCCTTGTGCTCGCACTCCTCCGATTTGCTGCCCACGAACAGGGGTATGTCCCAGCGAGCCGTTTCTGATTTTGGGTGGATCAACCCGGGAGAAAGCGATCCTATCATTGTAAACCGGAGTTCTGAGATGTGGCATGTCCGCGGGGTTGTACATCATGTTAGTGCGAGGTGATGTGTTTGGAGTGGGTTGAACACTTCGCGGAAATCTGGGGTAGGGTGATCTTTCTGGTGTATGGCATTCGTTTCTATGTAGGTGAGTTACTAGCGCCGTACGAGAAGGGGTGATCCGTTATTTTTGAAGATGATCACGCTGGGGAGTATGGTAGTATGGTAGGATAGTAGGCGAGACCGAAAGCCTGAAGGGCAGCTTGCTTTAGCAATGATGAGTCTATGTGTAGGAAGAGCATACGAGAGCTACTATGAAATTGCCCATCGGGAAACAGGCGAGACAAAGTCAGGAATTCTATGTTCATTTCATTCATTCATCAAATTGTAGTCCAAGTCCCAAAAATGCGAATTGAAAGGCCCCAAAACACCCAGGCCCCGAATTGCAGAAGAAGAGAAAGATAGAAAATTAAACAAAAGACACAGATCAACTAGGATCTGGTGAATGGGAATAATTGTTGACAGGCCGTGAGGGGGACATCAAGATTGGGTGGATTGCATGATCTTGCATGGGGATCCAGTTGAGAGACAAGGTCTTCGGGCAAGGAGGAAGTCAACCGGCAGAATCGAACGAGTAGAAGGATCAGCATCCAGCGTAATCAAAGGAAAAAACTCAGTCCTTCAAGCCATTCTCCGGGAATGAATCTTGCAGACCATCTCTGGCAGGGCCTTTGTTGGAGTAGATCTTCTGCTGCTCCCGCTCCACAGCGAACTTGACTGCGTCGTAGATGTTGTTCACGATCTTCTTGGGAGGATAGCGTGGGATGGTACCTTCTTGCCAAACACCAGTTTTGACAAGAACGGAATACCATTCATTCTCAGAGATCTCATTGAACTCGTTGGTTCCACGAATGTCAGACTCGGGAGTGTCACCGACGAAATAGACTGTAGAAGGGGCATGGCCGATACCATGAGAATCCCTGCGCCACTTTGATAAGAGTTTGGTCGCAAACTGGAATGTGCCCATCTGCGGCTTTCCAAAGGCAACGGTCTTCAGCTCTTTGCCGGTGACGGCCTTGTAGAGAGCCTCGAGCGATGCGCGTAGAGCGCCCATACCAATGCGGGAGTGTTCATGCGACGTTGACCACACCACGTCGTTGTGGGAGAAGTAGATTGGTGGACCTTCATCAAAGGTCTCCGATCGGGTGCCAAGCTTGCCATTCACGGACATTAAACAGTCCAGGATGATTTGCTGGTCACCGGCCCAGTCGCGGCTATCAGCGAAGACGAAAATCGCCTCAATGTGGACCGAGTCCAGATCAAGCACGCGCGAGTTCTTATATTCCTCGTCGGTCAATTTGCGGAAAGGCGTGGTATCGTGGCGCGTCTTGATAATGTCGCCGGGAGTGATAACATTCCTGAATCCATACTCCTCAGCGACGATGCGACACTTCTCGCCTTCGCCGCCGACAACCAGGACGGTGTCGTATCGTTCGGCCATTTCACGCATGGGAGTATGCCCGCAAATGAATTGTCCAGGGCAGACTTCATAATCTAGTTGGCGACTCAGATCCTGGCAACGTTCTTTTTCGGTCTTGCCACCTCCATTGGTGAGGAAAATGTAGGGTCTGCTCAGGTTTCATGTTAGTCGACCTTTCACTTGGTGAAGATAAACCCAGACAATGCTTACACTTTAACCCCATACGGGTTCTCGCCATTGATGTATTTCATGGCCTCAATAGCCTCCGGAATGGCCTGGCCACCTCTGATAAGGACACCATCGATATCGAAGGCCAGAGCAAAGTCATCGCTCACAGTCATTGGCGGGATTGTCAAGGGGGTAGTCACTGAAGAAGACTCTTCCTCTGAGGAAATGGCCTCTTCGTCGGAGTGATTTTTATCCATTTCAATGTCCGAGATCAGGTCACGATCACGGGGAGAGGCCATCAAGTATTTTGGAGGCATGACGACGTTGGGTCCACCGTAGAGGTCGGCTCGATCGGCATCAAGACTGGAAAGTCGACGGACCTTTTGAGATCCGAATCCGTCGGTAGTCGCCATTGTGAGTGATAAAACAGTTTATGTGGGTCTATGAGCGGATCCAATGCGAGAGATCAAGGGGAAATTGATCGTTCCTCTTGAATATTGAGACACGGGAGTTTCAGTAGGCACGGGAGGTCACGAAAAGCACACGTCCTCTTATGGACGTAGAAACGGGTTGAAGAGGATTGAGAATGCTTTACGATAATACAATTATCGTGAATGGTGTGCAAGCTGCAGGGAGAAGCAGAGAGGCATGAAAATCGTATCGGAAGCAAGTTAGAATTATGGAGCATGTGGATAGGGGGATCAGGGCCATTAATATAACATCCTGAAGGTCCATCTGCTCGCTTCATCAATGTCCCTCTACTTGTTTTGGTGCAATACAACGGAGCGGACCCACTATCTCATGCTCGGACACACCCTTCGTCATCATCCAGACTGTCTGCCTGGTCTGCCGGTGTCCCACTGGTGACGCTCGATCGCCTTTTTTCAGGCGTCTCAAAAACGAAGTGTATCGGGATGGATCCACAACGACGTGCCCTGGGCGCAGTGACCCATACCCACGAGCTTTTCCGCCGGTGCTGATTGATCCCTACGAATGGAGAAAAGACGCAGATTGTCCCGGGGTTACGGAGTGGAGTCGGCCGGTCCATCTTTACCGTGTGCGAATGGACCGTTGACGTCGCGGGGGAGACTGAGAATCCCGATGATGACATGGCGATCACTGTTATCATTCTGGCTAAACAGAAAAAGATACAGACGGAGAGCCGTCAGTGTTCGTTTCCGAACCCGATTGATCTTCTCAACGACTTATTCTCGGTGAAAGTATTCTGTTCGGTGTGGCGTTGACTCGGCAGACGAGAAGTAAAGTAGGCAGGCACCTTATCCTCCATTCGCCATGGGGACTCGAGGCGAGATCCGTATTCCCGATTCGATGAACCAGTCAATGCCCCCCCCCCTGTGTTGTTCCAGCCGCTTCTGTTCAGAGTGACCCGAGTGAATAATAATTTTAGTACGTCGTTGGCCAGACGTTGGTCGAATCAACGTGGATTAACGCGCATCACCAGCGGGACAGATCGGGACGTGACGTCATGAGCCGGATGGCTGAACCAGCCTCAGGAACCGGGCACATTTGGAGATGATTAACAAACTTCATTAGTAATGGATCAATGCGTCAATTTGCAGACAAAGACACCTAATGGGATATGCTGTCTCCGCCCTCGCCTTCTTGCCGCGGTAGTGGTAATGAGAATTGAAACGCTAAGGCGAGGTGTGGTATGTGGCGCTGCGAGGTTAGGTTGGGTACTACCTCAGCCCAATACCCATCGAGCCCTAGTGTCGAGGATGAGCAAGCCACCACTGCAGCCTGCCTACCCAGGAAAGCACGGGAGAATGTAGCTCTACCGGAGGGACCCTGTACTCTAATTGCACTTGGACTGTCAGAATCAGAAATGAAACAAGCCGTTGCAGCACTGCAAAGACCGGGCATGTGTAAATCTTCTACATTCTAAACAAGACGAGTTCAGGATGAGCTCTCTGCTTAGTGGTCTGACGACTACTCGTCTTTCAAACAATCATGTCAGAGCGGTTGGCCTGCAATGGTGTCACTGTGCATCGCGCAACCCATCCCTGCTCTAGCTGTACAGTAGATCGTCCATTTCAAGGCCGTCATCTTAGTCGCAATGGCCCTCGCGGTTCGAGAGTAATCAAGAGAGTGAGAATACCAACCCACTGAGAGCCTGGATAATTAAACCAGGGAGCTTATCTCAGGATACTTCCGGTCCAAGCGTTCACGGCGCACGGTGAACCTCCAGGGAATGTCAGGTGCATGTGAAACTAGGAGACAGCCGAGATGATCTTATTATTCTAAGTATGACGGGGTAACTTAACGAATTAACTCATCAAACGTGCTGGCAAACAATCGGATGCGGAGTTCCAGGCCATTAAATTCATAGGAAAAGCGCAGAGGGTAACTCAATTTCTACCGAAGAAAAGGAAGATGCCTTCAAGCTGCTGTGAGGAGCAAAAGAGGAGCATCCCCCCTTCCTTCTTCCAATAGAGGTGCCTTCCACCTTTTCAATCTTGCATCATCCCACAGAGCACACCCCCACGACCATTCATTCGCAAGGGGCTGGTCACTATCCCTATCGAGCGCGTACTCTAGTTCTTGTTCAGGCGTGTGCGGAACTAGACCGAGTTTCCTCCAGCCCAGGTTAGGCTGTTCAAGAGGTGGCAGGGTAGACCAGAAATGCTCAAAGTGTCGGACATAATGCCGATCTGCCGGATCCGTGAATGGAATTCGCTGATGCCAATTTGGAAACCTGCCATCAAAGACAGAGTGAAAAGCGCTATTGAGGTTTCCAAGGACCAGGTTGCGCTGTAGTATGGGTGTCGATTGCAGAACACGATATAGAAAATCCGGGGCCATGAAAGTTAATGCTGTTATATACTCGGAAATCAGTGGGAGATCCTTGACCCTATCAATTACCGATGGTGGACACTCATCGTCGGATAGAACATTTCCAAAAAAAATAAAAAAAAACCGACCTTGGTCATTTACCATAGCGTCGCGAAATTTGGTGGACATTTTCCAGAAGACTGGATCGTATTTGGTCTGGAGATAAGTCCATACACACCCCATCTCGTGATATTCCCAAGGGGGCATTGCCCCGAGGAACAAACGAAACGATTTTTCATCGCTGAGAAAACTGCTGGCAAGAACACGCGGGCATTTGCGATCCCTAGGAAGGCCAAAAACATTACTGTAAATTTGTAGCCGACATAATGCTCTCACAAAGCGACATCTCTCGACATCGGACATTGTGAGAGGCAGTTCTTGTTGCCACCGAGCGGGTTCGATCCACGAGGGTCGCGGCAAATTTATCGTATAGTCCTCAAGGAAAAATTGTAGCATTTTGTGGAATTGTAGTAACTTGACAATTTCCTCCACGTCACAAGGCTGATACAGTCGAGCTGCTAATGCTGGAAAGGATTGCCTGATTTCCTCTCTGCGACGCCAGCGGTCTAATAAGGCAATGGCTTGTTCCTCGTGGAGTGCAAGCCAGAGATCTTCTGACCTAATTGCGATAATTGCCTCAGATAGATCTAGGAAATCTCCATAACTTCTCTTGAGGATCTTGTTGAGAAGTTCCTCTCGAACCATGAGATATGCTTTGTGGCATACTGGTGATGATAGTACGATGGACTTGAGTGTAGCCAAGTCTGAGATGTGGGAGAAAATGATTACCATCAACTCATTTGGCAAGCTTTCGAGCATCGGTTTTGCCTGCAAATGAATTAGTCAAAATCGATCTAAGGGACTTGTTAAACACACCATGACGGGGAAATGTCTGTGAGGTTCTTTTGATCTAGGAGTTTTGAACCTGAGCTGGCCCAGCGTTACGTATCTTGAAGTGCTCGACCAGCCCCGCAGGCACCCGAATCTTATGTAAGGGTGGCGCCTAGGACCTACTGTAATGTAGGTTCTACTGCGTCTTAACACCGCCCTTCTTATAGCTTGTTATAGAAAATCTGTAAATGCCTGATCTATGGAGGGGACTCTAAAAGCAGGATCTTCAATATATTTCACCTGCCACGTGTCTAATAGAACCGAGCTAGGAATAAAGACGGCTGCATGTAGTCGTTTCATCGCTAACGGGAATCCAGAGCCAACCAATTGATCTATTTCAAGACGGGACGGACTTTAGTAAGCGCTTCTTCCCTCATGGGAAACATTGTTGTCGCCACTTTTTAAATTCAGAGCAGGCGAGACAGACAGAAAAGGCTTAAATCCTCCAAATCAATAAAAATGTGCTTATTGAGCTTCGTGTTGGTTTGCATCAGATACTCCAGCAAGGGTACCTAGGAAGCAGGATTTGAGCAAGTAGTAGGACAGCAGGGGTAGTGCAGACTTGGCTATGTTCTTTCTAGAGCAGTCTTGTTTCCAAATAGAGATTTATCGATTTATCCGTTCGATTTGTCCGTTCTAGCGTCAGGTATTCTAAGTTTAAAACTCCATTCATAATACAGCAGTAAATTTTCGTTCTTGTAAGTCCGGAAGACCCTTGGAAAGACCATCCAAAGGAGCGGCAGTCAAAGCGCATCTAGCAAGACCTTTTGATTCTGACTTCTAGACAGACACAGAGCTGAAAGTTTCCAACAGACGGTTATCATGCTCTGTGATTTATCATAATATCTATACAATAGCGTCTGTCATCACGCATCAAGCAACATAGCCGCCAAAAGAGACCCATAACAAAACAACAGCCATAACTAATATACAAGAAAAGGAACGAGGTGTCACCAGGTAGAAGCCCTTACCAATCCTACACAAAAGACAGAAAGAATATCTGAAAAGAAGGGAAAATAGAGATCAAAGTGAGAGAAAGAAAACCACCACCTCTAATCAACCCTGAGAATCAAATCCTGCCCCCTCCTTGAAGGCGTTAGACTCCGCCCTGTAGCTTGCAACCTCTGCTCATTGATATCCTTCGGCCTTTTCTGAGGACTTCGTGGATACAACACAGCACCCGGAAACGCCTCCGACGGATATGGGAGGCCGTTTGAAGCAGTAGAGGAGGGAGCTCTGCTGCGGCCTCGCTCGAGCCAGAAGTCCTCTGGACAATATGGGACGACGACCTCGCTAGGTGGGCGTGGGCTGCTGCGTATTTGAACGCGTTTGATATCGTCTCGGCGGACGATTCGTGGTCGCGATACGATTTCTGTGGCTGGGATGAGGCCCAGGCCGTTGGAGGGCGGGGATGGTGTTGCTGGCCCTGGGCCTGGCCTGCCAGCAATAGTCACAATTTGACGTGGACTTGGTGTCTGAGCTGGATTGGGTTTGCTAGTGGACATACCACTTAAGATACGGCCTTGCCCCGTACTGAAGGGTGTTGTAAGCAGAGTGTTTGTGGAGTTGCGGTGGGAGGAGCCAGAACTATTATGGGCAGTGCTGCTGGGGTTGGACGCCTGCGAGCCACGGAGGGCAGTAGCAGAGAAGGCTGGAGCGAGTGCCCTTTCACTGGGGACAGCATGTGCCGATGGTATCGCCAATGTTCGATCTGGGAATAGCCGCTGTGGCGGAGGGCGAAGGTATTTTTGAGCTGGGAAGCCATTTTTGACAGCACGAGGGTTGGCCGGCAACCCTGTCATTACGTGCGGAGATTCTGATCTTTGTGAGCCATTTTGTCGAGGCTGTTGGAACTCATCTTCTTCAAAGAGCGTTTCCCCACTGACGGGACGATGACTCCATCGCAATGGTTTGGGATATAACCCTGCCGGCTGGGGAGCCATCGGTTCGGCGTGTGTAGGTTGCGAAGTCAGTGTCCGCGACGAAGACTCCCACTCGTCCCCGGAGCTGACAGCCACTCCAATTGGCTCCTTCTCTCGTGGCTTCTCTGTATTCCGAACCAACATCACCGTGGCAGGGGTTGGCGGATTCTGCGCAGTCGGCGTGCGTGTACACGGCAGCTCTGAAACTTCTTGATGGCCAGAAGTGTAGCCGAATGAGGATGGCCCCGTCGGGTTTGGCTTCGGGGAGGGCGAGGAATGACGTGAGGATGGTCGTGAAAATCCTGGAGGCTCAGACATTGCACCTCCGATTTCGAAAAAGTCATGGTCTGAATTAGACCTGGTTGTGCGATTTTTTTGTTTCCATCTCTTGCAGCAGAAAAATACGACCACGCCCATGATGAAACAACCGGCTACGCCCGATGCGACAGAGACACCAATGACGGTGCCAGAACTGACATGATGCTCTGAGCTCCCATCGTTAGATGGAGACGAGGAAGTAGTGTCACTCGGAGTCGTTGAAATGCTTTCAGTGCTGGTCGTCGCTGAGGCTGAGACTATGCCGGAGCTTGAGGATGTCATTTGAAAGGCAATGCCTGAATCGCTTGAAGTTGACACAGATGTCGTAGATGTCGGTAGACTCGATGTCGATGAGCCGACTTTAGTCTGCGAGCCACTGGCCGATGTGGTACCGACTCCTGTTGTTATTACATCGGCAGTCGTAGTGGTCGAGCTGGGTGGGTCGAACGTCGTCGCTGTAATGGTAGCGTGCGTCTCTCGTATAGCGCCAGACACCGAATCACAGACATGATATACACTATTGCCCTTGCTGGAAATATCTTTCTCTGAACACAGAGCATACAGACAGCTTAGAGCAGCCTCTCCCAAGGTAAGCCCAATAGGTGTTTGGGTCTTGCACAGGCACTTGATATCCTCTGCAGACGAGCATTCATCCGACGTGTACTGGCCCAGGATAAAATTCTCCACACAGGTCTTGGTGCAGTCTGGTATGACGTTCCAGAGAGCAGCATTTGAAGTATCGTTTGAACCGCTTGCCGAAGATAGGATGACTAACGGAAAAGCCGCAGCGAGTATCCTGTAGGCAGGATGGAGGAGCATCCTGCAGCGACTGTGTTCCTAGCTAGCTGTTAGCTAAGACATTTCCTCTCATTGCTAGATACACTGGACCAACCTATAATTAATCTTGCGTGGGAATGACTACCCTTGAAGCCATATGATCTTTGAGGTTATCATCATCGACCTAACGAGCAAAGTAGCGCAAATCGAACGCAGTATGAGTAGATCGAGAACCCAAAGGCGAAAAGAAATGGAAAAAGAAAGTCGTCCAAAAAAGAGGCCAAGACTCCCCTAATTAAACATTGAGGCCCCTGTGAGGCACAACCCTACGCGCGAGAGTAAATCCATGACCTATGACGCCCATCTGCCCCGCGGACCAAGCAGAGCAACTGTACGCTGGACCTGAAACATAGTCTTTGCGGCGGTCCTCGAGTAGGCGCCAGCATGAAACTAGATGACATCGTGGGGGCTCATAATGATACATTATCCCAAGCGAATTGATCCCGATCTGGATCTCGTGGGCTCCTCTTTGGCGCTGGTTGAGTGGCCGACGTGTTGGCGCCTGCGATACGCGCCGGGGCGAAAGGATGGGCGCTTGCAGTGCAGCCCGAGTCAGCTCTTGCCCTGGGCAGTGTTTCAGATCGTAAATAATGATTGCCGATCAGCCCATTCCTTTAAATCTGGCAAGAGGTATCTGGGGGCTGGATAATTCTCAAAGCAATCTGTTAATTGTCCAAGTGGACGACAGTGGAAAGGAAGAACGGGGGGGCCGAAGTTCTGGGAGTCATGCTTACTTGCGCAAGGGTTGTATTGCATCTCGACTTTTCTTCCTTGTGCACATTATTATGCGATCCGTTCAGGAGAAATAGGTTTGCCGCCACAAGTTCCTGTTTCCAAATCTTGGGGTTTATTATTCTGTGTTGGCAGTTCTTGGGTTACCCGCCCATGCCGATCATGAACACACATTCACATACTGGTCCCAACTAGGTTAACCTGGGGGGAAGCACTCCCGGAGTGAAGTGGATATTTAGGTGATTACATGCACTCAAGACAATCTCTACACAAGAAATGAATTCAATCTTCAATTGAAGGTTTTCAAATAATTGCCGTTGCGTCAATCGTAAAAGCTAACCAACCCCCGGGCGAAGAAGCGCAAAGCCCGCACAGGTCATACAATATGAGGTGGTATCATCTGAAGAAGCAAAAGACAAGAAACATAAAAACATCAAGAGGTGACCCGGCAAGATTGTAATAAAGGGAAGAGGGGGGGGGGGGGGGGGGAATAATCATCGGCATCATGTAGGACAGATGCCAAAATTAGGCAATTATGGAGATTGCAGCGATGCCAAGAAGGGGAGGGGAAGCTGCAGGAGGCTGGTTGGTCGGACCGCCGCGGAACCACGCTCACTCCGGGGGACGGTGAGTCCACGACTCTCCAAGAGATTTCATAATAGAAGCGAGGGGTGGAATGCACGTCGCATCGCGAAGTGGTCTTTCAGAGCATGATCGACCGAAGTTGCTGAGAAGCGGCGGTCGGCAATTGATGTGGGCGATTCTAGTATTTGAAGATGATGTAGCTGCGAGCGGACTAGTTAGTGGGGGTTTTCTTCGAAATGGGATCGTTAAAGGGAGCACCCCTAGGGCCGATCACGTACAAGGCGTGGATAACACCGGGGATCCAACCCAAGATGGTCAGACAGATGTTGATCAGGAGGTCAGCACCACATCCGCGCTCCAGGAAGACACCCAGAGGGGGCAGGATGATGGCGAAGATGATCTTGCAGATATCACTGTGGAATCCAAGTTAGTCAAAGCTCGTTTTTGAGGTCTTTCGCATGATCAGATCGAGAGTGCGACAAGCCGACTGCGCCGGTTCTAGCAGCTCATAATGATCGACCGGTCTTGGCGGGCGTCGAGAGGGAATGACGACAGACATGGCGGGAAGCACACTCAGGAAGCACTTACGAGGCAGTGAAAGGCATGGTGACGGATTAAGAATGGAACCAAACGGAGATTGGATAGAGTAGATGATGGGGAGGGAGAGAGAGAGAGGAAGAAGTGGGAATGCGGAGAGTGGGCTCTTTTTAAAAGGAACCCCCAAAGGCAGGGGAGTAGCTCAACCAGAAAACTGGCGGCTTTCTCAAAGCGGGAGCTCTTTTCCATTGCGTCATGGCCCGCCACGCTGTGGCTCAGTCTGGTGCATGATCACCGACCATGACGGATAATTGGTTATTGGTTATTTTTACTCGGTTCAAAGCGGCTGCCTGTGGCTCAGCCTGATGAGATAAGTCAGGATTTCCAGGTTCGGATTTTTCATGTTCGTCATATGTAGTCTGGAACGTGGGCAGGGCAATCTCATGATAACTTCGTATACCGGGATCTATAAGCATGTTTAATAGGTTATGGACTATCCTTATGGTTCTGGAGATCAACGAAACGAAATCACGATAGTCCCTCAGCCTTGTTCAGTGTCATTCCAGTACTTGACTCGACAGCAAGGCGTGCAGGGTCTGCTGCACCTTCTGGTGGGCTGCAGCCCTAGGCCCCAGTACACTTTAGTACTCCAGCCAGTATGGAGAATCAGCATATCCATAGTGGTAGTGAGAATGGAAACCGGCCCGACTCCTTTTCCAAACGGTCCTATCCGCGCCCTCCGTTTCCTCGTTGCCTGGACAAGCCAGTCTTGGCACCTTGAGCTGTGGCTCAACTCAACGACCTGGTAAAAGGAACAAGAACAGGAAACATGGAAAACTGAAACAACCATACGAAACTTAGTACATCATCTAAATAATGAGCATGAAAAATTGACAGCCATCCAGGGCCGAATTGCCCATAATTACGTTCGCTTCCTAGTTTCTTTTCCAAACTACTCGTTGCCTACTAAAATAGTGTGACCATCGGTCTCATGACAATGCCGATCCTTGGCCGCATCGTGCAGGACTTACATCGTCACCTGTGGCGCGACGCTGCCAATGTTAATGCCAACGGCCCAGCCCTACAACGAACGAGTCCCTGTTGTCCCCACCTGCCAAGGCCCCACGGGAATTCATGAGCCACTAATGACTTCACACCAAGTAAGCAAGTTCATGCAGATTGCGACAGTGGCTGGAAAAACAAGAGGAACATGAGAAAGAAAAAAGGTTATGGCTTATTCTGTACTGTACAAGAACCGTACTACCTGTGGCAGTAAATCTCGTTCGTCATGGTGGCCCTAAGTCTGGCCTGGCTGTTTGTTCATTACCTTAAAGTACCCGTGTGGAGAAGCAGCAAAAAAAGAAAAAGGAAAAGTATCCCAAGCAGAACGAGTAAGGGCCTTTTTGAGCGGTCGATCGCGATTCTATTTTAATCCCCTGATCGCCTAAAAGACATCCAGTCGTGGGTTAAAGTCGACATCTTCCAACAGCGAACTCCACTGCGGGGCGTCCAACTCGGGCGCTGCGGCCACAAACTCAGACCATAATCGTTCCCAGCCCTCTTCGTTAAGATCGTCGTTCAAGGTACCTCTACCATCTACTAATCCATCCATTATCACCGTAGAAGAAGGCTGTATCGTGGCTGAGTAGCCGAGGCCCGTGGATGGTAATACAGACTCTTGGTCTTCCTGGGTAGTCCGATCATGTTTCTGGAGCGTGGCCATGAGAGTCTGAAGATTCTTTTGAATCCCTTCTAGCAGGTAGTTCGATTCCTGTTTCGACTTCTCCAGCGTCTGGTACGCAGCTAGCACCTTGGCTTTGCGATCCTCCGCGTCCGGCGCAGAAGGGTGGAAAGAGACATCCATGGCCAAGATCAGAGCCGCGAAGAAGACATGGTGCACCACCGTCAAGAACTGCCCTGCTTTCAGCCCAACCTCGTTGCCAATCTCATCCATTGAGCGACGCAGCTCCAGCACGGTCTGTGCAGATTGGATACACACTTTGTGGGAGTATGCGTATTTAGGATTTGTGATCCCTTCCAGATGATATGGCCGATGGAGTCGGCACAGCCGGATATGGATGCTAAAATGGATACTGATACGCTGCCAGGCAATGGTGGGTCTTTGCTTAAATATTTGCCGGCTTTGCTCCATACTGGCGGGGTCCGTTTTGAAGCACACGGGGAGTTCGTTGAGGAGGTTCTGGAATTTGGCATCCAGTTCAAGAATGGTATCGTAATCGGGCTGGGTGGATTCAATCAGTACAGGTGGTAGGGCGTCGATAACTTCCCGACATAGCGAGGCGACTTTCACTCGTATAATAAAGGCGGACATGGAGGTAGGAATAGACAGGGGGAATTCCTGCTGAATACCCCTTGGTGTGATGAATTCATCGTCAGTATTGCTGGGAAAGTGGACATTCATATGTTTGGGGTGAAAGGTGTATGCTCCTTCATGTGGACTGCCATGAAATGAAAGTAGCCTGTAATATTCAGCACTGACTCGGCAAATCAATACGAAGCGGCAATACTTACCAGTCAGAGGCTACCATGTTCCACCATACACGTCTCTGAACCTCGACCTCGATCATGTTACATCCCTGTGACCGCCGCGCCTCGCGGCTTTGAGTCGTATCTAAGCGGTGTATTTGCATCTCTCGTGCCATCAGTAGACAACGATGCCGAAGAAGATGTACTTTGAGTGGAAACCCATCGGTGTTCATCAGCAAATAAGCCATAATTGCAATAGCCACAAGGGCTGTAGTCGATGCTTGAACGAGGAGACGCGGATGTTCCAGAATATCCAAAGCAAGGCGAGCATATGTCTTGAAAGCCGCCTTGGACTCTTCACGAGTAGATTGTAGCGTCTCAAGAAGCCGGGGTGTCCAGATCAGAGCGGCTCCAGCAAAGATGCTAAACAGCAACATCAAATTCGCCGCAGATGGCTCTTCACCTTCCAGCAAGTCATTGTAAGCCTTTTCTAGTAATTCTTTTGTTGAAGGAACGTGAAGCACCCCAAAGGTGGGTTGTAGTGTGGTTGTAAAGTGATCAAACAGCTCTCGAGCCTGTCGTAAAGGAGGAAGATTCCTCGCAAAATCGAATAGTTTAGGCCCTTCTTCATACTTATCCTGAGTGGCCATAAGGTGGCAATTGAATGGGGTGACATAGGGGCCACTAGAAGCCTATCGGTTGTTAGGGTATGTGCAAATTGTGTAATCTATCAAAGGTTCATGCATCATACTGAAGCTTTGGCTGGATATACACATTGACGCTTGCCATCTGGTTCTCGGGTTGAACTTGGCCTTTCGGCTAATGCTTCTTCTAATCTACGTATGCGGAACAGAAGCTCATCGGCGTTGCTTTGGGACGGTTAGCCTGGGGGACATTAGACCGAAGCTGCACTGACTTACTGTGCAACTAGCTTCGTATGAGCGGAGTCTTGATCTGGACGGTTCTGATTGGAATGCCACGAAGTGGATTCCGTCGATGCTTCCGTGGCAGGCACATCTTTAGGCACATCTTCGGGGCCGTGGCCAGGATACTCGCATGAGATCTTCCTAATTACACAGTTCGAGCAAGGCTGGGTACGGTCACAACGCCGTTTCTTCTCACGACACTCGCGACATGATAAAGGTGGTTTATTCCACCTGTGGATCGTTTCGATAGGGTCACCTCTGCTTTTCCGTTTCATGCTGTCCAATAAAGAAGTATGAATCAGGTGGTCCGCGGATGTCCGCGGACAGATAATTCTTATGTTTGGTAGAGCGGCCTCGAGTCCAAATAGCTTGTCAGATGAAATACAATGACAACGGTCGATGTTGACCAGTGTAGAGTTGGACATGACGGACGAGTCCGCGGGAGTCCGCGGGTTGATTTCCAGAAGCGGTTAGCGTTGTATGTAATTTGGAACTGACAGAACCAACGTTCAACCAGGAGAATTGATTACGAATACCTTCGCGTTACTGGCCAACGTTCGCTCTGGTATCTTGGATTTGGAGAAGCTCCATTCCCCGCGCCCAGCGCTCTGCTTGTCCGTCATTTCTCTCTCAAGTTAATTACTGGGTCTCTCAGTTCTCAAGTCTGTTCCAATTGATGTCAATCAGGCTTGGCCCTACTCGGGGCTCCCTGCGCGTCGCGCACAGCTTACCTCGAGCACTTCCGAGCTTCGCCTACTCGATTAGAGGCTATGCCAGCAACAGCTATCCTCTATTTGCATTCACATGGCTCACAAGGTCGCCGGACACTATAGTAAGTTGACTCGCTACCTTGGATACCCCTTCCCCATACTGACAAATGTCTCAAGACCACACAAGATATCTTATCGTCCCTTCCATCTTCTCCGACTCCGCTACTCGCCCCAAATTCGGTCCCATTACTCCTCGTCACCCCGAGTTTCGCACATTGGCTTGACCCTTCGGATAAATTTCTCCCCCAATTGATGCGCCAGCTTCATGGCAACGACTCAAACACCAATAGTTTCTACTCCGTCGCCGCCGTAGTCGATAAGATCCCCGAGAGCTCTGCTTTGAACAAACTAGAGTCTGAAGGCTTGTCTCTTTTGGCTATTGGCAAGGAGAACGTACATGTAAAGGCTGTACCTCCTCGTCGTTTTGGAAGGCCTGCCAGTGAAGAGTCTGATATCCTGGTCTCGATCAAGAAAGAACAAACAAGCCAAAGCCCTACAGGCGTGACTCATGAAATTGGCCTGCGTCTGGCGAATACCGTGTTCGTCAATGGCAAGGAATCAACCCTACTTGGCATGCAATGGACCCGCGATGGTACCACGAATGCATATACCTTGGACAGTACGATAGATCTGACAAGTTGTGCTGTCACATCTACATCCTCTGCTGGTGCCAGCCCTAATCTGGAACTGCCTCTCTATCCTATAGGTGAGAGGAGAAAGGTGATCGCTAGCATGGGGAACATCCTACGGCAGATTTCAAAATCATCAGACCCGAACTCACAGGAGCCCATTCCCGCGTCCTCCGAGCTGGAGAAGGATCTCCCTCGGTATATTAAAGAATACAATATAACCGATCAAAGGGTTTCCGTTTGGGCTCTAGTTGAAAACCCGGATATCCAGGTCGGAGATCACAGCTTGCCAACACGGGACTACCTGATCCAATCACTACGTCAGGGTGGTAAACTGCACAGAGTCGTGAGCGGAGGTGGAGGATGGGGCAAGAAGCAAGGCCTCCTTTCCCTGGACCCTGAGATTAGCTTCTCAGGCTCTGTCCAGCGGGATGCACTGATTGGCCTAGATCAACTCTTCAATCCCAGTGCAAAGGTTGAAACGGATCAACAACCATTCCATGCGAATAGCTTGGTTGGAGACGACCTTTCCCTGCTGTCGCAGGTCGCAACATCTGGTGATTTCATCCAATTCTTCGTGTCGGTGGACCCGACATCCATGCCGGACGCTGTTCCAAGCGATGCTTGCCTTTCAGAAGGTAACATCACGTACCGCTTCGGAATGCTCTCAAATGCCGAGGAAAGATCTTCATTGGAAATTATGGATGGAAACGATAACATCACTGTGGTGCCGAACTCATTCGGGGCACTGTCTGAGAAGGCGATTTCATACACTCAACCCATGGCGCGAGGTGGAGAAACTCCTGGATCCAGTACTAAGCTGGATATCCCCGGATGCCGGGTTGTTTTGGACTCTGTATAATAGTGGACCTTATGAGAAGGACTGTATGTAAAATTAGAAATTACCTATCTCTCAAGAAGACAAAAGGGAGAATAATGTCGACAAAGAAATCCTGGCAAGTTGACATACAACAGGGTGGCGCCAAGACCACGTGACCAAAGCACAAGCGTGGTGGCCTCTGACCTCGTAGCACTCTCCAACCTCTCCGATCACAGCAACCTCCTCATCCAACGGCTTGAGTTAGCACATCTCGAGTCTTCCACCATCAATCAAAAGCTCTGAATTGCCCTTGAGACTCCGCCTGAGTCCCTTATACCATCAAAATGGCCACAGAACTTTGGTACGTCGTCATCAAGCCGCCTTCACCCCCCTGGGTGCTTGACAGCTATCGAGCTTCGGTCTTGCTGTCTTACACTTCGGCTTCTGCTAGAATTGATGAACATCTGCTAACATCTGTCGCTTTAGCCCCGTCTACGCGGTGAGTCCAGCTCCAGCTTAGCTTCCTCGATTCCGCAGCGCTCGAGACCGATCCGTTACCCTCCGTCTCTCGAATAGCTCCCCCCTCCACGTCAATGAACATACACATCAAGAACCGGTCAACGGCATTACTGACTCTTATCTTCAGCCCTTCTTCGGTGCGCTGGGCTGCACGTCCGCCATCGTCTTCACCTGCTTCGGCGCTGCCTATGGCACCGCCAAGGCTGGTGTCGGTGTTTGCAGCATGGGTGTCCTCCGCCCCGACCTGATCGTTAAGAGTACGTCAAGCTCATTCTCTCGATAACCCCGAGCTATCTCTATTCTTCGACTGGGATTTGCTAACGACGAAATTTGTAGACATTGTCCCCATTGTCATGGCCGGTATTATTGGTATCTACGGTCTGGTCGTGTCGGTCCTGGTCGCCAACGACCTGACTCAGAAGCTCCCCCTGTACACTGGTTTCATCCAGCTTGGCGCCGGTCTGGCTGTCGGTCTTGCTGGTCTTGCTGCTGGGTATGTTTGCTCAACTCCTCTCCTGAACGACCGACCTACTTGGCTATTCCATCTCTAACTTTACCTTGTGCTGCAGATTTGCTATTGGTATTGTCGGTGATGCTGGTGTCCGCGGAACTGCTCAGCAACCTCGCCTCTACGTTGGAATGATTCTGATTCTCATTTTCGCCGAAGTCTTGGGTAAGCATATTTTGATCGTCCCAGTTAATATGTGGATTGCTCTAACTGTTGTTACACTATAGGTCTGTACGGTCTTATTGTCGCTCTTCTCATGAACTCCCGCTCTAAAGCCGTCTGCTAAGCGGGACACGTCTCGTCGCACGCGGAAACCGAATCTTGGACCTATTGACCCTTTGCGAGATGGGCGATGCTTCGCTTCCGACATGCTCTTGCTCAAGATCCTCGGACTGGACATGGTGTGTCACAGGACTGAGGACGAACGCGATGCAAGAATGGAAAAAGATCTCGGCTATGATAAACTTATTTGACTCGGTGAAGGGAATTACTTTGTGACCATCGTGGTATGTAGAATCGGGGAACAGCTATCAAGCTTTCACTTCCGAACGGGTGGAACTGGTTGTGGGTAGATATTGGCTTTTTTTTCTTTAACATTGCATGAACGCGCGCTGGATTACTGTACTTTATACGGGTCTCGTCTCGATTTGGGACTGGATTCCCTCCCTTTTCATCTGCAGTGGTAGAAGGACTTGACATATACCTTGTCGGCCCGAGTGCCCTCCTGTGGACAAACCCTCTCTCAATCTTTTTTAACTTCTCTCTCGGTTTGGCTCTTTCTTGTCCTTACTTTTTCCTTTCATCTGGTCCGTCGGGGCTTTTGTATTTGGTATGGTATAGCAATCCCGATTTGTGCACTACCTTGCTATTGCACCATGCGATTGTAGGATACATGGCTAGGAATTACTACAGGACGTATGTTTCTATTACTGAACCAAATCTTCGTTGTTGTCTCCAGTGGGACTAAGTAAGAACATCAGGAACTCGAACACAGTATAGCGGCAAGACGGATATCAAAGAACAAGTCTATTGCGTAGTCCGCAATGCATGAGGGCCACAACGCCACACGAGAAAACATCAAAAGCCGCTGGCCATGGGAGAATACTAGCCAGCCATCGGTTCGAAGAGAGGGAGGGAGAAATGGTGATGATTGGATATTTGATAGAGTATAGGAGCGAACAAGAGAAAAGAAAAAGAAGTCCACGCAATGTACGAAAGGCAGTACAAGGGAGATATATATGCCCGGCAAAACTCAGACAAGACAAACCCTCAACCCAAGACGATGCAAGACGCAGGCCAGAAGATGCATCCGATGAAGAACCGAACAAAAGGAGAAGGGAAACAAATGAAACGAGAGAGAAAAGGCAGAAAAAAATTCTCTAAGCCTTGTCGAGTTTCCGTCTAAGTGTGCGTGTCCTCCGCATCAGCTTCTTGAACTTGTGCTTCTTCATCTTGATCTTGCGCCGTCTCTTGGTGCTGATCGCATGCATGGTCCGGTTGTGGCGCACACGCTCAATGTATGTCATGCCAGAGGTGGACCCGGTCGGAGCGTCGATGGTGAATCCATGCTCGGGATCCTCCATGTCGCTGCGAACGAAGGGGCCAGTGGAGGCCTCGTAGGTCTTGCGGCCATCAGCATGGCGCTGCTCGCGGATCGTCAGGACGGTGGAGTAAGTCGAGGTCTCTTGCTCAGTCAGGGCATCGGCCGAGGACTGCATGTCCATAGGGACGGGAGGAGGGGGAGGGTGGAAGGGGCGGAGACGACGGGTGTATTCCTGCACGGTCATTCCAGCCTCGGCACCGTCGAGCATGCGAAGATCCCCATTCGCATCGGTTGTGAAGCTCTGATGAAGCTGGTTGAACTGGTCTTCGGACTCGGCCATGACGGGTGCCGAGTTTTCCATGGTCTGGACGGTTGAGGAAAGAGTGAAAATGACATCGTCGGCCTCGTTCTTGAAAAGCTTCTTTGAGAAGATCGCGTCGAAGGCTTCGGGAGTCGAGATGGGAGGGACGGTGGTGGTCACGGAGATGGGGCGGTGGATGGAGAAGAAAGAGGCGACATGGACGTCTGTTACGACGAGTTAGCTGTGATCACTAGGGCGGAGCGAGAGAAAGAAAGAATATAGTAGAGCTCCAAGGAACTAACCATGCGGCTGGCGGTGCTGGGTCGAGGGGACACTCGGAAGCTTCGAAAACGCCGCATGTTGCTGACTCGCTTTCGAAGAGCCGTTCCGAGCACCATTCTCCTTCCCACGTCGGCGGGCAGACTTGCCCTTCTCGCCAGACGAGTTCACACCCTTCGCCGGGGTCGAGGTATCCATTCGGCGAGAGCCATCGCTGGGCGGGACCGGCGGTTTAGAAGAGGAAGAGGAGTACTGACGCTGGTGCACATGTCGGGTTGCGCCGAGCACGGAGGAAGGAACATTCTGAGTAGAACGAGAGATTCCGGACAGAGGCGCCCATGCAGCCCGGCGTAAGGACGTTGACAACATGGTTGGTGTGGGACCCAGCAACTGGGGGAGACGGTGAAGATGAGTCTGAATCGGAGGCGAAATCGTCGGGTCGGAAGTCGGAGTCTCTGATCATGTGGAGCTTATGTAATATTCATGCCTCAGGTGTCTTTATATCCCGGAAGCAGATTCATGGAGATCAACACCCAGCAGCTAAATAAATACTATCAATGAGATTTGCTTTCCAATTGTACATGTGCTTAAATTAGGTGGCTGAATTACGGGAGTAGGTTCGAGAAGAGCAGTAGTCTTACTACATTCGAGATGAGATTATGAATCAAGGAAATTGTGATGATACAGAGGCACAGTCGTCAGTGTAACACATCTGCAGGGACAAAACAAGTGGTATCATCCTGCATGATCAAAAGAGAAAAAAATGGAAGCGAAGTGGCAGAGTGCGAAATTGGAAGAAAAAGAAGGAAAAGAAAACAGACACCGTCGCTGAAACCGAAGCATAGTAGTAGGTAGCGAAATCGATCGGGCTTTTGTATGCAACGTAACCGACCCAAGGATTGCGGCAGAGAGCCGACGAGTCCTCTAAATGACGCCTGGGAAAGGATAGGAGTAGGAAAGTTGTAGAAGGGAGAAAAGGAAGAGGAAAGAAAGGAGTAGAGGAGGGAAAATAGAACAAGGAGGGAAGGCATGTCGGGTTGCAAAAAAGAGAAAGAAATGGAGCCGCCGAGACATGCAACACAGGGGGAAAAACAGGTAGGGCTAGAGAGCTCGACAAGAAACGAAAATCAACTTCGTGGCAACAATGACGTTCATAACAAAGGCCACCGGTACTATTTTAAAAATGCCGCTGCCTTATAGTATTAAGGTATGCAGGTTCTTCTGGATAATCATGTCCTGTACTGAATCCATGGTGGCCTTGAGTAGGGTAGTGTCGGTGGCATTCGTTCGGTGGATGTAGATCTCACGGTCAGGAATGCGATTGATACCGCGGAATCGGTCGGAAAAGTATCGTACAGCAGCGTCAAAGTCGGTGTTGGAACCGGTGTAGTCGGGGAAGTGTTTCGAGATGGAGGAAATTTCGAGTTTGCCCTTGAACAGATCCATCTTGTTCAAGAAAAGAATGATGGGCTTGCGCTTGAACCACTCGCCATTGACGAGCGACTCGAACAGCATCATGGCTTCGTGCATTTGATTCTGTGTGAGAAATGAGTATACTGCTCCACCAGCTGGGCAATTGCCAAGGCTTGGGGCGCACTTACCGCGTTCTGGTCTTCGACTAGGCACTGGTCGTATCCAGACAAAGCGACCATGAACAGCAGACACTGCACTCCCTCAAAGCAATGAATCCACTTCTTTCGTTCTGAGCGCTGGCCTCCAACATCCATCATGCGGAAATTCATCTGACCCAATTCAAATAATGTTTCCGTGATACCCGTTGTCCGAAGTCGAGCTTGAAGCATGTCTTGATTGTCGGGAAGCCAGTTGGGGGTGAAAATGCGGTCCAGGGAGTCGTAAAAGCTAGACAAATGTGTATCAGCATGAATCCCTAGCTGGCATAGGGCGAGGGTCGGACTTACTAATACAGATTATCATGAAGGGCGAATTCGTGGCCTCGAGCAACGGCCTTTTGAACACCTGCGTCTTTCCACATTTCCCTCATCGCATCGCGGACTGTGAGGTCGGAGAAGGCCTCGTCGGATCCTACGTCCGGTTCTGTACCTTCTAGCAGGTCCGCAGATTTCTATACAAATGAATTTGATCAGCCCATCTCTCTATAGAACCGAGCATGGAGAGCGCAAGCGTACCTTTGTAGTTTCATTCTCAAAATCTATGCCTTCGGAGTTCATGATATCCATCAAGACCTTGAAGGCAATGACGACGTTCGAGTAGATGACCGCTCGCGTTTGGTGACGCTCTTCCTCCGGGAAACCTCCGCTATGAATAATCCGCATTTGCTTGATAATGGTGGACTTGCCAGACTCTCCCGCACCTGCCCGACAAGTTAGCACCATCCGGATCGCCCCAGCCTTCAAACAAATTATTCTCACGCACCTAGCAGCAGAATCTTGATTGTCCGGTCCATTGTCTTCTTGTCATTCTTGATGGTTCGTTCGATCCGAGCATTACGCGACAGAGCGTCCTTGTCCGCCTCGGCGGGTTTGGAATTGATACAGCCCATGATTCAGGGTTGAGGGATACGATAGACGAATTTCCAATGCCCTGATATGATAGTCGTTAGCAAATGGATCGAGGAACCCCCGTCGCGACTTTGAAGGTCGGCGCATCAATGGCGTACTGGTCACATCTGAATCAGGGATGCGATAGTCCGACGCCACACTGGACGAGATGCTGAAACACCTAGACTCGACAGACTCGATGGTAGGAGTGCGCCGCTAGGTGCCTTCCGAAGCCTCAAAGTCCCCTTTACTAGGAGATGCGCATACCTGATATCCAAAGACGCTTGTTCACCGTTTGAATGACCCCCGCGACAAATGTGAGCGGCCGTATCCAATGGCCTATCGGTGCAAGCTCTGGTCGGTTCGTTCCCCACACCCAAGACCTGCCACGTTCCGTGAAAGGTTCCGCGCCGCCCGATTACCAATTGGGCTATATTATCCTCCGAGACCTGAGTGCCGAGTCCGTAACGTGGTAAGTGCGACGTCGATTCGCAGAACGGTTTAGGACGCGGAAGGGACGAGGGATTGTGGTATTGAGGGGGGGGGGGGATATGGTTGCTGAAGTCGCGTAGTGGTGTCGATGCGCGGGAGTGTTCCAGAGTTTGAGCTCCCGAGGGGAAGATCTATGGCTGATTCGGTCCGATTGGTGTCAAGATTTCCAGAAACCGGCTGTCCTCCCAAAAAGGCTGCCCAATTTCGACAGGGGAAGGGAACGTTCAAGACCAGGGGAGTTTGATGGATATCACGAAGAGGAATCGTGAACCCAATAGGGAGGAGAGGGGAGGGGGAGAGGGGGAAGAGAAGAAGGGGAAAGGGAGAAGAGGAGAGATCAATCGGTAGAGGAAGAGAGTAGAAACGTAGTGCATAATTCAACAAGTGTAGCACATCTTTGCCGTCCCACGAGAAGTCCACTCGGAAGAGAGCGAAGACGGCCAGACCGTCTCATGTCTCTCGATGGTCTATCGTGTCCGAGCCGCTCGACTGCGGAAATGGAGGAATGCGTATTTGATGTACAATACTCAATACGGAATATAGACCCGCTCGTAATAATCAAATAGGGAAAAAGCTCGATGTCTCCGCGGTTCTTTTTCTTTACTTTTCTCTTCTATTTTCCTGTCCATGTAAATTCCCAGCTCACTAAATACGATTCAGAGCCTTCTATGAGGGTGCATTCATATAGGGGCTGGACTCGGGGTCTTGCGTCTCGTACAAGATGCTCGGTCGTACAGTACAGTCTCAGCACGCCGTCTCCGCCTCCGGGCTCCGTCCAGTACTGTGGCATTTGTATGTCCAGTATGTACTCCGTAGGCAGAACCAACGGAGAGAATCAGGAAGGGCACTAAGCCGATCCACCAACAGAATGGGGCCATCAGTCCCCCCTGTCTGATTTGCTCCAATGATACCTTGAAACCATGATCAGATACACAGATTACCGGACTATCGGGAATCCTGCATAAGTACGAAGAGTCACTCCATACTTCGTGCAGGTACAGTACGAGCTAACCATGGAGATGATGATTATCCGGTACTACTATTAAGGAGTTTCGTTTCCCATCATGCCCGTACTGATGTATAAGGTGCATATGGACTCTGAAATTTCGTGTACTGTACATCCAATGATGAAACAAGTACGCCATATGCTTGGCTTGAACGGTGGGCATGCATCGTAAACTACGAAATGGCAGGCCTACCTGGCGCCTGTCAGGCGTCATGTTTCACGTTTGCCTTTCGGATCGGGTCGATTGATCACTCATTTCATATATACTATACGGAGTATACTATACTTACAGATGGACTTCTCGATTTTACCTTCATTTGCGACCGTCAAGATTGTGGAGAAAGCTCCATGCTTTCTCGCACGTCCTTGCTAGGCTTGCTTGTAGGTGCGATTCTTTACGAGGGAGTACCTGGAGAACATCCGACCGGTCTATCGTATTGGCGTGGCAGACTATTGACGCTCACCCCTTGAGACCCCCGCCACCAATCAGAAAGTGAAGTGAGGTTCCTCGCATTTCTCGAATCTTGGGAATTCTTCTCTTGCATAACGTTTTCACCTCCCTTGCATTTCTTTTTTTTTTGTCTTCTTTGCTCTTCCCTTGGTCCAGTGGGCAGTTTACTGTCTGTCATATTCTACAGAATTACTATTACCTATTACGATCCCATTCCTTGGAACCAGCAAGCCCATGTGAAGTTCCACTGTCTCCATCGTGTTCGGTGACCGAAGCCCTGATCAGCCGCTGTGACCCCAGGGACGGCCAAAGTGGATAGACTGTGGCGCCGCTCGTGGTTTTCGATGGTTCTTCGACTGCACGCCAAGCCACCATGCGGTCTGCATGCTAGTGATCGGCACGAAATTGCTGAAACTGCGCTGGCGGGATACATCCAGTTGGCACGTAAAGGCACTAACTCACGTTAGTTAACGCGAGGAAAGTTCTGAAACGTTGGCGGAATCCTGGCCCCCCGGCGAAGCTGACCCTTTGCCAGACCTACAGGACTTACATACGGAGTGCTAAGCCTAGTAGGCCACCCGAAATCGTTACGTCGGGCTCCCCCACAAGAGGAATCTGCTCCGGCAACCACTGGTGCATGTCTTTGCTTACTGCTTAGTTCCGAGTCCACTGATTTTCTTGACGCATCCCGAAGCCTGGCCGGATGAACTGATCGCCCCGCATCCTTTTTCATGACACCAGGATCCAGGATCCTTTTCCTACCGAGGTCCACGCTTGGTCTGTAGCCGCATCGTGGTCTCGCTTTTGTCTTCTTTTTTTGCCTCTCCCAAGGCCCACTTCCTCGTGGGCCAGCCAGCTTGTGGTGGAAAGACTTATCGCTCCGCGGTTGCTACCAATCAGGGAAGTCGTGTTTCATGAGCATAGCTTTTTTCCGTTTGTGGTGGACATGTCAAAACCAAAACGAAAATTGACCCGTCAGGCTTGATGAACCAACAAAAAGTTCGGCAATAAAAATACCATTGTGGAGCTTGTCATGGGCTCTCAACTCCACAAGAAAAACCAAACCGCCCCCTATGTCTTTTAAGCCCGTGCTCCCATGGAACGAACGCTTGCTTGGGACCACAAACCACTCCGTGTATAACATAGCAACCATGAGCAAGTCTTGATGGGAACTCGTTCATATTGGCGGTTCCCATACAGTACAGCACTCCTAGAAGAGGTCTTCAATCTCCTAATCACGAAAGACGGGGCAACCAGGTCTACAGTGCCTGTTTATCTTACAAGTCCCCACACAAGGCGTCCTAACCAGATATTTACCCATGGACGTTGATCATGGTCCGTCCGCTCCTTGCTGTTCTCCACGCTCGCGACCCATCGAAAAGCATGCACACCAAAGAGGACTGGTCCTCCCTCGGTTCAACATTTCCGATTTTATGGTTGTGGTCCATCAGCCATGCACGCGGGAGTGAAACTAACGCAGGGGTCAGTCTTTACGAAGTAAAGACTAGGGGGTCAGGGGAGATTCCTATCATGAGAGCCACGCGAGTTTGATCGACTGTCCAGCACCCCGATCTGAGGCCGAATTGTCTCCGACTGGTCATAATCAAGCAAGGACATGGAGTTTCCATGCGTCGATCCAATCGACGGAGTACAAATTTTTCTTGGGTGGCATCAACGACACGACAGAGATATTCGTGGCACGACAAGGCTAGTCCTAATACGGAACCCCCCCTCAGTCTACGGCCCTTCCTACCATCACCCTTTTTCAAGGTCTTTTGCAAGGTCTTTATTAGCTATCTTCTTTACCTAAATACGTATAGATCTTAAACAAGATAGAAAACAAAGTTCAGTGATTCTGGCGTAAATTGTGGCTAATAATACTGGTGAGAAGCGTTATTATATAGTATTATATGTACATAAATACTCGGCAGGTACTATGTCAGTCTGGAATGTAGCATTTTGTACTGAAGTGGGGGGTGGTTTCTCATTAGGACTAGTCGTGCCATGAAGGATTTCTATCATGCCGTTAATCACCCTTCTTATTCCCGTCATAATCAGACACTGTATGACAGACTTGAGAGCAGCTAGACCCGTAGATCTGTAAGTCCAATATCAGACATGATATTCTCAATCTAGTTTACCTCCCATTGACACTGACACTTTCACACCTTTCAAGAAATACTCATTAGCACAGATAAGACTCCTGGAGTGTGTACTCCCTACTCTGGATAATTTCAAATCATTTCCGGGAACAAGGACCATATGAAAAGATAGACAACAACAGAAGTTGGGGCAAAATTACAAAGTATGAAAACGGAGATTTTCGATGGACACGTTCACTTGATAATGATTCGCTTCACCGTTCTCCGCAGGTCCCGTTCCCCGAACTGGCGAGTCCTACTTAATTGATCTCTAGCGCCCGCCAAAAAAGCGGTTTAAGCCCCTCACAGAACTCTGCCAAATAAAGATCTTGCATATTATTCGCCGCCAAACAGGTTTGCACCAAAGATGGATCCCAAAAAAAAGAAACATTTCCCACCACATGGTAATTTCCGTTCAACGGCGATCACCAAGTTTTGATTTCGGGCCTCCCCATCCAAATTCGTCACAAAGATGCATAACGAGAACTAATCAACTTCGGCACACTTTAAAGTTTGGATACCACGCTCAGCAGAGGCTAGACGGTCTGGCGCTTTTCACTCTGTACGTATGTAAAATTAGACCGCAAAAGGGGAGTCTAGATCCAAGCTGTCGACATGGCGCAATTTTCATATTTTGTCCTATACTGTTGGTACCTCCTGAATTTGACTATTCGGGGGGCAAGAGTATACATTTCGGTTAGAGAGAAGATCCTAACGGGCAACCATCCCAGAACCGTTTTCCAGTGGAACCTAGCAAATTAAACGTTGTCGATCAGCATTTGACAGCAAGCCTGATCCCGGGTCTTCAGGGGGAAGACGTGCCCTGGCCACCGGGTCTCCGGATTTTCGCCCACGCGGCAGACGCCCCCCTGGAACTTGTTCCGCCGTACTTTCATTTTGTTAAAGATGGTCACTTCTTGAAGGGTTATTTGGAGAGACGTAGCACGACTCGTGGCCTGTTGTTTCTATTTTAAGACCGAGGAGTTGGAGATGGAAGCCTCCCGAGTCGCGGGTGCTGCTAGGGTTTAATACGTAACTTGGGTGCTGAGATAGGCGTTCTTGATGGTGGAACTTTTGACTCGTCTCACAGTATTGAGTGTTGGTTGAGTTCGATTCCAGTACCACATTTCCCGACGGTGTTTGCGATTTCTAATCAAAACCCCTGTCAAGATTGTACGAAGTACAGTACATCGTGTGTCTATGCATAGGGATGTACGGAGTAGCGTATTGTACTTTTGTCCTTGAATTTGAGATCCCTGTCAAGCCGTTCGAACGAAGCGAGAACTTCTTTGATATGCAGCAATTGTCATCGATACAGAATTATCGTTCATGGGTCCCTTTCGGCTTCGATTTTCTCACTATGTAATCCACCCTGTTTAACTATTTAGGGATTTCTGCCTCTTATGTTCGTTGTCATTAAAGTCTCCCACGCCAGGTTTTCTTGCGATATATCCAATGTGCATTTACTGACGAGAATGATGAGTCTTAGTGAGTATGCTGTGAATGAATTGCCTTGAAACCTATTTGTAAAGGACGGAATAAGGCTTCAGCTTCAATGGTCAGACCTTCCCCGATGATTTGCATGGATTGGCAAGATGGTGGTCCTCTACCATGATCAAGTATCTCCATACATCGTTTGCAAGCTATGCGGTGTACTAGCTATACAATTGGAATGATGAGATGTATTATAGTTGACGTCAGGAAAGTTTAGTTATTTTTGAGGACGTTAGTAGCGTACTGAGCTCACCAGAAATGCTTCGAATCGCGTGATCACTCTATACAACAAGATTTTGGGCTTTATGTAATTTTCAGAAAAAAAAAAAGCTAAAAGCCTTCTACTTCGGACCGTCGAGGTCACTCTCGGCTACAGATCATCTTACTCTCTTTCTGCAGGACAAAAAGATAAGATTGGTCTACCTACTCAAAGCTACTCGCACCGATCGCTTAAAGCTGGTACGGCAAGATATATATCTTCAATGAGGGTGGTCGACCATTCGCATGATAAAGACAGAGATCTCAAAGTGGACATACCCGGCACTATTCTCTGCTATGGAGAGCTATCGTCAAGCCCAATTGTGTCGGGTCTATATACCTCTTCCCTAGAAATTCTGCTTTGACCGGTTCCTAGACAACTCTATGCAAGCCCCGGGATGCGCTGGAAACCTGAGATCATCCAACGAAAAGGGTCAACCCCATTGCTTTCCTGCTGTATAATGTATGCTAATAATATAGAAGCACAGGTCACTATTGGCATACGAGTCCAATTGATTCCTGCATATCGCGCGAATTAGAGAAGCTGTGTAACAACACTCGGATCCTTCCCAAACAGGCAATGTTGCAGCGGGCTGACTCATCCAAGGGGCATGTGACGACATCCCCTCAAGAACCCCAGTCGTGCGGAGAAGGCACCTAACCTCTGAACCAGCTCCCAAGCAGTCAACAACAAGTGATTTCATTCTCGCTTCATTAGCTTTCTACCTGGGCTACTGCCAGGTAATCATTCATAAGGATGGCTCAGCCATTCAACGGGTTCGTCCACCCTATCTATAAACTCCGCTGATGGGCCATCAACTGACTCCAATCCAGTGGTGACGTTAAGAAGGAGGCGATATATCTCAGCAATGTCGAGATTGAAGAAGCAGAAGACCTCCTGAATGGATACGATGGATTCGAGAATGATATTTTCGTGCAAAGCACGCCAACGCCTCGGCGCTGCTGTAAACAAAGAGCTCGTCTCCACACGGCCAAGAGAGTTGTGACCATTGGTTGCATGGGCCTTCTTCTTTATGGCCTCCTTCGAGGCTTCTATGGTACTTGTCCACACTAAATCCAGAAGTTCAAGATGATGTCTGATCCATTGGCTCTTTTTAGGAACACCAACTGAGCCCACCGAGCCATCTACTTCGCAGCCGCAGTCACAACCAGCTATCTGCCAGACACCAGAATGTATTCACGCAGCGTCGGAGATACTCTACAACTTGGATCCTGACCATGCGAAAGTTGATCCATGCACAAACTTCGACCAGTTTGTTTGTGGTGGATGGCGAGAGCGCCATGACATGCGAGCTGACCAGGGCTCCATCTTTGCTGGAACCATCATGGCGGAGAACTCTCAGACCCGACTGCGCCATATACTGGAACGCTCAGAGCCTCCCGAGAAGGTTGACGCAGAAAACTTCCAGAAGCTCAAGGCTGGTTATGATGCCTGCCTGGACGAATCTGGTGTCAGAAAGCGTGGTACAAAGCCTCTAGTAGAGCTCCTGGCGAAGCTTCAGAGCGTGTATCCTACGAATGGTGGGCTTGTCACTGGATCCAAGGACCATTTGACCAAAGCGCTCTTGTTTCTTATGAAATCGGGCGTCGAGGCTCTGGTCTCTACGAATGTTTCCGTAAGTCTTCCATATTATATTTGCTGATCACCACTGTTCTGCAAGAAACATGGACTGATGGATACAGCCTGATGATCGGGATCCTGATAATGTGGTGATCTTTACATCACCGCCTCGAGAGATCGGTCTTCCTGCACGGGAGTACTATAACAATACCCAAACGGTTGCCGATTACACGCAGGTCTTGAAGAAAGTCCTTGGAGGATTCGGCGGAAACGACAAGATCGCTGAAAATATTGTTGACTTTGAGACAAAGCTCGCGAATGTGACACCAGATACCGCAACTCAGGAGGACGTTACCAAGTACTACAACCCGCTTAGTATCAAGGAAACTGAAACATTGGTTCCCGAGATCTCCTTCACAGATGTTATTACGGAGCTCGCACCGCATGATTACAAGAGCGACCGCTTGATTGTGGGATCGCCATCTTATTTGAAGGCTTTGTCGGAGATTCTGGATGACGCTTCCCGCGAGACGGTGTCATTCTTCTTGCAATGGAAGCTCATCCAGGCCTACTCAAGTACCATTGAGGATGAGACGGTTGCCCCTCTCCGTCAATTTGATAACAAGCTCCAAGGTAAGGATCCACAGGCGACGGAAGAGAGGTGGCGCAAGTGCCTCAGACGTCTAGATGGAGGCCTCGGATGGAGCTTGAGTCGATTCTACATTCTTGACTCATTCTCAGAAGAGTCAAAGAAGCTAGGCGACCAAGTTGTATCTGATATCAAGGAGCGATTTGTGTTCACTCTTACTCAAACGTCTTGGATGTCACCCGACGTGCGAAAGCAGGGTATCAAGAAAGTGGAGAACATTGTGCAGAAGATTGGATTCCCAACCAAGAGTCCTAATGTGATGGATGCGCATGATGTGGAGAAGTATTACCACGACTTGATTTTGTCCAAGGACAAGTTCTTTGAGAACGAGCTTGCCGTGGCTAAATTTGATCTTCAGAATGAGTGGTCGAAACTAGGGAAGCCAACCAACCGAGATGAATGGGACATGACTGCACCAACTGTCAATGCCTACTACAACCCTCCAGGGAACGAAATTGTCTTCCCGGCGGGTATCATGCAGCCACCGGCGTTCTACGGGCCTGCTGCTCCGCTGTACCTGGCCTACGGCGCATTCGGTGCCGTCAGTGGTCATGAGCTCTCCCATGGTACGTAAACATCTGTCAAGTCGAAGACCTTGTCTTCCCTGATCTGGCGTCACTCACTATCCAAAAGCATTTGATTCCACCGGTCGGCACTACGACGAGACCGGCAACTACACGAACTGGTGGGATGATGACACCGTTAAGGCCTTTGAGGAGCGAGCCCAGTGTTTTGTGGACCAGTATTCGGCTTTCACCGTCGAAGGGCCTGGTGATAAGGTCCTTCATGTTAACGGCCGGTTGACCTTGGGTGAGAACATTGCCGACGCCGGTGGCCTCACAGCCTCATTCCATGCATGGAAGAAGCATGATGATAAGTCTCCCGATCTTCACCTACCAGGCTTGGAGGAATTCAGCAAAGAGCAGCTGTTCTTCATCTCGTATGGAAACTGGTGGTGTGGCAAGACCACCAAGGAGGCTGCCGAGCAGGCGATCTACAACGACCCGCATGCGCCCAAGTCGGCGCGGATCATCGTGAGTTTGGACTTGTCGCTGCATTGTTGAAGAATCCAAGGGCTAATATAACGGTCGCAGGAAACCATGGCAAACTCGAGAGAGTTCAAGGACGCATTCAGCTGCCCAGAGAAAAAGCCTGTCTGCAAGCTTTGGTAGGTGAAACTGAGGCTCTTGTTGAGTATACACATCGTCTTGTATGCATTTCTTACTCCCGAGGGGATCGACTCTCCTGACTTAAACAGAGCAAATCTGTAGGCTTCCATAGCTATATCATGAACATCATTCATCTCCTTTGGTCCGTTTTTCTGACCGATACGAGGTATCGACCGTAAAGATTTACCACAGAAGCACCTTCTCCGCAAGCTTAATGTGCAGCTTCCCCTCCCGCGGCGATCCCTACGATCCCTGCGATTGCTTTTTTTTTTGAGTTAGCCTAGTCGAGGCAAGCACTAAGATCCCGTGTCCCCAAGCGAACTTCGCAGATCATGAGGGGCGGTCAGCTCTAGCCTTGAGGTAGGGAGATCTGCTGGTTCAAATTGGACCCGTCTGTCCGACAAAAGCTGAAGGACTCCGCCCTTGCTCCGGACCCCCGTTGTTTCATGATTAATATATGTATTCTACGGAGTACAGTTGGCAATAATTGCCCTGTAAGAAAGTAGTAGTGAGTCACGAAGCCGACGATCTCGGAGGAAAGAGAATCATGTGAAAGGCTCTCGAAATTGCGGGTTGACTTCCCAACCACATGACCAAGGGTTAATTAGAGAGACATCCAAAAGCACCAAAAGCACCGAAAAGCACCAAAAAGCACCAGTCCAGGGCTTGGCAATTTGCGGCTGGTGGAACCGGGGCCTAAATAATCGCGAGACACCCGTCACACAGATCAGCCTCGCCAGAGTCCCGGGACGATGGAGGATTGAGTGGCAGAGTGGCCGACAGGATCCAGTGATAATCAGTTTCTCCCCCCCTCCGCTGGGACGGCCTGCATGAGACATCACTGCGAGCACTCATCGCAATGGAACAGGTCCAAGAGGGCTGCAGCCCGATCAGGGAGCCGAGCTCCCATCTATCATCTTTGGCGGGATCCAGAGTCGCGTCACCCTAAGCCGACTAAGTGGAGATGGCATAACGGCGGCAGCAGCGGCCAACCAGCGGGCGCCCTGGGCAGCCTAATGGAGTCCAATGGAGTCCGATCGAGGTTCGCTTCAGTAGGGCGAATAGGAGAGTCTGGTCAAATGGGGCGACGACCTATCAATTTGACCGTGGTGCCATTCTGGATCGCTGTCGAGTTCCCTTGGTGGGCTTTTCCAGCTCTTCACAACTGGACGGTGGGAAGTGTGGAGGGGGAGGGGCCTTTTCCTTGTAGAGGGTGGTATACTGTACTCCGTAGCGGGATCAATGGTGACCTTGGAAAAAACGTCATTCGATAAATAACCATGCAAACAAGAACGAACTAAAGGAGGTTGGACCCTCAGGGGGCCGTGGCAAGAACGGGTTTACCAATTACCAGTTATCCAGCGTTCGCCCAGTTCCGCCGCGCCGGGTCAACTTCCCCAACTCCACTTGGCTCTCCGAGCAAAAACAGAGCTGTCGCTCATCCTTTCCACTCGCTCTCTCCCTTTGAATCTCGAACTCCCGCTCAAAGGCTACCCACAACCTCCTCCCCCCCCTCCCCCAGGCCATGTCGTGCAAGCGTCATCTCCGATCCCGACCTGGGCTGCTGATGCGTATTTAGAGTCCTCTCCTATCAAGCTACGAAACAAGGCCTGGACTTTCTGGACCCTCGGAGCCGCTTCGCGACGCGACGGAGCGGTTCGCCGCAGAGCTTGTTGTTTGGTAGCTCTCGCGAATCGCCCGCAATGGAGCCCCTCCCTTCAGCCTTCGACTCACCGACCCATTATAGAAACAAGTCGGCAGAGTCCCAAATTCGCATCGATGAGCTGCCAGCCGTGAACCGAACCCGTCATGGAGGACTTCACAACAATGCGACGTCTCCTTTACGCCGCGCCAACACGGTGGCACAGAGTGGGAACCTCATTAAGAGGAACCTGGAACTCAAGGCTACACGAGAAAAGATCGGCATGACGACTGGGTTACGTGCTAAAGATAGCCATGAAATGTCACGAAATGCCCCATTACAACGATCCAAGACCCAAATACACCGGCCCCCGCTGGAAGCCAGCCCAGCGGGACGCAAAGCAGGTCATTTTACGGTTGGTAGTGTCGGCCAGAATGGCAAGATCTTTCTCAGGTACGATCGCAATCGATAATCTCGGCGACGAGGGTTCCGTGTTGCACACCGTCATTCCGCAGAGCTGACAATAGCCCCCTCGTCCATGACTAGGCCGATTGCAAATGCGCCGCAGAAAGCCTCTTCAATAGTTCCATTCTCCTCTATCGATCAAGTAGCGAGCGACCGTCTTCAGCCGCAAAGACACGCGCCAGTTCGAGATGACCCGTCACGGTGGTCGAGTTCGCAGCTCTCTGAACTTCGCCCACGAGGAAACCTCGCCGATGATAACGAGTCTGTCTTTTCCTCCGAAGCACCGCGGCCCGAATCCAACCTCTACCATCGACAACGATCCAATTCCTTCTCTACCATTTCAGAGCAACAGTCGGTATCGGGTGCTGGAAAGCGTGGAGAGTTGCGCATTGTGATTGACCGATCGGAGGATCGACCCAAGTCGGCTGGCGAAAAGACTGGCAACTCGGCTCTAGAAGTCCCTATCCCCCATTACCGGCTCGGTTCCCCACATTTCAACACTGAAGGTAGTGCAATCCTGCATAGTTCCGTCTACACGCGGACCTCAATGTCCGACAACTTTCGAAACTCGACCTTGCTCGGTGGCATGGCGGATCCGTTGCCAACTCATCTCCAAAGCGCATACAGCAGAGATTCCTTTTCTCGAAACCGCCCCTCTTTTGCGGTTTCTTTATTCTCTGGGACTGGCGCTATAGATCTCAGCCGAGCTTCCCCCATCCCGAGGAACTCGGTGGTCTACGAGTTGAAGGGACCCGTCGAGCCCTCTATCTATGAGGCCTTGGTCTCGGATATGGATGGTGAATCGGTCGTGCGGTATATTCCTGGCACCAAAGATATAAGTGCAGCTACGCCCGCCCGCATCGTCGCACAGATCTCCTCCGAGTCGTTCATGGACTACGAGCTGGTCTCAGATTTCTTCCTCACGTTCCGCTCGTATCTTTCCACAGGCCACCTACTTGCTCTACTTCTGGCACGTCTACAATGGGCTATCAACCGCCTTCAGGAGGATGGACGCATTATTCGTATCCGGACCTTTGCAGCACTTCGTCATTGGATCTTGAATTATTTTGTCGATGACTTCGTTGCAAACTTCGATCTTCGAACCCACTTTTGCGACACTATCAACATGCTGTACGATGACGTGAAGTCACGAGAGACCGGCGGTATGAGTGATTTGAAGATTCTAATCGATTTGAAGCGTTGTTGGAATGGCAAGTGCTCCGTCTATTGGACTGCAACGGAACTTTCACGTGCCTACAATGATCCCGATACTCCAATTGCCCCAGGTAGCATTCACATTGACTTGCCTCCTGTCGAAGCGCTTCACCAGAGCGCTCCCCCCGAGGGCAAAGTTCCTCAGGAAGATACGAGGTCCCGTGACAGTCTGCCCGTGTCCATACAGCATGACCGGAATGATTCTGCTGCCACTGCCCAAAGCATACCTTTCTCCACCAAGAGTGAGCAGAGTGTGGTAGCACTGTCGTGTTCGCTTCCACCCAAATCTCTGAAACGCTTGTCTATGCCTTATCTAAAAGGCAAGGCACCGCACCCGGTACCTTTGGGCCTTACCAAAACCACGTCTCCCCACGAACCACCTCCTTCATCACCAAAGCTGTCACGGTATCCCTTTCATGGCCATACACACAAGAGAAGTGGTAGCTTCTCTGATTCCGTGCGAGATGATCGAGTGCCTATGTTTGGCGTAGAACCCAGTTCGGCCGTACCTCCGCCGCAAGAGATCGTGGACCCCGTCAGCTTCATTCGCGGGGCTCTATATCCCCCGGCAGAGTCGTACATGACAATGATGGCACCGGACTCTCCGCCGCTGGCTCCTCCCTCAAACTCATCTAATTCGGATCGACGAAGCATCCCCGATGGCGGGCCGAAAACGGGGCCATCGAATTCGGGCGTGAGAACTATCATTGGATCGATCAAGCGAGTACTTCATACCAGAAATGGCGGCCAAAGTGTCTCTGCTAGGATTGCAAATGCTTCCGAAGCAATTTCGCTACCCTCTCGTGGGAAAACATCCGCCATGCCTAACCATATTGCTTTGGGATCTGAATTCTATCGTGAGAGGAAGATGGCTGCTGGTCCTAAGCGGCCAGCTCGAATTGATTTGCTCTGTGATCAATCGCTGAAACAATATCGTCAGATGATGGGAACACACGAGGCTCAGAGAGAGACGGCTCAGCAGCTAGCCGCTGCCCCTGGCTTCCAAAATGCCTTGCCCGATCCTTCTATAGAGCTCCCCCATCTCTCGCCTCTCGAAACCCCTAGAGCGGACGGCTCTAAGATTAAGAGTGGACTTACTACCGGCAGTGGATCCATCGTTATTGTAGACGACACTGGATTCGAGTTTCCTGTCATGTCAGGAGCTGTGCAGGGTTATGAACAAGCTGCCCCTGATAATCATATTAGTTCGGAAAGCAAAGTGATGTCGGTCATGACAAATGGCCAGTCACAAATATCAGTGCCAGGTGAGGGAGAATATTTGCTTCCAGTCTACTACAATGCCGATGTATCAGAGGCCAATGACCTGCGCCCAGCACCTTCGAAACCCCCTGGCTCTCTTGCACAACGACGGTCCTTTTGTACCGAACATCAAGCTACACCCACAAAGCGAATGTCGCTCTCTCTTCGTCTCCGAAAGTACGCTTCTTTCCAGAGCGGGATTTCAAAGCATCGTCTGTCGATGAATAGCGATACTAGCAAGTCCAACGCAGGCTCGTTCACCACGCAAGACCTCACAGATAAGCCGATGGGCCCATCCCTTCGTCGACGACCTGGCGGCAATTTGCGTCAGATGCAGTTTGTGGATGAGCTGGAACCAGGTTCTGGTCATGAGTCCTTTATTTCTACAGGCTCTTATGGTGATTCTTTGGCGGAGACCATCTCCACAGCCAACGATCATGTCGAACGCCCACCGTCAGCTCTGATCCCTCCAAACCCTCGATTCTCCTTGATCCAAGGTGGTTCTAACCGCAATCTGCGGCGCTCTTTTGAAGCAGCTATCGCTCAATTTGCCCAGATTCCTGACGACGATGATGGGGGCATCGAATCAACGTTACTCAAGCTTGAGGGCAAGTGGAGAGGACCGGGCGGCGTTCAACAATTTAGTGGACGTGACGAGAGTTCTCGTGTTGATACTGAAAGGCGTGATAAGCCTGACTGGGAAGTCCTTGCTCGACGCCGGCAGACAGACAAATCGGCCTACTCTACCGTTGGGGGGAGACTTGCACCTCCCCGGCCCTACTCGGACTCCGTGGCCGAGTCTGAAGAGTCTTACAACTCCATTCCTCTTCTTGAGCGAGGACTGACGGACGAGTCAATGCACCGGCCGCCCACGAGTCGACTCCATGCCGCCGATGCTTATGGTGCTCCACTCAGTCTTATCACTAGTCGAGATACTTCTGAGCTAGCATCATCGCACCCGTCGATTCAGATCATCCAAAAGACGGATAGCATACAACGTATTCCCCGTGGATCGACGGTCCCTGAACTTGGTTCAGGGTCGGCTGGGCAGAATACTCCCAAGCGCCGGTCTGCTTTGTCCTCGGAGTTGTCTGTTGACATGATTGATTCGCGAGAAGTCCTGGGGGGCCGGCTGTCTACCGATACTCGCAGCCTGACCGGTTCGACCGTTGATATCCCACCGCATCCTCTAGCACACCCACCTTCTCCTCCGATGACCATTCAACATCCCGGCTCATTCGGGTCTTCCGTGTCGCCACTGGACAAGGTGTTGTTCCAACCACAGCCTCTCACACCTGAGACGTCTCCCAGGCATCGGGAGGTGGATACAACCAATATCAGATCCAGAAATGTCCCCCAGTTCTCGACTGATGTCCTCTCCAATTCAGAGAAGAATCGACCCGTCCAAATGACTCTCAACGAGGTTGGGCCCGACCACGTTCCTTTCATCCTTGCTTGCGAGTCTCAGATGCTTGCTCAGCAGCTAACTCTGGTCGAAATGGCTGCCTTAAGTGAGGTTGATTGGCGGGACTTGGTGGAGATGAAGTGGAGCAGTGCTTCTCCGGCCATCACATCCTGGGTCCAATTCCTGTCTTCGGAACAGCGCAAAGGCATTGATCTGGTCGTTGGGCGCTTCAATCTGATGGTGAAATGGGTCGTGTCCGAGATCGTTCTCACCCGAGACGTTCATGAGCGAGCCCGCACCGTTGTCAAATTCATCCATACCGCTGCTCATGCACGTCGCATCTGCAACTATGCGACGATGCTCCAGATCGCGATTGCTTTGGCTTCGTCGGATTGTACTCGGCTACAGAGTACCTGGCAGCTGGTTCCGGCGGAAGACAAGCGGATGTTCAAGGATATGGAATGTTTGATTCAACCCGTTCGCAACTTCCATGATCTTCGTGTGGAAATGGAGACAGCCAACCTCCAAGAAGGCTGCATCCCATTTATTGGTATCTCTGACCTTTTATTATCACTTTGAATTCCCCCTCAACTTCCATTTGATATCTAACCGTCAAGCAATAGGCCTTTACGTACACGACCTGACTTACAACGCACAAAAGCCAGCCCAGATTCACAGCTATAGCGGGGGACCACTGGTCAACTTCGAACGGTATCGCACAGCGGCTCGTATTGTCAAGAGCCTTCTTCGCCTCATCGACGCTAGCACGAAATATCGCTTCGAGCCCGCTCAAGGTATCATCGAGCGGTGCTTGTGGATCGCATCCCTCTCCGAAGAGGAGATCCAACTTCGAAGCAAGAGGCTTGAATAAGCCTATATATAATACCTGCCTTCCATGAGATATACGTCTTTTTGCTTTTTGCTTTTTTTTTTTTTTGTTTTTCTGATGATTGAACTCTTCATACCCCCTTTAACTGCAGAGGTTTCTAGGCTGCCTGCCATATATCCTGTATCTATATTTGCATCACTTGATTGTTTTTCTTTGGGAATACTTGCAGTTGTTTTATCTGTTTGCGTTTGAAGCGAGCATCTGCATACGAGTTTGGGAATTTGGAAATATCACGGTTGAATGGTAGTCACAATTGGTTTGCTTTCTACCTTGGTTACATACCCCACGGCATATCCCAATACCACGTTTGCTTGCATTGCAACGTGTCGATTGAATTGAGCGAGTTTATTGTTTAGTGATAATCTCCAGTAGATCGTCCTGCAATAATCCTGTAATCTTTTCTTCTTATCAAGTCGTAGTAATATCGTTGAATTGCGGTTTCAAATAACGTGCGTCATCAAAACGCGGCATCACGGGCAGAGTATGTGATCTACGGGGCCGACCACCTTTTCCAGCACCGACCCCATCATCACCCGCAGCCCAAACCCTCCCCAGCTCCAACCGCGGAGGTCTCCTCCATCTCGTCATTTTGCAACCTCAGGACTCGTCTTCTCCAACATTTGATGTCCCGCTTTCGGTCTCAGCTACTGCAGGCCCGCCACGATGGACATAACCGAGCCACGGCGCGGGGCTTCAGAGGAGGTTGATCGCGACCCTACCTACAGCCCCGCGTCTTCAGAGCATCAGCAAGAACTCCCCGATGACCTACCCAAGTCGCTGGACGATCGCCGGTCGGTGCCGGTCTTCCATGAGACCGAGATGTACGATGCGTGGCAAGGTAAGCACCCATTGCCCCCAGACCCTGAAAGGTCGTGGCTTTCGCGGGGATCTTGCGGTCCATCTCGGACCTGCCTGGACTTGTGGCATACCAGCCAGCATTTCGCACATACAAAGACTAAATCAGAACCCGGCTTTACTAGGACAATCCCAATTCCTCACAACCCCAGTCGCCGCGAAACCCCTGAGTTTCAGTCTCGCGCTCGACGACCACATGCACGATTCCGAGACCGACTTGCGAGCTCGTGACCTGGAGGACAGCGATGCCCGATTGATGGAGATGCTTGCAGCGCAGGCCGCGCATCGCGAAGTGGACTCCCTCGGCGCAGATGAAGAAAGCATCGCGGAGGATGAGAAATTGACTGTTGCGGAGAAACGGGATATCCTGCAGAAGAGTCTCAACATGGCTGCTAGTAATGGTGATGTCGACCGTGTGCGGAAGCTGGTCGATGGACCGGCGAAGAGCTACGTTGATGTGAATATGCCGGATGAGGAGGGCACGGTACCCTTGATCTACGCCAGTTGTTTTGTGGGTAACCCTTGCCTTTGCGCCTTGGGATTAGAACGTGTTTCCTTCTCTGCGGGTATGGAAATAGGGGGTACATGCTAATGAGTGATATCTGTAGGGTCATCAAGAGGTGGTCTCCGCACTTCTCGATGCTGGTGCTTTTGTCGACCAGCAAGATCGAAATCAATGGAGCGCGCTGATGTGGGCCATGACCAATCGACACAAGACGATCGCAAAGATTCTTCTGGACCATGGTGCTTCACCTGACATAAAGTCCTCCTCCGGTGGAACGGCATTTGACTTTGCGCAACCGGGCAGCGAGATCTCAGAGTATTTACATGAAAACGGTTATAGCTTCGGAGCCGCTGGTGTTGAGCAGGACTTCTATGACGCCGGACTTGCGCATGGTCGTTTCGAGGAGGAGCTTGCGGAAAACGAGATGAAGCGCCGTATGATGATGGAGGAAAGCGCTATCAATCTGGAGGTGGATCTGTCGAGTCTTGGCCTGGACGAGAAATTCGAGGTGAGTTCCGTTCACATCTTGCCATAGTAGACGTAGAGGATGATTCTAACGCAAACACGGCTCAGCCATCGGATGATGAAGACTTGGACGAGGAACAACAAGAATTTGTCTGGGACAGATGTCTCAACGACCAGATGTTTGTGTTCCAAGATCACGAATTAGAGCGTATTCTGGATATGATCATCACCAACATGACTCCTCAGCGGTCTCCATCTCAAAAGCCCGTTCCTGCCAACCTCCTCTTCCTGAGTGCGCGGTATGCGCACTATCATGCTAGCCCCGAGCTTCTTGCAATCCTCCTTCATTCGGCGACGGACAAGATCAATGACGTGGTGGAGCGTTACCAGTGGGATATGACCATGCAAGCGTTCTGGCTGTCGAATGCCACGTTACTGCTTCATTATCTCAAAAAAGACGCTGGGCTGGTGGAAGCCACGGTACAATTCCAGCTTCACTTGGCTGAGCTCATCAATGAGATCTTCGTGCTCATCATTCGTGATGCTGAGCGACGAATGAACAAAGTCCTAGATGCGGCAATGCTGGACCATGAAACCATCCCTGGACTTGAAGATATTGCTTTCCAAAATGAGTGGAAGTTGTTCCGGAAGAAGAAGTCTGAGGCTCCCGAGCCTGCAGAGAAGCGCTTCCGGCCGCCATCGCCTCGTCGACGCGCGCAAATTTCGCCTCGTAACATTACCTCGCTCCTCTCGTCAACTCTTTTCGTCCTTGACCTCTACGACGTCCACTCTGTCATCACGACACAAATCATATCTCAACTTTTGTACTGGCTGAGTGCGGAGATTTTCAACCGCATAATGAGCACGAAACGATATCTGGCTCGGACAAAGGCAATGCAGATTCGCATGAATGTTTCCACCTTGGAGGATTGGGCCCGCACCAACAACCGTCAACCTGAACACTATGAAAATGGATCATTGACGACCACTGGAGAGACCACGGTAGACGCTGCTCGCAGACACCTGGCCCCCGTCATCCAGCTTCTACAATGGCTGCAGTGTTTCTCATCACTTGGTGAGGACCACGAGTCCCTCGTGACGACTCTTCTGCAGCTCCAACAGCTCACCCCAACCCAGCTCTTGCATGCTGTCAAGTCCTACCGGCCCGAGGTTGGCGAAAAAGGCCTTACAAAGCAAGCGATGAGGTTCCTTCTGGACGTACAGCGCGATCCCGAACTGATGTACCGGGAACAATTCAGAATCCAGGAAGAAAAGGCGAGGGCAGATGCCGGCCCTATCGCCCCGTCAACAATCGACACGCGGCCGAAAACACCTACAAAGGAAAAGCCTACGGCAGATGGCGCGGCACAAGCACCTGGAACTCCAGACCCTGGACTAGTCTCCCCCGGCTCAGTCGCTGCATCCTCACGACCGAATAGCATGTCCGGTCCATCGAGAAGCGACGAGCGTCCCGGCAGAGATAATGTGTTCCTCGATCCCACTTTCTTCCTCCCTTTCTCCCTTCCAACAAGCACAGACATGCTCATCAGTTACGGTGCCGGGCTGGGCGGAACCAACCGCGAGCGTGCACGCAAGTACATCCCCACTGTTCCTCCAGAAGTGCTCACTCGTTTGGACCGTGGCGCCGAGGTATAGATTCTGACCTAAGGCTCTTATTTTTTACCTTCTTCCCCTTTCCCCCCTCCAATTATCTAGCATTGTCATGTTTTGCCTCAGCTATGGCTCTCATTTGGCCTTCGGGCTGCCTTTTATTGGCTTTTTCTGGCTGACGAGAGGCATCAATATGGTGATACCCTTCGGGATTATCGCTTTTGTTCTGTTTATTTTGTCTAGATATAGGGGCATGTGAACATCAAGCCGAGTGTATATATGTCCTTATGGATATTCCGCTAATATCGCGCAACATTTTCTCGAATGCTAGTGATAGTAGATTGGTGCCGCTCTAGAAAACATCTGTTGGCAAAAATATGTGCTTCGAGACCGCGGAATGTTTCTGGCGAATACCTGGTAATCAAAACAGTGGACTTTCCGAATTAATCAAAGCCTAGAAGAGCCAGGTGAGTTGAGTTAAGCTGGGATCAGGTTCAAGAGACTTGCAATTGTTGTCTGAGGAAGCACACGTCTTGCTCTACTGAGAGGCAGACTAGGCATTTGCGAACGAATTCACAAAGAACATTCATCCTTCAGTCCTAGCCCTCCATAGCTGATTCTCAACTTTCCTTTGAATGAAAGTCTTGTATGACAAGCTTGTTTTCCAATGATAGCCAACTTTTGACCTACTCCAGTAGCACTAAACCTATCCTTTCAGAAATTTCCACGGGCAACCGTTATGCGGCTTTAAGCACTTCAAGAAGATACCCGACCTCAACATCACAGTAGTGGAGAGACTGTGTCAGGCGTTGAGGCGAAGCCTCCACCAAGGCTCCCCTTTCTCTTTACACGGCATAAGCGATCTAGAAATAACCTCTGACCTCACCTACGTTGCTGATTGGGAGCGACCCGCCAACGAATGTAGATGCCAGGGTGTTGTCGCAACTAGGATCGAGAAAAGTGCGTCTCAAGCTGGCGATCACAAGGTGTACTCTCTAAGGAGTCAGTACTTGGCTACGACCGTGCTGGTCGGACTCATGTCGATGAAGTCTTCCGTATGCTGGGACGTAGCTGACGAAGCTAATTTCTTGGTTTGGGATGTCGGTGAATATGAATTTGGGGGCTGGGTTGCAGAAACGGTGCTCTCATTTTTAAGATTTAAGCTTTATCTAGTACCGTGGTGACTCGTGACGCGCCACGTGGGGGCCGGGCCAGACATGTCAGAACATACCCAGGCTTCAATCCGAACCCAGGCTTCAATCCGAGTGATCCTGGCATCAACGACCTGACAGAATTGTTAAGCGCAGATTCACTAGTTGGGTATATTGGATTCTTGGAGATATTCGGAAATATAACCTGAAGAAATCTATGGAAAGGGGTGGTCAATGAGTCTGTCGTATCAAATTAGTTCAATTCTTAGTTGTAGGATCATACTTATGGCACTACAGGAAAGACACTACGACACCAAGCTTAATGGAGGATGTGTTCACTCACGAGTAAAAAGTGGTACAAAAAAAGTATATTCGGCTAGATCTTCCTCTGCTGCTGCTAAGTCGACACATTCGAAACGGTCGTGTGAGGGCCAACCATGTCATTTACATATTTGAATTCAGAGTTCTAAAAAAAAAAAAAAAAACAAGGGGAGCTAAAAAGGAGTGCAGTGTGGTGTTGTGCGCTGCTGGAAGGGCCGATAAAGCTGTTGATTGAGACTTTTGGTCATTGCCTACTAAAACGAATATTATTTGCAAAGATAAGATAAAATAGAAAAAAAAAATTAAAAAATTAGTCCTATTGATCTGTATCAACATGTGAAGAACATGATTAAATTCATGTCATTCCTTTTTATACAATGATGGCATACAAAATTGGAGCGAGACCTTATAACGAGGGATATGTCATGGTTTGTAGGGGCTCATATCTGAAATCTTTGATATCGGGTCGTCGGTCCTATATCAATATCCGTGTCCGATCCCATGTTATGATATCATTGCGTTGGGAGACGATGTAGTGATTGGCGTGTATGATCAGCAAATAACTTTCCCTGGGATGGTGTTCGATATGTCGAATGTGCAGGACAGAGTTGTACAGCAGCGTCTTCGCCGATCTCACCCCAAAGCAGGAGCGCTGAAGATGCATAATATAAGGTTAAAACCAAGTCGCGAGATGCTGGGCAAAACAACTTTGGTGGCTGGCTCTAGTGTCAATTATCCAGAGGTCAGTCCGACGAGACCACTCGAAATTGAGACTGTCATTGATTGGTAAATATCGAAATTGGCAGCAGCAGAGACCGAAGCTAGCCTCCCGCCTTTCTTTCGAGCAGTGGGGATCCAATGAACGGCCCATCTTGTGACTGTGGCTAGAGACACAAGATATCAAGACCCTGAATGTTTTGGATCGCGTGCTGGACTGCTGGTTGCTCTCCAGTGCTCGATCATTGGATGTCCGAGTCGCAGAAGAACCCACCGCACTGGATCGATCACGAACGCACGTCCATCTCCTTGGTGGCGCCCGGTACACAGAGTTTCCACTTGGAGCAACGCCAGTCCGCGTTGAGACTTCTTGTGTCTCAGCAACCTGCTACAGTTGCCTTTTTCGCTATTTTGTCGGTCTTTCCAAGCTGGTCAGCTTTTTTGTTGCTACGGATGTCGCGCCTCGCTTGCATCCGATCCGTCGTCCTGGTTGCATTGGGTGTACTCAACCTCAAACACTCGTACCCTAAGGCACCCCGACCCCTCAACAACAATTCAACCACTCGAACCCTTCCCGAGCGCTCGATCTCGTCAAGCTCCCGTCTATTCCCAACCGGGATACGATTGGCACCATTGCCGAACCGTGCAGCCCCCTCAAACATCCGGATCGACGCCATGGCCAAGTGGACCCCAGCGCTTGCGCGGAATCTGGAACCCGCCCGCTTCTACGGCACAATTGTGGCATCAGGATTGGTGCTGGGGCTAGCCAAGAGCCCCTAGGAGGCGGCTCCTGGTTGAGGGCCAACAACAATGGCAACACTGCTTTGGCGCAGCACAATCGGTCTCGCCCAATCCTTGTCCCCAAGCTGTGTCATCGTCCTCGTAAGGCGATCTTTTGCCGACTAAGGCTCGAACTTTTCGTCTGGAAATATCGTTATGTACTGTCTCTGAACTCTTTCCCCCTCTTTCTCCCGTCACCTTAGTTCCTCCTTCCTCTGTGCTGGCCCCATTCCGCCGAGGCTAGGACTCTAATCCTCAAATTGAGAGGAAACATCGACACATTCTATCGGATCGGCCCGTGCTTTGCCTCCGAGGAGCTAATGGCTTCGTTTCAGTTTGCCTCGGATCTCGTCTGCCCCGCCTTCTAGACGTTCCATGTTTGAACTATTGTGGGCTTTCCTGCGAGCTAACAATACATTTCCACGTCGTCGTTCGGTGCACCCCCTGAAAAAGGACTTGTAATAGCATCTCCACACGGTCGATTACGCAGGCTTAAGCCCCCACTGGGTTTGAAGCTGACTCAGCCCCATCGTGGACGCAACGCAGGAGGGTAGGTGCTTTCCTATTTGGGTAAACTAGGAGCTGCCTCATCGGGCTGATGGGGCATGCACGAGCGGTCGCTTCAGCGCTGCTGCTACCGCTTCTCCACTCCCCACACCCCCTCCGCAGCCATTCGAATCTCTGGATTGCCGGTCTGTCCTTATGTTGCTAACTCTTAAACTGCTGATTCACAGTGAATTCAATGATTACACAGTCGCTGGTCGAAAGAAAGCGCTCTTGCGCTCTTCGTCGTGGTCCGGATATTCACCGAAATTCGACTTGCTCGTCGTATAATCCTCGCATAGGATCCTTTTCGCGCTTACCGTGAGAATTCGCTTACCGACAACCCAGAGATGCATACCCTGCCCCCAGCGCCTGGCTCTTGGGCAGGCGCCGAGTCGATGCAGCGTTGGCTACAAGCCAAGATCGAGGAGGACCGTCGCTGTCAAGAGGAAGAGAAGACCCGCCAGGAAACAATGAAGCTGGAGCGGCGCAAGGTTGACCACGCGATTCTCGTGGATGCATTACGTGCAGGTGTGCCACCGCATCTAGCTCCACTGGTTCTTGGAGGTGTAGATGGACCCGTCGATGGAAAGGTTGCTACACCGGAGATGTTACAATATATGTCCGATACGTCTCGGCAGTCCACGATACCGACGCATCACCCGCACGCACAGCCTGGCGCACAGCAACCTGCGACGCTTCCTTCGCTCAGTCAACAGTTCAGCACACCACCAGCGGGAAATCTACGGGACATGCGCACTGCGCCTTCCAATGTATATGCATCGCCTGCGCAACATCAATCACCGGCCATCAGAAACGGTTCGTCTCAACAGCCAGCTGGTGGTCGTGGCCCATACATTTCGACCGTCATTCCTTCAAATAATACGCCAGCTGGCAACCTTCCACGTCCGATGGAAATGAACGGGCAAAGCCGATCAACAGCCGGATCGCACACCATGCATTCCCTTGGTGCACCACGGCCACCGTCGAATCCTCCCCATCGCGGTCAACACGAGCCACGACCTCGGCGGGCCTCTCCATCGATCGCCTTCCATCACTGGACTCCGCCCAGCCAGTTACAGTCCCAAGCCCTGTCAAATAGGATACAAGAGGACCACGTGCTACCATCGAATGGGTCGTCAGCGCAGGTGTGCTCCGAGATACAAGGATCTCCGGGTCGCAAGAGGAAATCGCTGTCTGTTCATCATCAATTGCCTCCACCGCCCTCTCGATCCTCTGGTGCACCAGAGCCAAGCTCCCGGCATGGCCGACACAGCCCGGCTGACAGTCAGTCCGGCCAGACTAGCCCACAAGGGGATCCCCGACGGCATAGCGATGTATCTAGTTCTCGGGACACTCCGGCTGCAGAAAAAGACCAAACCGACTATCTTCGCGGTGCGGAGCCGACCCGAACTCATTCGAACTCGTTGAATACCACCGAAAATGGCTCTCACGGACACAGGAGGCGATCCACGGGTGAAAATGCCACATTTGAAGACGATCACCGAGGGCCCGATAGAGAACATCGAAGGCAATCATCCTATCGTGGACCGGTGCCAGATACAAAAGACAACCCCGATCCCGCACCGAACGCGAGGAACGGCACCGGATCTAGTACAATGACCGACTGGGGCGATAGGGAATAATTAAAGTTCTTGGCCCTGTTCAAGCGCCCGCTGTTTCAGATTTCTCCGTTTTTCTGTTTCGGATACTACATTAATTGTCGATTGATAGAGAAGGACGCTTTATACCCGAGCATCCTCTGTTTTGATGCTAAGATATACATGTTTTGCGCTATATGTGTCATCACGCATAACAACTAGTTAAGTTAATTAACTATATCAGCTAGATTATTCGTGTAACTACCCATCCATAGTTGCCAGCGAGGAATCTTAAAAAGGTTTAGACTCATTGTGATTTCTATTGGTGCACATTAATTGCTAAATCATCTCTGTTCCAACAGTTGTGAGCCCGATTCGTGATGAATTGGGCGATAATTCGTTGTATTTGAAGCTATACGTAACATTGCGATAGCAGCCAAGCTAAACAACGTACTCGACTACCCCTGAGCAAGTGCGCAAGTCTGCAAGGAAAGCTACCAATCACAGCTAATATAGATTGAATAGCTATCTCCTTCATGAAAGGCGACAAAGCGAAAAAAAGTTACAACACTAGCGAGCCTGGTATTACGCGGTGCCTGCTGGTCACTGTGATTTAGTGCGAATAGTGTGTAGTTACCTTGCTGTTATGAGGTATAATAAATTTTACAAACTAAGACGGCCGATTTGGGTGGTGTCGGCACCGACCTTGATCCCAAGAGTATCGCGCAACCGTTTTGATTTTATACTAAGCCTTACACGGGCTCGGGTCCTTTTAAGTATCTTGTAGGATATGCTGAGTGCACGCTAAGTCAGTCAGTCACTGAGATCAATCACGTTTTCACTATATCTCCTCAAGTCTTACAATTTCGAGAATTTAAATCAGAAATTAACTTGTCCATTTCAAGTAACTGTTAGTCACATAAGGAAAACTTTAATTCTAAGTTGATGGTAGCCATTCAGGTTTGGGTGGGCAGTAAGGCAAGAATAAGTTACATAGTGCTTATGTTATCGTGCTGTCCGAGAATGGCAGTTGTCTGCAGTGGGGCCCGTTTCGATAAGGTTGAGTGGGTCGTCCTTGGGACATACTTCGGACTGTCCTCAGAAGTATCATGATGCTACGCCTGTCGAAAAAGACTTTTGTCAGCATCGGAGTCTCGGCCGAGCTCAGGTTGGTTTCATTACTCTCTCTGATTAGATATTTAAAATCGCAATCTTCCCCGTGGACATATCTTCTTGACTGATTTGAACATCATCCATTTGAATCCAGTGAGATTTCTTCTACACTCGAGTCCACCGAAATGACTCCTGCGTCTGAACCGACAGAGACTACCCCTGACTCTTTGTCAATCTATGGGTTTACCGCCGTCCCTGCGTCCGCATCTTCTTTACTCTCCTCAGTTACGACCTCGACTCCCGCGCCCTTTATTCCTGTTTCGGAGACCCCGGTCCCGGACACCGTGCTCTCAGAGCGTATCAAGAGATATGCGCAATCCTGCCTCCCGGTACCCACCTACCACCATTCTCTTCGTGTTTACCATTACGGGCTTGCGATAAAGAAGTACCTGTTTTCTTCTTGGAAATTCAGTGACGAAACCTATTTCCTTACATGTGTACTGCATGATATTGGTTCCACGGAAGAAAACATGACCAAAACAAAATTAAGTTTCGAATACTACGGCGGTTTGCTGGCACTGAACGTCTTACAAGAGAGCCCGGATACCTCGGCACCGGGGGCGACTGCCTCTCGTGATCTCGCGGAGAGTGTTGCTGAAGCTATTATTCGACATCAAGACTTTCGTGATCAAGGGAAAACCACGGCCGTAGGGCAACTGTTGCAGTTGGCCACTGCCCTGGGTAAGTTCACTTGATCCAGAGCTGGTGATACTCGGCCCCCTCTTGTCCCGTATAGAACTAACAAGAATTAGATAATGTTGGTGCTCATGCCGCACTTGTTCATCCAATGACCATTGAAGACATCTCCGGGCATTATCCAAGACAGCAGTGGAGCCACTGCTTTTCTGCTACTCTCCGCAAGGAGATAGAGTTGAAACCATGGTCCCATAGTACTGTCTTGGGGGAGGAGGCTCCAGCCAGGGTGCTCAGCAACAAGCTTATGGCGCCGTTCGAGTAAGCCTAAGCACATCTCACGATAGAAAGATAATTTCCATCGGAGTTCTGATCGTTTCCTTCAAAAATTTGAACCTGGTAATATACAATTGAACGAGATTACTAGGCTACTCGAGAGGGTTGAGTGCAGGGCTGTTGAGGATACTGAATACAGACTTGAAGATTACATAAACGCATTCGAGAGGTTGCAAGGTGGTCATCTTACAGGAAAGGTTGTGTTAAATTTGTGAAGAAGTTGGACGAAATCAGACTGTCTAAGGTTGTCAAATAAAACAAAACCGTGTCAAGCCCAGCCCATGACTTGAGTCGAGGCCTCGTCAAGCCAAAGTCTCGAGTGAAGTTTTAAGCTGCATTCAAGTATCCTTACGGGATTGGAAGCAGTGTTTGATTTGTACACTCGTGACTATATTACCTAATTCAAGAGCATTGGAAGAATATATTCCGGTTATTCCTTCACTCCGTACCCTTGCTTTACAACATGTACCGGAACAGAGGGGACTTATCGCCGAGCGAATCAGGGTCACTCGGATACTCCGAAGGATCGATCTGATCGCGCTTCTTGTTAACCCGCTGATACGAGAGTCGCAGGACGACAACTGCGATCATGCCCATGACCACGAAGCCAAGTTCGAGAGCGTGGCCGAGGATGTAGTTTGGAGCGTCCTTGGCGCGATAGAAGTTGGATGACATGGCACCGGCAAGGTTGCCAATTCCTATGTGGATAGCCATTCCAGCTGCACGCTTGTAATCACCGGCCAGGTTGACACTCAACCAGGTAACGTTACCCGGGAAAGCAGGGTAGATACCTGTCATTGCCCCAATTAGCGTTGTGATTTAGTTAGCAAGGCGGTGCTTTTGAACGAGGACTTACCGACGACTGCAATGAATACTCCAAAGTACACCACACCGGGAACGCCGCGTCCAGTGGATGCGATGACAATGATGAAGCCGATGGCGATCAAAGACATGAAGAACAGGATGAAGGGAGAGCGTTGCTTGCGGCGGTCAGAGTACCAAGCTGCACCAACGGCGACAATGGCAGCAGTGATGTAGATGGGAACCTGCAAAAAGGGTTTGTCAGAATAAGTCGTATGAGATTCAAGATGGGGGGAGGATTGCACTCACCGTGAGAAGTTGTGCGGTCGAAGATTTGTATCCCAAGTCCTTGATGATGGATGGCAGGAAGAAAGAGATACCGTAGAGAGGACAGGTGATACCCCAGTACACTTTGCGTTCATCGAGTCAGTAAAATCCTAGCACTTGCCCTTTCGGAGTGTAACTCACTCAACAGTCCCAGCCAAATCTGCCAGTCCTTGAAAGCGTCGATCACGTATTTCGTCTGGAACTTGGACTCGTCCAGGACCATCTCGCGCGAGTCCGCCGAGTGCTGGGTTCGCAAAGCGTGAATCACGAATGCGCGCTCTTGCTCCGTAAGGAAGCTGGCCGTCTCGGGGGAATCGTGAATCGCGAATGGGGCAATGAAAGCCACGAGCACGGTGAGGATACCCTCCAAAATGAAGATCCAGCGCCAGCCAGCGAGGCCACCGACTCCGTCCATTTTCTATCCGTTCGTGTTAGACACATGTACACATAAGAGATGAGACGATATGGCACTTACGGCAATACCATAGGCGAGAAGTCCCGAGAATGCACCGGCGACACTGGCGGCGCTAAAGAAAAGGGCTTGACGGAATTGAGCGCGTTGGCGAGGGTACCACAGAGTAATGTAATAGGCAACGCCGGGGTATAGACCAGCCTCTATAATAAATGGTTAGTCTGATAGGTTCTCTGCGGGATAATTTTCCATATTATCCTTACCAGCAATGCCCAGACAGAGACGAGTGGCGAGGAGTCCGCCATAGTTTTGAACGATGCCCATGAGGGTCTAGGTAGCAAGTACTGTTAGTCTATCGACGATTCACAGTGAATGAATCCCTCGATCGCTCACCATCACAACGCCCCAAGCGACCATGATCAATGGCAGCCATCGGGATGGTCTCAACTTCTTCAACAGAAGATTACTGGGCAATTCGAAAACGCAGTAGGTAAAGAAGAACACCGTCACTATTCGTTCGAGATCGTGTTAGTCAATAAATCCTTCCTTCTCCCGTTTCCTGCTTCGTCACGTACATGCCCAATTATACTGCGGCCCCGTCATGTGTAGATCAGTCAAAAGACCCTCGATCTTGGCATTTCCAATATTGCCTCGATCCAAAAAGGCCAACAGGTAGAGGATACTGAGCATGGGGATCAAGCGAAGATCCATCTTGCGCAGGACCGCTGCTTCATCAACGCCAGCAAAGGAGGGAGGGCTCGCAGCGGCCGATTCCCGGTCGGGGTGCTTCTCGTCATAGTGGGCGTGGTGCGCATCCTCGAATTGGTACTCGGTGGGTTTGCCTCCCAGGGAGGTATCGGTGGAGTCGGGCATGGCGATCGGCAGACGGATTCAATTGTCACACACTCTCTCTCTCTCTCTCTCTCTCTCTCTGTCTCTTTTCTCTAGTTGGAACGGAGCTTGCATCTGGGGGTATTTATATTTGCTTCAATCTTGCTCGATCCTGCGGGGGAAGCTACCCCATGGTCTGCTCCCCGGAATTGTGGAACGGTTGGATTAGTGTCAAATGTGGAATCTCTCGAGACCAGATTCGGGTTAGATCATCGTTTCCGTCGTTTCTGATCCTTGGCAACGAGTAGAGATGAGGGGTCATGCCGGCCTCGTATGGCCCTCGGGGTGGCCGGGAGGTATTTTCCGGGCATTTAGGCTTTCCCTTCTGGTGTCGGTGGCTCGGCCTTGGTTGCCACGGATCCTACGATATCAAAAGTTACTCCAATACTTCAGCTACAAAAGAGATCGTTGTTATTGTTTCCAGGAGTGTTAGGTGTAGGTTCCGACATCCAGACCCGTACAAAGCCACAACTCGCTTAAACTGTCAGCTGGATCGTTGGCTTGAACTCAACCGCCTTCCCTTGTAACGAACCTGGCGGCCTTTGCGTCTCGGTTCCGAGGCTGTCGATCGGCTCTGATCCGAAACTCGAAACTCTCGGTTCTGAACCGCCCAGAGACGCCACCATTGGCGAGCATATCACCACGATACTTCTACTCTCCTCTCTTCTATACCCTGTCCGGCCGGGCATTAGTACCATCGAGGCCTCTGAATTTCATGCTCCCGCTGTTCTGAGACACTATTCCTCACTATTCGTACATGACCATTAATCGCTATTCCTGACACTCACTACTCCGTACGGCTATGGCGCAACGTCGCACGATGCAAGGAATTGTACTTGCTTCCTTTGGCCGCTGAATAACTCGATCCTCCAGCGAGGATGATTCACCAGCGTATTAACTCTAGAATCGATCTGTGACATGACAAGTGCAATTACTGCTGAGAGAGACGACAATAAGAACCAGGATATCACTTGAACTAACCATCGCCACCAGACTAGCCACGGCTGCTCTCAGAGTTATATCATCACGGACAAACCGTGGCCCCCGGCCCAAATCAGTCATCCAGTGTCATCACGGCATCATTATCGCCATGTCTCATCTCCCCGACTAAAATGGATCCAAATCGCTTCAAAACTGTCGATTCCACAGGGAAAAGTGAAAAAGTCCCACTGCCACCATCATTTCACCCCGTTCAAGCGACTAACCGGAGCCAATTAACCACCCAGTATGCCTTCTTTATCCACATGGACCAAGCCGGACACCACCACTCGCCCGATCGCGATCATCGGCGCCGGCGTGATGGGCCGGCGGATCGCGATGATGTGGGTGGCCGCCGGATACAATATAATCCTCTGCGAAAAACAGACCAAAAACCACGACCCGGCGCTCGAGTACATCACCGCCAACGTCCCCTTGCAAGCCGCCAAGATGGGCACCAAGCCCGGCACGACCAAATTCACCACCTCGATGAAAGAAGCCGTCGAGAAGGCATGGATGGTCATCGAGGCTATCCCCGAGGTGTTGGAGCTGAAAACCGATATCCTGGGCCAGATAGATGAGCTCGCTCCGCCGGATTGTATCGTGACGACGAATTCGCCTTCGCTGCGCTCGAGCCAGATGCTCGCCAAGACGAAGGGCAACTACCGTATCTGCAATGGCCACTATTACATGCCGCCGGAGCAAACCTACTTTGAGGTCATGACGTGTGGGTATACCGATCCGGATATTTTCCCGTTCCTGATGGAGAAGGCTGCGACTGCGGGCTTTAAGCCCGTGCATGCGCAAACAGAGTCTACCGGCTTGGTCTTTAATCGGATTTGGGCGGGCATCAAGCGTGAATGTTTGCTCGCCTTGGCGGATGGTGTTACCGATGGCGTGACGATCGATGAGATGTTCAAGTCGTGGTTCCAAGCGAACAAGGGTCCTTGCGAGATGATGGATACGGTTGGCTTGGATACCGTGTACAATATCGAGGTTATATATTCGAAGGAGCTTCAGACGAATCCGCATGCAAAAGATTGGCTGAAGACTTCGTATGTGGACCAGGGTCACTTGGGCGTGAAAACTGGAAAGGGCTTATTGGCATAGACCAAAATTGATATTCTTTTATAGACAGTGAGGTACCTTACAGAGACACACAAGAGATATTAGTGGCGAAGAATGAAATCTATAGATATATGCCAAAATATAGACGCCGATAGCAATTACGATCAACTGATGAGATACCATCTGATCCAAGGGGATCAGCTGTATCGGCGCCTTGGAGCATTTTATGTAGAAATATTTCATAGCACAAGTCACGGGTCCAAGCCAGAGTAAGTGTCAAGGGCAAGCAATTAATCAGACACGGCAGACTTGACCTCACTTTGATGATGTACTTTTTTGTGAGGCCTGTGGCCCATCCAATAATTGGCACATCAAAGCTTGCTCAAGCCAGAAGTACATGAGACGGGAATGTACAATGATGTTGTGTGGAAACGCATGGCACGGGAGAAGAGACAAGAAAAAAAGAAAACGTCGAAGGAACGTGGAGGAGGGATGGGTAGATATCATCGAGGGAAATCACCGAAACCAATTGGCAGTTGAGCCAAGATTAGATGTATAATGAAGAAGAAGGGGAATCAAGTACATAGGGAACGTGACGGAGGTCAAAACAGGGTAGAAAGGGTATTAATAAATTCAAAAGACACACACCACATAAGACTGGGCTTTCCACAATAATCAGACATCCCACGATATAATGGTTGCCGAGAGGGTGAATGGGTATAAGGAATTAGACATCAAAAGGGGGTTCTCGGTATGCATCCGGATCATTAGGGTATCAAACGATTGTGAGAGCAATGATTAGTGAGAAAGATAGACGATCATGTCGATTCGACCGGAGGATTAATTATGTCGCCTTCTTGCGACGGTGGACCTTGTACTCCGTTTTGGCAACGCGCATGAAGATTTCAATATCCTTGATTGGGACCCAGCTGGTGAGAACTTTCATGCCGTTTTCGAAATCAGATTCGAGAATGATGTCGCGCATGCCGTCAATGAGGGCTGCGGAGGTGGCATGAAGCACATCAAGTCCTTGCCCGAAAGTGCTTGAGCGAGGGGCAGGCACGTCCCCCTTGGCCTTACCGGACGAGGTGTTTGGCCGGGCAGAGGCAGTGAGGTCCTCCGCATCCCCGAGGAGCATAAAGACGTCCCACACCCGGAGCTGCGCAGGGAACGGAATGGAATAATTGAAGAGGGTGAGATACCATCGGGTGCCGTACGCCGTTGGAGGAATTCCGACTTCGTTCTATACGGTCGACGTGTCAGTATTTTGCCTTGCAAGGTTTGGTCGATTATTGGCCTACCAGTTTCGAGGCCACTTCACCACCAGCGAGCCACTCTCGCTCAAAGTCATCCAGGGCCTCCATAAGACCCGCAAATCCCGACTTGTACAGCTCTTCGAGACCACGCAGCTGCCAAAGTCGCGCGAGCATGACGAATGCGTGCTCCTCATCATAGTAGGCGAGCAACGTTGCCGCTAACGCCGCCATACCTTGCACGTAGCCAGTGTCTGGAAAATACAATGACATGGCATGAAGTACTCGGAACAGCAACCTCTGTCCACCACGATACCGCCGGCGGAACATGATATGGCTTGTGATGGTACGGGGCACGTCAATATCAATTTGGACATCGTCCGGCGAGGAGATGTACTGATAGTCGTGGAAGGCTGCAATGAGCGTGTCTTCGGAGGGACTGTTTTCATGACGCCTTGCGCTGCTCTCGAGGAATGAGTACCAGGCTGTTGAGCGCCATCGGTCGGGGATACCCTTCCAAGTTCGCTCAATCAGCTTGCTGCTATGCGTGTCAAACTCGAATTTCATGCCGCCACCATCGCGGGTTTTCTGGACTGGCTTCGCCATTTTAGTCCACTTGTCCTCACGCTCCCACTCCTTCCTCCGCATCGCACGTGCAGCAGCAGTATCTTGGCCTTCGCCTATAACATCACCAGGCAAAGTCAACATGTCGCCGGCTTCATCTTTGGTCTTTCGATCTCTGTTGTGTGGAAGATGGTTGGTCGCGGACCGAAGACGCGATGTGGAACGCCGAACTGGCATACTGTGTGTGCTTCTTGATGAGTTTGGACGACCGGTTGCAGAGCTCTGGGAGAAATCGCGCGTGGGGGATCGAGCACTGAAGGACCGGGTACTTGCACGAGCGGTCGGTGGTCGAATTGAACGCTTCCGCCGAGGGGCCTCGGAGGCAAGGAGAAGGCTCGTAGTCACCCTTTGAATAGGGTGAGGCTCATCAGCCGGCGCGTGAATGAAGCCATAGCGATCAACTTGTCCTGCCCCCACGTCTTGCCAATACTCGATGCCTCCTGCTAGTTCCCGTGTCTCTCTTTTCATCCTGATGCGTTCAACTTCTTCAGATGCTCGACCCTTGTGGTCGGTTAAAATCATCTCTGGGGGAGGTGTGGAAGCTGTTTCGATGTCGGGGGTGGTCGGCTCTTCCCAGAGAACGCCATTCTCAGATGCTATTGCCTTGGCGACCTCAGCATCAGTGACATTGTCGTCGCCTTTCTCATACATCAGCCGAACACGTCGGGATAGCATGTCCTCATCGGCCGAGATAGCTCTACTCTGGAGGCTCGTTTGCCTTGGGCGGAGGCTACTTTGTGGCCTGGCACGGGGCACTGCCGTGGGAGCACCGTTGGTCGCATCTTTCTTCTCACTTTGCACCGCATGAAGGTTCTCATCGTTTGACTCGTCCTGGACACTTGGCGTCGAAGGCGGTGCCTCTGGTGCGATCCCTGTCTCTGTCACTGATTGAACAGATGGCTCCTCTGAGATCGATGCGGGGCCCTTTTCAGACACGCCCTCCAACTGCTTCTCTTTCGGCAACGCAGGATATGGACGCTTCGATCGGTCTCTGATGAGACTGCCACGGGTCGAAAATTTCATACCCTGGCCCAGCCCACCCAGGGATGCCGTTGGTATGTCCAAGCTGATTCCACTAAACTCTGGTTCGATCTGAGGCACAGGAGGAAGCTCCTCCATACTCATTTTGCGTTCCAACTCTGCTGACCTCTTTCTCAGTCCACCCCACTTGCGTTCAGACCATCGAGAACCTGGCCGAGACCCTGGACGTGAGCTCGGACGAGAGCTGTCATGAATGACGATACTGGGCACGCTGTGCAACGAAGGCGCTACGGATTGATCATCCTCTGACCTGGGTGTCCCAAAGTCCTCGCCCGATGGTGTCGGCGGCGTCAGTCCTCCATTCCGTTGGGTATTGCGCACCGAGCGAGCTGTCGCGGGACGATGGTCGGATTCAGGAGAGGCGGCGCTGGTGCTGAAGGACCGGCCATTAGGTTCATGTGGCGGATCGGACGGGGTGGGCAGTGAGACTGAACGGATGGCAAGGGGCCGCTGAGCTGCGACAGTCTCATCAAAGGGTACAGCTTCGGCCGCCGGGCGCAACTCCGAACCCACTGGCGATAACGGTGCAGGAGCTACCATTATCCCGGCATGACTTGCACGGCAGGAATGCGCAAGAGGGCAGTAAGGAGTGGAAGGTGACTGAGCGATTGAGCGATTCAGCAATTCAGCGACGAAATCGAAATGGCGATCAAAAGGAGGGGAAGCTCAAAGACACGCATCACTGTTTTGTCAGGGTCTGGAAATTAAATAAATTTGACTCCTGGCGATGGTCTGGAGATGTGGAGTCTTGGCGCGGTCCACACTATCATTCCATACAACAAAAGGAAGGTCACAATGCGCTAACGAATTGCCAGTGCGCAGGGGAGAATATGAGATGGAAATGGTGGAATTGCTCTCTTTCTAATGAAGCAAAAGGAAAGTTTCGAGTCCTCCGGGTCGCCTTTTTAGAGGGGGTATTTTTAGGGGAAGGGCTGTCCCACCAGGCTCTTTGGGGCCGCGCAGCAGTGGACCGCGACGAAGCCAGACAAGGAGGCTAAGTGGAGCACGCTACGGAGTAATGGTGCTTAGATTAGAACACAACCTTGTCATGAGGGGGAGATGGGAGACTACCGATGCCTTTGAAAGAAATTGAAGAAAAATAAGAACGGTCGGGTACATATGCTTGGGCATGAAGTAATATTGTTACGATTTATACTGAAAGAATACGGTAGGAGGTACCAACAATACTGGACCGATCCTGGCCGATTTTTGTAGACTGAACTATCGAATATGGAGATCCATAGCGGTACGGAGTCGGCTACGAGGCATGGATTATGAAGGATGAAGTATATTGTTATCCACCAAGAACCTGTTCAATTCTGGCACAACCTAATAGAGACCCCTAATAAACACATCTACACTGTACACCGAAATAAAAGAATCGCGTGAAACTCCCATAGCCGAGGCTGTAAATCTAGTAGGCCATTAGCTGCCAAATGCAAAGGGGTGCAAACAACCCCAGCTCGACCAACAAAATATCTTCGAAGCGTGGAATGGAAGACAGGTCAAACCCGAAGAAGGAGACGTAAGAAAATAGCATAGAATGGTCATTGCAAACCAACGGCCCAGCATTAGATTCATGTCATTTTAAGCCACCACGGCCGTGTTGGCCCCAGACTAGGATTCCCGAGTAGGCCGACCCCGGTCGACTGGCTCCTTGGGAAGGAGTTCAATCTGGCGCACCAAAAAGCTCTTCTCGTCCGTAAATTGGTCATCATCCGTTCGGTCTTCCAAAAACTTAGGCAAGAATCTCAATAGTCGGTCGCGATTGTTGATGAGAATTCGCTGTACTGCTACTGATTTGTTCGGGTTGGCGACAAATACCTGTTTCGGTCAGTGCATTCTCCCCCTTGGATCGTGGATCGCAGATCGCCAGATGACGGACGGTGGATCGGCGAGCCTGACATACCTTAAAAACGTGGAACCCTTCGTACTGCACCATCTTGCGATCATCGCGCAGCAGCTTCATACATAGTTTGAGGTTATCCCCACTCTCCACATAGGCCATCATCACATTGTAGTTGGCACGGTCCAGTAGGATCTCACCCAGCAACTTAATGCTTTGTCGTTTGGTGACATAGGAGTCAGACTGGATAAGGATATTATTGAATCGCCCAAAGAACAGTTCAAAGTTGGTCGCAAGATATGCAGTCACCAAGCTCTTATGGCGCGTTAAGATTTCCTGCAAGTAAACCCGTCAGTCTCAATGACCCAGACCCGGCAACTATTCGCCTTCATGGTGTGTCATACCCGGAAAGTTGTAAAGGCATCGGCGCTGACTTCAAAATTGCTTTTATCAATCCACTCAAAGAAGTTCCAGAACACACCATCACCATTCTGTGGAAGGTTGGGCTTTAATTCCGAGAGCCGGACCGCAGGTTCGCCTTCATGTGACTGGTCATATAATATCACCGCTGTGACCACGTCAAACTTGAGGGCCTCTCGTAGAATCACACCGCATGGCATGGCACTTTGGCTCTGCATGTACCCCCGACATAGTTCAACAAGGATCTCTGGTCGATTGTGAACGATGTAAGAGATGACCGGAGGGTCTTTATCGGTCGCATACGAGGCGGGGCGGAAACGTAGGATATGAGAGAAGATGGTCTGCGTGTCTTTCCGGGCTTCGAAGGGGAGAAGGTGAATATTCCGTGATAGATCATAGAGTAGATCTTCCTGTAAAGTTGCTTGGACTAAAGCGTGGACCTGATCGGGTGATGTGTTGATCTCTACCGGGGCAAAGCGGCGTCAGTCATGCATTCCATTCTGATCCAGTCCAGGACGAGGCGGTGGATCAATGAATTATTCAATGAGCTGGCAGCAGGAGACTGACCTTGTGTTCCTTGTACAATGACCTTCATCTGACCGAGCTGCTTTGCCAGCTCCTCATCGGCCTACTAGGGTTAGTGGGTGCACGCCAGCTTGGAGCTCGAGATCTCCGGACCTTTTGGTTGTTTGGTGATTCTTGGACCCTGAGCAGCAATTCCTTTGTGGAGCGGACCACATCCGCTGGTTGACGCGACCGGCCACGATTGAAGAAGAACGCCATAGTCCCTGGGTTGCAAGAGTTGGAGAAATGAGGGATCCGATGATGCGCCGGGGAAGGGTTGATTCGCCGGTTGGTACGGGCTGAGTAAAGTAATAAACAAACGGGGGCGGGGCAACCGTTCGCCTGAGGCCACAACTGATAACGGATTTTTTTTTATCGGTCAATTTTCTGCCCCTCCATTCCACACTCTCTCAACAGCAATTGACCTGCTCTTTATTTTTTGTCAATTGCATTCGATTTATCATGGCATCCTCTAGCCGTGCTGCTGAGCCTCCTGTCAACGAGTTCCTTGCCGATGCTCGCTCGGTGTCGGATGAATCAGACTCTAGCAACGAAGAAGGATGGGAAGATGTCGAGCCCGAGGATGATTCTCAACCAGTTGTGGGATTGTTCTCGGACGTTGTTTTCCCTGATGTGCGCTCGATGCTGAAGGAGTGCAAGGAGAAGAACAACTTTGATCTGGTGAAGATCCAGAAGGATCTTGGTATGTCTTTCTGTTCTTGATTTCTCCGAGTCTGTTGCTCTAGTGTTCCACTTGGGAACAGATCGGACAAGTCTACTTTGATACCCCGAAATAAAACCCCACGGCTGACAATGATTTCCTTCCGCAGATCTGGATTTTTTGGATACTATTAAGTTGGTCAACTATGTGCGAACCGAGGTGAAGGCAGGAAACCAGTCCCCCGATGTTTCCTCCAAGGCAAAGTTTGCCGACGACGTCTACCTGAAGCCTGTTCTGGAGGATGACGCTGTTCTGTACAGTTTGGACGATATAAATGAGGATCAGAGTGAGGAGCCCGCCGCCGGTACCGAGGCTGAGCGCAAGGTTCTCGAACTCCAGGAGCAGTTGGAGCGCTTGCAGACCCAGTTCTCTGAGTACAGGCTCGCGGTGCAACAGTCGTTGGACGACCAGTTGAACAAGGAAGATGTGAAGCTCGAGCCTGGTGAAAACGCAAAGAGGCCAGTCAAAGATCGCCTCGAGGATGCCGATGCCGACTATTTCACCTCTTATGCCTACAACAGTATGTTATTACAGGCGTTCAAGTTCTTCTTATGAACACCTCAGCTAACATGTATCTCTTCAAAAGCCATCCACGAGTCCATGTTGAAGGACGCCATCCGCACCGATGCCTACCGTGACTTCGTCTACGAGAACAAGCACCTCTTCAAGGACAAGGTCGTCCTGGATGTGGGTTGTGGAACTGGTATTTTGTCCATGTTCTGTGCCAAGGCTGGAGCGAAGAAGGTCATCTCGGTCGACAATTCTAATATCATTGACCGGGCCCGAGAAATTGTTTACGACAATGACCTGGGCGACGTGATCACGTACGTAGATTGACTTCATATACTTGTTTATATGTTTAGCCGCTAACTATCTCTACTACAGATGCGTCCGCGGTAAGATTGAAGAGGTCACTCTTCCCGTTGATCAGGTCGACATTATCATTTCCGAGTGGATGGGCTACGCCTTGCTTTTCGAGGCCATGTTTGATTCTGTTATCTACGCTCGTGATCGCTACCTCGCTCCCGGTGGTCTGATGGTCCCATCTCACGCCACCCTCCGCGTTGCACCCTACGCCGACCCGGATTTCATTGCGTCGCACATCTCCTTCTGGAACAATGTGTACGGTTTCAAGATGAACAGCATGCAGTTGAACATCCACGATGAAGCCCTTGTTCGCCATGTCCCGACTACCTCTATCCCTGCCGATTCGGTCGTCTTCCTGCCACTGCCCCTGCACACCATCACTGTTGATGAGTTGACCTTTTTGAAGGACTTCAAGGTCACCCTTAACGAGGACATTGATGCTCTTGACGGCTGGGCTATCTGGTTTGACATCTTCTTTATGCCATCTGCGGATTCTACCGTGCCCGAGAATGCTGTCCCGGCTGATATGAAGAAGAAGGGCTTCGTTGGGTTCACCACTGGCCCTTATGGAACTGAGACCCACTGGCAGCAGACCATCTGTCTCATTGACCATGGGAAACAGGGGCCCAAGCCTCTCAAGAAGGGCCAGGTGCTTACTGGTAAGATTGGCTACAAGAAGAAGGAGGAGGGCTCTCGCCTGCTGGATCTTAGCATCCAATGGGAGGCCGACGAGAACACCAAGGGTGAGCAGCGCTGGTCTCTTCAGTGAGAGGCGTGTTACCCAAAAGTTGATTGATACGTCATGATGTTTATGTATAGACCACGCTCTAGATATCTTGGATGCATAAGAGGACATTCAGCGTGAACTGAATGTCTGTGGCATAGAACATAGATTCGAACAGAGCTTTTACTGGACGACGTACCTGGTGCCTCAAATTCTTATAAAATGTCACACAATTAGTATTATGAATATGATACAACACTCGCATAAGCAAGATAATTACCTTGAAGTAAAAGAGCAGGCTTGTTGGTTTACGCGTTTGACCATCACAGCCTTTATCGGCCGCCGTATCCATCGGGCGTTATCGATAAGCCAGCTCCAACCAAAGCCACTACCTTCTTCCCTCAACCTACCCCCACGATGCCGCTGTGAGTGCCTATCTCTTTTTGTTTTATGCCTATGACTGACATCTTAGCAGTCATCTCCTTGGGAAAAAGTCATGGAACGTCTACAACCCCGAGAACATCGAGCGCGTCAAGCGCGACGAGGCCCAGGCCAAGGCCCGCGAAGAGGAGGATGAGCGTCGCATGCAAGAAATTGATGCTGAACGTCGGATCCAGATATTACGTGGAGAGCGTCCGTCTACTCCCCCTCCGCCACCGCCCTCACACTCTACCTCAGAGTTGCATCACAGATCGGAGAGGAAATACGCCGATGGTGCAGGGCAGTATAGGAAGCGGCGACGCCTCGCAGGGGAAGACGACACCGATAGGGATATCAGGCTAGCCCGGGAGGATGCGACGCAGGCCAGTGCTGCACGAGATAGACTTGCTCTTACCTCTAGCCGAGATGGCAAAGATGCACAAATTCCGCTGGTAGATAGTGCTGGTCACATCAACCTCTTCCCAGCCGAAGGTGGCAACAAAAAGGCAGAGAAGAACGCCGAGGCCGAGGCAGACGCTGCGAAGAAGCAACGGAGCTACGAAGACCAGTATACGATGCGCTTTTCCAACGCCGCGGGTTTTAAGGAGAAAGTTGGGCGTCGGCCATGGTATTCCTCTTCCAGGCAGGACCTGGCCGCGCCAGACTCTATGCCCGAAAAAGATGTCTGGGGTAATGAAGACCCGCGTCGCAAAGAAAGAGAGAAAACTCGCATGGACTCCAATGATCCTCTCGCAGCCATGAAACGCGGGGTTCGGCAGTTAAGAGCCACGGAGCAAGAGCGAAAACGATGGAACGAGGAGAAAAAGGAGGAGCTTGAAGCGTTGAAATCAGAAGAACGGCACCGATCAAGGCATCGTCACAGGAGGCGATCGCGATCGGCGGATAGCCTGGAGGGCTTCAGCCTGGATGCGCCTGCAGTCAAAACTCGCGATCAGAAGGAGCATAGTGGTTTCGGCCGCCATCACCGACACCATCATGAGGATGGAAGTCGGGAACGGTCGCACCGAAGATCACATCACCGCTCAGAACGCTCTCATCGACATCATGATAGAACCCATGGGGATGATAGACTCCAACGAGAATCACATAAGAGCTCTGTGCGTGAGAAGCATTAATGCACTGAACGGTTCGGGATGCAATGATTTTACTTTCCTAATTACATCTGGAGCGAATGGATTTTATTAAATCATCAAAAAACTACAACACTCTACAACACTCTTCAACATCGTAGGCATGAGCGTAGAAAGGCGCACTAGCTATGTCTCTATACTAGTCACATGACTTCTGCCAGTTGACGCTGAGGGACTTGGGAGTGGCGTTCTGGCCTTATCGATAACGCCCACACTTGTTCCCAGGTGACGAAGCTCCCCAGGCCACCTCCAAAGCTCCCCTCTTCAACTACTTGTCTTCAATCCCATTCGAAATGTTCAATCGGAGCAACCTACCCTCTGTACCGAGCCCCTTTGGGAACAGATCTGACGGTGGACGTCCCTCACCCCAAGGATATTCGAACCCCAATCAAGCACCGCCACGGTATGATTATGGCCACGGCCTTGCCCCAAGACAAAGCGCAGGGCGAGCCCGCGACAACGATGTACCTATGACTGATGCGTATAATGATCCAAGGGGTTATGGAGCTCCACCACCCGCAGCAGGAAGGCCGTCCCAGCAGATGCCAGCACGCCCGCCGGTCGGCGGACGGCCAGGTGGCGGCGTAGCGGGAGGACAGACTTGGACTCTTCATCCCAGTAAGAGCCCGAACGACAATTTCACATTCGGTAATCTGTGAGTATTTCCTTTATATCTATTGTCACCTCGGTACTGACTCTGGCAGTGTCGCTGTATCACCACAGGATATTCCGCCTTCTCGAGACGGCGCCGACATCCTACTCTTGATCAATGACCTCTACGTTCTCTCCGGCCGCCCCCTCGAGGGCTTCCCCTCCGGATATATTAGCATGTCGGACCCTCAGCGCACATGGGCGAGTGTTGGAATGCGCGATGCCGTCAAAGTGCAGCTTTATGACCCTTTCAGCCAGGGAGGCCAGGCTTACCTGGGTTCAGCAGACATTGAAGTCAGCTTTGCGTCTACGAAGAAGCGAACAGAGATACCATATGACCAGGAAGAGCTCGCAAATGCTGTGATTAGAGTAAGTCGATACTCAGGGTTGATACGGAAAGCTGGGATACTAACATGACCAGAATTTCGAAAATCAATTGTTAGCTCCGGGACAAAGGATCCTTATGGATCACAAGAGCATTCCGCTCCTGTTGCTGGTTAAGACTGTCCAGCGAGTCGATTTGACCTCGGAGAAGGTCGATTTGAGCTCTGGGGAGATCGAGACCCATCCGACAGCTCGAGGAATCATTACTCGGCATACCCAGCTCAACTTCTTCAAGGACACCCAAACCGGAATCAATGTAAAGCCATCTAATCGCCGGCCAGCTGCAAACTCGATCATCCAACCCGGCTTCAAGTTCGAAGATATGGGTATTGGTGGTCTGGATTCTGAGTTTAGCACCATCTTCCGTCGTGCTTTTGCCTCCCGTATCTTCCCTCCCGGCCTCGTCGAGAAGTTGGGTATTCAGCATGTCAAGGGTCTTTTGCTTTTTGGGCCTCCGGGTACTGGTAAAACCTTGATTGCCCGCCAGATCGGAAAAATGCTCAACGCAAGGGAACCCAAGATTATCAACGGTCCAGAAGTTCTGAACAAGTACGTCGGTCAATCGGAGGAGAACATTCGAAAGATGTTCGCGGATGCCGAGAAGGAATATAAGGAGAAGGGTGATGAGAGTGGTCTTCACATTATCATCTTTGACGAGCTGGACGCTGTTTGTAAGCAGCGTGGAAGTGGCGCAGGGGGTGGTACTGGGGTTGGCGACAGTGTTGTTAACCAGCTTTTGTCGAAGCTGGATGGTGTCGATCAACTCAACAACATTCTGCTTATTGGTATGACCAACCGCAAGGATATGATTGATGAGGCGTTGCTTCGTCCTGGTCGTCTAGAGGTGCACATGGAAATCTCTCTCCCCGATGAGAAAGGCCGCAGTCAAATTCTCAAGATCCACACGGAAAAGATGCGCACCAACAATGTCATGGACACTGACGTTGACCTGGAAGAGCTTGCTCTCATGACCAAGAACTTTTCGGGTGCCGAAATTGCAGGTTTGGTCAAATCGGCCTCCTCGTTTGCCTTCTCGCGCCATGTCAAGGTTGGAACAATGGCCAGCATCAACGAAGATGTGGTGAACATGAAGGTCAATCGAGCTGATTTCCACCATGCTCTTGACGAAGTCAAGCCAGCCTTTGGTGTCTCCGAAGAGGAACTTTCCAGCCGTATTCAATACGGTGTGATTCACTACTCGGACACCATCAACGAGATCTTGCGTGAAGGTGAACTATTTGTGAAGCAGGTTGGTCAGGCAGAGTCTACACCCCTTTTCTCTGTCTTGCTCCACGGTCCACCTGGAAGTGGCAAGACGGCCTTGGCGGCTCGCATGGCCATTGATTCTGGCTTCCCCTTCATTAAGTTGATCAGCCCCGAGGATATGGTTGGCTTCAACGAGGCTGCTAAGATTTCGCACATCAGCCGCATCTTTGACAGTGCCTATAAGAGTCGAACCAGTATCGTGGTCGTTGACAATATCGAGCGTATAATTGACTGGGTTCCCATCGGCCCTCGCTTCAGCAATAGCGTGCTGCAGGCTCTTATGGTGTTTCTCCGGAAGCCACCAACTCAAGGCCGCCGCTTGCTGATCTTGGCCACGACCACCGAACGTGCTCTAATGAAACAATTAGACATTTATAACTCGTTCAACTCGGATATTCTCGTTCCCAACGTGCTGTCCTTTGGGGAGCTGCGGTTTGTCATGGAAAAGTCCGGCGCTTTCGATGCCCAAGAGATTGCTCAGGCCCTTGAGAGAGTCGGCGGCCTGGCGGATGACGGCCGTCTCAGTGTGGGTATCAAGAAAGTTCTCCTTGGTATCGAGACTGCCAAACAAGATGTGGATAAGGTGGGCCGCTTTGTCCGTGTGATTAATCGTGCTATTGAGGAAGAGCAGACGTTTGCTTAGAGCGTACACATAGAGAATTCATCTGTCCGTACTTTCTGCTATTACGAGTATAGCACACCTATATCTTAGGATTGACTTCTGTTCCTAGCTACAATTTCTTTCCATTGCCACCCCACTCGAGCCGTATACTTTTGTCAAATGGTTGGCATTGTGGGATAGCGTTAGCAATGGCCAGGAAACGAGAAACAGCTATCCCATATCTTTTCTGTCTAGGCGGGATTCCATACGTGTTCTTTCTAATGCCTGCCCTAGCAATAGCGTTGTGGGTGATGCCTGGCTCCACCAACCTTATGTAAAAACCAACCTTGGAGAGACAACGATGGAACCCCTTGAAAATATCTACCCAATTTTCTCTCTTATAACAAGGTCAAAGATCATAATAGTTGATCTATATCTCTCCTGCGTAGTATCGCAGAACCGCAGGAGACATGAGAAAGCAGCCACGCATGTCCACCATAACGGGTCTGGCCAATGGGCATTCAATCAACGGTATAGCCCTATTTTTAGACGTAGGATTACCAAAATATTCCGGTAGATGGGTTACAATTCAAGGGTCAGCCTATCACCATCCTCAATTCTAACCAATAACCCTACCTAAAGCTTCACTACGTACATTACTCGGCTCGATACCGCCGATATACCACAGACTCCGCCTACGATGCCTCGTGAATGGCTGCAAGGACCCATTAATACAGCGAGACGAGTAAAACAAGTACGATTCACGGTATCCACTGCAAGTATAGAGCCACAAGTCGCACAATATCCATACGTCACCGGGAGAGAGATATACACATAAAACCAAGTCAAACACGCCATAGCCGTCCCAGAAAAGCAAATTATCCCGTCCCAGCAGTTCCAAGTATCCCGATTTTGTCCGAAGACCGTCATCACAGTCGTAAAAATAAGCAAACAGATAAGCATAAACGCATCAAGCTCTCGCAAGCCGAATCAGTACTCGTCGTAAGTGTACTTCTTCGCGGCCCGGCGGTATTCCTCCGGGTGGGCCTTCTCGGCCTTGCTCTTCAGCGCGCTATTGGTACGAAGCCTGTCAGCCTTTTTCTAGAAGACGCATGCGGCGCTAAATTGGTGCGTCGATCTTCCCCAGACGCACGTGCCAAGCGCTGCCCTGGCGGAGCGGAGGTAGACATCCCCCCCTGCGCGGAGCGGGGCGGAACTTGGAACGTCCGTTCTAAGGGGTAAGAGTGATCTTGAAGAAATCTTCACGTTCTTACCTGACACGCTTCTGGGTCCATTCCAGATCTCGCTTCGTCTCTCGCGCAGTCTTCACTCCTTCTGCGAAGTTTGCGCGCACGCCCTTTAGGCGGCGCTGAGCTAGGGCTTGCAGTTCTAACAGCTCCCGCTGCTTTGCGTTCAGATGGCCGGAGCTGGAGAAATGCGCAGGCTGTCAGCTTGGAGATTCCAAATTGCAGATATCGCTGCGTGGTCGCAGTAAACCATTGGCAGATTCGCGTTCCGAGGACCGCAAATTGCCGCTGGCCGGGGATGGACTTTCGAATTGCAGTACTCACGTTTGCGCCTGTTTGGCCAGGCCCTTGTCCAGTGGAGTTGGATCGAACGCATCTTGCATGCGGTCGCTCAAGACATCCACGACATCTACTCCGGAGTACGAGGCCGAGCTCGACTCGTAGTCTGCGCTCCCGCCAGCGGAGCTGAAAGTGTAACCGCCAGAGGTCCGGCTGCCAGCAGTGGTGCTTGCATCAGAATAATCTGGCGGCGAGCCTGGCACCCGCGAGATCGGGTACATGCTAGCCGGCGCCGGTGCCTTGGATGGCATGTTCATGGGATAAGCGGACGGCCGGTAGTAGTGACGTTGAGTGGCCATGATGGTGAGATGTTGATATAATTATCAATGATCGGATGACAGGGTTGATATGACGACGAGGATATCTCGACAAGTTCTGATGATGATCAAAGGGGATATGAGCAGGCCCTATGTCAAGGTAAGAGCAGCAATATATGAAGGTAAAGACCAAGAGTGTTGGGTCTCGGACCGGGATGCAAACGAAGCTAGCTGGGAGGGATGAATAGGGAAGAGGGAGGAGAATTGGATCCACCGGATCAAACGAGAGAATTTATAGGCATCAGCGGAGAGTCTTCCCTCCGGCGGGGCCATGATCAGACTTTCTATCACGGTTAATTTATGATGAGGAGGCGTGGGTGGGAGGGCAAGGGTGGACGGACTGGGACGAGAGCCATTGGACCACCGGAGGCACTTGGGATTGCACCCCTCCCTCTTGTAACCTCCAAACTTGCCAATCTCCCCAATCCCCGAGCTTCGGCTGCATCTCCTCCTCCGTTCCTGCCCGCCGATTCGTCTCTTGGACCTCGCGGACCCCGCTCCGAGTGGGAAACGAGGTGTGTCTGGGCCAGTCCACTAGGGGTTCCGCTCTCCGGTGGCTATCCATCCCTAGGATCTTCAGTCTTGGTCTACGCGGCCCCTCTTCTGTTTCCCAATTGTGAGCTAGGCCCGCGCGGAGCCTGAAAGTGTCCGGAGTTTTGCAATGGAGGGGCAAGAGTGGGTGGATAAGGTCCATGGATGGAGGTGGAGTTGGGCAGGGAAAGGAAGTATATAAAATGCCCATCCCACCCTCCCTGAATCCTGATTTCTATCTTCGCACTTTGGGTCTCTCTCTTTCCGAATTTTCCCATACTTTCTTATCACCCCCTCACCGGTTCGATGTCCCGTTTTTCATAATTCGGGGGCTGGGAAGACGAACGTCAAGTCGAGCATCGAGGTTTATTCGCTCGTTGTAGGAAGCGCCGAGGCGAGCTGCGAACTCTACAGGAACTGGTCCCCACATACAAGCCGTGTGCTTTCAATCCCACCCTATGCCCCATGATTGCCAAAAGCGAATATTAACAAGACCATAGGTCCTCATACTTGCCCTCGAGTGTTTCTGCAGACCCTCAAGTGGGCGACGGGATCCATTAGTTGGGTATTGATATGCTTGCCCAGTGGGTCAAGTAAGCCTTGAAGCCCGCAGGAACGCCAATCCTTCCGAGTCTTTTTTCTTCACCGGTGGTGGTGATCAGAAAGAAAAGAAATGTCATACAATCTGACATCATCGAGAACTCAATCATCCAACAAGAGGAAAACTCAGATAGAAGACAACAGCATAGCAGCAAAACGGAAGTCATTTGGTCACATGGCCTGAAGATCCCCAGTGTTGGACATTAGTGCATGGCCCAACGAACGATGGAGAACCCGACAATGCTTCGAAGCCGCCCAAAGGTTCCAGCCGAGAATCAGTTAGCGGCACCATGTTGGACTCACAGGGAATACCTGGCTAACCCAGCCACCCAGGGACGGAGAAAAATATTGCGTGACCGAAGCCTGACGGCATCCGACCAAACGAGGAAGTGGAAAAGGATGGGGGGGGGGGGGAGTGTGCCTTGCCATGAAGATCCCTGCGGCCTTTGCCCGTCCTCTTCCATGCGGCTATTGCTACGCCCCGAAAACCAGAACGCCTCGCACCAGCCCACAATCGGCTAGAAGAGCAGGGAAGAAGAGCAGTGCAGCACAGACAAGCGCTCTAGACGCCCATCACGGCATGGCAAGGAGAAGCATGCCACCCCACACGCCATGCACGAGAGCAATGACTTGCTTCTCGACGTGGACCGGTCCATCGACAAGAAGGGCTCTCTCTGCAGGCCCCCGTGGGTTGAATGCAACAGGCCCGGAGAAGATGGGTTCGGCGGCCATCTCGTCATCGTTGGCCCCCACAGATTGGCTGCTGACAGGAAGGACTACCTAATCTCCAAGGTTACAAAGGAGAAAAGAAGAAAACCAAATCGGCAGCACCAATTTGATTTGACAATCACTGCCTTACGCCGGGCTGCGCTGACCGGCTCGTTACGTACTCTTTGGGCTACCTTATGTACCTTGTCATCTCGGCGACTGGGTACCCAAGTGTACCGAGGGTCTCTTGAGGATGGTTGTGGTAATAAACTGCCTTCTCGCCTCATTGTTCCAATGCACCGCGCCCTACCCGTGGCCATTCCGCATGCCTTGCAGCCTGACGAAGGACGATATGCCCCGTTGACTCGCATACAACCACCGAATTACACCGTGCCACCACCCCCCTCCATGGAATACTAAATTCACCCCCAATCATCTCCCAAAGACCGCAGGGATGCAGTTCCAAGAACGCCCTCTGCTACTGCGTTTCTCCCCCTTCATCCTTCTTCCTCCAAGAGCCATCGGGCAGCACATCAATGACGCGCAAGATACGACAAGAATTGGGTCTACGAATAGGAAAATCTCTACCCGTCAGCGCTGCGCCGTGTCATAGGCCGCTCGGAACGGTCTCTTCCATCCACCGATCTCTTATTCGCCCCCTCGTCGAGCCTCGCTCTTGCCATCTCCGGCCAAAAGGTGCCTTCGAAGCTAGACGAGAGACATGGTTTGGAAGTTTTGCCGGTTTTTCGCACCTCGCCCCTCATGCCTCTTAATAGCGAGGCCATTGCGATGAACCCGGTGTTCGCCCAGAGTATACATGCACCGCACACACATCTGCACTGCACGCTGTCAACAACGAGGCCAACAGAGTTGCATGCGTTACACGAGCCCGCTATTCTGATATGCGGACCCGAGACGATCCAGAGATGACAATCCCTGGAAAGTTGAGTCATTCCGCTTTACAAGCAGAGTCATGGACTCCGATGCTAAGCTGTCAACAACAAACTTAACCCCAACACAGGCGCAACACACGAACCACTAAATCCTGTCTCAAGAAGACCATGGCCCAACAATAAAGATTGCCTTGGGAGTCTCACTAAATTCTCAAGGAGGAAATCATCATCCCCCCCCCCCCCCCCCCCCCCCCCCCCCCC